CTTCTTTATTTCTTCTTTATTTCTTTGTTCCCGTGGAAGAAGGGTTTTGCTGTTTTTCTCAGCCGAAATCAATGATTTTTTCATTTTTGGAATCCTTAGCGAATGAGGAATCTTTTCTCTCGTGGAAGCTTTGAACAAAAATATAATTTAGGTGAAGAGGTGAGATCTCACCTAATTTTTCACCCCTTGAACTTTTTATAACATTGGGTAACTTTTTATAACATTCGGTCATAACTTCATCAATTTCATTTAAATCACGATTTAAAAACTCATTGACTTCATCTTCAACCGTGTCATCTTGTAATAAGAATATTTTCTTTAATTTCATGTCAACATCCCGAACAGCACAAAGGATAAAATCATATTCATTTCTTCCGTTAAACATACTTTTTCTTTCTCGTTCATCGTTAAATAAATTATTGAAAATATAAACAGCGGTGTAAAAGTTATGTACTGTGTTAAATGTTGAAGCTTCACCTATTTTAGATTTTAGGATTCTTTTAGTAAGTAAATTGTTATCGTTCTTTCTCTTTTCCTTATCGTTCATGTCGAATCTGTCGAACCACATATCCTGTATTTCATCGAATTTACGAACTATAGAATCCGTCATTTCCCTGGTTAATGAGGGGTAATCATTATTAATTTTTTCATATAATTTGTCCATATGATTTTCATCGACGTTTCCGGAAAGCATTTAATTAAAGCAAAAATAATGTTTAGGTGAAGAGGTGAGATCTCACCTCTTTTTTCACCCCAGTTTTTTCACAAGCGTTTTACATGAATTGTACGATGTATATTTGAAATCCTAAACAATTTCGTAGCTTCTATTTCTTCTGTCAGTATGTCAAAAGTTTTAACAATACCGAAGGTTTCTTTATACTTCTTCTTGACGTCAGATAGAAGGAAATCTTCTGCTGTTGGATAGTTTTTGTTCAGAAATTCTAACATGTTCATTTTATCTTCTGCTGGCTTTTCTGCTTCTTTCTTTAAGTCTGCATAGTCGTTTCTCATTCTTTCTATCTCTTTGACTGAGTAGTTATATTTCCTAATTGCTGCCTTACATTTTGAACATTGCGGGTTCATTTTTGCGTTATACATTGAAATAAAACCAGCTAAAACAACTAAGGCGTCAATGGTTTTCTTCATCTCAAACATAGCGGGTCTTATTTGTTCGTTCCATACTTTGCCTCTTCTATCTTTATCTCTTATTTCCCAAACACATTTTGCAACTAATGAAACAAAGTTATCGTAAGTCTTAAATTCTTCAGATTTATATATGTCAGAAACATTCTTATATACCATGTCGCAATCTTTGTCCATAACCTTATGGTTGCAATGAAAACCAAGGAATTCATAATTTACTTTACGTATGAACTTCTTTATTTCTACTGAATCAGTTGGTTTCACTTCAATTTCGTCGAATTCAGGAATAGTGAGTTTTTGTTGTTGGATTTCAGGCAATTTGGGTAAATGGTCAATAATGTCCTGCATTTCATAAAGATATTCTTCATTTTCTTCATCTTTCGCACTACAGTCTAAATTATTTGTTAAAAGTTCTTGCTTTATCTTCTGGATTTCTGTTTCAAAAGTATATGAAGAAGGAATGAAGCTTTTCATCTCTACTAACATTGACGTAGGATTCATGACTAACGAGTTTGGTGCTGTTGTTGTGGACAGAGTCCCGCCGTTCGCGGCTTGAATTGTTGTTGTGCCGATTGTTGAAATCATATCTTTTATACAAAATAAAAAAATAAAAAAAATAAAACTAACTTTATTTTTTATTTCGGGAAAATTCATGAAAATTCACGAGAAAGCTAAAGCAATCTGAGCCGCTAAGCGGTGAGGGTGAAAAAAGAGGTGAGAAAACAGGTGAGATCTCACCTCTTCACCTAAACATTATTTTTGCCAAATAAATGGTTCATTTACTCACAATATTTTTTTACAAAACGACCCCAAACTTTTAACTTCTTTTCTGCAGCTTCAAATGCTATCTTAGCGAGTTCATATTCTCTAAATTCTCTCTTTAAATCTTCTTGTTCCCATTGGTCTAGTTCGTATGGAGAATCTCTATAACCATAATATATCTCACGTTCATGTTCTAATTGTTTTTCACACATTTTTCCAACTTCTTCTTCGAACAAAGGTTTAGCATTCTCCACTGTATCTTCGAGTTCTTCTTCATCTAACTTCTCATGAACTTTCTTGTCTATGGAGTCCATAATATCTTTGACATAAAATGCATACTTTACAGAGCACCATTCAGCAACAAAATGAACGAGGTCAGCATGTATGTAAATACCTTTGAATTCATTCATAACGCCCTTAGTAAGCTCATAAAATGCTTGTTTTGAGGTTGAGCCACTTTTGGCTCGACCGTATTCTTTCAACCAAAACTCAAGAATTTCCTGCATTTTAGCACTATTGAGAAATCTGTTTAAATGGTTTAACTTTCCTGCTTCTCTTGCCATCTTTGTTGCATTAATGTAACCATCCTTGTCTCTACGTAAGACTTCAATACTGTTATAAGTGCCTTTTGTGAATGTTTCACCATTAGATTTGTTCGTGAATGTTTTTGCTTCGACTGACATTTTGTCTTACATACAAAAAAAAAAATAAAAAAAAATAAAACTAACTTTATTTTTCTTTGTGAAAATTCATGAAAATTCACGGGGTGAAAAAAGAGGTGAAAAAACAGGTGAGATCTCACCTCTTCACCTAAAATTATTTTTGTCTGATTTACATCTAATGAAAAAGTTTAGAAGAATTTTCTTATTCTTTCTGGCATATTTTTGTCTTTCCAGTACTCCCGCTCTAATGGTCCCAGATGTGTTGGCTTCGACTCTCTCAAGTTCTTAGATGGTATAACATCTTCAACGCCTCCTTCATATCTTACTTTATAAGTGTCATCGTTTGTGTTATAGCCAAGTATTTCAATAACCACTCCTCGCTTTGCTTCGTCAATGGTTTCAGCAAGTTTGCCATTACTACTTTCGACTAATTTATGTCGAGGATAAAACGCAATAGAGTCGTCGGCAGCTTTTATAAGATATCCATTACCTTGCGTAGAGTCTACGATATAATAATTTCGACTTAACCTTAAACGTTTCTTTGTCAACGGTTTGTCGTCAAGAACTACACGAACTTTTGTACCAGGAATGAGGGTAAATTGTGTTGAATTTCTGATATTTTGTGTTTGGCTTCGTTTCTTTTGTATATACTTTTCTTCTTGTTGTTGTGTCATTGAATTTGGTGTATGTCCTGTTGTAGAATGTGTTGAGGAATTATATACTTCGAGAAAATGTTTCATTGTTTCTTCGGTAAAGTCTCGCTCTTGGTTTAAATCTCTGAGAGTCCTTATGAAGCGGTTTATGATGCCGAGTATGTTATGGTTATGGTCTTCAGTAGTGTAGTGAGTTATGTTATGCTTAATGAGAAATTCTGTGATTTCATTGCTGAGGTATGCACTGTCTTGGTCTGATGTTAAAGTACTTGGGTTATGTTCTGCTACAAACTTTTGTAAAACTCTTAACACTTCACGAGTTCCTTTATTTTTCATTGGATATGCATATGCTTTACGAGTGTTAACATTTATGAAGATGAGGAATGGTTTATGTCCTCCTTTTCTGCTTTGAATGAGAGTGTCAAATTGGTATGCGTCAGGAGTGTTGGAGTAAATTGGTAAAAAGTAGTCGTAAGGGTTTATTTTTGTTTGATGTACAACATTTTTGTCAAAGAACCTTTTCACTTCAGCTCTGTTAGTAAATCCCCGACTCTTTGCAGCTTCATTGAACTTCTTAAATGACCTCCATGGATGTTGTTCGAATACTTCTTTCAAGCTCATTTATGTAAAGTTAAAGAGTTTAACCAACTCGTATCCAAGCGTGCATTGTTATATAAGGAGGCATATAATCTTTTCCATTACCTGCTGGGTCTGTAATACCAGCTACAACATGTGTATGATTTCCTGCAGTTCCACAGAAAATACCTGTGCTTGAATCTACTGGGTCAGTTGAAATATCATATCTATGCATTCCCTGTCTATCCGAACCCGCTGCAAGATTTGTATAACCTCTTTTTGTTATTGAATGTGAATGGTTTCCTTCCACAGATGTTCTTCCACTGAACCTATGCATATGTGAAGGAAGGTTTTCAATACCTATTTTCTTTGAACCTCCCATCTTCATTGACTGCGTATTAGTGTAGAATGGAAAACTGTCAACTATTTCATACCATCTACCACCAAATAAAGTGTTTGGATTTATTGGATTCATAGACGTATAAACAGCTCCTATAGGATATATTAAATCATATATGCTCATAACTCTATAAACATATTCTAAAGAACTTATGTCATTAAATACCATTTGGAATGTATCTCCCGGATGAAATGTTGCATTTGTTCCACTTTTATAATGTAATGTTAGTTCAATAGAATTATCCAAGAAAAATTCAAAAGTATCTGGTTGAAGACCTCTAACAAATTCAAATGGAGTTGCTGGTTCACCATTTATAATTTCTGTTGTAAATGTCATTGTATCTGGTTTCGAAAATTTCTTTGTTAGTTCTGCATCCACATAAGTTTTATCTGCTTTCTTATCTAACATTGTTGGTAGTTCATGTGCTTCAAAGTTTCTGGCATGACTTTCAATTTCAACTCTTATCTAAACTGTTAAGAGTATCTTTTACGCTTGTACTTGGATTTTCTAATGGTGCACTTGAACCAAGGTCAAAGTTCAATATTATGTCGTCTGCTCTAACAGTAGTGAAGGATTTATGTGTATGGTTCTTGTCAGCTTTACTGTCTAATGTAGCTTGAAGTTCATTTATATCGGAGATGTTGTGTTTATGAGATTTCAAAACTTTGTTCGTTGCTTCGAGTTCAACTTTGTCAGCTTTACTTTTAATAGCATCTTCAAACGTTATTTTTGCCTTAACTCTCAAAGTAAATCTTGGTTCAACTAATACACCGTTAACATTGAAAGTAGAGGCATAAATTTCACCGGTATAACCAAATGCTTCTGGTGCTTTAGCTACATCATACTGTACAGTACAGCTTATGTCATAACCTTTAGCACGAATGTATTTATATCTTCTTTCATTAACATTTTTTGTCTTCGCTTCATCACTTCGTGTTAAATATCCATGGTAGTCCGTTATAATCTGTTCGTCTGAAGTTATATAATGAACATGGTTCTTGTCCGCTTTACTATTTAATGTAGCTTGAAGTTCATTTATATCGGAGATGTTGTGTTTATGAGATTTCAAAACTTTGTTCATTGCGTCAAGTTCATTTTTGTCCGCTTTACTATTTAATGTAGCTTGAAGTTCATTTATATCGGAGATATTGTGTTTATGTTCTTTATCTGCTTTTTCGGCTAATTTCTCTTCTATCTCATTTATTTCAAGTTCATGCCTACCACCACCTCCCGAAGAAGTATTTTTCTTCAGCTCTTGAAGAACGTCCACTTCGCCATCTTTGGTGTCAATAATGAGACTTTGTGTTAAAACCTTTCCTGTCTTAATGGATGTTTGTAAAACTTCTTCTTCACCGTGTTCGGGGTCATGGTCGTCATCATATCTTGTGAAATCAGATATGTTGTCATACATTAAACATATCTGTCTCAAAAGTTCTGCTATTTGAAACTGGAACGAAAGATATACAGAACTTTCATCATCTCCTAAAGTCAAGTCTGCTTTCTTAAGTATTTCTTGAATGTATGCAATGAGAACAGAGTACCTTGGAAAATATTCGAACAATATTTCATTAGCTGTTGGTTTTGGTGGTTCTTCTGGAGTTTCTGTTGTTTCAGTTCCTTCTGTAGGTTCTGTTGGAGTTTCTGCATCTCTTGACTTCAATGCTCTTGCTCTCAAAGACCTAAATGTTAGAGCACCGGGTTTTACAAAGGACTTTATAAATGCTTTAATAGTTCCTGGTAAGTTATTGTTAGCATTAAGTAAGTTCCTTATGCTTCCATCATGTACGTCCATAGCACTATGTAAAAAATCTATACTTTTCTTGTAGTCAGCAATAGACTGACTGTGATTTTTTAAAGATTTGTCAATACCTTTAAGCCAATCTTCATGCATGTCTGATACTGAGCCAAGAATATCATTTGCTTCCTTTAGTGTATTTTGTGCTTGTCGTAAAGTATCCAATCCCGTACGTGCATTGTTTGCTATACGTCTTACAGTATCTATTTGACTCCTTGTTTCTTGCATCCAACCAGATAAAGTTTTAATAGTATCCGAACCATTTGAAATGAAGTTCAAAGCATTTTTAACGTCATTTAAAACTTCTTCACCAAGTACCGCCCATATCTTTCCGATTTGGTATTGAAGAACTCCATATGAAGCAGCTGTTAAACCAGTATTTATAAGGTCCCATATCCATGATTTAGCAGTTTTTCCATCCTTTCCATCCTTTCCATCCAAACCGTTTTCGCCTTGAGGTCCTTGTATTCCTTGTATTCCTTGTATTCCTTGTGGTCCTTGAGGTCCGGTGTCACCCTTCTCTCCTTTCAGTTCATCTTTATGTTCGTTATAATATTCTAATGTCATAAGGTGTACATCATTACTGCTACCAGCAACGCCAAGAATTTGTTTCTCATTCATGACTAAATTCTTTAGGCATTTAATGTTGTCGTCAAATCGAAAGCTCTTTAACAATTCAATGAGAACATTTAATACTTTCACTAATGAGGCATCTACTGTAGAATTTATATATTGCACCGTTCCATCATTTATGATAGGAACCTTGCTTGTTGTAATGAATGGGTCATAAGTGTTAAAAGTATCGAAATCAATGACTTTTTTAGTTTTTCCATCGTCAATGACTAAATCATTGCCTTCAATGGTTAAAGTTGAGTTTTCGTTTACTAGTTCATGTGCTCTTCTTGCTTCATTTGTTTCATACGCATATGCAGCAATAGTCATATTTTAATGAGAATAAAATGTTGTTCTATTTGCAAAGTACAGACCCAAACGAATATGGAACAGTAAAGCTTCAAACAAACTTAGGTCTCAGAATGAAGCACTTGCTTTCAGAGTTGTTGACTTCAATACTATCGCAACTTTTGTCATAACAGATGAAACAGATTTCATGGAGTTTGAAATAGATGACAAAAGAAGTTTTATAACATTTCCTAACAGAGCAGAGTATAGAATAGATAAAATTGCTGGAGTCATAGATACTCTCATAAATGAAGAAACTAGAGATGTCGAAGAGGGAACATTGAACTCTCTTCTGAGGGAACATTGAAGTTCAGTAGCAAGAAAGAGTTCAAGATAACACGAATGAGTCATAGAGTTCAACTTCTTTTGGGAGCATACCATATGACATTTCCTTTGAAAAGTGTTGACAAAACGATTGAGATGAAATCTGTTCCATACGTATGTTATGGTAATTGTTTATACATTGAGTCTAAAATAGCTAATGTCACAGGCATTTCAGGAGTTAATAGTAAAGGTTCAGTAGAATATAAATCTTTCTGTTATGCAGTCAATTCAATGTTCATTCCAAACGTTCCTGTCATAGCAACTCATTTAGGTAAATGGGTTCGCATTAGTCCTCATAATTTGAAAGACATGCAATTCAGACTTGTTGACTTTCAAGGAGAGCCTGTAGAACTGAAGGCACCAGTGCGAATGACTGTTGAAGTTGACTTTTTAGAAAATATTAAATGCAACAGCTTACAAGAGAACTCAGAGCTAAAAATATAAAGTATGAATGTTATGTATTAGGTCATGAACTTTGGTTGTTGCTGTTTGATGAAACAAATGAGTTAGTTATGTCAGTCAAGAGAACAGAAAAAGGCGTCAAAGGCGCCGAGCGCAAAGCGCTATATTGTGTTAGTGAAAACTGCACCAAGTCAATAAGATTAGGTTTGCATTATGAAGATGAGTTCGATACTGTTGAAGAAGTTTTGGATAGATATTACAAATTGCTTTAATTTACTAAAACATATTTCAAGCAAAGTTTATAGTTGAAAGTTTTGTATACTCGTTCGAATATTTATACTTAAACTCAACTCCTGTAGTTCCTGGTGTTTCAATGATGCGGATGTTACCTATTTTCATGAATGGTGGCGTTTGACCACAGCATTCGATTTCAGGGTCGAGATAGTCAATGACACATTGTTTCCCTGTTATTCGTGATATAACATTTTCAAGGTCCTCCTTTGTTAGAATTATTTGGTTCTTGCTTATAAGATTTGTCAAAAGCTTCTTATCGTCTTTGAGTAAAATTGTTTGGTATAACTGAAGAAGGTAATGGTCTACGTTATCTGAAGGATTTGTTTGAACATTTGTAAGGGTTGTCGTTGGCTTCTCTTGAAAGAATTTGGTCCAGTGGTGGATACTCTAACTTAACATCTGATGTAGCGTTAGCGTTTGAAGCTGAGTTTAAATTCACGGATTTCAGCTCTGGTTCTGGTTCTTTCAAACACTCTGAACTATAGTTCTTTATGACAATATTGTTTGTCGTTCGTGAGTCAACATTTGATGTTGGTTCAATTGGAACATTAACGGCACCAGCTAAGATGGATTTGCTTCTCATTTCATATAGAATAAAAACCTTTTATATGTATGAAATGAACAATATACTCGACAAGGGTTTGAATGTAAAGCTAACGAATGAAAATATTGTTGAATTCACTGAGACAGGTGCTGTGTATAAAGATGTAGAACTACTGAACAAAAGAGCTAAGGGAAGAAGCAGGAACATGAACAAAGGGTGGAAGCCTATAAAAATTTATGTCAATGATGGCTCAGGAGGTTCAAACATAAAGTATGCAGAAAGTTATAGAGTTTATGCTCTCAAGGGAGAGAAGCCTTCATTTAAGAACAGCTATTCTAACACATATCCTCAAAAGCTAACGGATGGAGAAGTGGATGATATGAATGACAGCAAAAATATTAACAGAAATGGCGACAGAGATGCATGGAATTTGTTTACCATCAGTCAATTGAAGGTTAAACTTTAAAACAATGTTGGTCGTTCCCATGGAATATTTTTGACTTTAATGGTATTAGTCATGATATGAATCTCAAGGTATGAACGAGGAGAGATGAGAGACTTATATGCTTCCCAAATTTCTTCAAAAGGTAATGTTATACCTGACTGTTTCCAAATGAGTTCAATATCATAACGTGAGAAACCTTGAAAGATAACGAAGTCAGTTATGAGACGTTTTATGTTTAAAGCTAAAAACCTCCATGTTTGCATAAGTATTGCTACAGTTAAATGGTAATGTCTGACTTTAGTAATGATATTAGCTAATGGTGAGTCTGGTTTTGACACTAAACCTTTTCCGGCGAAGTCGTCGCAAACGAGCAGAGTGTTTGAAGGATATTTTTTGAAGGGGTATTTTGAAAGTTTTGATAGAATGTAGTTTGTCAGTCGTTTCATATCGTAAACTCCTGAGTACTGACGTAAGTGGTGTTTGTCAATAATTCTTTCCATCTCCTCAGAAGTCTTTTGCATTCCTGACTGTATAAATTCAACGATGGCATAATATTTCCTCTTACGTCGAATGTAACGTTGAAGAAATTCAATGAGTTCACTGTCTGGAACTTTAACGACAGAGGCTTGAACTTTTGACATAAATGTTTTCGCTGTTGAATCCATAGAGTCTGAAGTTGCTGATATAATGATTTGGTCATAGTAAGAGTCGTTTCCTAAACGCTCTGTTATGAGTATATGACGAATTAAATTAAATGTCTTACCTGAACCCATCTTTCCACAATAGAAATAAACGCCATTTGAACAGAACTCATAGTCCTTACTGAAAGGAAGAATGAGAGAAGAGTTAAGTTTGTCTGTAGTTTCATTCATGTCTTCATCTACGTCATGTATTAAATGCTTCATTTTATCTCCATTAAAAATGCAAGTCAGAAATATTCAGAACATAGCACCGAGTCTAACTGACAAGAGTATAAAGATATACTATGAACACGTTATGATGAAACCAACCAAAATTCAAGAAAGTCAGTATACTTATGAATATCCAAGGCACTGGGTAGAGTATGTAGGAGGTGAGAAAGCTATTGAAATCAGACAGGTTCGAAGTATTCCAGCAGGAAGAACAATATTATTGAAGAACTTTAATGTTTTGAGATATAATGATGAAACAAAGAAGCAAGATAGTTTTCCTGTTGCTGTGTATGTGAACCTAGACACAGGAGATGACATGAAAGTTTTTAACACAAAGCTTCAAACGGTAGTGAGAGAACAACTGACTGCGGAAGGACATCCATTACCTTCAGAAGTTACCATAGCATATAATTTTGAAACAAACTCAATAGATTTTAAAGTCATCTCTGCAAAGAAGTCAGGTTTTACATTTAATGAAGCAGATGTATATTCGAATGAAAACTTCAAAGCTATTGCATGGTTAGATAATGACGATTGCTTTAAGAAAATATTTAAATTCAGTGACTCAACGATGTCAATAGATGACCTTCGTGGAATGTTACCATCGACGTTTACAGTTGAAGGTTCAGCAGGATTGCTTACAAGATTGTCAATTGGTGGTATTTGGTCTCGTGAGAACATTGTTATAAAATCCAGTATAAGTGAATTTGCTGAAGAATCTATATTATGTCTTTCAAACTACATGTATTCGCCACCGAAGCATTATAGTATAACAAACTTTGTCAGTAAGTTTAACATAAGACTTGTCGAACCTTCTTCAATGAAAGATGTTGTGCTACCTAAAGATGGAAAGGATGGACTCATTATTGAGATGATTTTAATAGCATATTAAATGAGCTTGTTCTTGAAGGTCATTCATGATGAAATAACTGTTGTAGAAGATGTTAGCAATTGTTCAGACATTTTGAAGCGTATAGATGATATAAGAAATAAGTTAGATAGACCGCAAAGCGGTGAGGGCGAAGCCGTGAGAACGCTTATGTTTCATTGACTTTCTCCAGTAACGAGAACTTTTATGAGATAATATTGAAGAGAGATGATTTTAATATGGTGTAAATGGTAGCTTGGGCAGCTTTAGGCGCAATGGGAACAAAAGCATTAGCATTTGGAGCAAAAGCACTTGGAGCTTATGACGCAGTAAATAAAATGAGTGGAGGAAGGGTTTCGAAGACATTAGATGCAAATAAAGGGAAGATTGGAGGCTGGGTTGCAAAGAAGTTAAGATTAAATAAAATAGGGCTCATAAATAAAGCATCCAATTTGGTTGCGACTGAGTCAGAAAATGCTTTAGGAAAGGACGATGAGTTTGCAAAACACGCAAAAGACTTTAATGACCAGATGAAAGGTGAAACAATGCATTTAAATAGAGTCGATGGAACTCTTCCTCCACCAGTAGTTCTTCCGTATGGTCCCTATGGAATGTATGGAAACCCTTACGAAAGACCATTTAACCCATTGACTGGTGGAAGTAACTGGTATCATTACGGCCGAAGAAGAAAGACAGTCAAGTTGGAGACAGACGTGAAGAAAGCAACTAAAAAGAAACCAAGGAAGAGAGTTATAAAGCAATGAATTCAACAGGTGAGGAGGGTGAAAAAACAGGTGAAAAAAGAGGTGAGATCTCACCGCTTCACCTAAATTTATTTTTGTGCTATGTTTTCATACGTGTGAGGGTGGTGATATCATTAATTTTTAAGTTTATTTTTTTATTTTATTTTTTATTTTATTTGGATGTAAATGACGAAAACTATTGAGATAACAAACTACAACGGTCATGAGTTCAAGAATTTGTTCTTCGTTCCTCGTGAAAATACATTCTATCAGATACGAGGGAGAAAGGGTAAAGTTAGTTTGAGCGTTTATGACACAAACATAATGGAAAGTTTATAAAGCATACGATACAAACGGTAAGCGTGTTTCATTAGCTTTGTCAAAACTTACTAACATTTATTTTGACAGTGACTTTGACCTATATGAAGAAGAAAGTGAGTCAGAAGATTATGAGCTGTTATGTGAAGCACAGCAATGGGAGGAGTTGCAATACTTTTGTAAGTGAGAACGTTTATTTTTTACATTAGTGAAGTCGTTTGTGAAAACGTTAGTGAGGTGAAGTGGTTGGCGGCTTTGTAAATATTTAATGTTAAGTTAGTGTTGTCGTTTGTGTTGTAAAATATACGTTACTGGTTTTGTAAATATTTAAGGTTATATTGGGTAAGGTGGAACGCAGTGCCGCCGTACCCAAGATAGTCATACTAACTGAGTGGAGTTTTTGGGTAAATCTGATTTGCTTATAAATGAAATAAAATCAAAAGAAACCATATTGGCATTATATTATGCAAAAATAAATGATCTTACTTAGTACTTTTAAAGTTAATTTCAGAAAAAATTTGACACAATGGTATCCGGCACATACAAGTGGTGTACAACCAAAATATAAGTTGGTTTAAACATATATTGCTATATCTCATGATCTTACTTAGTACTTTTAAAGTTAATTTCAGAAAAAATTTGACACAATGGTATCCGCACATACAAGTGGTGTACAACCAAAATATAAGTTGGTTTAAACATATATTGCTATATCTCATGATCTTACTTAGTACTTTTAAAGTTAATTTCAGAAAAAATTTGACACAATGGTATCCGGCACATACAAGTGGTGTACAACCAAAATATAAGTTGGTTTAAACATATATTGCTATATCTCATGATCTTACTTAGTACTTTTAAAGTTAATTTCAGAAAAAATTTGACACAATGGTATCCGGCACATACAAGTGGTGTACAACCAAATCTTCGACTCGATGAACTTGTCATCGAGTTATATTCCAGTGTTGTTCCTTCATTCCTGATTAAGTTGCAAATTAAATGTCTGGATTCAGAGAGAAGTGTTAAAGTTATCAAAAAAGTCACAAGAGATTTCGAAGAAATGACACAATTTAAAAAAGTCGAATGCATCAGTATGCTTGAAGCTGTTCAGAAAGGTCTGAAAAATGATACACTTGATCCCAACATTGTTTACTCAACATCAAAAATATTATTGCAAAGAAAACATTTGATTTAATAAACATTTAATTTATTATAATTAATTTTTTATTACAGTATAGTAAAAAATGCTATAAATAAATTATTATATTTTATTAAAATGTGACTTTTAATAGTAAGTGAATAAAATAAATCAGGAATTGGGAAAGAAATAAGGTTAATTAAAAATAATGAAAATTACAAGTTTAAGGTTAATGAAAAAGTGACAATGGGCGAGTTTGTCCCCCACTCCAAAAAATTAAAATTTGAAATTTTGGGCTCAAATATTAGAGATTTTTTCAACCTTCAACGATATATGTTGTCTATATCAGACCTCCTTTCTTTTTGATACTTAACATTGTTCCTAAATCTTAGCCGTTAAGGCTGTTCTGAAAATATTTTTTTTCGAAAAAATTCGAAAAAAATTCTTGAGTAGGTGACAAAAGTGCATACTCTTAAATTAACCTTAAATGTTGATTTTTCGATATTTTCGGTATTAACCTTATTGTAAATTTTTCCGGTGATAAATTTATCACACTGAGGTTATTTTTCCGGTGAGATTTTTAACCTTGATTTAATGAAATTAATATATATAAATTTTATTATTTTTAATTTCGAATGAGTATAATAAAATATTTTTTTATATCGTCATAACTCTCATCACTGTTGTGATTCCAAATGCGATTATTAAGGTTCAAGTCGCTAATGTTTTGAATGAAGATAGAGCAGTAAGAATTCTTACAAGGGCAGGTAATCAGATTGTTGAGCAAAGAGCTTCAAAACACGATGAATGTTTGAAATTAATTCAACACATTTTGGAAATTGTCGAAAGCCGAAGGATTGAACCTAATGTCCTTATTCCATCTTTGAAGGCAATCTTAAATTTGGCACAAAGAAGTTTAAAGGAAGAGTAAGCAAGATTAGATAATTTGGACTTTTTTTAAAATTAATGAATAAACAGTATATTTTTTGAAGTGTAAGCTTATTTACCTGAAGCTATATTACTTAATATAACATTCAAAGTATTATTGCTATTTATTGGAGAACAAATTTATGTAATTTTCACATGAAAATTGATAAATTTGTATTTCCTTATGATAATCAATTTTTGTATTTGTAGAGAGTCTCCCTGCATGATATCAAGACTTGGCTATTAGTCTTTATCCATTTTTGAAAATTGTATTGTAAATTGTAAGAATTTCTGAATACTACTACTATAAAATATAATTGCTTATCTATGTATATTCTCCCTGCATGATATCAAGACTTGGCTATAAGTCTTTATCCATTTTTGAAAATTGTATTGTAAATTGTAAGAATTTCTGAATACTACTACTATAAAATATAATTGCTTATCAATGTATATTCTCCCTGTATGATATCAAGACTTGGCTATAAGTCTCTATTCATTATGAGTATGACCCCCTTTTTTTTACAAAAAGTGCCGAATTGCAACTTTGTCCCAATCTCAAAAATTCTTAAAATTCAAAAATCCCTTAATTCCTGAGGATTTTGGTAAAAGGTTTTTACATGAACATGTGTATATTATATGAAGTATATTGATAAGGTAAAAATCAAATTTTATTGCATATTCATCGAGAAAATAAACTAACGAATCCCTCAAAATTGAGAGGGTAATCCTCCTCCTCTCAAATAAACGTACATACGGGTGCACCCTTAATGAAAAAGATTTGGATGGGAAAACTTGCCTTTTTTATGCTCTGGAACAAAATGATTACAGTATGATCAAGTTTCTTATATCATGTGGTGCAGATGTTAATATTAAAGATAAATTAGGAAGCACAACACTTTATAAAGCTATCAAACACAATGATATAGAAATCACCAAACTTCTTTTATCATCAGGAGCCGAACTAAGTGAATTTGAATGGAATACAATCATTGGATTTGTTATTGAACATGAATATACTGAAATGACTGAACTTTTATTAGCATGGGGCGGAGATATCAATTCAAAAGATACATATGGAAACACATTACTTCACCAAGCACTAGACAGAGAAAACATAGAATTAATGATTATTCATCTCTCATATGGAGCAAATCCTAATATAAAAGATAAAAATGGAAATACTATGTTACACTCTGCGGTATTGAAAGAAATGAAAAATTTTGTTGAAATTCTAATATCCAATTCCGATATCAACGCAAGAAATGCTTTAGGAAGTTCAGCTCTTCTGCTTGCCATTAAACTTAATAATAAAGAAATTACAGAATTACTTATAAAAAGCGGTGCCGATATTACACTCAGAGATGATACTAATAAAAATGCTCTGCATTATGCGATTTTGAAGTATTCTTTTGATACGGCAGAATTTCTAATATCACTTGGAGCAAATATAGACGCTGAAGTTTCAAATGGCAAAACTTTCCTTCATGAAGCAGTTTCAAAAAATTCTTTGGAAATTGCTCAATTCCTTATTTACCATGGTGCAAATGTTAATGCAAGAGATAAAGATGGATTTACCCCTCTTTATTTGGCAGTACTTAATGATTTTAAAGAAATGGCAGAATTTCTTATTTCCAATGGTGCAGAAATAAATCTTAGATACGCATTAGAAGATAGAACATTACTGCATTTTGCAGCCATCTATTACAAATTTGAAATTGCAGATTTTCTTATCAAACATGGCGCATACGTTAAAATAAAAGATAAAAATGGAAAAACTCCACTTCACTATTCTGCAAATAATAACTGTAAAGATATTGCTGAACTTCTTATAGAGCATGGAGCAGTTCTTAGCGCGAAAGACAATTGTGGGCGCACTGCGCTTCATTATGCTGCAATTAATAGGTATTTTGAAATTGCAGAGCTATTTATTGCCCATGGTGTTAATATCAACTCACAAGATATTTACGGAAATACAGCTTTTCATTATGCATGCCAATCTGATGATAAAGAATTAGCAACACTTTTAATTTCAAACGGAGCAGAAATTCATCCAATAGATAATTCAGGAAGAAATTTGTTGTTTAATGAATGTCGCATCGTTAAACAATAATTGCATTTTTAACTTTATTCTTTTGATTGATTAAGTAATTGGTTAATCAAGGATTCTAAACATATAATAATATCTTTTTACTCATTAAACATTTTTGACATGGCCTTCGAATCAGATGTTTAAGGTTGATTTTTAATGACACTTCACTCCAGTTGTCAAAATTCGAATTAAAGTCATATGGACGTAAGTGCACCATTAAAACTACAAATACAAACCTTCTCAATTTTGCAAGTGCCATAGATTATAGTTTAAGAGCTTCAATCTCGTTATATAAATAGCCTCAGAGGAAATATCCTATTGTAATATGTACTAATATGAATTTATGTTTGTGGTTAATATATTTATCTTGAATAAAAAAAATATACCACCTGAAAAAAAAATGATATCCCAAAATTTATTCACATGGAATCAATGATAAATTAAAAACTGGAAAATTGTATTGAAATAGAATACGATTAATTTTGGATTTAGTAATTTATATCTTTTGAAAATGTCAAATTTAATGCAGAAATATGAAAGAATGCAATATTTATGCTAATCATGATTGAAAAAACAATAGGATGTTATATTATGCATATGACAGAACATAAATAATAAAATTTAAAAAAAATTCTTCATTATCTATAAAAATAATCATTGGTTAGCCATGAATAATTGGACATTTTCATTCTTATGAAACAATGACCAACAAAATTAATTTTTCCATATAAAATAGGAAGTCAAAAAATACTTTCAAATGTGTGAAAAATATGAAGACTTCATTACAACTTATGAGAAGCTTTTTCATCTGCAATCAAGCGAGTCCATTGATGATACTTTAAACTTGATCAAGAGTATATTAATTTCGAAGTATAAAAGACCAGCTCAACAAATAATAAAATGCATTTTCATAGCTATGCAAAGTAACCCACGTTCATTAAAAAGTTATATTGATATTCTCAACCAGATTTCTAGTCTTTATTCAATATCGTTTCAATTCCTAAAAATTAAATCTGAAAGTTTGGAATCATTCTTGAGTTATAATAACAACAATGGTCATTATCATTTCGAAAAAAAAGATATTCCTGAGTTAGATAATGAAATTTGTTCTTTAATTTTTAATGATCAAATTGATGATTTTAGAAGATTTCTTTTAACAAACAAACTGCCTAAATCTGTATTGGATCTTTCTTCAGGACATAAAATCTCTTTACTTGAAGCATGTGCTTTCTATGGATCCGTAAATATATTTTATTTCCTTCTTTCAAATTATCCATGTGTCGTAACCTTAAGATGTTTACATAACTCTATAATTGGTGGCAATATTGACATTATCAATGAATGCTTAAAGATTCATAATCTGGATTGTTACTGCTTTTTAAATGCAATCAAGTCACATAACAATAAATTCCTTGAATATATTTTTGAGAAGGAATTAATAAATTTTGATCAAGATTTTTTGGAAAAGAACTATATAAATGCAATAACTTCTTCCCAAAATTTAAAAGCTGTATTTCTTCTTTACCAAGCAAAAAAGAATATAATTCCATGGTGCGCTGCATTCCCTCAAACTCTTGATATAATCAAAGCTGAAAACATTGATTTAAATATGCTTGACTTTGATTGTAAGAATCTTCTTCATTATGCATCTTACTTTAATAATATTGATATCTGTGAATTTTTGTTCAGCTCTTCACAAGTTTATCATAGGCCGGTTAATGCTATTGATATTAATAACCAGACAGCTCTCCATTATGCAGCAGCAAATGATTGTGCAGAAATCGCAAAAATTTTGATTTCAAATGATGCTTTCATTAAGGATGGGCACTCATAGGCTCCTGACAGCATAAAAATGTTATTATCTCACAATATAAAAGGAATCATAGGAATCTACAACTATATCTATATTGTTGGAAGACTTCTTAATGTATCATGCATATAAGTTATATCAATAACTCCATTATGTTATATGATTGTAATCATATTTTCGTTTCATGTTCAAAAACATTAAAATCATACTAACTATATGAGTATTATATTTAGGAAGCTGATATATAGATATGATAAAATGCTAGGTTTTGTGATTAAGAATATATACTTATCTTTTAGAAAATAATACTTTTATAAAAAATTATATCTTATATAATCTAAAAATTTTGGACAATTAAAAAACATTAATTAAAAATAGAAGGTGAAAGTGTTTATTCAAAGAAGGTGCAAGATTATGATGTTTTGAGGGTGAAATAAATTTAATAATTATTTATGTGATTTAAGAGTAATACGATCATCGGTAGCTTGAAGACCTCTCTTAATAGCTCTTAATGCCGCAAACTTTTTTTGAACTTGCTTTGAATTTTTGAATGCTTTGATTAAATCTTTTGTTGTATCATACATTCTGAAATATCTGTTCATCATTTCGGGCATTGTTGGTAAATTTTGTTATATACGAAAACGATAAAAACAGTTTGACAGAAAAGTGACAACTTTACGTGTCAAAAATATAAAAAGTGATATTTTATTCATCATTATCTTCTTCATAATTTATTTCATATTCTTCGTCTTACCAACAAAAGATGGGAATGTGAACAATTGCGGGCAATTTTTAGCCATTTTGGCTTGGAACTAGAGCCTGCGAGGTACATGGATAGTATCAGTACCTCACAGGCTCTAGTTCTCTATATGGTGCCGAGAAATTTTGGTGAAATGTGGTCGCATTTCACCAAAAATTTTTCGGCGCCATAGGATGAATTGGAGGGTGAGAGATATTATTTCATACAATACTACTCTCACCCTCCAATTCCCAGCCAAAATGGCTAAAAATTGCCCGCAATTGTTCACATTGCGGGCAATTTTTAGCCATTTTGGCTTGGAACTAGAGCCTGCGAGGTACATGGATAGTATCAGTACCTCACAGGCTCTAGTTCTCTATATGGCGCCGAGAAATTTTGGTGAAATGTGGTCGCATTTCACCAAAAATTTTTCGGCGCCATAGGATGAATTGGAGGGTGAGAGATATTATTTCATACAATACTCTCACCCTCCAATTCCCAGCCAAAATGGCTAAAAATTGCCCGCAATGTGAACAATTGCGGGCAATTTTTAGCCATTTTGGCTTGGAACTAGAGCCTGCGAGGTACATGGATAGTATCAGTACCTCACAGGCTCTAGTTCTCTATATGGTGCCGAGAAATTTTGGTGAAATGTGGTCGCATTTCACCAAAATTTTTTCGGCGCCATAGGATGAATTGGAGGGTGAGAGATATTATTTCATACAATACTACTCTCACCCTCCAATTCCCAGCCAAAATGGCTAAAAATTGCCCGCAATGTGAACAATTGCGGGCAATTTTTAGCCATTTTGGCTTGGAACTAGAGCCTGCGAGGTACATGGATAGTATCAGTACCTCACAGGCTCTAGTTCTCTATATGGCGCCGAGAAATTTTGGTGAAATGTGGTCGCATTTCACCAAAATTTTTTCGGCGCCATAGGATGAATTGGAGGGTGAGAGATATTATTTCATACAATACTACTCTCACCCTCAATTTTAATTACTTAAACTCATTCTATTTTTTTGACATGTAAATGTCACTTTTACTGAGATCTGACACAATGTCAGATCTCTTTTTTTCGTATATAAGAATTTAACCTGTATCTTATTGCTACAATCGTTTCAAACATACTTTCATTGAAATGCAATATTGTGACTGCCATCCTAATTGGCCAAGAAGCATGCCAATGAGTATATAAGAATTTCCGAAAAAGTGACACCCAAAAAGTGACACTTTCAATAGGGAGTAACACTTAAAAAGTGACAATTTAAAATTCACAATAAATAAAAATAATAAATTTTTTAGTCTATTAAATTATTCTTTTCTTTGAAATCCTCCAAAAATTCTTCGAAATGTTCTAAAATATAATCTGGAGAATTATAACAAAATTCATTAATTTCTAACATATACGTATCTAACAATTCATTTGGAATTTCAAACGATCTTAAATATGTAATTGAATTTTGTATCTTCTCATTTATTTGAGAAAGTTTTTCTTCAGCATTTTCCAATAAAAATCTTAATGGATTCAAATTGGCTTCTTGATTCTGAACAAAATTTAATACTTGGTATAAACGTGATTGAACTTCTCTTTTCAATTTTGTTTTATAATCTGTCAATCGAGGCTCGCGAATTCTAATTGAAGGAATAAAACCTGTTTGAAGTAAATCGTTTTTAATACGATAAAAGTAATTGGGTGCAACTTCTTCTAAAAGATTTTTGACAAAAACATCAATTCTTTGATTTTTAACGCAGCCAAAATCGTGATATTTTATCTTTTTAAATAAAGATTCAGAAACGTTATTCACAACGGTTAATTCATTTGGTCTGGCAGCGGCTATCCACTGTTGTTTATGAATGTCCCACTGACGTGTAAAGTATTGATTAAATTCCAATTGATCTTGAATTTTATCAATAATGTGCTCTTTATACATTTTTGCAGCATCTTCTTCTGTGCAATCACGATAATAACATAAAATGTTCATAAATTTTTCGACTTCTGATCTAATCTCTTCATCATTTATCTTTGAGAGATTCTTTTTAAGTGCGCGTATTACATGTAGCGCGCACCAAAAGATATTGCACTCCGGAAATGAATTCCTAATCCCGTTGAAAATGTTTAGTGCACAGTCAGACATGATAAATTCAGGTTCTGTGTGAGTTGTTTCAAAATATTTACTTAAGCAAAAAGAAATATTTTCACTATTATCTGGATATATTATAAAATAACACAAAGGGATAGAATGAGTATTAGCAAATTTGGTAGCTAATACATAAAAAGGAAATCCATGAATAATTAATTTAAACGTAGAGTCTAAGTGATAAATTGGTGGTTTTTCATGAATTTGAGAGATCATATCATTATCAGAGTAAATAAAAACCAATTTGTCTGGAAAATCAGTATCTTCACCTTGAATGTCAAAATAAATAAGGTCATCATGTTGATCTTCCCATTGATTAACATAGTTTTGTAAAGATTGAAATTGATTTAAAGATATGTCTGGTAAAGATCTCATAAGATCTTTTTGTTGTAAATAATATTTCAATTGATTGATTGCAGTTTGTTTCATAGTCATGTGAATACAAGTATGATCTTTAGGTATTTCAAGCGTTTTGTTGACTTCTTGTGTTGCATTAAGTGGACTTCCGTGATTCATGAGAAATTTTTTAATCCAAGCACGGTAAGTACCACTTGTAGGTGTATTTTTATGTTGTGGTGGTGGTCCTGAGTGAATATGAGTTAAGTTTGCAGATTTAAAAATGTAATTGTCGAAATTTTTAATAAATTTAAAGCCTGCTGGGCAGCCTTCGTATTCGCATCGGTGGTAGATTAATACTCCTGTTCCAATTGATAGTTTTTGTGGGTCTTTGACAAATCTTATGTTACCATGCAGCTCTGCAGCTATAACAAAACGAGAATATTCTAAATATCCTATGGCTTGATCAACCTCGCATGGAGGATCGGGTGGAGGATGTTGCATTGAGCAGCAAAAAGGAAAAATAAAATTGAAAACTCACATTGAAAAAATAACGGTTTAATAGAAAATATTTTTTTTCTTCTGAAAAAGAATTATCTTTGAGTATCTAAATTGGGATAAAGGATATAGAATAGATAACTAGTACTTAATATATGATACATGTACACGAAATGGAAGAATGTGTACTAAAAGAAAGAGAAATTTTAGCTTAATATTTTACATACGAATCAATTATCTTTGGTTAAAAGGTAGAATTGTTGGCTATGATGTACTGATTCATGATCAGTACATCATAGCCAACAATTCCTTATACAAAATTCAAAAACTTGGGTGCAATCAGTTCTGATTGCACCCAAGTTTTTGAACTTTCTTGAGGGAATTAAAGGGTGAGAGATTTATAGTCTATCTATATATCTCCCACCCTCTAATTCCCTCCCTGACAGCGGGAAACTTTGTCTGAATGTTAAACTATTCAGACAAAGTTTCCCACTGTTTGCGAAGGAATTGTTGGCTATGATGTACTGATTCATGATCAGTACATCATAGCCAACAATTCCTTATATAAAGTTCAAAAACTTGGGTGCAATCAGTTCTGATTGCACCCAAGTTTTTGAACTTTCTTGAGGGAATGGAAGAGTAAGAGGTATACATTATGAATATATACCTCTTACCCTTCCATTCCTCTCTGACAGCGGGAAACTTTGTCTGAATGTTAAACTATTCAGACAAAGTTTCCCGCTGTCAGCGAAAGAATTGTTCCATCTGGTGCATAAAGTGTGAATCTATGCACCAAATGGAGCAAGTCCCTCGCGAAATTGCCAAAACTTGCGTCGCATTTCAAAGATTGTGACCCAAATTTTGGCGATTTCTAGTAGAGATGGAGTATTTTGAGTCACTGACCTATATGCAGTGGCTCAAAGGGCTCCATCTCTACTTTGAAGCAAGGAAACTTTCCTCGAAATTTTGATAATTTGAAGAAAGTTTTCAAGCAATTAACAAAGGATTACTCGCTATGAGGTAAAAATTCTAGATTTTCACCTCATAGCGAGAGCTTCCCTTTCATTGCTTGAAAACTTTCCCCAGCTTCAAAATTGGGGAAAGGGCTGTAAAGTCGACTCCGATACCAGCAGGTACCAGAGTATTTAAAAGAGAAGCCCTCGTACGAGTTTCTATGAAGACCTTCTCATTCAAGAAGATCTTAATAGAAAATCGTACGAGGGCATTGGAAACTCGCGTCTGGTACATGTTGGTACCAGAGTGTTTGAGATTTGAAGACTCTGGTACTAACATGTACCAGAATTTATGATGAATTTAAGATGGACCATTATAAAATGGTAGCGGTTTGTTTCAAAAAAATTTAGATGAGATTTGCATAGATATAGATTATATGATTTATACATATGAAAAATAATATATAAAAATATAATTTTGAGATAATTATGTAAATAATATTTTAAATATTTGAATTTGAGGTATAATTTTATAGTAAAATATATTATAAAGAGTATTTATATAAATATTGTAAAATAATATAAGTAATAAAAATTGAGACCCCCTCCCTGTTTTTGATGTTTTGTCACTTTTTCGGTAATTCTTATTGTTTCCATGCCAATTAATATTTTTATTAGCAAGCATTGCTTTGATATGGTTTATCGATTCAACTACTTGAGTTGAATGAATCTTTTTTACCATATCAAAGATTTTTACGGTATCTTCGAGGAATTTTTTAAGTGTTTTTATAGCAGTTTTATTTTTTGCATATTTCCATGGTTTAATCATCTTGCATTTTTCAGGATCTGGACAAAATTTATGATTTCCGGCATAATGTTTAGCGGAATTCAACCATAAAAACTTCTTTGTTTTAATTGACATATGTGTGTCATTGAGAAGTTGCCTAAGCCAACGCAATAAATTCTTTGAAATGCTAGATAAGATTCTGAATTCTGGCAGTTTGAGCTTTTTCTGTATATTGTTAAGAAAATGTCCAGGATCTCTGTATTCTCTGATACCTTTGAACGTATTTTTGATTGTAGAAACAATTTTGACATCGCCATCATGCACAAAAAAATTTACACTTTTTTCATTATTCCAACGCTTCAGCATTCTTTTTAAGCCTTCAAATTCCATTTCATTTGATTTTCCGTTGAAATTACCTTTGAAATTTTTAAAAGATTTAGATATCACTTCCCAATCTACATTTTTTTGAGTTTCTCTTCTACAAATTGTACATAGCAAAACATTGCATTTCTTCTCTGACTCCAAGAACCGTCAAACAAAAGTCCCGAACATTTTCTCATTCGAGATTTCCAATAATTAACAGATTCTCTGGCAACTTCTATGATAACACGACCAACCTTTTCTTGGACTCGATGAAATGTAGCTTCTGACGGAACTTTGATGTTATTCAGCATGAATTGAAATTCTGATTGGCAAAATGTAGCGCCGCTCAATAATACAGATAGCACAAATTCAACAGTGTTGACGACATATGGCTCTACCCTATTTTTCGCGCTTTGAACTAAGTTCTTTATACGCTTTGCAACTGCTTTTGTTCGCCGCGGCATGAAAAATGAAGAATAACTTGACGGTTTCTTGAACAAATGGTCGCACATTCAAATATTGTGATGTACGATCAGGATAAAAGAATGTTGTTGCCGTGAATTTAGAAAATAGCAAAATTTCAATTTACGCAATCGAGATATAACTTGATCGTTTGAGCGATAACCATGGCACCCATAGTATTAATGAAAGTACTCATACTTACAATTATTTTCTCCCATAGGAATATTGTTCAATATACTTCACCTATAGAGGAAATCTCGAAATAAAATCGAATTTTTTCAAAAATTACAAAAATCAATTTTTTACAAAGATGTTCGAAAAATAACATTATATACGCATCAAATCAAAGCATTATATGGAGCATTATAATTCTATATATGATTGTCCATCTTGCTGTTGTGCTATTTTTTTTAAACAATAATTTCATTGTTGAAATTAAATTTGCAATTTCAGTAAAAATTGCGACCCATCATTTTGAATATAATTGAATTAATACATTTATTGTAAGAATATTATATACCAAATATTAGACTTCCACATGAATCCTGGTATGATATTATAAGTATTGCAAAATTAGAAAAAAATATGCTCATGATATACTAAAATTCATGTTTCAAGGTTAACTTATAAATAAAATAAGTTCGAGAAATGCATCACTAAATATTTGAGCTTGTGCACTATAATGCTATATAATAGTCTTCACTGTTTTTAATATATTGACTTTGCTAGACTTGATTTTTTTCATCACCCTAATGAGTGCCCATCCTTAAGGGGATCCATATTTAGATGATATTTAACGTCTGAAAGAATCATTTTAGGATGGAAAATAACAGCTTCTGACTGAATATGATCTGTATCATTTTCAATGAGTATTTTAGCAACATTATCACTGCCCATTTCACTTGCAATATCATAAGGGGAATGATCATTTCTATTAACTCTATTAAGGATGGGCACTCATTAGGGTGATGAAAAAAATCAAGTCTGGCAAAGTCAATATATTAAAAACAGTGAAGACTATTATATAGCATTATAGTGCACAAGCTCAAATATTTAGTGATGCATTTCTCGAACTTATTTTATTTATAAGTTAACCTTGAAACATGAATTTTAGTATATCATGAGCATATTTTTTTCTAATTTTGCAATACTTATAATATCATACCAGGATTCATGTGGAAGTCTAATATTTGGTATATAATATTCTTACAATAAATGTATTAATTCAATTATATTCAAAATGATGGGTCGCAATTTTTACTGAAATTGCAAATTTAATTTCAACAATGAAATTATTGTTTAAAAAAAATAGCACAACAGCAAGATGGACAATCATATATAGAATTATAATGCTCCATATAATGCTTTGATTTGATGCGTATATAATGTTATTTTTCGAACATCTTTGTAAAAAATTGATTTTTGTAATTTTTGAAAAAATTCGATTTTATTTCGAGATTTCCTCTATAGGTGAAGTATATTGAACAATATTCCTATGGGAGAAAATAATTGTAAGTATGAGTACTTTCATTAATACTATGGGTGCCATGGTTATCGCTCAAACGATCAAGTTATATCTCGATTGCGTAAATTGAAATTTTGCTATTTTCTAAATTCACGGCAACAACATTCTTTTATCCTGATCGTACATCACAATATTTGAATGTGCGACCATTTGTTCAAGAAACCGTCAAGTTATTCTTCATTTTTCATGCCGCGGCGAACAAAAGCAGTTGCAAAGCGTATAAAGAACTTAGTTCAAAGCGCGAAAAATAGGGTAGAGCCATATGTCGTCAACACTGTTGAATTTGTGCTATCTGTATTATTGAGCGGCGCTACATTTTGCCAATCAGAATTTCAATTCATGCTGAATAACATCAAAGTTCCGTCAGAAGCTACATTTCATCGAGTCCAAGAAAAGGTTGGTCGTGTTATCATAGAAGTTGCCAGAGAATCTGTTAATTATTGGAAATCTCGAATGAGAAAATGTTCGGGACTTTTGTTTGACGGTTCTTGGAGTCAGAGAAGAAATGCAATGTTTTGCTATGTACAATTTGTAGAAGAGAAACTCAAAAAAATTGTAGATTGGGAAGTGATATCTAAATCTTTTAAAAATTTCAAAGGTAATTTCAACGGAAAATCAAATGAAATGGAATTTGAAGGCTTAAAAAGAATGCTGAAGCGTTGGAATAATGAAAAACGTGTAAATTTTTTTGTGCATGATGGCGATGTCAAAATTGTTTCTACAATCAAAAATACGTTCAAAGGTATCAGAGAATACAGAGATCCTGGACATTTTCTTAACAATATACAGAAAAAGCTCAAACTGCCAGAATTCAGAATCTTATCTAGCATTTCAAAGAATTTATTGCGTTGGCTTAGGCAACTTCTCAATGACACACATATGTCAATTAAAACAAAGAAGTTTTTATGGTTGAATTCCGCTAAACATTATGCCGGAAATCATAAATTTTGTTCAGATCCTGAAAAATGCAAGATGATTAAACCATGGAAATATGCAAAAAATAAAACTGCTATAAAAACACTTAAAAAATTCCTCGAAGATACCGTAAAAATCTTTGATATGGTAAAAAAGATTCATTCAACTCAAGTAGTTGAATCGATAAACCATATCAAAGCAATGCTTGCTAATAAAAATATTAATTGGCATGCTTCTTGGCCAATTAGGATGGCAGTCACAATATTGCATTTCAATGAAAGTATGTTTGAAACGATTGTAGCAATAAGATACAGGTTAAATTTACCAACAATGCCCGAAATGATGAACAGATATTTCAGAATGTATGATACAACAAAAGATTTAATCAAAGCATTCAAAAATTCAAAGCAAGTTCAAAAAAAGTTTGCGGCATTAAGAGCTATTAAGAGAGGTCTTCAAGCTACCGATGATCGTATTACTCTTAAATCACATAAATAATTATTAAATTTATTTCACCCTCAAAACATCATAATCTTGCACCTTCTTTGAATAAACACTTTCACCTTCTATTTTTAATTAATGTTTTTTAATTGTCCAAAATTTTTAGATTATATAAGATATAATTTTTTATAAAAGTATTATTTTCTAAAAGATAAGTATATATTCTTAATCACAAAACCTAGCATTTTATCATATCTATATATCAGCTTCCTAAATATAATACTCATATAGTTAGTATGATTTTAATGTTTTTGAACATGAAACGAAAATATGATTACAATCATATAACATAATGGAGTTATTGATATAACTTATATGCATGATACATTAAGAAGTCTTCCAACAATATAGATATAGTTGTAGATTCCTATGATTCCTTTTATATTGTGAGATAATAACATTTTTATGCTGTCAGGAGCCTATGAGTGCCCATCCTTAATTATTATCATTCGTGTCATGGTATTTATATAACAAAGAAAACACGTTTGCGTGAAGCAGCAGAGTCAAATGATATAGAAATGTTAAGGAAACTTCTTGAAAATAATGTAGATATTTATGAGAAAGACATTCATGGAAAAACAACTCTTCACTATGCTGCTGAAAATAAATGTACTGATGCTGTTGAAATTCTTATTAAATATGGTGCATATTTAAACTCTCAAGATATTTATCAGCAAACCGCTCTTCATTATGCAGCAGGGAAAAATTGTAAAGAGATAGTGGAGCTTCTCGTATCTAATGGTGCTGATATAAATGCAAAAAATGTTAATGGACAAACAGCTCTATATTATACTGCTATTAATGATAGTAATGAAATTGCAGAATATTTAGTCTCCCATGGCGTTTCAATCAACTCACAAGATCAAGAAGGGAACACAGCGCTACATTATGCAATTCAAAACTGCAACCGAGATGTTGCTGAAGTACTTTTGGCACATGGTGCATATGTTAATTTAAAAAATAAAGATGGATGTTCTGCTATTTTTTATGCAGGTAATAAAGAGATAATAAAACTTCTTATTACTTATGGTGCTGCATTGAATTTAAAAGAAAACAATGGACTGCTTCCCATTCATTATGCATTAGAATCTAATAATATCAAAGCAGTTAAAGGCTTTATCAAGAATGGTGTAGATATCAATGTAGTAAATAAATATGGAGAAACTTTACTTTTCTATGCAGTATACCGTAATTTCTCTGATATGACAAAATTTCTCATTAAATACGGAATATCTATCAATGCGATAGATAAAAAAGGACTAACTATTCTTGATCATGCAATATGGAACTTATCATATGATATGATAAGACTTCTGATAAGTTTTGATGCTATAGGAAGTTCAAAAGGATATGGTCGGAACAAGTCACCTTCTAATTTTAAAGATTTCGATATATTTTGAAATTCCATCAAGTTTATTCGAAATTTTCCTTGAATTTTCATTTACATTTATTCATTAATGGAAAGTGTATGATGTGACACATTAAAATGATGTAATTGTAAAAATGAAACTTTTATTAATATATTATAAACATTTAAATGAATAATTATGCATCAATCGAATCAATTTCCATTGGGCGACAAGTATCTTTGATTTGTTGGCTGAGATCAGCGAAATACGGGTGGTCAAGAGCATCTTTAGCAGTGATTCTCTTGACTGGATCATACTGAAGCATCTTTGAAATCAAATCAAGAGCTAATTGGTCATTTGTCTGGATTTTTTCTGAAAGATCTAATTTCAGCCATTTTGGAAATTCTGCTGAGTAGTTAGGGAATTGAGAAACTCCTGGCCATTCTGATTCTGTTGGTGTGCCTAATATTTTAAATATTGTATATAACTGATCAATTTCAGAATCTCCGGGGAATAATGGAGTTCTATTCATCATTTCTGCAATGATGCAGCCTACACTCCATACATCAACAGAAAGATCATAAGCAGGAGCGTCAAGAAGGATTTCTGGTGCTCGATACCAGAGTGTAATTACATCTTTTGTATAAGCTCGCATTGGTAGTGAAATAGGTCTTGCAAGGCCAAAATCACATAGTTTTATGAAACCGCCGCGGTTCAACAGCAAGTTCTGTGGCTTCATATCTCTATGAATGATTCCTTGGCAATGGCAATATGAAAGACCGGCTAGTATTTGGTATGCATATGACTTAATGAGCATAGGATTGATTGGCCCATGCTGAGTTGCTAAGTAATTCTTGAGATCTTTATCTAAATATTCCATAATTAATATTAAAGAGAAAGGAGTATTGATTACTTCCTTCACAGAAACAACATTTGGATGTGATAATTCACTTAAAATCGAATTCTCTCTTACTGAAGTTGGTGGAATGCCTTCTTCTTCCTGTTCGAGATGAATTACTTTCATTGCAAGTATTTCCCCTGTTGTTTTATTGCGTGCTTTATAAACTGCGCCATATGTTCCTTCTCCAAGCTTCTCTAATCTTTCGTAATTCGATAACATTATTAAATTTCCAAACGTGCGCAGAATTCTTTAGAAAACAATATTTATATAATGGATATTACTACTCGAAACTAGATGTCATTAACAACCACATTTTCAGTCAAAATTCTAATTGTTTTGAGAGAAGCAATATTATGTAAATTGTGTATATGTTCTATATTCGAAATTTTTATTTTAAGGTGTGTTCGTAAATTTCAAGAGTCCACTTACCAATTTCAGGCATTATCTTTTTTTTCCCCCCTTTCTTTATGGTTAATGGGGCACCTACCACTTTGTCACATCTTCTCATGTCATCAGTAAACGTATGATTTTAATAACAAAAAAGTATAACATCCTTATTTGATACTAAAACATTTTGTAAACCATAAAGAATGGCAGTGATTGTGTGATTTGCAACCAACACAAACTCTTTTTCATTAAAAAAAAAGTAAAAGCCAAAGTTGATTAAGCGGAAAAGTTTAATAACCCACGTTACCTATAAATATTATCATTTAATTTATATACTTCTGTTGTAGAAACATCTTTTCCAACTATGCGCAAATATTGGTCATTTCCAACATAAGCAGTTCTTCCATCTGCAAGTTTTATTTTGCCTGAAGATGCATTAAAATCAATTTGTTTGGAACCAGATTTAATGAAGGCATAGACTTTAGGAGAAAGTAAAACCCTTGGACAAGGATTTCTAGAACAGTACGGCTGGGCTTCATGAAGAACTAGAACACGACTGTCCTCTAGTTGCCAGGAACGTAAATTTCTATGGTAAAACGAGAAATCATATTCTCTTGATGCAATTAAGAAAAGAAAGAACATGTAGAAATGTCAAATATGTCATTTGACAAAATTTAAAATCGTTTGCTTCTGAATATTCTCTAATTATTGAATGCATTTGAGAAAAGAAAGAACATGTAGAAATGTCAAATATGTCATTTGACAAAATTTAAAATCGTTTGCTTCTTTCATCCAAAAAGATCATCCAAATTAGCAACCCTAAAAAGGTTGAATTAAAGATACAGACTTGGCAATTCTGAGGTCATTTTGGCAATTCTTAAGAATCTGAAAAATGACTATTTTTGAATGCATTTATATGTTTAACAGTAATGATTTTAGGTGGTTGTGCATATATGTTTAACAGTAATGACATTGCTTTTTGAAATTCATCCTTGAACCAATAAGCATATCATGTGATTTTTTGTCCGATTGAGTTGAATATAGTTTGGTGATCTGTAGTGTGACGATATATATATAGAAATATTTACTACATTCCTTTGATCAAATATAATTTCGGACCTCAGGTGGCTTCGTTTGTCCTTCGTGCAAGCACGCCACTTTCGGTCAAATAAATATAATTAATTATATGATATGAGCTCTTTCAATCTCTCTGAAGTTTTTCGAAAATTTTATCGTCATTTGTTCAGAAAAGAATACGTGATGAATTTTGATTATAATAACCAAACAATAAGTTTTTCATGAGTTTTTATTGATTATATAATTTCTTAATTTTATTGGCGCTCCACGCCGATAGAATTGACTGAAAATGATATCTGAGCAATCTCAACCGATTAAAGAAAGTTCAAATTCAAACAACAAAAACGGATTGCAATTTAACATTGTCGTCGAGGTTTTAATGTCCCTAATCTTGATTTCTGCTTTCTTTTACGTTATTAAAAATTCTGGAAGCTATACCATTGAAAAATCACAAATGTATCCTATAAAATTCATTTATTCTGCTCAGTATCTTAACACAATGATTTATGTTAATAATTTAACAAATGCAAACAAAAATATGCGTATTACTTTTAAATTATTAAGAAATGATGTTTCTGAAACATTAAATCGTGCATACAAAGCGATCATTACGATTTCACAATACAAAAATGGCAGTTTAGTCACAACTGATACATTTGATAACAATTTCAATTTAGAGTTCCTCGAAACCAAATCAGATTCAAATAGCAATGAAATATACAATCAAAGGATCAATGGATATGATAGATTAGATATTAATCTTTCTCTAGGAGGAAATATTCGTGATCTAAGTAATATCCTTGTACAATATAATTACATTAACTCTGATCTATCAAAAATGTCATTTACAATTAAATTGATCCTTTTCGGATTCACAATTTACGTTTTAGTCACAATATTTTCAAAAATTTCATGGAAAGCACGTGATAATTCGAAAGATACAATAATGTTTTACCTCGGAGTATCAATTTTATTACTTACCAACGCTATTTTACATTTTATTAGCGAAAATATTGCACATTACATCGATTTGATTTGCTATTTCGTATTCTTTGCTATCTTTTACCAAATTTCCTTACAAAAAATACTTTCACACAAGTTTTCAATTATTCCACGAAATTTCAATATAATAGTAATATCAGTATCGTTATTAACTTCATTTATTCAAGTATTTCAGATGTTTGGCCAGATTGTTTTTGATTTTTCTGTTAATTCAAAATCAAATTTATTTTTAGTTAATAATTTAATGGTTTCTATTATATTGCTTAGCCTAATTTGCTATATTTATATATTATCTGAGTCAGAAAACAAATATTTTATTGTTTTTGATTTAATTTTCATAATTTTATGGTCATTTGTTGCTTTAATATCATCAATAATTGGTATTTTCTACTGTAATGCATTCCCACATTATCAATCATCTTTCCTGATCATTACTTCTCAAATTGTTTTTTCATTGGCTATGATTTATGTTCACAGCCCTCAGAAGTACGAAAGATTACCTAAAGCATTTCAATAAGAAGGAAAATGATTGGAAAAAGTTCTTATTTGAAATGAATTTTTAATTTTGTTGTAATCTATGATATAATATTAGTCACTCGAGCTATATAACCATTTTGCACTATTCTTTCTTTTACTTTCCAATGTTTATAGAAATAAATTGTTTGTTTATCATAAAATCTTCTCATATTATAGTATTTTTGCTTATGAATCTTTTTGTTCATGTATGTGTTAGGCATGTACATGTTTATATTCACAGAATTAGATTCTAAATTTTTATCATTTTGTTTAGAATCCACAAACAATTATACAGCATAGTCCTCCATTACGACACAAATAAAAATATACACTTTCAAGTCATAAAAATATAATGATTGTAAAGGTACCCCCACTCTAAAACTGTTAATAATTTCGACTTGGTTTTAAGGCTTTAGATTATATAGATCATTATAAGATATTATGCGTTGAGTAATCAAAAATTCGTCTGTATCATCTTGAGATAAAGAACAATCAAAATTTGAATAAATATTATATTATTTTTTGTATTTTACAATTTTTGAATTAAAAATCCACCAAAGCGAAAAAATAAATCGGCAATTGTTTTTCATTTTACTTTTAGTTATTAATACTTTATCTATCTTGAATTTATAATTTTATTAATTTTTTTGAAGACCCAAGTTCGATCCCTAGAAAACACATTTTTTTCTTTTTTAAAACGAACATACAAATAAAAAACATTAAATTTCATTAATTTCCGCTTGAGAAGACACTCTCCAGTGTTTTGAAATCAGTTTAAACTTAAGAAGATGTCTTCTTTTCTGCATCAAGAGAAATCTCGAGGAAATGCTTTGATTTTGTTTGTTTTATTATTAATAATATTATTTCTTTTATTTTAGAAGCAATTTTAATCACTCTAAGAGTTCAATGTACAAAAAGTTGAAATATTGAATTAAATTATTATATAAATCTCTGAAAATTAATAGTTGATTCAATAAGAATTTTCCATATAATTTATTGTTTGAGTTATATTAGACCTCATTTTGAACTTTATGATAGAAATACATTTCGTATCTCAAAATGATACAGACGAAAATCTTTTATAATTGAATATGTTTTTACACATGACTATCCGAGTTCATTCTTAGATTAGCAAGTATTTTTTATTAACAGTTTTTGAGCATTGAAATTTAACAATTTAACATATGAGTTTTCTGGTAGGAAATCGATTATTTTTACGTACATATTTGACTGTTAAAGTATAACCTTGAATTAACAACTTTGATTTTTAATTCGAAATATCTTCAAACTTTTTTCAGGATAATCAAAATATGTATCGGTGAAAATATTATTCTCATCCTGTACAAACATATCAATGTATGCTTTTAATTTGTCATCCGACATAGCTGGACTTATATGCGTTTAAATACGCCCTTAATTCACGAAAATTTAAGGTTAAACAGTGGGGGTACCTTTATGATTGTTGATGATCCTGATACATGGATTCATAATGTCTCAACAGAATACAAAGATGCTATTCCTGATATGAGATGGCAACGTGAATACATCGCAGGAGTAACTGATATAGAATCGGATTATATAGGTTCTTTCGATACATTTTTAAATTTCCCATTAAATCTTCTTAGTGTTGACGAACTAGTCAAAGCTAAATTATACAGCAAGACAGCCGATTACCAATCGCGTGCATTTGGAATATTAATGAACATTGAAAATTTAGATTTCACAAATATCGATAGTTTATTTGTACTTTCATTAGCCCTTCGCAGCAATTCAAAATTATTTAATGAAATCAAGGCAATGCCTAGTTTTGACATCTATTTATGGCTTATCGGACAAATAATGGAAAACGATCCTGTTTTAGCTGCTACATTATGGAACGATAAACTTATGATACCTCAGTATTACAAAGACCGTGTCAAACTTCAAGGAATTATACTTTTATTAGAACCACTTTGCAAATCATGGTCAGATATTGAAATACCATCATTAGATAGCGACAAATACGAAACTATTTTTGCTTTCGCTTACGGCAACGCTCCAGTTGATATCAAAAACTTATGTCAATTTATATTACCAAGATTAATCCCTCATATTGCAGAAAGCAATGCATCCCATCTATATTTCAGAAGAATGCTGCCATATTGCGTCATGGAAAACCGAAAAGGACGCAAATGCGCCTTCAAGATTCTTGAAGAAATTTTGGGACACCACACTCACTTCCCTTCTTGCGTTTCCACATGGATTTCGATGCATCCGTACTGTGTTGCTGCTTCTAACAACCTTTTGGTCGATATTGAGAGAAAAGGAATCATGACAACTCAATTGAAACCACTTTTGCGTCAACTTATTCGTATAAACAAACTTTTGCAGTCAGGCAAGATTACTTTGACTCAGGAAACAAAAATGGAGCTTCCAAGAAGTCTTTGGAGAGTCGAATTCCCTCCTCCAGAAGAAGAAGTCAAAATCTGCACAAACACATGCAAACTTGTGCTCAAAACTTACCAATCAAAGTGGCTGACTGTTCTTCCTGCTCTGATAATATTAATTGTTTCATATATTCTCTATGTTTATTTGTAAATAAGCATTTTATATTTTATATTTTCTAATTAAAGGTGGACTTACCACTTTCTGACATGCTCTTTGAAAATCGGCGTGTCTATATTTTAATAGCAGAAAAGTATAGCATCCATATTAGGTACAATATGGTGATTCATATTTACTATCTCCTGACCAAAAATATTAACATTTAATATTGGGATAGAAAGCCTGTATGTCAAAAAAAATTGAGAGAATTCCAGAAAGTGGTAAGTACACCCTTAAAGTCTTTCAAACAATCATGTAATAGTTTATTGTAAGTAAGGTTATAAATATTGTATGAGAGCTTTAGTAAATGTTTTAGTTAACTAAATTGGGACTACTCACTAATTCCATTCATAAAAATTATATGGGATAAATTTTGTGCTTTCAAATGATATTAGCAAAACATGTTCATCAACGTATGGTATATCATACCTTTGCAAATACGCATTTCAATTGGTATAAATATCGATATTTGAAAATATAGATTTGAAGAAACAGATTTTCATTTTGTAGCATATAATAATACAGCCGAACATCTTATTTCACAAGGCACAAATATAATTGAAAAAGATAAAATTGGAGAGAACGATCATCATCTTGCAGTAAAATTATAATAATAAAGAAACAATTGAACATCTATAACTATTTGCGCAGCGCGTAATAATTGTTATATAATTGCTGAATGAGCGACTTCTATGATTTATTCTTGTTGTTATTTTTAAAAATCGTGAATAGTTATTTTAATATCGTAGATGATATGATTTTATTTAATAAACAAGAACTACAATTTAAGTACAAAAGACATTAGAAATCAGGAAGTTCAAGATCATCATCTGATTCGAAATTATCTCCACTAGCAGACTTCTTTTTCTCTGGACTTGGTTCTTTCTTTTCTTCTTCCTTTGGAGTTTCACTTTGTTTGCCTGATTTCTTTGAAGAAGCAGAATCAGAGTCAGAATCACCGAAATCCGAAGAAAACAGATCTTCTTCATGCTTCTCTTCAGGAGATTTCTCTTTCTCTGGTTCTTCTTTAGCTTTTTCGTTGTGTTTAGATGAACTGGAGAGTTTGGAAGAACTTGGAGAGCTGATTGAAGAAGAGCTGGAAGAAGAACTTGATGAGCTCTTCTTCTTTTTATCTGACTTTGAAGAACTTAGTTTCTCTTCTTCTTTCTTTTCTTCGGCCTTTTTCTCTTCTTCTTTCTTTTCTTCTGGTGGTTTGATATCTCTGGCCTGGTTATCTGAATCGAGCTTGGATCTGATAACAGCTGACAATGATGTTGAGTTCTCTGGCTTCTTTGGCTCTGATGGCTGTGCAATGTTGGATTTTCTGCCTGATTCTCTGCCAGATCTCTGTTTATATGGGTCATCTACATCTGTAGATGTAAGGAATGTTTCGGCATCTGTAGGATGTGAGGATTTAACAAGAGGAACGCGTTCTTTCTTGGGACCAGTTGAAGATTCGGTTCTAGCTGCTGTACTTGAAGATTTATGCTTTTTACTTGAATTAGAAGTCGAAATTAACGATGTTGATTCGGTTGTAGAATCAGTTTCAACAAAGTTCTTTCCATATCCAAATCTAATATTTTCTGATTCATGCTCTGGCTTATAGTAATAGTTTTCGGAGGATCCCATATCAATGCCCTCACTATCTGAAATGTCGCTATCAAAAGATGATGGATCTTTGATTTCATCTGAAGAAGAAGTATAATCTGGCTGTCGAATAAGAGGGATTCTAGATGTTGGAGCTTTATATTTATCTGTATCTTGCTTAAACAAGTCAATATCATCGTAAATATCTTGCTTTGGTCTTGCAGTTTGTGGTCGAATTTCAAATTTCTTGGGGGTTCTTGTTTTGTTTTGTGTTCTATCGAGCATTTTTTCTTTCTTTTCCATTCCTTGGATCATTCGGCGGCGATTTTCTGCATTTTTCTTTTGTAATTCTCGTAATCTTCCTGATAATGGAGGCTGAGTTGTATTAATTGTAGGACGAGCATCAGCAAGGGCTTTCATATGTTTGCTATAGGCGTCTTCTTGCTCCTTCATTAGAAGATACCTGTTTGCTGCTGGTTTCTCTCGAACAGACATTTTCTGAAGATATAAACGTACTATTTGGATTTATTGTTTATTAACATATTACACATTAACAATATGATATTAAAGCAAATCATTACTAAATTCACTCTGTCTCATCTATTAATTTTCGACAAATTATTCCATCAAATGAATTTGTAACAATAAACCATGCAGAATAAAAGATTTATTTTGTCCTAATACTGTTTAATGATTAAGGCTTCGTCTTCCAGAAGACAAATTATGAATATAGTTAGTAAAATTCTATATCACCTGACTGATTTCATTAATTAGTTACTTTCGTAGTAGAATCCCTTTATATTTGGCCTTAAGTAAACATAACTTTGAAAGTTTTATAGTTTATCAGTTTATTTGGGAAATTTTTGTGATTTTTATATTCAATAATTGACAATGATGTTGTAATATAATGAGCTGTTTCTCCATGTTTATTTATTTTTCATTGATATTTCTACAACGTGTGAGAAGAAGTTGGTGTGTTTCTTTATTGTTGTAGATCTGTTTGTTCAAATTTCATATTGATGCAAACAATTTCTTTAATCATTCGCAAATTCAATCCTTAAGAATCATCATATTTCCAAGATTTCCAAATTATATTATTTTACAGAATAGGAGTTAGAGCCGAGAATTCATATCTTACGCCTCTTATATGAATCTGAGAATATGGGTACAAATAGCTTGTTCGTATTCATGTCTGTAAGAGTCGAATAGCTTGTATATTACGATTATTTTCAATTCAAATGTTGTTAATGATTAGAAGCAAAAATAATCATAATCAAGATAATTTCAATTTTATATACTTTTTTGTGGCAACAGCACCCGTAAAAAAGTATACAAAATTGTTAAAAAAACTCTGAAAATTTGAATACTAGCAAAAGATTCTTTAACATTTGGAATACGTCTCAAACCTTATGCAAGATTTATCATATCTATGATTTCAAAAAAATCCTAGGCGATTAAAATTTCACTTTTTCACCAAATAGAACTGCTTTATATATCTTTCAAAGAATTTTCAAATTAGATATTCGAATTAGCTTAAATGGAACTCTTTGAATTCAATAGATATGCACATCTGCGGTTAAATAAACTTTTCAAAATTTTGTCGAGTAGGGGTAATTTTAGCTAAAAGTGACGCGCCTGTAAAAAGTGACACACTAGTGAAGGGTGTGATTACCGATCGGTAATTTCGACAGTTTAGAATTTAAAATTTTTTATGGAACTGTTGCGAGTTTCATAAAGAATTTAAGGAATATAAGCAAAGATTTGAATCAAAATCTTAGACCTAAGCCGCTCGATTCGCTCGCGGCTTCCGCGAATTACAGATCAGCAAAGATTTGAATCAAAATCTTCGAACTAAGCCGATCGCTTCGCTCGCGGCTTTCTTTATTATTTTAAATTTGCATATTTCCATCAAAAGTCCATAAGGTAAAAAATTTCGTTTATTTTTACTAAGAAAAAAAAGGTTTTTGATAATAAATTTATTTTATTTCGAAAAAGTAGCAATAATCGTAAAAGGGTATTGATAGGCTTGCTAAAGTAACTAATTTTAGCTGTCAAATACTTTTGTATTTTGAAGTAAATTAGTATAAATTTGTTTTTACTTTTATTTCGAAAAAGTAGCAATAATCGTAAAAGGGTATTGATAGGCTTGCTAAAGTAACTAATTTTAGCTGTCAAATACTTTTGTATTTTGAAGTAAATTAGTATAAATTTGTTTTTACTTTTATTTCGAAAAAGTAACAATAATCGTAAAAGGGTATTGATAGGCTTGCTAAAGTAACTAATTTTAGCTGTCAAATACTTTTGTATTTTGAAGTAAATTAGTATAAATTTGATATTATTTTAACTCCCTTTGAAAACCTCAATTTTTCATACAGAGGGAACGGGAATAGCATCCAATATTCCCTGAGAATGGTTGCGCATTCTCAGTTCCCTCTATATTTCGAACGAAGCTCTCATCGGTCTTTTTTTAATACTAAACGTTTTTTTCCCTGTCACTTTTAGCTGAAATTTGGGTTTGCCAAATTTGTCTGCCACTTTACGAAAATAGTCATTATCTTGCTCTACATAAGTTTCACTATTTTAATGAATAAAAATCCAAAATTTTTGTGATCACTCAATTTTATGATTTTATTCTCAATTTTATTCATTCATAACAATGCATCCAACAACAAAATATGAAATTAACAGAGTCAACAAATTGTCACAGAAAAGTGGGCAAATCGTTCTTAGTCAAGTACAAAGCCTATTTGATAATCCTCAGTTTATTGCATTCTACATTTACAATTTTCTATGGATACTAAACTCTCACAAAATAATAGAAATCGAAGAAAAGCCCCTTAAAGAAGCTTGGCGAGAAAAAGATATTCTGAAAATGCTCATTTCAAAATATTGGGAAAAAATGAAAAGTATTTTTGCTAATTTATTATATTGTAAGTATAAAAAGCGTGCATCTTCAAATAAGCCAACGCGAACTTCCTACAAAATTAGCGGATATTCAGAAAATTTATATTTTAGTTTTATCTTCTTGAACATCAAGGACTTAAAAACAAACTACATCTACCCATGCTACTACCTCATTGTGCGTGAAGGGCAACAGCAAATTTTTGATGCGCGACCTCATGAAGTAACACGATATCTACCTGAACATGATGTTTACTTACGATTTCTGACGAAGGAAATTGAATCTTTAAAAGTTAAGCAGAGGGATTTAGAAAGGAGAGCATGCGAGATAGTAATGCCACCAATCCGAACCCAGCGAAGTGATGGCGTAGATAAGGATGGTGGTTTGAATAAGGATCCTGATAATACTGATAAGGAAGACGAAATGAAGAATAAATCTGATGAAAAGGAGAAAAGTACTATTCCTGAATATTTAGTTAAGGCTTTTGAAAAGTTGATCGAGAAATGTGACCGTGAAGGGACTTATTTCTCTACACTGTATTCCTGAAGAAAATTATTTAAATGTCACTTTTTTAACGTATAAAAAAATTATTTATGATTGGCTTTTACCAATAAAACTTCTGTAATCAAATAAATAAAGGTAATTTAACTGCATTCCTAGTGATGACTGAAATATTATCAAAATTTGTTTATCTATCGAAGAAAATAACAATCAAAATGACAAAAATTTAAAATTCTACCTTAAGCACAAGAGATGTATTCAAATATTCTAGTATATACTAGAGGGAAAAAATATAGGGTGTCCAAAGGTGCGTTTAGCACAGCGCTCTATATGAGACTATTAAAGGAGATATATGCTGATTATAAATATATAATAAAAAATATGAATATATGTATATGATGAGTATGTTGTATTTTGGCGCCATGCCGGGATATAAAATGAATTTTGAGACAAGAGGCGGTTTCGCGGGAAATTTTGGCGGGATTTTTTTCATTTTTTTAATGAATCATAAAGAAAACATCCTCGCTCTTGCAAAAAAATGCAAAGACTGTAAAAAATCTACGAGACATTGGTAAAATGCTTCGGTATGGATGCTCCTAGCTATTCCACTGTAACGTATCATGTTAGGATGTATCACTTCATGAACAAAAAGGCGCCCATCATAAAAATTGACAAAAAATCGCCGGATCAAAGAAAAATCAAAGCAATTCTTCAAGCGCTAGATGAAGACCCAAGAGCATCACTCAGAAGGATAGAGGAGATGACAAAGATACCACGGACAACAGTCAGTTATTATCTGCACAATTATTTGAACTACAAACTAGCGTATACACGTTGGGTTCCGCACAACCTTAATTCAGTTCAAAAAAAATCTAGAGTCCAATCTTCGAAAGAGCTCCTCTCTATATTGGGTGCGTATCAATCCAAGAAGTTTCGCTTTTTAGTAACAGGGGACGAGTCTTGGTTTCAATATGCAACAGAAGCCAAAATCATGTGGATCCCGAAGGATGAAAATCCGCAAACATTCCCGAAGAAAAAAATTGACACACCAATGATGATGTTGTCGGTTTTTTGGGGCGTGAATGGCATCATCGCAATTGATATTCTTCAAAAACCTAATACGATGAATGCTCAGTATCTAATTGACAATGTTCTTATTCAAATTATCAATTCTGATGAGTTTGAGAAATCCAAACAACAAAAACAAAAGTTTGCAATTCATTTTGATAATTCAAGAGTTCACAAAAGTCATAAGGTAATGAATTACTTGGTGGAAAACAATGTCAAAGTTGTTCCAAACCCAATTTATTCACCTGATATTGCACCCTCTGACTTTTATTTATTCGGCACGCTAAAAAAGAGAGCTGAAGGACGCGAATTCGCGAGTCCAGATGATCTTGAAAATTTTGTAAGAGAGCAATTTGAGCAATTTTCTCATGATGATTTAAAGCGTGTCTTTCAAGCCTGGATCGATCGCTGCGAACGCGTGATTGAATCCAATGGTGATTATATTTAAATAAACTTTATATATATGTAACTTGTTTATTTCTATTCGCAGTATTCAGGTTTGTGCTAAACACACCTTTGGACACCCTATATATACTTATAAAAAAAACAATACAAACATTTATAGTTTCTGATGTGAATATGGTTTTGTTTTCGATAAATCATCGAAAACTAGATCTAATGAGAAGTTTTCTTCTGCTTCTTTCCACTTGCTGTCTATATCTGTGTAGAACTTTCCCGGAATTGGGAATTTCCATGATGGATTTTTCGGAATGGAAATACTCGATTTGTATTTGCTTTCTTCATTAGATTTGAGTTCTTCTGTGTTGACTTGGTGACGTCCACCGTTACTTGAAAGAGAATGGCCTTCAAGAACATCTGTTCCAAAGATGAATTCATCTGTCGAATCTTCCGAAATTTTGTTTTTCTTTGTGTTATCGAATGTTTCCAATGTTTCAGCATCAAGAGAATTTGCTGTTTTGCGATCATCAGAGAGTTTGTAGAAATCGGAACTTTCCGATGAATGTTTCTTCAGTGAGTTTGATATCTTTCGAAGAGAAACTTCGTTGTCAAACTGTGGTTTAAGAGAAATAAGAGATTTCTTGATTTTGACTCTTTTTTGTGGCAAAATTTCACCATCAGAATTAAATTCTGTTTCGAATTTGTACTCCGTGTAATTTGGTGATGACAATATAAGCCTGGAAGTATTCTTTGGAGCTGTTTCAAACAAATGACAAAGCTCTGTGAACCCAGTTCTTATGTCATTGTCAAATAAAAATCCTTCTTTGTCTGCAAGCTGTTTCTTCAATGAATAATACTTCGAATGTCGAAGCTGATGCATGCAAAGAAGATGCGATAGATCTTTTGATGGCCATGAAAATAGAAGATTGTTCGATTTCTGGATTTCAATCACAGAATCAAGAAATTCAACATAATTTGAGGCTGATGATGGATAAAATCCATCACAATTGATTGTTTTTATCGGACAGACCTGTAATAAATACTTGATTTGATTAATTCCTGCATCTCCCGAATAATTATTCGAAATATCTAAATATTCGACCTTCGATGAGATCTGAATAGCTGTCAATACTGAGGTAATGTATTTTCCGAAATGTCTTAGTGCATTTCCTCTTACGTCAAGTTTTTGGATACTGGAATTATTCGCAAGAAATGAACATAAATTTGTTATTTGATCACTCTCCATCTCGCTGAAACATCCTCTTAATGAAAGATTACTAAGTTTCTCATTCTTCTTCAAGAAATTGAAGAAAAAATTATTTATTGGATTATTATTCCATGTTAGTCCAATAATTTTAGAGAATTTAAGTTTTTTTAGACTGATAAACAAATTAAACCATTCATTGGCCGATGAATTTGCGTCTGAGATATTTAATTCTAAATTCTTTTTACAATTCTGCGACAAAAAGGTCATAAATCCTGTTAAAGCGCCATCATCCCATTTAACATCCTCTAATTTAATGGAAAATAGCATCTGACTGATTGAATTAACTTGAGAAAAACCTGATGAACATTTATTTTTACTTAAATCAATAGACGTGAGCTGAAACTTCGAACAAATCTTAAAAACTTCACAAACATCAACATCGCTATTAATTAGAACTAAATTAGTCAAACTTGTAAATTGATTTAAAAAATTTGAAATCTTTGTTGGTAAATTACCATATATATTGATCGTCTTGAGTTTCTCTACTATTGGTGACTTGAATATAGAACTAGAAAACGCATTTAAACTATCTTTTGTAAAACTATTAATAAAGCCAAGAGCTGATATCTTTTTTGCAACAATAAAAGAAGAAATATCTTTAAAATCTGCATCATTGAAATTATCACCACAGAATATAAAGTTTGTAACAACATTTGATGGACTTATCTCAAAATTATGTGAAAATTTTCTAAATTTTGGTCCAAGAGGTCCTTGAACAGCTAATCTTGTAATTGTTGTGTTTTTTGTGATAAAATCAGATATATTTGCATAGGGATCAAAATCTGGATTTGATTCAATGATTAATGTATCAATGAAGTGAGATATAGGTAATATATTAAGTACTGATGGTATACAATCCTTAAATGCGTATAGTGCTTTAAATGAAAGTGAATTTTTCCTGAAAATACAAATATTTGAAAGGATTTCAATGAGTTTTCCATATTCACTATTCTCTAATGCCTCTATATAGTTTGTTAATCTGCCAATGATTGAATTATATGTAGGTTTTGAGTGATAATTTTGAAATGGATTCATTCCTTTTTGGTGTAATTCCTCATCTGATAGTATAGATCGCACGCAATCGACGATTTCACCACTTATCTGATTGATATTTGGTGAGTCAAATGAAATTTTTGAGGATCTGAATGTAAGGAAAGCGCTTTTGGATGTAAATTCAACAGATGTCAAATCATTCCATGAAAATTTGTTTAATGCATTCATGTCTATCGAATAAATGAGTAATTTTGGGGTGGTTATTACAAGAATTTTGTCATTTTGATCTGTTTTTTCTGCTGGTTCTTTAATAGCCTGAACAAGAATAGGTGTGATATGCTCTGTTTTAAGTTTTTCTTTCAGTTTTGCAACTGAAGATTCCATTACAATGACTTGGAAAACAAGGTTAAATTATTGACAATTATGTAATAAGAGTTTAAAATTTTAACAATAAAACTAGTAAAGCTTAAATTTAATTCAGATTCAAAGTCAAAATACTATCCAGAATTCAAAACTTAATTCTCAAGCTCAAAACTGATACTCACTATGTAACTCTCATACGGTATATGTCAATAAGCATTTTTATCAAGTTCAATTTTGAAAATTCAAAAAATATATTTTTATAAAAATTTTTTTGTTTAATTGAAGAACATTTTATCCATACTAAACCCTTTATTATACTTTTTATAAATACGATCAAATTACTGTTGACTTTTTTCAAATTGCTCCAATTCCTCTCTTTTTTGGAGGGATTGAAGGAAATTGAAGTAATCTTCCCTTTGTTGGTAAGTAACATATGAGTCTGGTTCTGGGAAAATGATATCAATTGAATTAAAAATTGAATCATCTTTAATAAAGATATCTAAGAACGCCAAAAATACGTAGACGCAAATAATTAGCGTTTCCGTGATATTTTTTGAGAAACTAAATGATTCAAGGGACTCGGCTATAGTTGGAATGGAAATGAAGAGATATGCTGTAACGAAAAATAGAAGTTTCTTGATGTGATGTGTTCTGTATGCTCTTGGTTCATTTCTTTTGCTATTAAGATAAAGGTCCAATGAATCAATAATAAAAGTTGAAATTAAGCATGTCATAGTAATTGTAAGTACTTTCAAGAAATCACTTTCGTATTTTTGAGAGAGAGCTTCGGAAATTTTCTTGATGTTGACGATTTCTGAAAGTGCATCTAATAATTTAACGAAATATCTTGCATTGCGGCAGAATTTGAAACCTAAATCGAATGGGAAAATATTGTAAATTGCCAATAAGATGGAGTAAGTGTAGAGAATAAACTTTGCGTCGCCATATTCAATTTGATTTGGAATAAAAATTTGTAAAATAAGACGTGGACTGAATGACATTAAAAACCCGAGGATATAAGATCGATAAACAGATACTCCGTCAAATATTGTTGAGCAACGGATATAAAAAAGAATATAAATAACGTGGAAGTATATATATTATCTATGATCTCAACGTAATCATTAAATGTTGCATTAATGATTTTATGATTGATATCCTGTACTTTTTGGATAAAATTATCCATGTAAGAATTTGTCACTTTTCGGACTTTCCGAATATCGAATTATACATTTGTCCACTGTTATGAATTGTCTAAACTATTTATATTCTTAACATTCTATTTTTGGTCAAAATCTTCAAGTATTGAACGAAATTCACACTCACATTTAATGAAAATCTTATTGTTTTGAAAGGTTGAATTAGTACTCGTGATTTTAAAGCATTTTTGCATACTTTTAGCAAAAATAAAATCTCCGAATAAATTTTTAAACGTACACTTCCTCTAATGACAATAAGACGTATATTAACACCACTCAAGCAGCACGATATTCAAGTAACAACTACGAAGCCAAGAAACTATGTAAAGCGAAAAACTATCTGCACAATCGTTGGAGAAGTTAAAGATGTTGATTTAAATTACATTTACGACGTCAAAAATAGAATGTTAGGCGATGCAGAACTCAAACGTCTTTGGAGAATCGTTAATGCTCATTTGCACTCAGAAGGACGGGAAAGTTTATCGTATCCAACTGAATGGATTTCAAGTTCGGAATCTCAAAAAATCCTTGAATTAATACAATCTCTTTCGGCATCAGTAAGGAGAATTCGTGATGTTACACAAACAGCGCAGTATAACAAAGAAGGTTTGCTTTTGGATCAAACAGCAGACTTGAAAGAGCAAATCAGGAAGCTCGAAAGAAAGATAAGCTACAAGCAACAGCATCTGTCTGAAATTGGAACTGAAATTTCAAAAGAAAAACTTGAAATTGGAAAAGAGAAGAAAATGTTTATCCAAAAGGAGAAACCGAAGTTAGCACAGATTGCTAGACTGCAGAAGCGCTTAGAGATCATTGCAAATCAATAATAATTGAAATATTAATTGATTAAGTACTCTATCTTTCATTTGTTTGATATGATATATATAAATGCTATTGTTTTACTTTATAACTCAAGATATGTTGTATAAAAATTTTAATAATATTCACTTTCTAAAATAAAACTAATGTATTTCGCTAAATGATTAATGGCGTTCAATATCAATACCTATGTGTTTGCACTTTTTTCATTTTATTATATAGTTTGTCATTTGAATCATGGATAACCCATTAATTATTAAGTGCATAGAGCTTGTCAATAAATACGAAGATAACTATCTATGGAAATATTTTGCAGAAAATCCGAAATTTTTCGACTCAAACAACAATGGAAGAATATCAGAGAAATTAATTTCGAATTTATCTCAAAACAAATATAACTCGGCCAAAAATTTTAAAGATGACTTGATACATTACTTCAATTCTCTCGAACAGACACAACAAATGACAGATTTAGAACAAAATTCTTTAAAATATTTAAGAAAACAGATCAATTCCGACATCTCTTCAATTGAACCACTATCTGTACAACAGTGGTTAGAGTTATGGCCAAATTTATACAATAACCTCATAGATAAAATATCAAAATCTGAAATTTTAAGCAATCGACCCCAATTACCTACAATAAATAACTCTAATATGCCTGTTGCAATAGATAAATCTAAACTTTTCTCTCTAAAGAAACTAATCATCGCTGGATTGGATGATAACGAAAAACAAATTGTTTTCAATTTAATCAAAGCATTAGAATTTCCAAGTGAACAAGATTCTGCATCTATTTCAATCGACTTACTCAACATATCTAGTGAAACATATTTTGCACTCATATCCTATCTTAAAAGAGTTAAAAGCAAGAAGAATTCTGATATCTTGGGCTCAAAAAGATAATATCTCATCAAAAAAGTATCATGTAAAATCCTTCCAAAACTATTTTGCAATTTTTGAAAAATTTTAATAGCTTGCAACCAAATGCTATGCAGAGTGTTGAGAAAAACTTAATTCTCAGAGATTCTCATTTGTATCTTTATTGTATCCCAAATTTGATATTTAAATATACACTTGGACTCTTTTCTAAGTGATAATCTTTATCTTGTTCTTGTTCTAAATAATACCGTTCACCATTTTCTTTTACATTTTATTTATATTATTCATAATTATTTCCTACCTATTTAAAGGATATAAGTCCAAAACAATAGATTTTCTCAGCATGGTAAGCAATTGTGTTTATTCATTCAGTTGACTCGTATCACAATAATAGTGAATGAATTAGATCCTATAAAAAAGATGAAGACATTTATGATTGGTATTAATCAGATATTGTTTATGTATAATATCAATCAAAGATCTAAAATTTTTTGTCAAAAAAATGTTTCTAGCTTTTCTGTTATCAATAAAAGAAATCAATTTACCTTCAAGTTCAGAAGAATATCAGGAAAATTTAAAGCCAGATACTGGTGTTCGACTTAACTGTGATTCTGGACGCGCATTACTTGTATTTCATAATAAAAATTTCGATATGACTACATACGAGATCATAGATGGGAAATCCATTAAGACTCAATCTATGTCAAATGATGAAATTCCAAATTATCTTATTGTCAACCAAAAAGAAAGAATCGAAATTTCCGCAAAAGAAGCACGAGTACTCTACATGTCATACATACCACTCGGACAACGCTGCCAAAAATATTTTTACATATCAAATCAATTAAATACTAGCGTAGAATTTACCGATGAAAAAACATTACGAAATGATAGATGTTTTATCTTCGCACCACTTGGTAATAAGACTTATACAGTTAGCCACAAATTAAACGATCATCAGGACTTATTTGTTGCAAAACCAGAAATGAATCTAAATAGAAAAGATTTTCATAAAATAAATAAAGGTGAAACATATAATGCATCATCAAGTAACCCTCTGATCTTTACTTTTAATACAGAAGAGAATTTTCCTGGATCATCAATTAAATTTACAGTAAATTCCAAGTTTCCAATTAAAATAAAGGAATTTGGAGAGTTATATGATGTCAAACCAGAAGAAACTCCAACTCCTGATCCACAACCTGATTCCAATCCTGAGAAAACATCATCCAGCGCAGAAACAGTCGTAGAGAAGGAAGATGATAGAATGTCTGTCTATGTTTTCATTATGGGTGTTATTATTATATCGTGCATCGTCTACGTTTTCAGTAAATGCATCAAAAAGACGAAATCTCCTCATGATGATGAGAATTTAATGGATGATAATATTGTTGTTGATGAAGATATCATTAATAATAGTGGTGATGATGATATGCCACTTAGTCAACCAAATGGTGGCGAAAAAACTTTAAAATAAATATGAATATTGATTTTGCATACTCTAGAACTATATTTCTGATTTTTAATAATTGCATATGCATTTTCTATTATTCAGATAAGCTTATGAATGTCATAAAATCAGAAAATCAAATCAATTCAAGAGGTCAATATGTTTTAACTTATTTACAAATTGGAGACGTATAGAGTATAGGCGCTTTTCATATGATATTGTAAATAAAAGAAGAAATAACTTTCATACACCTATTATTTTTATTCAATTGAAAAAATGAGTAAAAAGTCGATTGATACAAAGTATCGACCATAGCAGCAAGTTAAGTATATTGGTTTTGGAGACTGAACTAGATTTATTTCAAAAAAATTACCGAAAAATTCAATTTGATCTATATCTGATCCTGAACTACCTGCACACGCTGATTGAAGAGTATAAAGCCTGAAGCATCTAACAAAATTTGTATTGTAGCTAAATGAAAATTTTTGAGATTCGGAAATTCCCATAGCATAATTATATTCTTGATAACCTTTGTAATTTCTTCCATTTTCACTAACTTCTGCTGCAAACTTTATTGGACGGCACTGATGGGAAGTTGTCGTGATTTCAAAAGATTCGATTGTAAGATAATGAAAAGGGAAACAAACAGAAAAATATCCTTGATTTGTGTTTGATCCCCAATACGAGTAACCCGAAAAATTAAAATCAAAAGCATTTCTAACAATGAAATTTGAAAAATGATCTGATTCATCAAGGACTATAGTTTCATAGTATTCATTTCCATAAAGATTATATAAGTATCGCAGTATGCCATTCTTAGCTAGATAGCTAAAATGCAAATATGGAAGGAAATGCAAGCATCATAATTTTTTATTTTTTACCTTTATTCGGGTTTCATAGATCAGAAAACTATATCGGTTTTCAAACCAGGAGAAAAGAATAATTAACTTGCATGGATGCAGTTTAATCATGAATTAAGATTGCATTTGATTTCGAAATGCAGAAATAAATCACTTTGGATTCCCGTCAAACTCTAAGGATAAGTATGCCTTTATATGAGGAAACTATCTACGCTATTCATTTGCCGGCACAAAAACTCAAGTTGCCTGTGCGCAGAAAACGCCAATTTTAGGATCCTTGGTAGGTGGTCATGCATGTTTTCTAAATGTTGGAAAAAGTAGTGTATCCTAAAGAATTTTTAATAAAATTTTTATAAAATTAAAAAAAAAATAAGGAAAATATGGATTAGTCTGATGCTATGGCAATAGAAGAGAGTATGGTGCTTTGCCTCTGAACATCCAAAAAGATTTATGTCAAAAAAAAAATCCAAAAAAATCAATTTGATTTATATCTGATCCTTCATTGTCATCACAAGCTGACTTTGAAGTATAAAACTTTAAGCATCTAATAATGCTTGTATTGTAATTAAACAAAAATGGCTTTGTTTCATATATACCAATAGCAAAATCGTAGTCTAACTCTCTATTTTGCTATGGGTATCTATGAAACACTCTCTATTATTATCACTAACTTCTTCCCCTTTCTTGACTGGACAACATGGATAGATTGCTATTGTTATTTCGAATGATTCACTTGTAATATAATGTTAGAGAATAATCAAAATCAAAAGCCTTGTTTATATATATATATATGGCGATCGTCTAAATGATCAGATTCCAGAGAAATAAATTAGTAATAAGCAGTTCCATGAAAGTTGTATAAGTATCGTAGTACTCAATTCTTTTCTAAAAACTTAATATACAATTACAGGAAAAAACGAAAGATTTAAGAGTGCATTTGCAACTTTCTATACTTAATTTTAATAGAAAAAAGTATAGCAGCCACGTTAGACTCTACATGGTGACTGGGATATAAATTGAAAGAACGTCAAAAAGTACCAAGTGGTTCTTTTGTTCTTATTTTAATATAGTTTTTGTCTGTGAAAATTGATCCATTGGCATATGGTACAATTGACCTGAAACTATATTGTTTAAGGTTAATACTCGATGAACATTCAGACTCGTTGTTATAAATTTGATTTAAAGTCAAGTGGTAAAAAAATTGACTCCAAAATTCATGTCTAATAACAGATTTCTAGGGATTGAATGATAAGCAGAAAGAAGATTCTTAACCAAGCAAGGAGTGCAAATATTATTAGTTTTGAAAAATCAGAAATTTTTATAGAAAGATATATTCGATGATTTATGTTATAAAAAAGACAACGGAATATAGGCTATTATTGCCGTTTCTTTTGCAGTATTTGTTTTGTAAAATAGTTTTGTATTTGGTCTTAACTAAAATACAAAGAGAGATTATGTTATTATTATTAAATTGAATATCTCCATTTCCTGAAGCTGTCATTACAATTTTTGGATTCTCAATAAAGCATTTATCAGTAATGATATTCGAATAATATGTATATAATAAAATTTGCCCTGAATTTTCCTTTATTACTGAATTAGAAATATAAATGAGAGAATTCGCATACCCAATATATATTACTCCAGGAGAAGTAGTCTTTGTCGAAGAATAAGAACTATTCAAATAATTAGTGCAATGAATAAAATGTTGTGAATTTGCGTGTTTATAACATATATAATCTGCTTCATTTGTGATAAATTGACAAAAGTTTATGTTTGATGTTCCTGATGGATCATTCAAAATAAGATATCCAACATTATAGTTTGTTTTGCAGTTACTTTCATTGGTTAAGACAAATGAAATATATCTGTACCAATTACTAATCACAGCACCTCCTGTTTCACTTGTATAACCTGAAATTGATGATTCTTCGATGAGATTTAGATCATCACTATTCTGTCTAGCTTCAACTGATGTGTGAATGCCATTATTTGTTGTAGCTCTAACTGTGCAGTTTATTCCTGTAACTCGACATTGGAAAAATGATCCATTTCGAAAGACTGTGCATGGAACTCCACCATCACAACTGCATTTATTAAATTCTGTTTCACTGATTCCTAAATAGTTTGGACCTATTGATTTAATCCAGATACATGTTAACTTTATGTCACCAAATTTACAGTCTGTAACAAAATATTTTCCAGTTGGATATGCTTTATAAAACTGTTTTGAACCATCAGTATTTGTAATTGTTGGTGGATCACTGAAGTATCTATTCCAATCTTTAATTGAATTATGAAAAAACAAAGTATATGAGCGTGCATTAAATACATCAAATGATAATATATTCCTAAGTTTTGAAGTTTGCATAATTAATTTGAGAATATTTTAGGAGAAAGCATGAAAATCTTTCAAAATCAGGTTCATACATATTTTGATTGGGAAAACGCATGGTATATTTGATATCCGAATATTTCGGAGAAATAGAATAGATTGCGATGAAAATATTTAGACCGATAATTGAAATCTTTACAAAATTTAATTTGAAAGGGAATATAAATTCATTTCCACTTTTTCAATTAGAAACACAAATTTTGAATGATATTCAAAATCAAAATGCATAATTTTATTGAAAAAGTAGTAGTAATTGATTTTTTGGGATAAACAAAAATAATTAAATGTAAGTTTGCGTTTATATATTGTTTGAAATTATTGCATAAATCATTCATATTTGATCTGGTTTTTGATATTTCAAAAATTAATTCAAAATCTCTGGGATTCGATTATTCCTGAATTAAATTTCGAATTGAATAAGTTATAGCAGTCAATTACTCTTTAATAACGACATAAATAATAAGAAATCCTTCTTATCTTATGGAAATTTTCTTAAACAAATAATTTTATATGGTAAATTTGAGAGAATATAAAATGATTTAATATAATTAACTTGATTCCAGAGAAGAAAAAAACGCAATTTCTGTATTCAAATATGGAAAAAGATTCAAATTTTAAGAAAACTGTGTAAAAATTCAATGAGTGAAAAAGTTTTCAATTGTCCAAATACTATATAAAACTTTCGACTGTTGGCATGGATTATTGAATGTGTAACATTTCACAATTTTTCCCTAAAATTGAATACAAATATTCAATTGTTGAATTAGATGTCATAAACTTAATTTCAGCTCATTTTCTATTTGATTTAAAAATTTATCTGGCCATGTTGATAATGATGCATTCTAATTCATTAGGACCCCTCAGCAGAAGGCCAAAATTCTTAGTTTTGCACAATTAAGTCCATGCAAAATATCATGGAAAAGCTGAAATGTTGATGATGCAAAGTCGTTCACACCTAAAGGAATTTAAAACTCAAGAAGAGGCAGCTGAAATTTCTAAAACGATTACAATAATCTTCGGAATTTTTGTTCTTGATTCACTATTTTCATTCTATCAAAATATATCTCAACCAAAATCAGAAAATACTCTTACAATAAAGGATCTTACTGGAAGACCATTAAGTATTGAAAATATAGATCTCATTTGAAAAATTGAAAATTTGGAAAGCTGTAATTCAGCTCAAAACAGGCATGCCTTCAGATCAACAAAGACTAATATTTGCAGGACAACAATTGGAGGATGAAAGATTATAAAATTCCATATGGTTAGACAACTCATCTTGTTTTAAGATTAACAGGTTTCAATAATATACATTTTTAATAAAAAAAATTATAAAATTGAAAAAATAAGGAAAATATGAATTGGTCTGATGCTTTGACAATAGCAGAAAGTATAGTGTTTTGCTCCTGGACATCCAAAAAGATCTATGTCAAAAAATTTTCCAAAAAATTCAATTTGATTTATATCTGATCCTGCATTTGGATTACAAGCTGACTTTAAAGTATAAAGCTTAAAGCATCTAACAAAACTTGAATTGTAATTAAACAAAAATTGCCTTGTTTCGGATTCTCCCATAGAATAATTGTATTCTTGATATCCTTTGTACTCTCTTCCATTATCACTAACTTCTGCTCCGATCTTGACTGGGCGGCATGGAAGGCTTGATGTTGTGATTTCGAAAGATTCAATTGTAAGATAATGCCAAGGAAAGCAAACTGAAAAAAATCCATGATTGTTGTTTGAAATCCAATAATCCAATGGAGAAAAATTAAAATCAAATGCTTTGGTGACAGGGTGGTCTTCATAATGATCAGATTCCTCAAGAGAAATGGTTTGGTAATAAGCGGATCCGCGATTATTGTATAAATATTGTAGTATTCCATTCTTTTCTAAATATTTAAAATACAATTATTTTCCAAATTAAACAAACAATGAAAATATATGATCATGTAGACTTATAAATTACAGTTACTTTGCATGCATTATGGTACAGATCACGTATTTATGTGTTTGTATCCTCATGTGAAGTAAATGAATCTAAAATACAAAAAAAGTGCACGTTTAAAATTCATGAGTGATCCGAAGGTAGATTCCCAAATTCGTGCTTTGAAAACAGAACTCAGAAATATGAAATACTCTGGTAGATGGAATCAAGAACTTCTTCAAAATGGTGATCCATCTATATATTTGCCAATAATGCATTTTCTAATTCTAGAATATAATCAAAATTTAGTTTCTAAGATAGCAGAAAAAGGATATGCTATGCAAACAGCAACTGATCAAGAGTTTGTTACGAATTCTATGAAAATATTAAAAGAAGAATGCAATTTTTCAACAAAATTATCGGTTATAAACTTTTTCAAACCAAAATTTGCACTCCAAAAAACGGAATTTTTACTAAATGCTGCCAAAGCTGTTCGAAGTTATGGTACAAAATTCTAGATATCCTCAAAAGAATGCTCCTCCTTCATAATACATTCAAGTATCGATTTTTTTAAATTATACAGTCTCCATTATTGCAAAATACAAATATTATTGATAAATCAATTCTAGTTACTTACGTAGTAAATGCTATTAACTAGAAACTTATAATCCTAAACATCTTTCTATTAACAATCAAATCTATGTTATTTTTATAAAATGAACTCATAAAAATTTTCATATATGCCAAATATCTTATAATCAATATGTCATAATTGACACAAAAATGACTAAAGATGGACTTACGCGTCGATTATGAATAATTCTGAATTGAAAATTTGGAAAAACAATGAATTGGAAGAAAATTTGTATGGGAAGAATTAACGCAATACTGTGTATATGCAATTTTTATCATTTAAACGTGAATTTGTATTGTGATTTATTTTTGGTGCCGGACGATAAAAAATTTTAGGATGTCTCTTGAAGAACTTTTCAGGCAAGCTGAATGCCTAGAGAGTGGACGCAAGAGTGGAACATTAAATAGCATTGGTCTCAATCAAATTGGTGGATTTTTTGATAAAGTAGCTACATCAGACGATTATTCAATCGAAGGAAGGCTGTTTTTAGCTCAGAATGGAGTAGATTCTGCTAGAATAGAGAATATTATCAATTCTATCATCGCTGAAGAAAACAAATCCTCAAAAGAAAACAAGAATGGCGATAAAACATTAACTTATGAGCATATTCACTATCCACGTCTAGCCAATCAGCAGGTAGAATACATGAGAATGCAAAAAATCGATAATTTATGGCATGAACTCCTTGATGACGCGCTTGAAGAAGTCACAAAAACAAGAAAAAATCGTTTGGTTGTAAATATGTCAAAAAATTACTTCCCATCGGAAACAAGTACAATTCTTCCTAATCAATCCCGTGCAGAAACATACGCAAGAAAAATATCATCTTTTCAAGATCCATGCCAAGTTATTTCAGACTCGTTAGATGCATTAAAGGAAGTATCTGTTAATGGTGAACCTAATGCTAAAGCTCAATTTGGATTTTTCAAAGCATTCAGTTACATTTTAGATAAAAACTTCTTTACAGACCCAGATGAAATAGGACATCAAGCAACACTTCCAGATGGCATCAGAGCGATGGTTAATGGAAGTATTAAGTTCATGCAAGAGCAATTTCTTGAAGAAAATCTCAAAAATGCAAAAACACGTGAAGCAATCGATTTGTACGTACAAGATAAATATCCAGATGCGATGGCACCATGGGCACAGATATGGGTTGCCTTAAGATCTGGTCTTTACGACGTTGTTTCTCAAATTGTAGATCAATACACAAGAAACAAGAGGAAATCTGATTTACTTGATTTCATGGAAGCTCTTAATACCTTTGTCATCAACAAAACGGAGCTACCAACTCCAGAAGCCCGTCTAAAATTATTAAATGACGTATCAACAGGATTGACCGACGATCCGTTCCGCCAGCAATGTATGGTCTTTGCTGTTGGCCAGGAAATACCAACAAACTCTTCTGTTGCCCTTTCCGCTGAAGATTTCATTTTTTCATTGATTCAACCACTTCGATTCACTTCTCCAACGAGTGGTATTGACATATCATTACTTGCTTCAGTACAAGACACCATTTACAATGAAGCAAACCAAGTTTTCCCAGATTCCGGATTTATATTGCCACTTTTACTTCTTCTTTCACTCAATTTCGAGTATTGTGGCCAAGAACTTGCTAAATGCACCATCTATCCATGCGAAATCGTCCACGCTTGCATTGCATTGAAATCCGCCAAACTCTGGGACTCTCCAGCGATCACAAACATGATCGGACAGTTTGTGTCCTTCCTTCCGGCCATTTACATTGGTCGGGCGGTCGATTATCTCTCATTTGCCGGAGATCACAAATTATTAACAAATTATTTGTTGACTATTGATCCATCCATTGCCAGACTATCATTAGAAGGACGAGAAGCAGCCAGACAGCTCATCCAACAAGATATTGCCGAGTCAGTTATCTCTGTTCGCAGTCTAAAACTTACTTCAATCATTGGCAACTTCGAAGACGGATTCCAAATTGTTGAAGGCCTCGCAGACGACGAGATTCTTTCAAAAGAAGACATTTATTGTGCTGTTGGCCTTGTCACTGATTTGATTGAAGAGTTCCACATGCGAGGAGATATATTGAAAGAACAGAGGACACAAAGAATTGCGTTTGGATTTGCTTTCGCTGCTCTTTCTCTTTCTAATGAAATTGGATTGTCCAATTTGGAGAAACTCATTGAAGACTGCGAGAAACTCAACAAGACTGTCTATGATGACAACTTGTTTGAAACAAACGCAGTAAACACAGTGAGATGTCTCTGCCACGTTGCGAAAGTCTATTCGTACTTGGCAAGAGGAGACACAGAAAGTGCAATAAGAATGGCATCACAACCTCCTCACGTAATTCCAATGAAACAGGAGTTCGTGAAGAAGGCAAAGGCATTTATATCTCCACAGTTACTTGATGCAAGTGATGTAGAAGTAGCAAGGACAATGGTTGGTTTTGATTTGGATGGAACAGTAAGAGCTGTTTTCGCTGGTTCTAATGTTGGAAATGATGTTTTCGCTCTTTGCGTGAGAATGATTGGAGATGTTGTTGCAAGACTAGCTGCAGAAGTAAAGAGATTGAACAACAACACTGCTCTACAAGCACTGCAGACATTCTTAGAAAGTACCAAGATTAATCAATAAAAATATAGATTTTTATTTGTATAAAATTTTTCATTTTTCTTAAGGGTGCACTTACCACTTTCTAACGTAGTCTTTCAAAATCAATATATCTTTATCGGAATATCAAAGATAACAATAATACTATGCCCTATATAGTGGCTTACAATAACTTTTCCCTGATCAAATATATTCAAAATATATTAGTCACTTTTTGAGAGTAGGGACGACGATTAAAAAGTGAATATATATATATTAATAGTTGCCTGATACTTTTTCGGGCTTATTTATAAGTCCGAAAAAAGTGTCACAACTATTACCTTTTTATCATAGAATGCAGGGATATAATGCTTATTTGTCAAAAAAATTGAGAGAAAGTGATAAGTTTACCCTTAATAAATTATAACTCATTATTTTTACATGAATATTACTATGGCACACTGTACATTTAAGTAATCAAGCATATAATTACAATGAATAAAAACAATTTTGTCATCATGATAAAGCATTATAAGAAAATGCCTTAAGACATTTTTCTCTGATGGGAATCCAAATGTCATGGTGTATTATCCCTTTCAATCTTAAAACCTTAAATATTTCAATGAATTCATTGAAAATATAAAATTCTGATCATATGTAATCAAAGATTTTCAAAATGTAAAAACGAAGTCCCATTAAGTAGATTATTAAAAATCCATTTCAAGCATATCATAAATGAAATATGAAAGCTTTTCTAATTATTAATTCTAAGTTTCAATTTTAATTTACAATAAAGTCGTGTCTATTCTTTTAGATACCAAATAATGATAACTTTATAAGTTTTAATTAATGTAAAATAATACAATTTACTTCAAAATAGTAGTAGTTTCGCATATTCATTTATAAATATATGATTTTAATGATTATAGGTATTAAAAAAATAAAATTAATTGAATTTGTTATATTTTCTACTTTATCAAAGTGCATGCATTGCATCTCTTGAATATCTTGATAATTCTAATCAAGTTATTACAGGAGTAGGTGCCAAAAGTGCTTACTCTTAAACAACCATCGGATTTCCGGGTGAAATCGTGACACACTTTCGTCTTTCGTAGGCAGTGGTGGTTGTTACAAAAGGTAACTTCGAATGTAGCGTGAAATCTGCAAAAAAAATTCTGAAATTTGAATGGAGAACACAAAAATTGAATAGTTTACGTCAATAAAAAAGAGAAAAATAAAGCCAATGTGTCTCGAACCTAGGACTTAGAGCAGCAATCCCACTGTTTATCCCATTACAATACATGCATCTCTCACCTCAGTGAATGAGATCAACTATATGATAACTTTTTCCCCATTATATTCTTGTGGAAAAGTGACAAATAGCAACTTTGACCCTCTCTCGTTATTACAGGCTGTTCTAAAGATTTCGGAGGAGAATTTTTTATCCATAAAAATGTAACAGCAATACAAAGCAAAAGCTATAATGATTTTGCATTTCAAAACTGTCAATATTATATAAAGTCACTTCAATTTAAAGAAAATAGCCAAATTACAAGGATTGATAAATACAGTTTTTATAGAACTTCCCTCAAAATTGCAAATCTCAGTGAATGCAAATTACTTGGAACTTTGAATGAATCGATCTTTGAATACTGTAGTTATCTGGAAACGGTCATTCTACCCCCAAACATAACAAGAATAGGAAGTAATTGCTTCAGTTCCAATTCAAATTTAAAAACAATTAATCTACCAGATTCAGTAGAAATTCTTAATAGTAATGCATTTTATGGTAGTGGTTTGATATCTTTTAATATTTCCTCAAATTCTAATTTAAAAAGAATTGAACATACTTGCTTTGGTTTCACAAAAATTTCTTCATTTTTCATTACAAAATCTCTAGAATTTGGATATGGAATATTTTATAATTGTCCGATAGAAAACATAACTATTGATCCTGAAAACCCATATTATAAAGTTGAGTCAGCATCATTATACAGCGGAACAAATAATTCAACATTATTTTGGGTTGTTCAAACATACTCAGAAAATGAATACATTGTTCCTAATTATGTAACAACCATTTCTGATTATTGCTTTAATAATGTTAATATTTCATCAATTAAACTTCATAAAAATATAACAAAAATAGGAAGCTATGCATTTTCTAATTGCAAATATCTCAAAGATATTACTATTCCAAATACATTAACAAAAATTGAATCATATACCTTTTATTCCTGTCATTCCTTAACAAAATTTGCAATTCCTGAAAATGTCACTGATATTGGACTTGATGCATTTCATAGATGTATTTCATTAATCAATGTTTCGATATCCAAAAATGTCAGATATATCAGATATGGTGCCTTTCAAGATTGTATATCACTAGCAATTATTTCTTTCCCAGAAAATATCACAACTATTGATCATAATGTATTCAATAATTGCACTTCATTAGAATATTTTTCGATCCCAAAAAATGTCAAAACAATTGGAACTTTTGCATTTTGTCTATGCAAGTCATTAAAGCATATCACTATTCCAGAAAATGTAACGCAAATTCAAAATGCAGCTTTTGCATATTGTATATCATTAAAAGAAATCACGATACTAGAAAATGTTGAAATTATTAACCTTCAAGCATTTATGGGTTGCATATCATTAATAAGAATTGTAATTCCAGACAAAGTGACAAAGATTGAATCATCTACATTTTCAGGTTGTACATCTTTAACTAGTATTATCTTTCTAGGAAACATAACATCTCTTGGATGGTGGGCATTTGGTAATTGCTGCTCATTAAAATATATTACGATCCTTAATAAGTTAGTAGATATTGGAAATTATGCATTTTATAATTGCTCTTCATTAGCAAATATCACCCTCACAAATACAATTAAAGAAATTGGACCATATGCTTTTCAATATTGTTCATCATTGGTAAATATTACAATTCCTGAGAAGGTGCAATATATTTATACAATGCTATTCAGTAATTGTACTCAGATCAAAACTATTATATTACCAGAAAGAGTATTATATATTGGAGATTATGCATTTAGCTATTGTATAAGTCTTACAAATATCACAATACCAGAAAAATTATCATCTATTGGAAATTATGCATTTAGCAACTGTACAAATCTCTCTATATTTAGAATACCGGAAAAAATTACATATATTGGTTCAGGTGTATTTTGTTATTGCAAATTATTAGTAAATATTACAATTCCGGTAAAAATAATTAAAATTAATCCAAATTTATTAAGTTTTTGTACATCAATTTCAAGAATTTCTATTCCAGAAAATGTAACCATGATTGAATATGGGCCTTTCAATTTTGTTCAAACTTAAAAAGCATTACAATTCCACAAAAAGTAACATATATTGGATATCACGCATTTAGAAATTGCATAAATCTAAGAAAAATTTTCTTTTTAAATAATATGAACACAATTAGAATTTACCCATATTCATTTTCAGATGTTTTTCATCGAATAAAAATTTATATTCCCAGTAATTTTTCTGTTGAATCCACCGTTACATATGCATTTCCGAAAAGAAGTCATTTATTTATAACTCATAAAACAAATTTATCAGAATCGTGCAAATCTTATTTTGGAGAAAAGTCAGTTGTAGTTCATTATGATAACACTACTGAAATTGAAGATAGTAAAACCATTGAAGTGCTTGATTATATCTCAAATCCACAAAGTGATCAAGAAACAAACGATGATTTTATTTATCATCAAATCAAGTGCTTGCAACTTGTGAGTCTCATCCCTGTCTTTAATAAGCATAGAGCATAAAACAATATCATCAATTGAAATTTGGATCTTTTTTTTTAGGCTGCACTTACGCCCATCTGACTTTGATTCAAATTTCTGACAACTGGTGTGAAGCGTCATTGAAAATTAACCTAAAACATCTGAATTGAAGGCCGTGTCATGGGGGCGTAAGCGCACCCTTAATGAATTTGAAACACCCCAAAATAAATTGAATCATTGAGACCAATATATTGTTTTGTTTTAGTAATGTTAAATGTCAAAATATCTTCTAATATTTATTAAACATTTAAGGAGAGTAATAATATAGCACTTCAAGGTGAAAAGAGTAAAAGAATTAACTATTTTGATAAATTCAAATAAAAAAATTTATACATTATTTTTATAAAATGATAATAATAAAAACATAAATTGTTTTAAAGATTTGGAAGTGGCGCATCATCAGGAACAATTGGTCCTTCTGCTGGAACAATTCTTTGTTTCTCCATTGATCTTCCTTTGTACATCTCTCCGTTTTGTGTGTAGATATAAACAGGTGTTCCTTCTTCATCTCCTTGTCCAACTGAAGAAGAGAACAAAGGACCTGCAGGAACAATCTCAACTTGGTTCTTTGTCTGTGTAACACCAAGTTTATCTGCAATCTGTGCCGCATCTTTAATCTGTGATTCAATCTTTTGATCAGCTGTTCCTGTAACACCTTTTCTTATCTGACCACAAAGAAGACATCTGATGTTCTCTGTTCCTGCAGCTGTTTCTCCTTGGGCCTGGTAAGTGATCAACAATTCCTTCCTCAAGTTCTGAAGATCACTTGCATCAACTTTAGTTCCAAGCAATCTTCTGAATGATCCCAATCTGTTGTTCATTTCTGCCAAAGCAGATTTAAGTTGTTCATACAAACTTTGAACAGCATCTTTATCTGCTTTTGTATCTGTTAATGATTTAGTCTGTGTTCTCAATGTATCCAGTGCTGATTTAACACTTGTCATTGATGATTCGATACCAATAACTTTCTGATTTGATTCTTCGAACTTCTTCTGATCAACAGTTCCCAAAATAGACCTTGCACTCTTTCTCTTGTCTGACAACTGTTTAGGCTGTTTCAGTTTAGGCAACTGAGACTTCTCAAGAGGACGTTCTACCCAGTTGTTCTGAGGAATCTCCATGTGTGGACTTGTCGCTGTATCTTCAACAGTAACAGGAGTTGTCGGAGGAATTTCTTCGTCAGATTCTGGTTTGTTTCCTGAGAATTCTATTCTTAATTCAGTTGTCGGAGTGTTCTGAAGAGCAGGCTGAAGTGGAGGAGATGGAGATCTGTTCTCTGATGCTGATGATTTAGGTCTTTCTTCATTACGAGCTGTCAATAATTCGTTTGTCGCTGAAATGGCCGCAGTGAAATTCTTCTCTGTATTTGCTAGCATATTCTTAAGTTTTTCGATCTCTTCTGTATATACAGTAACTGTATTTGAAGTATTATTTATCTTCTCTGATAGTTCGGTGTTGATATTCTGAATCAAAGATATAACTTTCTTAAGACGTGAAGATAATGCACTGTTTTCTTCTTTCATTTTGGCAATATCTTGTTTGAGGTCTTCCAGTGATTTCGTGTGCTCTTCTACTTTGGTTTTCTGCATCATTTGGGAAACTCTCTCTGTTGCATTGTCTTGGATGACTTTTGTGAGGCTATCGCGTAGAGATTTAGTGCTGTCTTCAAGATTGGCAATTAATTCCCTGATTTGGTTGAATTTGCGTTCGTCATCTGCTGTGTGGTCGGATCCTTTCAGTTCACTTACTCTATCTCCCAGTGCGCCTATCTTCATTTCGATGCCGACAATGTTGGAATCATATCCGTTAAGGCGCCCGTCGTGGTCGTTAAGGACATCGCGGATTGATTTAATTGTTTCCTGGGAAACATCGGCACTGGACTTCTCGCAGATAGCCAAGCGTGTATCTAACTCGGTAATTGCTTGAACGGCGTTGCCAAGCTGGGCCAAAATTTGAGATAAATCTGCTTTTCCTTCTTTGATAGGAATTGTCGTAATTTTCTGGCCAAGATTACTTGTTGCACTCATAGATTTCACTTTCTCGTTCAGTGATTCAACAGATTTCTGTAATTGGTCACTTTTGTCCTTTAATTCTGCTTGAACGCTGTTTGAAGAAGCTGTGAACTTGTTAAGGTCTTCAGCTGATTTCTTCTGCAATGCAAGAAGTTTTTCATCATAGCCTTTGATGATTTCGTTGATTTTATTTTGATTTCCGGAAATCTCGTTGTTTAGGTCATTTACCATCTGCCTGATCTTCTCATTGGTCTTTTCATTGTTTTGGCGAGTATTAATTTCGATTTCGAAGCGAACTGCATCCATAATTTGCTTCATTAACTCTGTAGTGTCAATTTGTTCGTTCTTTGAGTTATTTATCATGGCCATCATCTGTTCTTGTTGTTTCTTAAGCTTGGCTTCCAATTCTGCCTGTTCTTTCTTATCATCATCTTCTGGATTTGATTTTTCTTCATTTTCTGATGGTTTTTCTTCTTCTTTTTCTTCAGATTGAACTGGAGTCTTTGGTTTTTCAGTAACTTCTTCTGTTTTTGGTTTAATTTTGAGATCTTTTTCTTCAATTTCAGTTTCATTGATTGAATTGAGCGAAGGCTGAACTGAAATCTTCTCTGATGATGAAAGGGCATTGAATTGAGCAGCGCTTGCTTTGAGATTTTCAAGTTCTTCGTTTAATTTGAGAGATTGATCGCCAAACTTAGCATTTTGTTCATCAAGCATCTTCTTAAGATTCTCTATTTCTTCAACCAAGTTGGAAATACGTTGAATTTCCTGATCATTTTCGGATATACGGAAATCAAGCGTATCAAGTCTTTGTAATAGATCTGGTGGAATCTCAGGTGGTCTGGAAGGTGGTCGAGATCCTTTTTCTGGTGTTGGAGGAATTGATGTTTGACTTGAAGCCATTTCTTTCGCTGGAGAAGGAACTCTTATCTGCAAACCCTTTGAATCATATTCTTTCTCTTCTTCGTGTGTTTCTTGTGGTTCTTCTTTAGGAGATTTAGGAGGTGTTGTTATTTGAGAATTTTCTTCTTCATGAGGAGCGCTAATAACAGGAACAGTTCCCTCTGGTAAGTTTGCTTTGCTTAGTACATTCAAATCTGCTCCAGATGCTTTAGCAATGAGTAAATTTTTGTTATTTGTATCTTCCATTTCTTGTCTAAAATCGTTTAATAAGAGTTCTGTGTAGCGTTTTGATTCGGATAGTATCTTTCTATAGTTTATTGACATGTCATTTTTCATATCTTGCACTGAAGTTTGGAGATTTGTTAGAGTTTGATGATCTGAATTAATATTTGCTTCTAAATCAGCAATTGACTTTGCTGTAGATTCTGAATCTGCCTTTTTTGCTAATTCTAGACTGATTTTTTGTACATCTTTTTGTAATTTTGAGACATTTGTACAAATATCAGTCATTACTGACTTTAAATTTGTAGTCTCTACTTTGGCTCCAAAGTTTAATGCTTCCCTGATTTGATTTAATAAGTCCCCTTCAGGGGAAGCATTAATCATTCAAATTTAAAAAACGTGCAAAAGAACGATTATTGAAATTTATGTCAATCATTCTAAATATGAAATTAATTCATGTGGATCTATTATTACCATATGATGTCAATAAAATATTTAATGTTTATTTGATTATTTGGGATAAATCGAGATCAAATAAACTCATATTAGAGAAATGACATCAAAAAGTATGGGATTATAGAATATGCTTATTAAAATTTTCAAGTATCAACTAACAATTCCAAAGATTGACAAGTTCATATATTAAGACGAACCAACATCTTTAGGCGTAGATGTCCCTACACCACCACCGCCACCACCACCAATGTAATAGTTTTTTCTTTAAATTTCGGATATGATATAATTATATCCGAAATCTTTTTGGTCATAGATGTATTACATAGGATTTTTTTCTTCTAATAAATTTAAGTGGTATTTATAAGGTAAAATTGTGTCCTTTATAAAAATAATTAATGTCCGATCAAGACGATCATCCAAACGAATACAACAAATTGCGAAGTACCTATAAATATTATATCGATATATTTAATGCGTTATATCGGTTGAGAAACGAAAAAGAAGAAGAATTAAACTCGATTTACAAAATTATCAAGACAGAATTGATTGATTCCAATAAATATCCTCCCAAAGATATAGTAAAAGACATTTTAAATCTCATTCCGTATAATAATCGCTATACAAAGTCATATTTATATCTTGCCAAACTCATTTCTGATGAATATCAAGTCAAAGAGGTCAACCGCGTCCTACTTATTTCAAACTTCCTGTTTTATAAAGAATATGGAATTAACTAGATACATCAGCCGATTTTAAAGAAGTTAATTCAGAAGATCTCGATATTCAAACAGAAAATACAATATACAGAGCAATTATGAATGATGACAAAGAAAGATTCATCACATTCACAGAAAGAGATGGATTTGATAAAGTTCAAAGACGTAAAAGCATGTTATATCCATATTCTGGAGTAGGATATTCTCTACTTGAATTATGTTGTTACCATGGAGCAGTTGATTGTTTCAAGATATTAAGAACGAAATTTCACTCAAAAATATCTCTAACATGTCTACAATTTTCATTTTTAGGAGGAAATCCAGAAATCATGAGCGAATGTTTGAAATACCAAACACCATATGAAGATTGCATGGAATATGCAATTATTTCACACAACATTGATTTTGTTACATTCTTGCAGAATGAATACAATATAGAGATTAATTTAGAATACTGTGGAATTTACAATAATCTTGAATCCTTTTTAGTTTATTTCGATCAAACTAATGATTTTGACAAATGCTTTGTTTATTCACCGATATTCTAAACAGCAAAAGAATATGCATCATTTGTTAAATTTCGCTATTTATGGCTCGGACTCCTTCAATAAAAATTGAAACTTGTATTTTTAGATGGTACTTCATTATCCTATTATGTACATTACCTTGCATTATAAATTGGTATTACTTTTCTAGTTCTTATTAATAACAAATGAAAAATCAAAATTAAATAAAAAACATTCAAAAATTGACATGGGATTCAATGTATTTGAAAACGCTTTTAGATCTGCATTATCATTTGTTAAGATAATCGTATTGTTTCTATTAACACTGCACAATATGATGCTACAAATCTATAGAATAAAAAAATTCATACATGCCTCAAAAAAAGAGAGAGATGTTGCATATTTTCGTTAGTAATTAATGCTTGGATTATCAACTTTAACAGAATTTACGTACTCATTCCTGAATTAAGGGTGCGCCCGGGAGGATCATGTAAACTTCAGAATTTAGAACCTTAATTTTTAAGCAATAACTTGGTACCTAAATAGGTAGGAAAACTCTAAAAATATCAAAAAATACAACTTGGCTCCATAATAATCCTGTCATGGTGGCTGTTTGTATCCCCTAGTATTTTCCTCTTGAATCTCTTTTTCTGTCGAAATTAAATTCAAATCTCAGAAGTAGAAGTGAATAATCGACTTATTACTGCTATTATACGAATAAATAAATTCATTATATTATTTTTATTTACATAATATCTGTTTGAAGTCCATAATTCTATAAATTTTTCTTCAAAAACATTACAATCTTGATAGTTTTGATACTGTTTAATATGTTTTTGGCACCTTATTTAGTATTTACTACGTATAGAGTCGATCTGAACTTAATTTTCGGAAATTTAAAATATTTATTATAAGTAAAATCTGATTTGAAATTTATGTTTAACTACTCATATCTTGCATTATCCTGAGTAGCTTTTGTAAAAATTCATCAAAAAAAATTTTAACGTGCTTTAATTTTTATTTTTTAAAATAATGCATATTATTATATAACTAGCATATTTACAAATTTTAGTGCTTTCAAAAATTTAATCCTCCTCCTCTCAAATAAACGTACATCCGGGTGGCCTGTTTTTTGCAAAAAATAAAATTTCATTTTTTATGCTTAAAAAGTCAGAATTTTTATTTGCTTCTGGGATATATGATGGCTATATCAGATGCCCATTCTTTTTGATACTCAACATTAAACATAAAACTTAGCCGTTAAGGGTGCACACGAGAGGATCATGTAAACTTCAGAATTTAGAACCTTATTTTTAGGCATTATCTTGGCTACCTATTTAGGCTCGAAAAGCAAAAAATATCAAAAAATACAACTTGACTCCATTATGACCCTTTCATGGAGGTAGTTTTTATCCGCTAGTATTTTCCCTTTGAATCTCTTTACAATTCGAAATCAAATTCAAAACTCAGTAGAAGAAAGGAAGAATCGACTTACTACGGTTGTAATACGAATAAATACATATCTTTAATTATTTTTATTTACATAATAATTGTTTGAAGCTCATATTCCATCAAATTTTTAAATAAAAACATTAAAATGTTGAAAATGTTCATATATTTTAATAGGGTTTTGGCACTTTATTGAGGAATTACTACATACATAGTCGAACTGAACTTGATATTTTGAAATTTAAATTAATTATCAAAATTAAAATTTAACTTGAAATTTATAATTATTTAGTCATATTTTGCATAATTCTAAGTAGATTTTGTAAAAAATCAAGAAAGAAAAATTTTAACGTGCTTTTTTTTTCTTTTTTATAATAATACATATTATTATATAATTAACATATTCATAATGTTTCACCCTTTCAAAAATATAATCCTCCTCCTCTCAAATAAACGTACATACGGGTGGCCTCTTTTTTCAAAAAATTAAAATTTGAAATTTTGGGCTCAAATATTAGAGATTTTTTCAACCTTCAACGATATATGTTGTCTATATCAGACCTCCTTTCTTTTTGATACTTAACATTGTTCCTAAATCTTAGCCGTTAAGGCTGTTCTGAAAATATTTTTTTTTCGAAAAAATTCGAAAAAAATTCTTAAAATTCAAAAATCCCTTAATTCCTGAGGATTTTGGAAAAAAGTTTTTACATGAACATGTGTATATTATATGAAGTATATTGATAAGGTAAAAATCAAATTTTATTGCATATTCATCGAGAAAATAAACTAACGAATCCCTCAAAATTGAGAGGGTAATCCTCCTCCTCTCAAATAAACGTACATACGGGTGCACCCTTAAGGCTCTTCTGAAAATATTTTTTTCCCGAAAAATTTTCGAAAAAAATCAAAAAATTTAAAAATCCCCGAATCTGCATGGATTTTAAAAAATTCTTTTTAGTAAAACTTAAGGATATTGTATCAGATATATTGGTATGGGCAAATTCAATTTTAATCCAATATTCATCGAGATATTAAGTTAACGAAGCTTTCAAAATTGAGAGGGTAATCCTCCTCCTCTCAAATAAACGTACATGCGGGTGCACCCTTAATATTCCAACTTTTATCGAATACTTCTTTTCACATGATGTGAACATCAATAAAACAAAGCAAGATGGAGAAACCGCACTTCATATTGCAGCACGGTACGATAGTAAAGAAATTGCCGAAATTCTCATTTCACATGGTGCGAGTATCAATGAAAAAACTGAGTCTGGAAAAACAACACTTCATATTGCAGCAATGCATAATGATAAAGAAATTACCGAAATTCTCGTTTCGCATGGTGCGAATATGAATGAAAAAACTTATAGTTTTGGAGAAACCGCACTTCATATTGCAGCAATGCATAATTATAAAGAAATTGTCGAAATTCTCATTTCACATGGTGCGAATATCAATGAAAAAACTGATTCTGGAAAAACAACACTTCATATTGCAGCACGGTACGATAGTAAAGAAATTGCCGAAATTCTCATTTCACATGGTGCGAATATGAATGAAAAAGATAAAAGTGGAGAAACCGCACTTCATATTGCAGCATTGTATAATTATAAAGAAATTACCGAAATTTTCGTTTCACATGGTGCGAATATGAATGAAAAAACTGATTATGGATTAACAGCACTTCATATTGCAGCATTGTATAATTATAAAGAAATTGCCGAAATTCTCATTTCACATGGTGCGAATATCAATGAAAAAACTGATGATGGATTAACAACACTTCATATTGCAGCATTGCATAATTATAAAGAAATTGCCGAAATTCTCATTTCACATGGTGCGAATATCAATGAAAAAAATGATGATGGAGAAACAGCACTTCATATTGCAGCACGGTACGATAGTAAAGAAATTGCCGAAATTCTCATTTCGCATAGTGCTAATATGAATGAAAAAAATAAAAATTGAAAAACAGCACTTCATCTTGCACAAAGTAGTTATAATACAAGAACTAAAAAGGTTCTCATTTTGCATTTTGCGAAATAATATTCTTATATAAGATACTATTCTTTTTCTGGTTTTTCTCGAAGATGAATTTCATTAGAATAAAAAAGAGAAAATAAAATAGTTAAGGCTTCTCTCCGACCAAACGGTCTGTATCTTTATATCACATTTAGCATTTCGAACATGTAAAATTTCATAAAAATACAACTTGAGTTCTTTTAATTGCTCATATGTAGGGCAATATTACCGCATAATATGAAGTCCGGAATAGCCGTTTTTTATTAATCATGAGTTGTATAATCTAAAATTATATCACAAATATTGTGCTTTGACTACATTCTAAGCAAATAATCAGTATGTAAAGCGTATTCCTTAGTTTATTCTGTAATCTAGATGCCTCTAAATGCTATATAATTTTGATTCAAAAAATATGTGCTAAAAATTAAAACATTATTTCATTCAAATTAGAATGATTCATTCAAACATTTTATTAATTCAAATTAGAATGATTTTTTATTTGATTATATAACATAAACGATAATGGAAATGCTTCAAAAAAAATCTTTAACATTTCTGAAATGAATTCAAGATAGCTAATTGTTCACAAATAATCTAAATTATGAAGATATTAAATCGAAAATCTCTTGAATGCTTTTTCGATAAAGGATTGATATCAAAGATTTTATTTTCTTGCAAAATTAAAAAAAGAAAAACTTGAAATCATATTCTTCGCGCGTAAACCTTTCAATTCACAAGAATTTTGAGTGACAGACGAGAAGAATATGATTTCAATTATACTAATAAAGTTTGAAAACTATCACTTCTCCAACCTTCGGAGACCTCCTGTAACTGCAAAGCGCCAAGCGAATAGTGAAGAATAATGTTTTATGCTTATTTGAAATATGATTAAAATTTCTGAACGAAAACTATCAAAATTACGTCATAAAAAATATAAAAATGAGAACCCAATTTATCGTAGATTAATAATCCGCCAAGTCTCCTTAACATCATTAATATGGATTGAAGAATATATGATGAATCTAGAATCTAACTTAAAAATAAGATATTGCACATTGAATGAATAATAGAAATGTTTTAAATTTCTCAAAATACTAATTCTATTTAGAAATGGCCCAATGAAGAATTGAATTGAAAATAATCGTTGTGGACCTTTTCTTTCAATGGGTCGTCTCCATTCCCAAGGCAAAGGTATTTCTTCTTCTACATGCCCATACCGCCGTTCAGCCCCACACTGGCTTCAGCTTTCTGCCGAGAACTGCGTTCAAATGATCTGCGATTATGCAAAGAAGGGTGTTCGCCCATCACAAATCGGCGCTCTCCTTCGTGACCGCAACGGCGTTGGTATGGTCCGTGCTGTTACAGGTGTTAAGGTTCTCCGCATCCTTAAGGCTAATGGCCTTGCACCAGCTCTTCCAGAGGAACTCTACCACCTCATCAAGAAGGCAACAAACGTTCGCAAGCACCTTGAACATGCTAAGCACGATGTTGATGGCAAGTACCGCCTTATTCTTATCGAATCTCGTATCCACCGTCTTACACGCTACTACAAGACACGCCGTGTTCTTGCTCCAAACTGGAAGTACAACGCTCAGACAGCTTCTGCTCTCGTTGCTTAAGCATTATATTCGTTTGATAAAAATTTAAATTTGATAAAGATGTGCCAAAATCAACATTTTTAAGCAAATAATACTCTCTTATTTTACATTAATTTTGAATTTACATAAATCAAAACTCATTTTCCTCAATTTCAATGTAATTTTAAGAACTTTGGAGGATGCATAACTATACAAGTTTAAATCAGAACTTTGCACCTTGTCAGTTTGTATATTGTATCAATTAAATAAATATATTTTAATCTTGCATGATGATGAGAGACTTATTCAGCATTAATTATTGGAGGAGCTTTTTTGTTTGAAACGTTGATAGTTTGTAACTTGATTTTTTGAATGATTTGAAACGATTTTGATTCAAATAATGGCCGATAGTCAAAATTGAGCAGTAATTCTGACCAAATGACATGAATGCATTAAATATTAAGATATTAAATCTTAATGTTCAACTTGGTCTCAAGAAAAAAATTTTACAAAAAAAAAATGATGATGATGCCTCCTCCTCAACCATCAAAACTCGAGCAGATCACACAGATCGTGAAAGAGACTGCTTGGGTCATTGGAACCTCAGCCTTCGTAATCATTTTCCCAATTTACGTCGCAACGAAGCTCTAAAATTTTCAACAAGTCAATAAATTCGATTAAATGTACTTTTATATTCCACCCATTCATGATTTTATTTTTCTCTAAATCTACTATAGTATTTACTCATGAATTTTTATAAAAATTAAAAATATATTTTTATTTAATTTTGGATTCGTTGTTTAGGTCTCATATTAGATTCTGAGATCAACAACTATCATTGTCATGCCTAAAATATGTTTTCGTGTTATCGATTATTTATCAAGCACATTCTTACTTAAAACCTATGTAAAAGCACAAGACATGTAATCACAGTATTGATCTAATATATATCATAGCCATATTTGGTTAACAATATGATAAATATGAAAATTCATAGATAATAATCTTTTTATTATTGAGTGAAATTGAGATATTTCGAATGTATCCTTTGTAAATTTATAATGTAATGATACTTTAAGTCAAAATTTCATTCATAAAATTTAATATTAAAAAAAAAATTAAATTCATATTAATAATAATTTAAAGAAGATTTAATCTGTGACATTTTCTTCGTGCATTGTTCTCTGTGTATCCTCTCTAATTCCGAAGCAGTCCTGGATATCCTTGTTGAGTCTCTCTCCGAAGCCAGCGGAGATATCCTCTTTACCACTCATTGATATCAAGCAGCCGTTCTCATGTTCAATAACGGCATCGATCAAACCGTCAGCGGCTGCCTTTGCGCAAAAACCTTCTGCATCTTCAGCGCTACCGATATGGAGGAATTCAGCGATATCTGCGAAGCTGATTCTCGAGTAGCAGTGTGCGATCATTGTAAGGCCAGCGAGGATAACAGAAGATCTCAATCTCTGGACAAGTGGGGCCAAACCGTCTTCTTCGAACTCCTTGGACGAGGCAACCTCCTGGAAAGCGATAACGTCGCCTTTGAGGATGGAACGTGCGAGGTCGAGGTAAACTGGAGTGTCAAGTAACATCGATCTTGAAGGAACTTGGCCTTGGAGCATCATGACGACCATGAGATGGCGGGTAACGAGACCACGGAACTGGGCGCTATAACGGTTTTGTGGAGCGCGGCGAAGAGAAAGCTGTAAATGGTATTGAGCTTCAGCATACTCGAGAGTAATGGCTTTGAGATGGCCAACGAAGAAGTGGTAACGGCCAAGCTGGGCTGGTGATGCATCAGATGGGAAATTGCAGTGCTTAAGGAAAGATAAAGCAAGAGAATATCCGCCGATGTCGATATAACGTTTAAGAATGCAGTTGGCGATTGTCGCTTGTGTTTGGTGGAAGTGGGAATCGCAGGAACGGCGATAAGCTGCAAGGAGAGTTGATAATGGATCTTCTGCAACTAATGAGAAGAAGAAATAAAATTTAGCTGTTAATCTATCGAATTGTCTTGGGATATCCTGTGTTTCTATGTAGGAAAGAATGAACTTGAGGAACTCGACAAGCTCGGGTTGTTTATTATCGAAAAGGAACATGACAAAAGGCAATGCAGCAATGATAAATTGATTGACTGGCATGGCCTCTGGCTTTTGTGTTGGAGGAACTGTAAGACCGAATTTTGATGCAAATTGATTGATATTTTCAGCTGTTAATTTTTGGTGAAGGTCGTAAAATGAGCAGATGGATTGATGGACATTTGATAAATTTATTTCGTTGACAATTTGTGTGAGACGCTGTACTATTGGGTCTTCTTCCATTTTTAATAAGTTGGTCGATAGAAAAACAGCCGGAAACAATCTAAAATTTCTCAATCGAACTAATATCAATTTGCATTTTTTTTGGAAATATATTTTAAATAGACTTGATTGTAAATGGGAAAAGCAAATAGAAAACAAATAAATTCCAAGTAGTATATAATGCGGGTTTTGTGACTTTTTTTGTAAACGTAAGAATTCATACAATATCGAGCGATTTTGTATCATTTTTTTTAACATATGAAGTAAAAAATGTATGATTCTTACGGTTTTTATTCTTACGTTTTTGAATAAATCAAGATTTAAAAAATTTTCAAAATTGTAAGACATTTACACTAAACCCATACATAATGAAATAAAAAAAATAAAAAAAATAAAAAAATAAACTTTAAAAATTCATGTCTTACATTTTTGAATAATTTATTTTTTTTTAATTTGTATGAAAATGAGTGGATCAAGATTCGTAACCGTCAATCAATTAATGGATGCTCTTTCACCAATTCTTGAAAATGTTAAACAAGTAGATGTTTATTTCGATGATTATGTAGAAAGTTTATATTATAAAGGTAAGTTTAATATTAAACCTATTGCTTTTGCATTTGATAATAAATTAATTGAAAATGCAAAAATTTGGGAATTAATTCCAGATATTGAATATATAACAAATATTAATGATAAATGGTTTAAACGAATTCCAACCACAAAAGTTCTTTGTAAATTAATGATCAAAACTGAGGAAAAAGAATTTAACGGGTTTAAATATCATCCAAATAAAGTTTCAGAACTAGAAAATGAAAAACTTCAGAAAAAATTAAACGATAGACTTTCAAATGATCGTATTGAAAAAATAAATAAACTAGCAGAAGTTGCATTTAATAATGAAATATTTGATGAATATAACCTTGAACTCAGTGATGAGCTTTAAGGACCCGGGCTCAACGAGTCATGATTTATGAAATCAATAATTTGATTTATTCGCTCTTCAATAATTTCTATTCTTTTTGTTAAATCATCAATTTTCATTAATGAGGTGATTCTTGATTGAGGAATAGATTTCAAACTAACCACTCCTTTTATTTTTGAAATTTTGAATCCATCAACTTTAAACATTTTATTCAATTTACATGTTGTCAATTCTTCAAATAATTTTTTATTATTAGCATAATAGTCATTAAATTCTTCAACAGATGAAAAAATTTTTATTTCAGTAATTGGTTTAACAACGTTTATTTTTTGTTGAACATTTTCACTTTCATTTATTTCTTCCTCCTCTGTTTCATTTATTTTTAAAATCGGTTTCATTTATCATTAAATAAAAATTAGAATATAAGTGATGAAATATATTTTTTAATTAATATTAAATCAGAAATGGCGGCAGGATTCTTTAAAAAATTATGGGATGGAATTAAGAAAGCTGCAGGTTGGGTTTATAAAAAGGTTATTAAACCTGTTGCAAACTTTTTGGCACCAGTAGCGAAAACGGCAGGAACTATCATAGGTGGAGTATTAGGTACTAAAGCAGGTAATCCGGCGATGGGAGCACAAGCAGGTAACGCAATTGGTGGAATTGCTGAAGGAATACTTAATAAAATAGGGGGTAAATAGTGGAAAAATAAATAAATATTATTTTTATCTTAGTATTGGTTGTAGTCTTTGATAAACTTTTTCTCCTTTATTTAAAATTTCTCTTATTGGGGCAGCTTTTGGTGTTATTGATTCAGCAATGTCACTAATTGCTTCTTTATTCTTAAATATCCAATTTGCTCCTTTCTTCATTGTTTCCCAAACTTTATGCGCTCCTCTTTTTACTTTATCCCACAGTTTCTTAAAGAATCCTGCAGCCATAGTTGATTATTTCATTAAAATTAAAATTTCATTTTCATCTTTTCAATTTTGATTTTTTTATTTAATAATAAATGACGACTAACTATTTGGTGCCAAACACTAAACCAATTAATGGAAATGTGTTTCATTCATTCGAAAAGATAAATGAAATATTCGCAAAGAATGACGGTAGAAGATATTATAGAGAACTTGAAAGTTCATGCTATGACTCTGATGCTCCATATTTTGAATAAAACAAACTCATTTAAGAATTACAAATCCAGCTCATGATGTGAACCAATTAGGTGACACATATATTAAACGCAAAGTTAAAGCAACTCTAGTTTCAAATAAAGCTTTCACATGTGATGCCGCTTTTAAATGCATGCGTTTATTCGTTGGTTACAAATCATCAAATCAAAGCTTTAAACAATTAGAAGTAGAAACCGAAAGAGGTGATGCCGGTTATCTTCAGATGGATTGCGCCCGTGAATCTTTCGCATTTGCAACATATAAACCAAAATCAGAAAGGAAAGTTAAAAAGTTTGTTCATTCGTTATATAATAATGTTCAAAAATATGATAACTCAGTATGTGGTAAATATATTGACCCTTCAGAAGTTTTCAAGAAAGCAAATGAAGAAGTTGATGTCACTTTTGATATGATTATTCCGGTAAATGATTTGTTAGCATTTCAGGCGTTCGATGATTATCCTAAATCATTTGGTGAAATCATTCTTAAATATTATGTTTTCAGGGATACTTTAGTATTTTGTCAGGTTGACCCGTTAAGAGTTGCTGATTTACAAAATTACGTTTATGAAAAGATAACTGATGAAAATTATGAAAAGATTATGAATCATGTTTATAAATATGATCGCAAATTCCAACAAATCGGACTTCCTACCAAATTAATTACAGCTTAGCCACTACATCTGCTGACGCAACAGTTGATGATGTTATTATTTCATGCACAAAGATGGAAGTTTTAGAGGATAAATGTATTACACCAGGATACGGTTTAATTGAAGAATCAGTTAAAGCAATTCCACGTTTATTCAGTAAGGAAGATCCATTCATGATTCCAGCTCAACATATTGACGTTCGTTCACTAAATGGAGGTTGCATCACTCCTGAAGGTATTAGCTCAGATTTCTCATACGCTCTTCATAATGTTACAGATGTTGTGTTAGCATTTCCGAAGAATGCAATGCAAAGAACAGTTTTAGAAAATCCAATGCTTCGAGGTCTTCAGGTCACTATAGATTCCAGAAACTTCCCCGATCAAGCGATGACCACAGTGGGTGACATATTCTTTACACGTATGCTTCAAGCTTCTGATTTAGATGGAGTGAATGAATGCACGGAAGAATACGAGGACTCATTAACTAGACCACTGAATGATGATGATGGCACACCATTAGCTAGAACATGGAAAGACCAAACTTCATTCTTATGCACTATTCCAGTTCAACGTGATGGAGCGGGTATATTCTTTGATGGATTAGAAACTTTCAACTCACAAGTTACAGTACAAGTGAAAGCTTATCCAATCATTCAGGGTGTAAATGACACTTACTGTTCAAAGGTGACAAATCCTCCTCAGGTTTGGTTTACTAGGACTACGTATTGGACATGGACACCGGATGAAGGTTTGAAATATCATCCAACAGGTACACCACCACAGTATAGAAGTTCATATGATGAAATATTGATGAATAGAAATGTATAAAATTATAAATTTATTTTTGATTAAATGGATTTAAATTCTGAAGAATTAGCGGGAGTATATAATACATACGTAGATGATATGATTAATGAAGCATTGAGTGATAATAGAAATGCTCTATCTAAGGAAAAATTAATGAAAATTCCATATTCTGAATGTTACTTAAATTCAATCACTGCAGCAATTGGTAAACAAAATAAAGGTAAAACATTAACGATATTAAAACAAATTATCATTATTGCTAACACTTCCCCCCATTCACATGTGTTAATTTATATCAACCGTTCAGGTTCACCTTCAGATGATACATTTGAATCTTTAAAGCATTTAATCAAAATTCCAATTATTTATTTATCACAAGAAGAAGCAGAAGATTATTTAAAAAACTTTTTAATGTATAAAGAATTATATAATACAATCAAGAAGCAAGGATTAGAGGATAAAATTATTGATAAACAACGGGATGAATTATTTGAAACACTTTCTATTTCAAATTTTGATAGAGAATTTTTGCATTCACTCATTTTTCTAGATGATGCGGTGAAATCAAAACTAATAACAAATGAGAAATCATATTTTAATCAGTTATTAACTCAATGTCGACACATTCAGTGTTCATTCTTCATGGCTGTTCAATACTTCAAAGCATTAAGCACAAACATTAAATCAAATCTATCAACACTTTTCATTTTCAGTGGTTTTAGTCGTCAACAGTTGAACGTTATGCTTTATCAAGTGAATTTACCAATGAGCATTAATGAACTTTACACACAATATCACAATTAGGTGAACATGGAAAAATAATAGTTGATTTAAATAAAGGATGTGTTAAATTTGATTAACTTTTTATAATTAATTTTTATTTTTTATTTATAATTAAACATGACAGAAATAGCAAATCTTTTACAGGTTCCATTAAAACAAGGGACAAACAAAAAGGGGGGTGTGTATAATAGAACTATGAAAGTTCCAGACGGAATGAAAGAATTAGTTCATATTGTTGCTGGTCTTCAAAAAGATGTTAAACAAATGAGAAACGTTTTAACATTACCAGAAGCTCAAGCATATGCCAAACGTCATGGTCCAAATTGGGAAGCACATGAAGCAGACATTACAGGTCCAAATGGAAAACCTGATGGTATAAATGAAGTTTTCGTTACTGATGGTCGAGGTAATATTAAAGTCATAAATGGTTACAAATTAACTGTATCTGATTATCCTAAACGTAAAGCATATAATGAATGTTATCCTATGCAATTTGATGAAAATGGAAAAGCTGTTAAACAATACATTGGAGAAGGTGAACATGGTCCAATTAATTCATACCGTCATAATCCATATTCATATTTCAATGAAGAATTAAACGCTATTGAAGAAGGACCGGATGGATTACCACAATATGTTAATCAGTTTGATGGTCAATATGCAAATTTGAGACCTGAAATTCCAGCTAAGAAATTCTTTAAAGTTGCTTTATTCGATCCAGTGTTCAATGAACAGAAAGAAGCAATGAAAGCAGAATTTAAACCAATTCAAGTGGCAAGAATTTCTTCATCTTCACTTGCAGAAGCGTTCAAGGAATTGATAAAGAAACCACTTTATTCTCAACAAGGTTATAACTTTGATTTAATTAAAGAAAGTGATAGACGTAAATTAGAAAAATCAGATGGTTTTAAGAATGCATGTAATGAAATGATTAAAGATATTGTAAATGATAAAATAAGACTGGAAGAAACTCAAAGCAATATCAATAACATAATTGGTGCAGTTACAAAGAAAGTATAAGCAAACAATGATGAACCTTGGGATATTACCGTAACAACTAAATAAAACTTTAAATATATTTTTCTTTTTTTATTCAATTATAAATGAGAAGACGTTTCACAAGTCAAAAGAACACTAACGCAAAAGCAGAGATTACGGTTGGTTATAACGTAAATGATGATAAATCACGAATTATTCAAAATGTTAAAGTTAATGTTAGCCCTGAATTAACAAGGTCAGCAACTCAACCAAATTTATTAACTCGTGACTTACCGAAGAATGAGGAGAATGAAGAAAACCATGAGAATGGAGACCCAATCATTTTATCTGAACCCGGTAAAGAACCTGTTGAAATCCCCACATATCCAACATACCCCCACCTCTTTCATCAAACATCGAGAACCCAGGAATATACGATTCCAGTCGCAATGCGCCATATAAAATAGACATTAATTCTGAATTAATGAAAATTTACCGTGATATAATAACTGATAATTATGATTCAATAATAAATTTAATTGATCAATCCGGTTTAATTATTTTACCTTATGAATCATTAATTCACATTATCGCCATTCTTTGTGATGTTCAAGATTCAGACGTTAAGATTCAATTTTTCATAGATGATGAGGTTTCATGCTGCGGAACAGTTGCAAAAATAAATCCTATAAAGGATATTAGCACAATTAAGATATCAAAGAACGGAACAACAACTGAACTTCATTAACATTAATGATATTTATAATAAAATAGTTGATGAATATAAAATATCACTTGAAAAATTCTTTGTTAAGGCCATTTAATATTCAAGCATTAACATTATTGAATAATAATCCTTTGAATCATAATCAATAATAATTGACCTTTCACCAGTTTCTATCGTTTGTTTTATTTCTTTTTGTTCCCCACTATCTGGATCGGTCATTGTAATTGTTTTTGTTATAGTATCAGCTTTATCTTTAACTTCAATCTTTTTTCCATCAGGATATTTAAACCAAAATTCCAAAAATTCGATATTGTCAATCTGTTCATATTTTAATCTATCAATTACATTTTTAATACCATCTGAAAATCTTATGAAATGGTCATTATATGGGTTTGATTGAACTAAATTTGAATGAAGTGAAATATAACCCGATGATGAATATGACATTGACTCATATTTTCTGAAAACACTGAAATTTATAACATGAATGAATTTCTTATTCGTTGAATTTATGAATTCTTGAGGTAATCTTATTCTAGTTTTATTTATCACTGGAAAATAACGCTTTACCATATTTTTAATCGTAATAAAAATGTCAATTATCAATATTATTTCGAATAATAGTTGTGAATTAAATTTAACAGTTAGTGGAATTTATAATGTTACTCTCGTTTCTGTGAGTGGTAAATTTAATCCCATTCTTTTAGACCCTTCAGATTATATATCATTTATTAAAGATGACCTTGAAAAAACGTATGATATGTATATAAATAATGTGATAACGAAATGGGATATTAACACAATTTTAAGTTATTTAAATGAATCATTTATCGTTTGGTATGAAGAAAATTTTAAATCAAAACCTGATAAACTTTTTGAACTTGATGAAATAAATAACCTTATTAAATTCCCGCTGAAAATTAAATTTTGTACTCCTCATCTTCGTTCATTGTTGGGGATATTAAATTTTGAAAAAGATGTTGGGGATGTTTTGTATTCTGACACTGGTTCCAATTTCATTTTAATCAAATGTGATAAAGTTAATACCCCAATGAGATTTTCACATCAAACATTAGACCCTAACTCTTACCCATCAATACAAAACATTTTATCCATCAACTTAAACATATTTTCTTTATCATATCCGTTTCAATTATCCGGGAATTCATTTATTCTTCATTCAAAAGATTTATCAAATATTAAATTTAGAATAACTGACCTATTTGATTGTGATTTAGAATTTATGAATGAAATATTATGGCAATTTCAAATAGAAAAAATAGCTGATGAGATAACAGATTAAATATTTATTTTTAAATCATAATAAATGATTAAACAACAGCAACCACAGCAACTTAAGGCACAGACCATTACTTACGCCACATATGCATATAATTCAAAGACGGCAGAACAAACACAAAGGTTGAAATATGGAGATTTGGAGATAGTATTGAAAAATGACCATTTTGAATTCGTTTGCAAGGGTGGTGCAGTGATATCAAATATAAAAGAAATTTTATTTATGAATTCAAAAATTAAAGGAATAACGGATGATATAACATCAATTCCACCAGAAGAACAAAGATATTACGCATTAAATGCATTTCCTAAAGTTTTGAAGATTGGAAGATTTAATTTAAATGAGGAATTCATAGAAGGTTTCCTAAATGACATAATGAAGAAGGCAGATAAGGAATATGTGGTTAGTGAGTTAGAGAAGAAGGCAGATAAGGGACTTGTGGCTAGTGCATTAATGAAGAAAGCAGATAAGGAATATGTTAATGAAAAAGATAATGAAATTATAGAAAGGGTTGAATGGTACCATGAACGGACATTGAAGATTTTAAAAACTAAAGCTGATACAGGATGGGTTTCAGGATGTTTAGACCTTAAAGCGGATAAAACTTATGTTAACGATGAGTTAGAGAAGAAAGCAAATAAGACTCATACACATACAAGTTTTACAACTGTTGCTATAGAAAGTATTGAAGGAACGGTTGAAGAAACTGGTGGGGATGTATTATATTGTAAACCTCCTAACTTTCCACAAGGTTTAACATCGGATGACGACATAACGACGATGAGAAACATTAGATGTAAAGATGTTTATGTCATGAAGGATGAACATAATATTAAATTCACTGCTCAAGATTTATATGACAAGAAAGCAGATAAAACAGAGCTTCAAACATTAAAGACAGAAATGCTTCAAACATTATATCCTATAGGCTCTATTTATACGTCAATGAACTCAACAAATCCAGAAGTAGTACTTGGTTTTGGAACTTGGACTCAAATAGTCGACAGGTTTTTGTATTGTGCAAACTCTTCAAAGGAAACAGGGGGAAGTAAAACGATTACAGGTGAAAATTTACCTGCACACAGTCACTACATAGATTTAAGTACATCTCAAGCGGGTTGGCATAAGCATAGATATTGGGATTGGTCAGGAATGACAAAAGGTAAAGGATATGATGTTAAAGACGACGTTAAGTTTGCCATAAATTGTTACTGGAGTGACACTCAGGGAGAAGGAAACCATACACATCGCGTTTCAGGATATACGCAAACAACGGGACAAAGTAAAGACTACATGCCACCTTACATGACAGTTTACGCATGGTATAGAGTTCAATGAACGCTCAATGTTTGTGAAACAAACTTTAGGAGCTCCAAAAGAGCAAACGGCATAATTTAAATTTTTATTTTAGTATAAATGAAGATTCTACCATATGGTGTTATTGGAAGAGATAAAGATGGAAACCCAATATTTGATCCAAAGTTAAAATTAAAGTTACTGACAAGACAACAACTTGAAAAGTTGCTGAAACCAAAACAGAATGAAAAATGAGAAAATGAGAAAATGAGAAAATGAGAAAAAAAAAATTTAAATTATGCAATTTTATTTTTATCATAAATGACCAAATTAATTAAGCCAACTATTTCTAAATTAATGATACAATGAAATCATTTCATGGAGTACTTATCCCAGGTTCTTCACAATTAGCCGGGGCAAGTGTTGTGACTCAAGGTGGAACATTAGCGAATCCATTCAAATTATTAACTAAAGATGAACTTAATAAAATGATGATAAAATAACTGATAACAAAATTTTATTTCACTGCTACCATAAAAACAGGTGAAAAAACAGGTGAGATCTCACCTCTTCACCTAAATATTTTTGTTAAAGCTTCCACGAGAGAAAAGATTCCTCATTCGCTAAGGATTCCAAAAATGAAAAAATCATTGATTTCGGCTGAGAAAAAATAGCAAAACCCTTCTTCCACGGGAACAAAGAAATAAAGAAGAAATAAAGTAAATTTTTTATTTATTCCCGTGGAAGATAGAGCACTTTTATGACACTTTTTATTCACGACAAACAAGACAAACAAAGAAAATAAGAAAATACGGCGCTGTCGCGGTTCGAACCACAGACCCTGACCCCTCCATAACACTACCTTAGACCACTGTGCTACGTAGCCTGTCGACATAAGATTTTATAAATTGCATATTTGACGTAAATTTATTTCCCAGTTATTCAAAAATAATTAATTATTGAATAACCTAAAATCATTAATGAAAACATAAACGATAACATTTATTTCCTGTGTTGTTGTCAAAATGTCATGTTGTCTCAAACTTTAGAACGGACTGAAAGTCCTGAGCTCCAAAAGAGCAAACGGCATAATTTAAATTTTTATTTTTATCATAAATGAATACCCCACAAGCTCAAAATTTACCACGAATCATAACAAGGGAGGAAATGATAAAAATGATGCAAGAACATGTTAAAAATAACAAACCACTAAAACTGAGAAAATGTGGTTATGCAGTAATGATGGAAAGAGAGATGTTGTCGAAGAGGAATAAAAATTAAATTTGGATTGAGTTTAAAAATTCATCTTTATTAAATTCATCTCTTCCAATCAATTTATTTATTCTATTAAATTCTTTTATTTTTACTTCACTCAGTTTAAGGATTGAACGGTAAGTTTCTAATTTTTCGATTATTTCTTTCCTCTCTTTATCGTTTTCAACCCCACCGCATTGTGGCTTCTTTTTGTAATAGCATTTTTTGATTTAATTCTGTTTAGTTTCTTTTTATATTCATTGTCTGGACTCTTGATGCTTCGTTGTCACTCATTTCTTACGAAATAAAAAAATTAAATATTATTTAAATATAATGGAGTAATAAAATAAATCGGAATTTCTATTAATTTATTGTTAACCTCAACTAATGTATTGCCGTTAATATATCTAACAAATTCAGCTATTGTGTCAAATCTTCGTCTTCTTTTTGTCATTGATTTATCAGTTTTTCCATAATCGAGATGAATCAAAACTTTATCCCCTTGTTTAAAATTCATGAGCCCCGAATTAATTTGTTCACGTTTAACATCATTCAACCTTTCCATTTGCTTTCTAATATATTCCCATTCTTTTGAAATATCATTTTTCATTTCCACCGGTTTCATGTTTATTGTTCTATGCCATGTATTATTGTAATAATATACTAACTGTTGTATGATGGAGTCATGATTTCCATCCCAGTATATCTGACCGTTAACCCCTAACGCATCTCTAAGAGTTCTCATTACCGCATCAACTATTTTATTATGAAACGTATATGGAGAGGATGAAAAGTAAAAATTAATTTGTGGGAAATAATGAGTCATAGCTGCCTGAAATCCTTTATCACCATCACCCCTGATATTATCTACTCTTTCATGATCTAGTAAGTATTGAATAGCTCTTCTTGTTTCCTGTTCTGTTTTCCCTTTCACTGGAATGCAATATAAATATCTAGTGTTAATGTTAATGGCAAATAAATAAGTAACGTTTCCTTTTGAATATTCTAAATGATCGATTTCATATGAATATGGATATGGTGCAAATGAAGGGCGACCAAATTTTTCCTTTAACGGTTGAATTTTTGGGTCAGTTGGTTTATTTAATATTTTGAAATCCTTTTTAAAATCTTTTTGTTTCTTTAATGTTTGAAATGGATATAATAAAGTGAATGATGAAGGATTAACTGAAGGAGGAGGTGGTTTTGGTGTTGCAGGTACTGTCGTTAGAGGTTTTGGTGTTGCAAGTGGTTTAATTTTATCTGCTTTGATTTTGGATGATGAAGTTTTGGAATTCATTCCTTCCTTCATTAATTCTGGATGTATTCTATTCATTTGTTTTAAATATGCTGTATATAAAGGTTTAATATACTTTCCCGCTTCGAGTTTATGTTGAAGGATGAATTCCAAAAGTTGATCTTCATTTAAAAGTCGGGCTGAATATGGTTTAACTAATGAATCATAAATTAAAGCTTGTGCATCATTTATGGTCTGAAGGGCCTGGGTGTTTTGCACCTTTTGTTTTTGCTCCTTTTGCTTTTGCTTTTGCGGCTCAGGATTATATAATTTATATAATTCATCAATATCTTCTTCTGTTAATACTTTATTTTTGAAATCTTTCAATTTTAAGCTGTGATTTAGTTTTTCCCTTTGAATATTCATTATTTTTAATTTTGTCTTTAATTTTAGAAATTATTCTATCATGATATTTCAAAATTTCATTTTTATAATATGGATAATAATATTCCATATCATCACCCGTTATATTATTATTATATTTTTGGAGATATGCTTTTAATCATAATAACTAAGAAATTTTTGATTAAGTACTAAATCATCAATTAAATTTTCTAAATCTGCGTTATCCATTTATATAAAAATAAAATAAATGTTTTAAGGGTGCCCACCTCTTTGAATCATAGTATCAAAAACATCATTAACGGTTCCTTTTGTCTCTTCTGTGGCATTTTATTAAATAAATGGCATACAACATCCATTTTCACAACACACAGCCTTAGTGTGTGCTCCTGTTAATGCAGTCTTACCAATTGTTAAGCGAGTCATTGACCCATTTTTAAGTTGTAAATTAATATTCTGACCATCAAATATCACTTTATCATTTATTATATCCAAATAATTTTTAGGTGTTAATTGTTTATTTTGTCGTAAACTAACTCCTTTCATTTTTTGTGCAATCTTTTTAAAATCACTTCCATCAATTGAACCGTTGAATGATGTATAACACTTGGGGCATAAAGCAACCATGTTATCACCTTGTTTCTCAATTGCTAAACCCAATAACTTCTTCTCATGTGCTTTTTCTTCAGCTTTATTCTTTAATTTAGGTTTAAATTTCTCATTAAAACAAAAAGAAATCAAAAGGTGCGAATTTGTAAATGTTTTTATCATAAAATTGTTTATCAGTAACAATTGCTTGAAATGCTTGAGTGTTAGGAAGATTTGGGTCGCCAGCGATTGCCCAATAAGATGAATCAGTATCACCTTCAATGAAATGAAAACGATTAACATTCATGCATTTATACATAAAATCATAAATGAAAACCAAATACCAGTATTTTGCGTTATCTAAAGTGAAGAATGCCTCTTGTAAACATGTATCACATCTATAAAATCTATCTTTAAGCATCACTTGATACGTATCTTCACCTATTTCTCTTATGTTTTTAAACTTATTTGACATACATGCAACGCGTGCCTTCTGTGCATTCATTATTTTAGTCTTTGCGTAATTTTGTGTATTCATTGCATCGTAACCATATGATCCATTAAGTGAAATCTTGCAAAATAAACTTTTTCCTTTATTTCCTTCTAATTCAGCCTTTTGTCTTTCGTTCATAAATTCGTTCGCAAATTCATTAAAACAAGTGTTTTTCGTAAATGTTAAAATTGATTGAATATCATCAATGATAAAATGAAATCTGTCTATTAGATACCAAAGATAATAAGAAGAAAATGGTTGATATTGGTTGTGTGTTGATGCTAACTGAGTTAATTTTCTCTGTTTCTGGTCAACTGGTAGATTGTTTGATTTCATGTAATTATACATAAAACTGCCAATTGTTTTTTCATCTGTGATAATATCTAAGTTTCTTATTATTGGTAAAAAGTTTATGTAATCATTAATGTATTTTTCATCAATGTGACCCTTTACTTCAGCCACGAATAAAGTATTTTTCTTTCTAATAATTCCCAGTGCTTTTGCTTTCTTTGTTGCTGTATCACAAATGATAACACCATTCAATCTTCCCGGCATATACATTTTATGGTCAGTATATTGAATGAAATCATGAGGATTAGATGAAAATGATGAAGGATATAATGAATTAAAGTCAACTCCAACAAAATGAGTCATAATGTTGGTGGTGTCCTCATTTGATACAGTTTTAGTTTCTGGATTATATGAAAGTTTATTAATGTGCGTGATTCCTTTAAGATTAACACGATGTTGAACATTTGATAGACCACCAGTAATTCCATTACGGAGAATGTGATAAGCTTCAACTGAATCTAAAGTCATTGGTAAATTATTTTTTAATGCATAATTTCTTAAATTGATTCTTAAACGTTGAACATCTTCATCTTTATTTGATTTTACGACATTGCAATAACAACACATTAACTGACAATTTTCTTTGGTATGTGGTTTTTCATTATCGATTCTATCCAATGTTGGTTTATTAGCATATGTAAACGCTTTACCACACATTTTGCATTTAGATGAAAGGATTAAATCGTGATAGTATTGATAGTCATCCATTGAAACATTGTTTTTAGTATCCCTTTCTGCTTTTTCATCTTGTTTCTTATATGATTCAATTTTATATTTCCAATACTTTTTCGTTAATTCAAAACTTGATTCCACATTTTCTTCTTCTGGATATGTTTCGTTAGGATTGAAGTTCTTATATGCTAACGCGTAACGAATCATTGATGCATTCGATGATAAAGAAAGATTATGAAGCATGTCAATTTTATAAACAAATGTTTCTTCAATAATTTTATCAATTGGGTCAATCATAATTTCAACGTCTTTATTGCAATAATGAATAAAATATTCTAATCTATTCTCAAAATTTTTAGCATCATTGAGATATATTTGATAATCTGAATCGGATATTGTTTCTTGAGTTAATGCTGAATAAAATGAATCTTTCGTGAATGGTTCCTTTTTATATAATTCATCTTCGTAATTTTCCCACGTGATGAATTGATAAGGGAAAAAGGATTTAACACGTGATTTATTGTTTCCGAAATCTTGAGTGAATTGGTCTAATGTCCACCCGCTATATAATTTCTGATGTCAATAAATCTTAATTCATATGGACAGTTTGTTTTCTTTACAATGATTTGCTTAAATTGAGAAGATGAACCCAGCATTGATTTTATTTTCCATTTTGCAGTGTTTAAATCACGAAGAATTAAATTTAAATCAAACTTTCCCGAATTAAAACCTATGATATTCACTTTATTAAATTCTTCATCTAAAGTTCTTTAAATGCTTCCTTTTGTTTCTCATTTAATGTATGAGACAAAGTCCCCGCCGTTTGGTCCGTTTGCGGCTTCATTAATTCTTCATATTGTTCAATATTTGATTTAGCAACTAATGAACAGGTTGAAAATAAAAACTCAATCCAATCAGAAATAAAAGAATCACTCGAAGTTAAGCAAAAATTCCTCGTAAATGTTTTATCACGGTCTACGACCTCGCCGCTTTGCGGCTTTATTTTGACAGTTGATGATACCATAAATGGTTTTAAGTAAGCGTTCAAAGTTGCACATTCAGAAAGTTGAAGTTCTTCTTTAGTCTCTAATGTTTCGAAGTCAAAAGTAATATAATATCTTGTTGGTTTATAATATTCCTGCAAATTATGTGCTAATAGCCATTGATATATCTTCTGTTTCGTGATATGTGGTGCATATGGTTGTTGTGTGTTTTGCAATTGAACGTCTTGAATTAATCTTCCATTATTTTCTTTACATTTCTCACAATGTTTTAAAAATCTTCTTTGGTTTTTCCTTTCTGGATCATCACGGATAGAATAAACTTCTTCTTTGCAATATGGACAAACTTTATATCCTGTGAGTGCTTCAACGTCTGTTATTCTGTCAGCGTGAAGTTTTCCACATGGACTCTGTGTTAATAAAATATTTACTGTTTCAAATTCTGGATCTATCATTATTGATTCCACTAATGGAAAGTCTACCTTTTATGTCTACGTCTTCTGGTTGAGGTCACAATAATAAAAATCAATATTAACGTTTAACATTCTTGCTAACCTCTCACTTTCTGATGAAATGTCAAACCCTTCATATGCATCTATTGCTTCATTTAAATACTTCTACGAGTTTTAGGATTAACACCATCAGGAATGTTATAGAAGCGTTTAAATAACCTTCTACCTTCTGCTCTAATTTGATTATCATTCATTTTAGCTGTTCCGTTTTTGTTCATTTATGTAAGAATAAAAAATTAAAAAATAAATAAAAATAAAGTTTATTTTTTTTAAAGTCCGAGACTCAGAGAGTCCAGGGCTAAAGTCCATAAAATGAATTAAGAACACATAAATTTTTATCATCTGCGACGTGACGAATACATTTTAATTTACTCAAGAATGCGTACCCTGATACATTAAATCTAATTCCTGTCTTATTTAATTTCACAACTTTGAAAAGGAATGTATGAATAGCTATAAAATGATGAGATGATGTTTTATGGGTTGCTTCCATTTTTTCTGAAATAAATGAATAAAATAATGTTTATAAGTTTTCATATCTTTTATGTTCTTAATAACGAATGGTATAGACCTTTCAACTTCGTCTTCCTTCGGTGCTGTTCTTTCATATGAAACATTATTGGTATCTTCAATAATGAAACCACAATCGCATAAAATTTTATATGTACCAATTGTTTCTTTTGATATTTTATCTAACAAATCAAAAACTTTATCAACACCTGTACATTTATTTAAATAATAATTTGTGTAAATATCATGGTCTTCTTTCTTAATCGTATTTGTTGCATATGTTACATTTTTCAGTGCTTTTTTGAATTTTTCAGAATCAAGAGGAGGTGAAAGTAATATACATGGATAATCTCCATCGTCAATAAATTGTAACTTATGTTTACGAATAAATTTAGTACCTTCTTCTGAAAGTGTTTCATCTATTTCACCATCTAATAAATTTTGTGTTGATTCTGAGACATAATTTTTATATCTTTCTTCATGAGATTTTGAACTGCTGATTCTGAAGCTGGGATATTCATTAAACCCTCTACTTCATTTTCATTATATTTTTCAACTTCTCTTAATTCCTTAATTTTTTCATCTATTTCATCTCTTATTTTTTCCAGTCTTTCAATTTCATCATATTCATCATCTTTAATCCGTTCTTCATAATATTCAGGGAAAACATCAGGTTCTTTAGGTTTTTCTTCTTCAGATGTGGGATATAAGAAATTTATAACATCATCTTTATTCATTTTTCCATCATAATCAAACTCATTTAAAAACTCCGCGAATTTTTGACAATTTCTTAAATAATATTTACTAACCTCATAACCCGCTTCCTCTAATATATCCTTTATTTCCTCATTTGTGAATCCCAATTTTTTAACGTCGTTAGTCTTGACACTCATTTTCATACAAATTAAAAAAAATAAATTATTCAAAAATGTAAGACATGAATTTTTAAAGTTTATTTTTTTATTTTTTTTATTTTTTTTATTTCATTATGTATGGGTTTAGTGTAAATGTCTTACAATTTTGAAAATTTTTTAAATCTTGATTTATTCAAAAACGTAAGAATAAAAACCGTAAGAATCATACATTTTTTACTTCATATGTTAAAAAAAATGATACAAAATCGCTCGATATTGTATGAATTCTTACGTTTACAAAAAAAGTCACAAAACCCGCATTATATACTACTATTCCATTGATTTTTATTTAAGGATTGTGATTTCCACTGTATAGAATATGTTGTGATGATATGATCTACAGCAGGAATTACAAACATCATCAACAGTTAATTGTTGATAGAATTTATCGAACTATAACATATAGACATAAGTATGCAAAGGGAAGCACTTCCAAAAATTTTTGGCCTTTTGGGCAATATTTCTTCAAAAAATCAATATTATTATTTTCATTGAACTTTAATTGGTTTGAGATCACTATTTTAATAAAATCAATCGTATAGAATTCTAAAATAATCATATTTTATCGATTTTAAATTATCATTCATTCAGAGAATAATCATCTAAATTAAATTCAATAACCAAATTTCCAAAAAAAATTCAGAAAATAAATTTTCCCTTGAAAACTTGTTAGATTGTATTCCATTTTCAGCTTTTTGAATTTTTTTTGAAAATCTAGCAAGGGTTCATACTACACAAGAAACCTCTGTAGGACTAGTACTTGATGCTTTCGAGGTTTGTTTCCTTCAATTATTTTATTTTCATAAACCTCGCAATTATCAGACACAATTATCAAAAAATATTACAAGAAACATAAAAAACAACGAAAAGTTCCTTTACTGAATCTCAAATACAATAATATCAGAGTTTTTTGATAAAATTTCTTTCTTAGAATGGAGATCTCTCAGTAAAACTCAACTTTTATTGACAAAATCAAGATATAATTCCAATTTATTACTAACTTCTACTCTTTTACTCTTTAATTTGCGTAATATTTTACAATTTTTACCAAACTCTAGATTATTCATACGATAGATGGCTATGTTCAATGAGCTACCATTGCATGTTGAATTTGAGCTGAACAAGTCAATATCTTTGGATTTGATATATTTTTTTGATTTCCTTTTAAATACAGATAATTATGCTCTTCTAAAATGATATCATTTAGGAGTTGTATGACTGTTTTTATAAAAATTTAAAAATTTGGCTTTAGCAAGTTTTTGTATTTATAGATTTTACTAGCCATTTCAAGACCATGAATTTGTACAAGGATTCGTATTATTTTATGAAACTTTGTATCTTAAAATGCGTATTATTATTTTTTTGTATTTATTTAGTTCCACGTGGCTTAGAATCCTTTGGAACCTTCTCTATGATCTTCTTTGCGATGTTTTGGAAGACTTTTGCGTATGCTGAATCTGGAGCTTGATCAATAGCTGGAATACCTGAATCAGCAGCCTTAGCGATAGCAGGATCAATAGGGATACTACCAAGAACTTCATATTTGTTCTCTTTGGCCATCTCATCTGCCTTTTGACCTTGGAAAATCTTTGTAACTTCTCCACAGCATGGACAGACGAAACCATCAAAGTTTCTAACGAGTCCGAGGACTGGGATACGCATCTTCTTGAACATATCAACATTGCGGATGACGTCAGCCATAGCAACATTTTGTGGTGATGTAACGAGAATTGCGCCATCAATTGGGACTGCATCGTAGAGAGCTAAGTGAACATCACCAGTGCCTGGTGGTGTATCAATGATTAAGTAATCAAGCTCAGACCAAAGAGAGTCTTTTAAAAGTTGAGTAATGAGACCTCCAACAGCTGGACCTTTCCACAAAAGGGCATCTTCTTTCTTGACGGCGTTACCGATTGAGACTGTTTCAAGTCCATTAACATAAACAGGAAGGAATTTATTTTCCTGAGTCATGACAAGAGAGCTGTCTGATGTAAGTGTCATTGTTGGAACTGATGGACCGTAGAGATCTGCATCGAATAAGCCAACCCTCATGCCTTGTTTTGTTAAAGCGATGGCTGTATTCATTGCAACTGTGGATTTTCCAACACCACCTTTGCAGCTAGCAGCAAGAATGATGTGCTTAACATTCTGTGGTGGTACTTTACGGGCAAATGGATTCGGTGCCTTGGCTTCTGCGAAGAAACGACCAACTTGGGAAAGCATTTTTGACACTTTTCATTCAATTAAAATCTATCATAATAGAAATTATAGAACATCTTTTTTATCTAGATTAATAGCTCGTGTGAAAGCACACATGTTTTAACGATCCATTTATTGAAAAATGGTATGGCCAATTTTATTTTTTTTCATAATTTTTTTCAATACTTTGACCTAAATTCTATATTCAGTTCATTTTTCCCACAGCAGATTTGATCCAGGTAGTCGTCTATGCGATTATTAATTACAAGTAATAAATTCAAATCACGGGCCTTTGTATTGCATTTCAAATTCATTTAGATAACTAGGTGGAGGTGTGGTAAAAATAGGGTTTGAACACTTAAGTAGGGCTTGAAAAAAGTTTTAAAGGAATGATTTATAGAAATATTGTTTATGAGAGGATATCCCATGAAATAAGATAATGGAAGAGGAATAAGTGAATTATAAAGAGTTTCTAAGAGCATAACTAAATATACTTTGTTATTTCAAGTCATAATAAAACGAATTAAAGGTTTTAATTGTTAAAAAATAGAAATTTCAAAATAATTCTGATTTGATCACTAACTTTTAGGATTCATTTTCAGTGCATGTATCCAAAAATGAAACTTGAATCTAGCTGTATCTAATTTGATCCTGTATTCGTTCAAATTTTAGGTCTGAAATGGAGATTGCGGTTGGTTCTACAATAATAAGATGCCATCACACTAAATGTGACGCAAATTGATCTATATTGGGTGATGAGAATGTTTTTAAAGTATTTGATTTGAAAGGAAGAAAAATCAGATATTAATCTTCATATCAGGGTGTTTATGAAGAAAATATACATGTAAATCTAAGAAATAACAAGATAGAGTGTGCTTTTGGACATATCTAAATATGTTCATTTGCAAATGGAGAAAAAAAATTTAATGTTAAAATTAATTTTTTAGAAATGGACTTTCAACTTATTTATGGTGCAACATCATTAGTTGCAGCTTTCATAATAAGTTTTGTTAATGGAAGGAATATGTAAAGGATAATTGCACCTATCAGAAGTAAAGCAACGATTATGACACCAACAATTAGACCAATTTCGGTTCCTGTGAGTCCAATACGATGCCTAATATTTGTTTTTTCATAGTCACAATTAACATTTCGAGTTTTTCCATTAATTGTCGGGTAAATATATTTCTTACTGGCATAAACATAACGACCCACTGAATCTGTCTGGTAATATTCACCTTCATAACAAATTATATCTATATCAATATCGTAGTATTCCTTTACACTCTTAGGGATTTTCAGTACTCTCTGTGGATATTCATTAGAGAACTCTTTTCCTTCGATATCTTCAAAGACATATGGCTCGGCTGATTTCAAAGCGTCTTCATCTTCAATAAATTCAATTTCACTTGGTAATTTGTAAATTTCATCAACAACACCAAATGTTGCTATTAATTTATTGGATGTTTTTTCAATAATTGAGTGATCTTTTACGTAAAAGAATGGATTTTCTTCATCAATTTCAACGTTAAAGTAACCCAAACCAACGAATGTATCAGCTGGTATTCCCATAACAGTTGGAGATATAACCATTGTGAAGTTTAAATTGGGGTAGGCGACATCTTCGATATCAATTTTGACTCCCATTGCATCCAAAGCATCATCATCTATGCCTGGTTTTTCAGATGAGGTAAACCAGCTTTTAACATTAAGCAGTGCTAGAATTCCTTTTCCAAGTGTGAACTTAGATAGTTTTCCATTATAACTAAATGCCCCTGAACCAATACTTATGATTGAATCAGGCAAAGTGAATTTCTTAAAACCACATCCCTTAAACATGTCCTGTGGTATGCTTTTTTGTTGTGGATGAAATTCTACTTCCTTTAATGAGATACAGCCTGAAAATACTGAATCACTAACAACAACGGAGGGTAATTTGATTGATTTTAATGATGTACATGACATAAATGCTCCAGTTCCCAATTGAACGCCATCTGAAATAGAAACATCTTTTAATGAAATACAACCAGCAAATGCTTTCTCTACTATATTTGTGACAGCCTTTTCAATTTTCACCTCTTTAAGTTTTGTACATGCGAAAAATGATTCCTCTTCAACATACAGAGGATCAGAATAATTATCTATGCTAATTTCAACTTTTTCAATATATCTTGAATAACCGAATTCCCAAACGCCTTGAAATGTTTTTGTAATCTTTATCTCTTTGCTTACTGTGATTCATTGAAGTCAGTTACATTCAAGAATATTACTCAATTTGGTCAATATGAATATCCTAGTTTTGATGGTGATGCTAGGGATCCTGGAATTTTCATTGAATGTGACGCACTCAAATCAGCAGATCTGACTGGTCTAAGTATAATCCCAGAGGGTCTCTTTTATAAATGCAAGAAATTGGAAGAAGTGAGCTTTGGTAATCAAGTTGTAAGAATTGAAATGACCGCATTTTATGGGTGTGGATTTACTGAATTCACCGTTCCAGATACAGTTGTTAGTATCGGTGATTTAGCCTTCGGAAAAAATCTTAAACTGAAAAAATTCACAATTGGAAAAGGTATTTATAAATTATCAGAGAGATGGTTCTCTACTCCAAAACAATTGACAGTTGTCATTCCACCTAATGTGAAGGATATTAATCCATCTGCCTTTGAAGGAATTGATTCTGTTAAGATTGAATTCTCCTCAGATAATCAGATATATAGTGCAACTGATAATTCTATAATTAGTAAAATTGGCAACACTTTAGTTGGAACAGTAGGTTTATTGGGCAAAGTCTACGAACTTCATGAGATAGTTCGAAGTATATCTGAAGGGGCAATTATTAGACGTAGACCTTATGGCTCAACAGCTGTATGGAAAGAAATGAAAGATGGTATTGCAGAAGCTGCAATTATTAAGATGCCAAGCAATTTAATTGCGATCAAAGATCAACCAAGTCTCTATGTTCAAAGCGCTTGCTATGAGGGCGAATATTCAATATCATCAGGATTTTCACCTTTAGAAAGTTTTACAACAGAAAAGTATCTTTATGAAACTTTCCTAGGTAATACAGCAAGTAACCAAAAATGCTCCACTTCCTTAAGTGACGGTTATAAGTGGAGACACATTATCGGAATGTCATCAGCTGAAATAGGATTAACAGCAGCAATTGTTGTGTTGGGAGTTTTGCTGATAGTAGTAATAATCCTTTACTTCGTTTGCCCAAGGGACAAACTTTCATCAGCAGCCGACGATGCTGTATAATTGAGCATATATGAATAAAACATTATTTATTCGATGCTAATTTTAGCATTATTTTTTTTTATTTTTGCATTTAATATTATCATTCAAAATTCTTTTTATCATTTTAATTCGTTTAGCTCTCAATTATGCATACAATAACCAGCTATTCAATTTAGTTTTGATATATTTATCAACTCCTCAAACAATGATTTTTTATTAAACTCCTTTTTTTTATTTAGGTACCCTATTCAATTTCTATCGTCACCATATGGAGAGGTCAGGCCCATATCATAAAACATTAAGTTTGGACTTACTAAGACATGTAAGAATTACCTTGCTTGTATAGGGGCATTAAATACTTTTAGATGCTAAAATCTTCAAAATTAATTTAATTTGATATTCAAAATATGCACGAAAACGTAAATAAATACGGATCTAGCTCTCACATATCTCTATTTTAAGCATTGATAAGTATTTCTACATTCTATTTTAAAAAATATTCAAATTTCACAATATTCTTTTCATTGATAATCTACATATTAACGAGAATGATATAACTTTTCATGTATTTAGAAGTTCTTAGCTTTAGTACTGTATTGTTGAAAAAATTATTGAAGACTTTTTTCTTTTTGAGAAATTAATGCAATAACCAAAGAGGAATTGCATATACTGCGCACTAAAATTATAGAAATGTCTCTAATTAGACACAAATAGAGATATTCGGAAATAAAAATTTGAAATTTTGATCAAAAACGCTATTTTCTAATCATTTTTATTTTAACTATATATATAAAGTATCTTTTTCTATAATTTATACTTGATGGTTTAAAAGACGTTTAGACTCAAAATTTTACTGCATTTCATGTGGTAACTATGCTTTATCACTAACTACCTCCTTGTTTCAACCCTGAACAATATATTATACCTCCCAATGCAGGTATTACTCCAACAAAATTAGCAATTTGGCTATTGTCTAAAATTTTCTCAAAGAAAGAGGAGTAAAGTCCCCATTTTTAGATTCGAGCTATATTAGAATGCAACTTAGACAAAAGGTTACAGTTTCAATACACATTATTCAAAAAATTTGCATTCGAAATTTAAGATAAAAGTACAATTTCCAAAAAAGAGTATCGAATCAGTGCACAATAAATATGCATTTACATGCTTACACTAGCTTGCACTAGTATTAAATAATTTTGAAATTAATTTTCAAATTATTTCCATACCTTTTGCAAAATTATTATGCTTATGATTCTAAGCATAGTTAAGCGATCTCGAATTTGAATTGCTAAGAAAAAATAATTAGTAAAAAATTTGTCTATGCATTCTGTATGATGCTACTAACTATATTAGCAGCATACCTAAAATCTTTTCAATATTTTTGAGGGAATTTGAATGGTACCGGTTGAGAGCTTTTTTAATTAAGGTACTATTTCGATAGAATTTGAATGGTACCCCTTCAATTTTGTGAGGGACCCCTTTCATTTTTTGAATAGGGTACCTTAAATGAAAAAAGGACCTTAAATTTTAAAGATAGATAATATATTTCTATTTTAATACATACCATTATTGCATATATCAATAGTGTAACACAATTTAATATTGAAAATGCATTTTCCCATTTATTTCGAAATTCAGAATATAAGTAAATATTAAAAAACAACTAAATACACACATTTCGCCTAATAACTAATCAACACAACCATAACAAATCAACTCTTTTAATTTAATAATTTTGATATTTTTGATTATTCTAAGTAAACATTAGACAAATTGCAACAATTTTTTAAAAATCTAAGCCAATTTTTTTGATTGTTTTAATCTATTAACTAATGAATTTTTTTATTCAAAATATTATATCAATTCTTTTTCGTATGCATTAGATGGATTGCAACAAACTGTTAAAAAAACCAAGTCAATTCTTTTTTGATTTTGTTAATATACTAATGAATTTTTTTATTCATAATATTATATCAACTCTTTTTTGTATACATTAGATGTATTGCAACATTTTTTTTAAAAAATCTAAGTCAATTCTTTTATTGATATTACTAATATACTAAATAATTTTTTATTCATAATTTTTAAAGTTAAATTAACTTCATGCGTCATTCTGAGATGATTCTTCAAATTTCGCGAAAGAAGATCGGTTCTTCAGCGAGAATATGATGCCACCAAGGATAAAATTGATGGCTGCAACAACAAATAACAAAACAGTGAGACCAGTCTTTTTGAGGCTGCCTGTGATACTCAGAATAGAGAGTGTTGATGTAATTGATCCAAACTGAACAACACCGAAGGCAAATCCGTACATTGAATTTCCGAATAAATCAGAAGTCATTGCAGGGATCATTGTCAAGCCCAAACCGAATGGAATACCTAGGAGAGAGAATATAATACCAAATCCTGTTATAGAATGAGCAGAACAAAAAACAATTCCAATTAAAACAGGAATTAAAGCAAAAATCATCCAAATTACACCGAATATCTTTGTTCTTATAATATTCCACTTGTTCATAAGTAAATCAAACAAAGACGATAAAAGAATTGTAAAAACCATATTAAGTATGGAAAAAAGAATTAACCACTTCATTGCATAGCCTTCACCATTTGGAGTATACGCTTTCCAGAAATCCGTTCCAGAAAGGATGACAAGCATTCCATCTGTGACACAAAACATCATTGTGAACAAAAGTAGGTAAAGTCGGTAATCTTTGAGGACACCAAGCTTAAATGATGACGAAGAACTGGCTTTATTAGCTGTAGGAGCTTGGTAGTTTCGATATAAGAAATATGCAATTAAAGTAAGGATTGAAGAGACTAGGATAACAAACATAGATATTAACTTAAGACCTGCCTCAAATTCGTTCGTATTTTTGAATACTTTTTGTCCGACATTGAAAAGTCTGGAAAGTAAACCAGCGGCAAGAGAAAGCGACGATGAGACGATAGAAACGGAGATACCGACAAATTTCGGATTCCTCGATAGAGCGATCTGTAGAATTGAAATAAAACACGATGAACATCCGAAAGCTGCGATAAAGAAGAAAATACAGAAGACAACATGCCCTGGAATGAAAAAGATGACTAAGTAACCTATGACCATGAAGACAATAGAGCATATTAGAGTAATAGTGTCTCCGAATTTATCCATAAAAATTCCTGCTGGAAGAGTAAAGTACATTAATGTAGTTCCGATTGATATCATGACACTAGCAAAAGTTTCATTAAAACCTAAATCTTTATGGAAGTTATCTTTGAGAGAACCGAAAATATTAATTGATCCGGTCGAAAATGAAACAATTGAAAGAAGAATTAGTGCACTGAACCATGGTATATTACTTTTAGGCGTGCCATCGGTATTTGTTATAAGTAATGGCTCTTGATTTACTTGTCCCATTGATTTTCTGAAGAAAAGGTGACAATATGATGAAATCAATTGAATGGTACAATTCACCCGAATAAAAAAGTTATTGATGCAATAGTCCATTTTTACTTTTTTATCAAAAAAAGTTCAATTCTGATATCAATGCGGTACAATGAAGAAAAACTGTTTTTATATTCTATCGGAAATACAAAAACATCATACCTCTGAGCTGCATTTTATATTTTTGTTCCAAATGCGTTTGAAAGAACAAAATGTTTGAAGATTTTTTGGAAATTTGTTTGATTTTATAAAACTTTTTGACCCAAAGTAGTTACATCACTCGATTTTTGGAAAAAAATACACAAGATCTGGAGAATGTCATTCAACATTTGGAAGAAGGTGATGTACTTTTCTAAGCAAATCTTTTAATTGGTACTATATCATTAAAGCCGAGATAATTTAATTTATTTAAGGAAGATCTAAAAAGTTATCATATAAAAACACGATATATTTACAAAACAAAACAAAACCCTCAAGCGTATTGAGGAATATATTGAGGAACGTAGTATACATTAATTGTTTCTTGGGAAGGATAGAATGAGGTCTGGTTAGTAGGCTTGCCAATTCTATTTCTAAGTACTGTATACCATCGGTTCTTAACAGCGCAACTAGTTCTTCCAGGGAGCTTAGATGCGATTGCTGTCCAGTGATTTCCGATCTTTTCGCATTCAACAACGATCAATTCATCTTCCCATTTCTGAAATGGTGCTTTATTGACGTCTGGACAAAGTCTGTGAAGCCATCTTTCACGGCATTGTTTCGGTGTTCTTCCTGGGACAGCTTTTGCAATTTCGTCCCAAGATATTGGTTGCTTCATAGTTGAAATAGCCTTTCGGAGTAATTCGTCTTCGTTCGGTGACCATAATCTTTTGAGTTGGTCTACTTTGGTTTCAATCTTTTCTGTAGTCTCTGTTGGTGACTTAGGAATGTTATGATCGAAGAGGTTCATTGTGTTAGTTAGTAGCTGCAGCTCGAAGATGCTAGGGATTTTCTGATGAGACGCTGCGTGCATGATTTGTATTTGTAATTTTGAAAAACGGTCAACTCCGAAAAAATCAAATAAAATCGAATTGATTTTTGAAAGGATGTGGCGGTTTGGGGAGGGTTGATTCAAAAATGAACCATGAATTCAAAAATCAGGACGATAGACCTCTCAATCGGAAAAAATCGATTTTTTTATTTTTTAGAAATTTAAGATGCATGACTGATATTAATAATTATACATTTAAGGATCACAAATTTTGAAATGAATGGTTAGAGATTCTGAAGAAGATAATTTTATATCATATAGTGCAGAAAAATATATTTAATGATTTTTCAAGCTCGGAAATAATGGATTTTTATGAGTTTCCCTTGAAATTGAGAGAATTTTTGTAATAGTTTTCAATTTAAAATAATAGCCATTCAACTGCAAAAAATCAGGAGATTAGCTTGGATACAGTCATTATATTGATTTAACCATCAATCATTTTTCAATTGACCAAATATTTCATTTTGAAGATAAACAATGCAAGAGTTCACAAAAATCAAGACAATTTTTCAATACTGCCTTCAAAAATGAAAATGTTGTCATGTCGGAATGGTAATGAATAATGTTTGCCATTAATTACTATGATTTTAATAAATCATTTCCTTTAAGGGTACACCCGTATGTACGTTTATTTGAGAGGAGGAGGATTATATTTTTGAAAGGGTGAAACATTATGAATATGTTAATTATATAATAATATGTATTATTATAAAAAAGAAAAAATAAAGCACTTTAATTTTTTTCTTTCTTGATTTTTTACAAAATCTACTTAGAATTATGCAAAATATGACTAAATAATTATAAATTTCAAGTTAAATTTTAATTTTGATAAATAATTTAAATTTCAAAATATCAAGTTCAGTTCGACTATGTATGTAGTAATTCCTCAATAAAGTGCCAAAACCCTATTAAAATATATGAACATTTTCAACATTTTAATGTTTTTATTTAAAAATTTGATGGAATATGAGCTTCAAACAATTATTATGTAAATAAAAATAATTAAATATATGTATTTATTCGTATTACAACCGTAGTAAGTCGATTCTTCCTTTCTTCTACTGAGGTTTGAATTTGATTTCGAATTGTAAAGAGATTCAAAGGGAAAATACTAGCGGATAAAAACTACCTCCATGAAAGGGTCATAATGGAGTCAAGTTGTATTTTTTGATATTTTTTGCTTTTCGAGCCTAAATAGGTAGCCAAGATAATGCCTAAAAATAAGGTTCTAAATTCTGAAGTTTACATGACCCTCTCGTGTGCACCCTTAATAATTGAATCTTCTCAATCAAATAGTGACAATAAAAGTAATGAAATAATTATTAAATCTGATATCACTCTTACTCAGCTATTCGTTTTTCAATTTATTTTTCAATTTCTATAGGTGTTTCAAGATTGTGATCTCAGAAATATTTGAGAGATATCACAAAAGTAAAAAAAATTGTGAAAACAAAAACTCTTACGGTTTACTATTATTTACATTTAGATTTCCAATATATTTACCATTTTTTTTAACTATTATGTAAATTATTCAATATAATTTTCAATTTATAATCACGTCCTAACAATAAGAAACAAAATCTTCATACATTTATAAAAAAGGATTTAGCAAACGGTTAAGTTCGCTTCAATTTTTGAATTGATAATTCAAAACTACTCATATGTTTACATCACAATCGCCAGAAATTTATAGTATGATCATATTTTCACATAATTTTTTTTCTATTCAAATTTCATCCCACAAATCAATAATGGCTTTATTACTGGACCAACCTTTATTCATTGCAATCCATAAATTATCATTCAAATTCCTTTCCTTTCCATTTTTCCAATTATTCATATTTCCAAATTGTATACGCTAATCCAGACCAATAATCACATCAAATTTCTTATACATATTACCCAAAGTTTAAGAAGGGAACTCAAGAATTCAATTATAAGAAATGTTGAATTCCTATTTTTATGATAGTACTTCATTCACCTATCTTAGTCAATTGCACACAATTTATTTTACAATACAATTGACATTGTATATCGTCATTCTTTTTTTGCGAGATGCTACTATGATTCTTTAAATATGTAAAAGCCTACTGAACCCATTCTACAACTTACCAATTCTGGAACTCGTCCACCAACAACATTATTATAAAAAAAAGCTAACAGACTTTTCGAAATCAAAATTTGTCAAAAGTGCCAAAAATGAATATCATCATTACTAATGTTATATCATTCTTATCATGTATCATTTGCGCAATATCGATCATAGTTACTGTCTACCTCAATAACGCACAGTTATTCGCAGAGTTATACGCAGCACCTCTTAGTGCTGTTTATTGCTCTTATGCAATCTTTTCATTTACTTCTTGCATCGGAATCGTCGGTTTCTTTGTTGCCAAAAATACAATTTTATCATCGTACATTTCCTATATGGTCTTTTCAGCGATTTTACTTTTCATTGCTTGCATTATGAATAGTTCTCATACTAAATTGATGCGTTTACAACTTAAGTTTCTTTACTCAAATGAATCATACGATTCAGCCAGAAAAAACGTCGAAAATAATCTCTCATGCTGTGGATACTCAACAGCATCCGATAAAATACATTGCAATAATTCGTTTGTAGAATTTTGCGATACAGTTGCTGAAAAGAAATATAAAAGCAAACTTCTAACCATCCAAGTTCTGAATTATTTTCTCTTAATTGCAGTTATGGCCACAATTGTCGAAATAATATATAAGACTATTCGTTCTCGTGCCGATAACTCAATTTCAGATAGTGCATTTTTATCTCGTTTTATTACTGTTACGTAATAATTTCCAGCTCATTTTTTCGTTATGTTTTGTTTGAACGTAAAAACTATCTTTCATTAGTAATACAATTCTTTATCTTTTTAAAGTTTTTTTACTATAATAAAAATATAAACTACAAATTGCTTTTGAATATGTGCATATTGGACTAAGAGAGAACACATGAATTATATATTGAAATATTGTGGTTCAAATCTTTATTAATTGTAATATTTACAATATTCATGAATCGAGTCCACTGATTGAAAAATGGGTACTCTAACATTGATGTAAAGAGGCATTTTCTTAGATTAAGTTGGATAAAAAAGATAAATATTAAATTATCTTCGATATTTTATTTATTTAACTAAAGAATAATGCATATAATGAAGAAAGATAAGTAAAAATTTCAAAAGATTTTTTAAGTTAATAGTATATCTCATATATTTACCAATTATTAAAAAAAAAAATTATCAAAAATCTCTAATCTGTTTTCAGGGTCTGTTGAAGGGCTACAGCTTCTTTGATATTTCTACGCCTCATATCATCACAAAATGACGCAATAGACATAGTTAGTGTTCCATCTAATTTAATTCCATCTTTTATCAGATCTGTAAGCAATTTACAAAATAGTCTAGCAATTTTCTGAGCACCGACGTTATCTCGCGCCGATCTGATTGCTGTAATATTTGTATTGCAAAAAGTACGTAAAGAAGTTAATCTATCTGAAGAAGAAAGTATAATAGCTTGGATAACATCGGTTGTTCCATCAGAAAGTGGTACTTTTAGTATAGAATCGATATATTGAGCGTATTTTGGTGCGTTTGTTTTAATTGCTATTTCTACAATACGTGGATTCATATCAAGTATCTCTATAATACTCTTATCATCGATAAAATCGTCTAAGATCGAAGGATCGGATGCAATGTGGTTGCACAAATTCTTTGTTTCTGTAGCAGAAAGAGGCGATTTGGATGCGCGAGTAAGTAGTTTCTTGGCAACGTTTGTGGATTCTGCAGAATGATTTTCATCAAAGATCATCATTGGCTCAGATCCAGAAACAATAAATGTTTGTTCAAGCTCGTGCTCAAATAATGGTGAAAGCTCTGGCTCTGGACGAATGTAAGGAGGATCAAAGTCGGAGCAGTATGATACGTTTTGCATTAGTTCTGTTAAAACATCAATTTGGCTAATTTTTGGTTCATCTGATACGCTTTGATCAATAATGAGAGGCGAAAGACGAGTAAAATTATATTTTCCGATATGGACGTCGGAAGGTTCTGGTGCAGAAAGTGAAAAATTTGGTCCAAGAATCTGGCTAACAGAATAGTCACCAATATCATCAACATTGTGATTTGATAAGATGCATCCGAGAATATCGTATAACTTAGGGCTGTATGTGTTAGGTTTGCTTTGCCTGATATCGAATATGTATGAAAAAAGCGGTTTGAATGGATGTTCATCAAATGATTCTGTTTCGAATGACTTGTATATTATCCAGACAGTAACAATTTGCTGCTGGTGATCTAAAACACCGTCTGCTAATAAAATTGATAAATATTTTAGCGAAATTACTGTATTTTTCATATCCATAGCGGATTTAAGGGTTGTTTGCAGGTTAGATAAAGTATCTGTTGTGTTTGTAATGATCGATATGAGTTCTTTTGTCTTATCAAGACTCAGCATCGATACATGTGTAAACCATTCAAATTGGGGCGGTAAAATTCAAAAAACAATAATCTGTCATTTTTGTTCATACTAGCCCTTGTTTGCCTATGTTACTCAGATGTGTAAACATATCGTGATAACAAATCACTTATTTTTAACTCTGAAATTCATATTTGACTATCATGTTTCACTTTGATCGCTCAGGGTTGCTTTAGCTTGCGACTACTTTGTGCTAAAACTATAATAACTGAGGATAGTTTATTATATAATTGATAGTGAAATACCATAATTATCAAAAGTATTTGATAAATTTCATGAGAGTTGGAAATTTCTTTAATTCATGCAGCATAACTGTCACATATAAGGTATACATATAGTTTTAATGTTTGTATGCCTCATATATTAACTAAATCTTAAGAAATTTACAGATCCATGGAATTTAAGCTGAATCGTTGAGCTCACTCACTGAAAAAGGAATAAATATGGCAAAATAGGAAATTGTAAGGCTGAAAATGAATATAAATGTTAATCAATTCATATCAGAATGCAATAGTTATTTGACAATGTTATAGTAAATAATTCGACATTAGAGAGTACTGATGCACTTTACACTACCTTATGAGGCTGTAAAATGAACAATGATAAAATCTCTTTCTCAAATACCATTTATCATATAAACAAACACGTGAATTGGAACCAACACACTTGCAGCCTTATCGACTGAGCAATAATAGGCTCATTGTTGCCGAAAATTCAATAAAAAATAACGTTGTCACTTTTAAATTTCATTTCAATTAAAATGTCATCAAACGAAGAAAGCTACGAGCCTCAAGAAGACATAATTCAGTCTATTGAGGAGCACGAACTACTTCAAAATGATTCTATTGGAGAAATATCAAAAAAGCTGAGGGAAACCGAATTAACAATACTTCAAGCAATTACATTACTTAATGATTGCAGAACAAAATATAAATCTATAGATTCGTTTAAAGTATTACAATATACAAATGTAATGTTTGGCGATGATTACGGAAAAATTTTGGATCTTCTCGGTCTCGTTTGCAAAGTATTAAAGTTACCAATCATCAAATCTACATACTATACACTCGATCGCATAATTTCGGTTCTTAATTCTAAAGAAGATGAAATAGAAAAACTGAAAAAAGAAATCGATAATTTAAAGTTTATTAATTCGAAACAGTTTGACGATGTGCTTTCTATGCGCATGACTCTTGAGTCGAGGAATGCAGAAAGCAAGAAAAAGGACAATATAACCGAAAATATTTCCAAGAAATTATCCGAAATGGAGTTATCAATAGCACAGAAAGATGAAACAATTCACAGCCTTAAGAGGACTCTAGAATCAAAGGATTCAGAAATGAAAATTAAAGAAGATACGATCAAGAAGTTAAATACTGAAAAATCTTCACTCGAAAACTTCTCAAAGACAAGTCCTACTAAAAGTGTTGGAAGTCCATCAGGAACTAAGGAGTCAGATGAAGAATTTACAAAAATTTATGCTCTTCTCGAGAAAAGTACGAAAGATAACAATAAAGAGATCATGAAATTCTTCTGTGATAACGGATACCTTAATTTAAAGAACCACTATGGTGACAACATGATACTCCATGCAGCCTGGAACAATGATTTTCCACTTGTAAAGAGTTTGATTGAGTTTGGTGCTGATCCGAATAGCCAGAATGATAACAACCATACTGTTCTTGCACTGTTTTGCGGATATGGTAATTTGGAAGCTGTTAAATACTTGTGTTCAATTAAATCTGTCAATATCAATGTGAAGAATAAAGAAGGAGATACTCCATTGCATTATGCAACATTCCATAGTGAATTGCCTGTTGTTCAATACCTCTGCTCTCTTCCAAACATTCAAATTAATATCAAAGATAACTTTGGTAAGACCCCATTCGCTTGGGCTAAGACAGATGAAGTTAAGAAGTTCCTCAGAACCAAAGGTGGTGTTGCTTAAGCCCTTAATGTTTTATTTTGTCAGAATAAATATTTGATTATGTTACAATTCTATAGTATAGCATCTTTATAGTTAAAAATCATAATATCCAGAAAATGCAAATATCAAGGATTAAAAAGGGAATGAATATTGAACAAAAATAAAATTTCATAATAAAATTATTGATATGAATGGCATACAAACGGAAATTATTAGGACTGGACTTCAACAGTTACTTTTTAATCAATATTTTTAAAGATATTAATGAGATGAAATTTTAATTTTAAAAAATATCTATGAAAAATATGAACATAATAAAATGTGATGGTGAAGACTATTTTTTACAAACATTTCGTTGACTAGAAATAAAATAAAAATAAAAATAAAAAATAAGGATTAGTTAGCACTTGTATCAACGAACATGGTCTTAAGTCTGTCTGGATGGAAGTTGGAGCTTGGCTTGGTCCTTCTCCAGCCGATGTATCCTTCAATAGCGGAAGCAACGTAAAAGAAGAATGCAAGAACAGCAAAAACGACTGTTGGACCTATTTTAACTGTTCCGAACATTCCTATTTGAGAGATAATAAAGTACTTTTGTCCACCGAAAAATGTAGTTGGATAATTATTTTGAATTAAAACGGCGTATGTGCCCTTAGGAAGGTCGGATTTAGATACAGCATATAATTTTCTGAAAGGTGCGAAAGCGGATTGCCTCATCCAAACAATAAAATGTTGATCTTGAATTCCTTGAGGGAATAAGCCCGAATCTCTAAGCCATTTTGAAGAATTTGCATAGGTATCATTAGGGGCTAAATAAAGATCTGAACTATCGATACTAAGAGTAATATCACTTTCATCGAAAGAACTGTAGTTGAGAAGGCTTATTGTATCATTAAACACGGCAGCTGGTAAAAGTCCGCAAGGTACGTAAATGTTTGCCATATGTTCTGTATAGTTGATAAAAGTCCTTGGTTGACATTTTTGAAGTTGTTCATCTGTAGCGTTTTGTCCACGAAGTTGCTGAGCCGAATAACTGTTGGCAATGGTTCTGTGCAATTGATAGAAATTCGTCAATTTATAGTATAAAGCGATGGGTCCTTTCATATTTTCTTCAATTGTGATATTAACGATGCAAGACGATTTATTACTGCATTCTTCATCGTAACGCTTTGTATATTCTTGAATGTTTTGGAGAGTATAGCCATAATAAGAAACTAAAATTAAGTAAATGACGCCTAAGATATAAAATAAAACAGATATGCAGAATGGAGTTGATCTAAGACGAAGACGTTTAAGGTCTTGCTGGACAATCGGTTGGGATTTAAATGCGCCAATATTAATGATACCTTTCATAATAATTATTAAAAGTGACAAAAATAATCAAAAGTGTTTTATCCGACATTTCTACAAGGAATTTAACAAAAACTACATTAAAATAAGCTGGAATGCTGATAATAGAGGTGATATATGATAATTATTTAGCTATATATTCATAAAATTGGGTCAATTTCCTTATTATTCTTCCTAAAACTATGTTAAATGCTTAAGCATAAAATGTACAGTATATGTTTATGCTGTAAATGAAATTTTGAATAGTTAATTCCAAAATTGACAAAATTATTGAAAGTGACAATTCTAAATTTTGTAAAAAAGTGACATAACAATGCCTAGATTTTTAGTTAGTGGTCCTTCACGTTCAAATCAAGTTCGTAAGTTCAACAAACAATATATTCCAGATGATAAAATTGTTATACCAAATTCTCATATTCCTGTTCCAAAAGGAGAGTTAAAATCATTTCCAATGTCACTTACAGCGTTCAAAGATTTAATTAAAGGCTTGTACAATACAACATTATTCGATCCTAATGCTGGATCAATCGAAGATATCGCACTAGTTAGACTACTTGACAATCCGGCCCATAATAACGTTTATTTCCATAAATATGTAAGATTAGAGAGTGGTTTTTGTTATGCCATGATGATAGAAACAACGCAAATAGGTATTCAGTCTGTCGCAATAATATATTTTGATGAACAATGCAGTTTAAAGACATTCCGTCCAATTATGGGTAATGCCATTAATAGAATTACCGGAACATTAATTACAGGAAGTCAGGATGATGTATATTGGTTCTGGGAAGAAACAAATTGGGGATTACCAAGACCTCATGGACCTATCAAATTAGATCCATCAGAATTTGAACGAATTGTCATTTCATTCGATTTAATAGAAAAAGAAATACAGTCTCGAGCTAAAATTTACCCTAAACCACCAGAAGATTTGATCAAACCTAATCCAGATGATGCAGCATCTACAATGCATAGAAATGGATTTTGGGTTTGAGTTTTCTGTTGTTCTCGAACTATTTTTTTATTGAAAATAAAGGTGACCAAACTATTTTTTGAAAGTCCGCCATAACTTTAATGGTACTATTTCAGCGTGTACAATGAATACAAAAATTCTAAGAGTGCCACATAAAATAGTACTTTAGACTTGAGTTAATGCTACCAAGCAAATGTTAAAAAGATGACTTTAGTGTTTTGATAATCAAAGATTAAAATCATTATTGTCTAAATCAATAATCATAACGACAGAAGTTAATGTTTTTTCATCAGTGCTTTAAATCCACTTTTAAAAGTATACCTCAAAAATCAAAATATCAAAAAAAATTGGCCGATAGGTTTGGCTTTAATTTTTGTCTGCTTTTATGATTTGATATGGATGTTATAATTTTAAAAGTTGAGCCAAATTCACCAATAGATTTTTGAGATTTGCAAATACTCAATAATTTTCAGCGTGTTATCTTTTATTAAAAGAACTATTTGGTTTCAGTATCATATAAATTGATATTTACTTTCTATTTGAACCTTCATTTAGCTAATGATTTAGTAATACAGATTTCATCTAATCCTTATAAGAGAATTTTGAATTTGTTATAATAAAAAAACAAACAGATATAGCTTACACTTCTATAATAAAGATACCTTTTATAGAAATCAGTATGAAATGTGTTTTTTGACACGTAAAGCTCTCAATTCATTATAACATGTTTGTCGATTTTTATATATTTTTCGCTTTCATTATCTATGATATTAAAAATTATGTCATCAGAATGTGAAATAATTAAACAAATGCCCTGCGGGAAGTATTTTATACTAGAATTTATAAAAAAAATCACTGTACGTTTAGCCTACTGGTTATGTCGTGGGGTTCAAAGGCAATATGTTCAAATCAGTAAGCACCCAGTTTTTTTATTTTTTTATTTTTTTTTAACAAGGTGAATATAACTTTTGATCGAAATCAATGAGTTACATGAATTATCATTTATCTAACTACAATTAAATTGTGAAAATATACTATCCAATATTAGCGTTTAATAAAATCAAAGATTATTGACTTATATTTTGAAAGTAATCTAAGCAGAATTTAGATATCCAAATTCTAAATATCTTCATGCTTAGATGCTAGATAATATATTCTTATTTGAAAAATTTATAATGTTATTATTTTCTTATTTGATATTTACTACAAGCAGAAAAGCATTTATATTGTAAATTAACAGATTATGATAATTATACTCGTTTTTATATGTTCTTAATGAAGAATATCAAACGTATTTCTATGAGTTTTAAAAAATGAAAAGTTTTAATATGGCTAATATATTTATTATCATTAATAGAATAAAAAAGTTTTTTTCGCATATCACTCGATGATTTACCTTCGAGTTTTGATAAATTTCGAAAAAATTTAAGGAATGCTCTTTGAATTTCTTTACCTATAAGCATATTATCTGCCGTATTATTTTTCGCTAATTGTAGAATTTTATTTAATTTTAATAATTAACCTTCTAAGCTTATTGAGAGATCACATTGTATATTTGATACGTAGTACATATGCTAAATCTGTGAATTAGATTGTAAGATATTGAACAAACGTTCTTAAACATTTTAGATTTTAGGGAATTACTGAATTAAACTATATTTCTTATATGATATCTTCATGTTTGGATGCTTTGGGTATAATTTATTGGGCTTTTTCTATCCAAATGTTTGGCAATGGTAACCCAATTTCTAACAAATTTATGATGGAAAAATTTATGACTTTTATGGAGCCGAAAAAAAAGCATAGAATGAATAAGACTATTAAAGATAAGCTGTAATTTGATTGTGAATTTTAAGAAAAGAATTTGGATTAAAATTTGAAATTCTTTTTTTTGAAAATTAGCCGATGATATGCTTAAGCTAAAAATTACTAGAAGCGGTGTGATATAATTTATATAAAAAAACTCATAATTGCCATTATTATTGGTACATATAAAGTCAAATTATAATTTGCAGTTATGCTTTAATCAAAATCTATATTGAAACGCTTTGTCACATCCATTAAAAAGGCTGTCGCATATAAATCCAAACATTTGCTTGGTATGTACTTTTCCATTTTAACGTCCTGATTGATATAAGCATGTTTTACACTTTAAAATAGTAATTATGACAACCTGTACACCATAGAAGTAGGCTATAACAAGAAAAATTAGATTGACATCGAATAATTTCAAGATTTAGAAACAATTTGTAGCTTTCTCAATTATCTAGAGTTAAAATTCATTTATAATGAGGTCATATATTTTAATTATCTTGTAATCAATGTTCGAACATTACCATTAAAGGAATTTTTACTTTAATTAAATTTAAAAAATATAATTTGTGACTAAAAATAACAAACAAGTTTAATACAAACAAAATAGTATACAAATATACAAAAGAACTATCATTTAACGAATATTTCAATCTGAGATTTGAAATTTATGATAGTTATAATAAAGGAGCTCTATTTTGAGAGCTATGCAGCGAAGTAGAGTGTGGTTACATGACTATAATTCACTTTGTTTTCAATTGTCATTGTGCGAAGTGTACTCCTTAAGATTTGTGAAAAATTGCCTTTATTTATGAGATCAACAATGTGTTTTGGATGACGTTTCGCATTTAGAATAGCAAACTCTAGATTCTCATATGTGATCCCGTTATGAAATCTACTTAATGTATTATGAATGTATGTTTCAAAATCGCTGAATTTGTTTGCCTTCTTGGCAAAATTTGATGGTAAAATGACATTTTCTGGGAATAATTGAGCAATATGGCTTTCTTCATATAATGGATCATTTTCAAGAGGATCAGATTTGTCATTATGAGGATCTAAATCGTTTAATCCTTTCTTGCGTGATTTTTTTTGGTTGGGTTGTCAAAAACATCTTTTTTGACAGATAAACGTGAAAAAATACTATAACCTGAAATTGGATTTGATATATGTGTTGACATTAAAATTTTTGAGTGAAATTGATTAATTTCATTCACCCAACTAAGCAATACATCAACGCTGGAATTACTATTATATCTAAATCCACATTTGGATAACAAGGCATATGCATATTCTTTGCACATTTCATATTGACGTGAATCTTGACGCATTGTGTAAATGTCTTCAAATGTAATACCAGCTTGATAGTCACGTGAATGGGTTTTCCAGTCAATATCGTATTTTTTATGAATTTTGAGTGTTAAATTACATTCTGCAATAGATGTTTCGGTTGTTGACAAATCATACTTAAAATGAGCCATGACGCGAAGTAAACCATTCAAATGTTCTTCCGTCATGGTTGTCAAATGAGAAAAATTGAAAAATGTTGAATTAATACTGAAAAAATATTGGAAACAAATGATTGTTGCTGTAAGATGCTTTACAACTTCCCAAGTTCCCATATAATAGACCGGATAAATGTTTCCGTCTATTTTGACAACACCAAGATTTGTCTTAATGTGACGGTCTCTCATTTGAATGCAATGATGTACCAAGAGCAGATATGCAAACCACATCATTTGACATCTTGTGTCAGCATTAAATGCCTCATTTCGTATGCTTTCATACCAGAATGCAAGTGGAGCTATGAATAATGCTTCATTATAATAGTTTTTTTCTAGAAGCGCCTTTACAGCTCTAATTGAAAATATTGTGATCGGATATTTATCTTTTATCCTTCCCAGAGGTGAAGTATCATTAAGAGCATCACCTAATTCGATTGCATCTCTGATCTTGTTAACATCAACAATTGTATTCAGATCAGATGGATGAACTAAAAGCTTAAGTGTTGCATCGAGTAATCTGGTACGTTCAAGTTTTGACATATGTATGAGATCATTAATCCATACAACTTGATCTCCTTTCTTTAAGATAGCAGTAGCTCTTTTAAATATTTCTTCGGGATCATTACCTTGCAAAATTTCATTAATAAATTCATCTTGATGCTTATCATATCCGGGATCTCCATCAGTAATGATGACTCTAACTCTTAAGTGCTTTCGTATTTCTTCGATTGCTGCATCAATTTCGTGGATAATTCCACTTGCAAACCCATTGGCATGTTCTATAACATGTAATATAACATTTGGCGCATCAAAATTTAGGGGCATACCAAGAAATATGAATAAGTATTTGATTTCTTCTCCATTTTCATCAACAGGACCTTTTTGGTCTTTAGAGGACCAGGTAGAGAGTGCAACTGCATCTATTGCTATTGCCCATTCATATTCAGGTGTATTTTCTACGTGATAGTTCATGCTTTCTAACATTCGCGGAATGAGCTCAGCATGTTTAACAAACTGTTTCATATTCATTATGTCTTCATGAAACCTATTGTACAATGTTACAGGCGTAGGAAAAGGTAAACAAAATTCCAAGAGAACATCATATGCTGCTGGTGATTTGCTATGTATTAAGAATGCCAAATCTACCAATTCACTTTCACCTCCATATCTATAACCTCTTTTATCTTTTCTACAAATGTTTTCCATAATAGTATGTATAATATTTCTTGTAAATTCAGGAACATGTTCCGGAAATTCTGTATTCCAGTAAGTTCTGTCTTGGTGATCATCGTTGTCTTCTTCTATTTCCTTTGTTTTTCTTCCAATATTCTTATTCAACAGACTTCTGCGCATTTCAGCCTTTATTGCGTCTAAGTCTTCTAGGTAGGCTTTATACATATGCATTTTTCCGGTTCCTGTATACGGGAATACCTGAACATCAGTTTCAAATGATCTTTTGTAAATTTGTTTTCGAATATCTTGATTAAATTTAACTAAAAACGTTTCTCGGTCTCCTTTTATTTCAATTTCAAGTTCTTCAATCTTCTTTTTAAGTTCGTTGATGTCTGAGAGAGGAATATAGAATCCAACATTCATTAACTTTTTGAGAGAATGTCAGACCAATCTGAATAAAATAAACTTAATATTTTCTATAATTTCATACTAGAATAGAATTGGTAATGATATTTAATATCTTTTTGCTTCACTTGTAGAAATTATTTTGAAATTAATTTTTTGTAATCGACAAGATACAATTTTGTTATGACCAAATGTTGTCACTACTAATTTAAATTCCATTTACAACAGCTACTTTATAAACATCCATCCAAAATTGAAGATTCCTAAAATTTCAAAATGGAAATATGCAATATGAATGATGAAATCATATCCAATAGTTATGAAATTCATCATACATAAGATAAAAGATAGAAAAATAAGCAAATATGAAAATTTAATGCATAATGATATGTGAATAACTGTAAAATTGCAAAACCACATCAGCATCAATTATTGGCATAAATATATATTCTTTTGATTGTATATGCATTTCTGTTTTGGAAATAACTTTCAGATTAAACTTGTTAAGCCCATTCATAGATAATTTGCACGAAAACAGTTCTGAACAACTTAGAAAATGGTCTTTGTCTAACTACCAGAAATAATTTATTGATAGAAATGTCTTTTAAAAAAGAAAATTTCATATTAGGCATCCGTAAAGGTTTTTGTTTGAATGTTGGGGGTTAAGGAGTGTAATAGTCAAGATATTAGATAACTAAGTGTATGAAGTTGTCATCTATGTTGATAACAGCGGAAAATTAAAAATAATTATTAAATCATAACTTTTTGTCTCATGAAAACCATAAAAAAAGTATAAAACTAAAGGTTTTTGCATGTGAACTATAGAAAGCTTTAGATTCATAAAAACTAGATTTTTTTTGATATTTTGATTTTTGAGGTATACTTTTAAAAGTGGATTTAAAGCACTTATGAAAAAACATTAACTTCTGTCGTTATGATTATTGATTTAGACAATAATGATTTTAATCTTTGATTATCAAAACACTAAAGTCATCTTTTTAACATTTGCTTGGTAGCATTAACTCAAGTCTAAAGTACTATTTTATGTGGCACTCTTAGAATTTTTGTATTCATTGTACACGCTGAAATAGTACCATTAAAGTTATGGCGGACTTTACAAAAAACAGTTAGGATACTATAAATCTAACTGCCAATTTATACACTTTCGGCTAAGGAGAAACATAATAAATTTAACGCTTTTCTTAGCAAGGAAGCCATATTTTTGATTTGATATCATTTTTTAATACAAATTTATATGTGTTAATGCGGGGGTAAACATACTTTGAAAACCAATATGCTATAATTTTATATTATAATTTGAATAAAAATTGTAAATTGTTAGTTCTTGATGCAGCATTCAAAGATAATAACAAGATAGAACGATTTTCAAAAAGGAATGTTTGATTTTATCATTGAATTAAAATAAAATTCTAATAGTAATATATATGTCTGTGTTATAATGAAATTGATGGTATACGTTAGCACCAAATTACATATGCTAGTAAATACAAGCCACATAAATAACATTTTAGTATGTCTGCAACTTTTTTTTTTGAATCATGAGTAAGTAAGAATATTTTTGTAACAAAATGATATCATGTATCGAAAGAACATATTTTATTGTTGTATCCTCTACTTTTCCAAAGATTATTGTATCTCAAATCTTAATTCTTTAGATGGTAAACAAAAACATTCATGCAAGAGACATTCCAAGGAGCATATTACACTGTAGAATCTTGAAAAAGTTGGAACTAATTAATTCACTCCAGAGGAGCAATGTTGTATGCATTCAATTTTAAAATAAAAAAAAAACTATATATTATCGAACTTAATACTTTGGGTTTTCATATCTATATACTTCTTCCAATGAACTAATTTCCAAACAAAGCTCTTGAAAAATCTTTAAATATAAGATGACTTTTGCTTATATTTTTTGATTTCTCGATAGCAATGCTAGGATATTACAATATTTCCATGTATTTTACTAGGTTGTAACTAGTTGGCATAAGAGTACATATATAGAATCGCTCCGACTATATATAATATAATGTTTATTTAATATTACTGTTTATTTTACAGCTAAAGCTTAAACTTATAGTGTATTTATTTTTTAACTGTCTGAATAATGGCAGATTATTTTAATATTTAACATTGATATTGAAATATGAAATAATGCATTTTTCCTTTTTAGCTAGAACACTTGTTTGGGCAATATTTTTCTTTTTTAAACACCAAAATCACATATTTCTCTTATATATATCTATTTTTAAATTATTTTGTTGATATTTTGACAATTTGAGTTAAATATCGATTTAATTCTATTTTTATGGGTAAAATATATATGTATATATCATATTTCATTATTGGTTTGTTAATGCAATTCAATTCTTGGATCCTTGAGTTTTCATTTGAAAGTTCAACTACAAATAAACCTTTCACTGAATATAGGTACTAAAATTTCATTCTAGAATAGCCATTCTTATGGTTTTATCAATATAAAACAACATTATATTTTTATATATTCTACTTGCTAATTACTTTTCTAGTTTCAAGATAAAGTTACTTAATCTCCGATAAGATGCATGAGATGTGAATTGGAGATATCGAGCATGCATATTTCCGAATATACTACTATATTATGTACTATTGTGGAAAGAAATTAAACTTTGTAAACTGAATGAATTTCATATAATGGTTGTCTGGCAGCTATGATTTCTCTTTTCGTATTTATTTTTCCCGAAAAAATCATTTCTCTCTTAGGGGGCATTAACAACAATGATAAAAATGGCATTTTTCTTAATTTTTTTTGGAAAAAAATACATTTCATATTTATTTGTTCTTAATATAAATTAATAATATTAATTTACCTTACAAATGAGTTATGTAAAGTATTCAAATTTTAACTACAATTTTTATGCAGTCGAGCAACAGCAGATGCGCTTTTGCTTGATTTTTATTATCACCAGTGCCGTCTATAGTAAATAGTTTATAAATAGAACAACTGCACTCTTAATTATCACCAAAATAAATCAAAGATTTTAAAAATTGATTGTAATTATAGTTAGATTAACCATCATCACTTGCAAACTGAACTAATTTACTACTTCTCCAATTAACACTCATGAACAATGTTTTTTTAAAAAAAATATAATTTTTTATTCTAAATTTTACATTAACATGTCATTTATTATGATCTCATAAAACATATCCATATATTATAGTTACAGTAATATTAAAATTTCAAATTTTGAATTAATTTGGTTATATTATGACCATTAAGCCAAGATCCCAACTTCTCTATGCTATCTATGAATTTCAACTCTATATGTAACTAACACGTTATAAGTTTTGTTTATAAATATAAGGTGCATTTCAGTAAATTACTCTTTTATAATAGTTCTTTTATTACAGCTATAAAATCTATACTAAATCTATATGTTTTTATACTAAATTTATTAATTGTAATACTAATTTTAATTGTTGCTGATCATATGCTAAATTTTAATGAAATCCTTAATTAGAAACTTGAGTTGAATATATATTATATGAAACAATCGGTGTTTAAAACAAAATACAGCTTGATTTATATAGTAATTTATGCTTTACATGTATTTTATATAAATTTTTATTGAATTCAAATATTCAATAGTTTTTTTATGCTAGATTAGTTGTATTTATTTAAATATATTATATTGGCAACCTTTCTTTACCCTGTCCTAATAAACGCATTTTGTAAAAAAATATAGTGCATCAGTTTCGAACTAGCGTCCCCGGTACCCAATAGTAAGGGGTAATAACCATTCGACCATTTGCCACATAAAGCATCGTCAGATTTTTTTGTATTTAATCACTCCCAAAACACTGTTTTGGCTTATTGGAAGCATATCAGACATAATCGCCATAATCAAAAAATCTATATACCCAATAAGTAATAAATTTGTCGATATAGATTTTCCATAAAATTAGTTTTTAGTCTGATCTTAAAATAAATTTAATTTTTTATAAAAAAAATCACATTTAAAAGTACTTTTTTAGTAGCTCGAAATCCTGTTGGTGGATTTCGGGCGTACTTCAAAATTAGCTTTTCTTCTACATATGCAAGCTATATTTTAAATATGGGGCAAATCGGATCGGCGAAAGGAGTTTAGTTACCTTTTTGAAAATTTATAATTTGTTATGCTTTGTTCAAAATGTTCTTATTTTTATGAATAAATGTTAATTAAATAATTTAACAAGTTTACTTATGATTTGATCAACAACATCAAACCTAAAATAATAATAACAAATGCCATCCAAAGATGCTGGAATTTTGTTCTATCAATGGTTTTATTAATATCATGATGAGATTCTTCGTAATTTTCTTGCGCCTTTTCAACATCTGCTTTAATAATTCTAATTTGTTGATTTTGGCGGGTTATAAGTTCATTAAATGACTTAACCATCATAGCTATATTGCCCATTTGTTCGTCTGTTACGTTAAGTTCGGAATTGAAATCAAGAAGTTCATCTACAATATTATCATGCTCTTGGAGCAAAGATCTCTCGTATCCAGGTGCTACAACTGTCTTTTTCGGTTTTGATATTTCCATTATTTTTGCACTTCTTGCATTGTAATTTTGAACAGGAACTGGAAGTGTAGGGATAGCTGCACGTGATTTTGATATTACATATTCTCTTTGAACACATAGAAACTGCAGATCTCTACGTGCTTGGTTTAGATTTTTATCAAGATATGCAAAAACTCCTTGACTGTGATCAATTGCTTGACCTTTCAGGCCCATTTTCCCGGAATTAACATTTTCTGCTAACTCTGTAATTAATTTTTCTAATTTATTAATTGATTTTTCTGTTTCTTTAACAAATGCTTCCCTTTGCTCATCATCCATTGAAGAGCTAAGGGATAAAATGGAGTTATATTTATCAATAAAAGAAGGAGCTGTGTCTTGTATGGATTGAAGCAAAGATTTAATTGTATTCGCAATTGTTTCTGATGCCTCATTAAATGGATTTGAAATTCTGCTTTTTAGGAGTTTGTTTAAATCTCTATCATCTTGATTTTTTGATAGAAATGTAAAAAACTCCACTGTTCTATTCATTTTTATAAATCTTTAGGGGAAAATTAGGAATCCCCCCTTAATGAGTTTTATAGGAATGCGGCGCCAATAAAATTTAATCAGTACATAAGCTTCTTGGATAAATCAATACTTAGCGAAACGAAAGAATGACATATACAGACCAAAAACAATGCATATGACACATATCTCGGTCACAATTTCGCAATCAGAATTAAGTATGGAGTGGAATGAAACACATACAAGTTCTCATTCTCTACCTTAACTAGTAACCAAAGCTCTGGATTATTCAAAATTAAAACCATTTCATTAGCATGAATAAATAGAATATACTTACATACATCTGCAGGAATTTTGATGGTCTCACAAAATGAATATCTAATTTTTAAAAATTTACAACTTTGAAGGAAATTCTTTTCAAAATTTTGTCCCCAATATGATTTGTTTGAAAGAAATCCTTTCTAGTAATTTGTAAACATTATTTATCACAAGTTTCTTTGACAAAAAAAGATCTGGTCGAATTTAATTTGTCACCTTTTTCCATTTGACTATGCTGTTAGATGCTGACGATCTCGACCTTTCCGGCTCAGGATCAGGGTCGGAAAATGAGGATAAGTCGGAAGATAATGCTTGGGATGCCCCAGCAGCCGTTCCAACAAAGAAGGAAGAACCTGTATTCGAAAGTTGGGAAGATGCCCCAGATTACGAAGAATTAGAACGCCAAAAGAAAGAGGCTGAAGAGAGAGCTGCTAGAGAAAAACAGGAAGCAATCGAAGCCGAAAAACGTCGTAAGGAAGAAAAGAAAGCATTCAGAGAAGCTGCAAAAGCTAGATTAATGGAATCTTCTAGTGATGATGAAGGTGGCCTCTTCGATATTGAAGCTGCCCACGAACAGGAAAAGCACCAGGACTTCGCTGTCGCTATGGATATGTTAGGCGCTACAAACGAAAAAGTTACAGTCGATGATTACATGAACTTCGTTCCACGCGTCGTCTCTGACTTCAACGGTCTTCGCCAGAAGCTTGTAGAAGTTCTTAAGCAGAAAGTTGACTTCAAATCCAAGGAAGCTCCACAATTACTTGCATATTTCATTCGCTGCCTCATTGATGATTATAAGGGTGAACAAATGAAAACACTCGATTCTGAACTCATCAAAATAATCAACGAAAAATTACAACAAACTCGTGCTAAACAGGGTAAGAACACGAAGAAGAAGACATCCACAAAGGTCTATATGAATATAAAAGATGACGGCAAAGATAATGACGACGACTTTATGTAAATATAATTTTTAATTAATTAAAGGATTGATATTATTTATTTTAAATTATCTTCACGTTTCAGGTTATGGTTTTAATGGTATATAGTTGTTGAATTTTTTTTGAAAAAAATCTTTATCATAATCATTGATTTTCTATTCAACATATTATCCTTAAAACGCTTATGGCCAATACACCATATGCTTTATTTGATTCGCATAATCGATCTATAGTTATTTTCAATTCGATGGTTATTTTTGTGTCTTGTATCCCAACTGAACTTAAACTGCAATAGTAAATGATGTTGGCATGCGCCAGAAACAAATCTAAAATCTGGAAAGTTTGAGAGGATTTTGAATATGATGATATTTGTGTGACAGTATTTGATGAAAGCAAGATATTTGTTTTAATATAACGTATAATATACAATGCATAATAGCATTACTATTATATGCCAGAATTTAGGCTATAAGTTACTTTTCATTGATGCCATTTCATCGAAGAATATGACATCATGAAAATTACAAAAGTATTAAAATGATATATCATCAGGCTACGTAATTTTAACTTAATTATGGATGCTAAGCAAAATTAAGCATATTTCCAATAAAATCATTAGTTTCCAAATATAAGGTAGTCACAAAATCTAAGTAGTGAGGCTCTCAAAAATTAAACCGTACTCCATACAAAATTTGTGTACCCTCACTACTTAGATTTTGTGGCCTTCAATTGAGAGGTTAGTTTTGATAGAGCACGTTATAAAATTAAAAGGGAAAAATAAATAAAATTTAAACATTTAATTATATATAATGTAAGGAGTGTAATTCCAAATTTTCTAAAAACTATTCAAATTTGAGCATTTTTTTGGAAATAGTAAATCTAATATGTACATCTAATAACAACATGATTCGTCACCTTTTCAAGCTCTGCAGTCAATTTTTTGAAATTTGATTGAAATAAATGTAGCAAAAATTACATTTCATTAGGGAATATCTGAGTTTCTCTGGAAACAGGCTGATAAATTTTAAATTTTGTCCAATCAACATGAATGCATTGAGAAATTTGGATTGATTTTCTGGTAGAATCTGGAACAATTCAACCATGTATAAATGGATCATGTAATCATCATGAAATGTTAGTGTTAGAGTTCAAAAGAAACAGAATGAGTGGAAATCAAACACAATCTGAATAATTTTAAACGTATACAATCTTTAAGTTTGTATTTTGAATTCTACATATATGATTGTGTAATTCGTTCTTTCAAATTTTCGGATTCAGGCATGTTTTGATAAAATTCATTCCAAAAAACGTCAATTAACAATTAAATTTAGTGTATTTTAAATATATATACGTATTATATTTTATAAATTATATTAAATTCGCAAAATTTTAAGTTTTAAACAAAAATAAAAAATGTTCAAAATATGAAATTATGCATAGGATATTAAAATTTACATGTTAGCGATTTTTTTGAATTGCTTTCAATTTTCATATTGAAATTTTTAAGATTTTTTTCTGAAATAATAAGCAAGAATATCAACCTAAATAATATTAAATTCCATGCGTTAATTTCCCCTCAAAAGTCATTGACCGCCTCTCAATCTAGATTTTGTGAGTACTTTATGTCTTTATTCAAATTATGAAAAACAAAAAACAGAACACCACTTATTTTGATATCTTTGGCAAGGTTCAAACAGAAGTTGGTGTTCAAGAGGATTCCAATACAACCGAAATTAGTCCAATGCAAGTTAGAAATTTCGCATTATCAATTTTTAATGTTGTATCTATTCCAAAATGGGCAAAAATAGAACACTCATCACTTGCAAAACGAGTTATATTTTTATATTTCAACGGTATTGATCTCAATAGATATAATAAATACTTTGATGAAATTAGTAATTTCCATTCTATGAAAGAAAATGGATTTCCTGTTACAGTACTTGCTAGTCTAAAGGGAAATAGGATAGTTCCTCCTGAACAATCTCTTCTCGGATACGCAATTAATCCAAAAGAACTTAAATGTTTCTCATCTTTTGACGAAATGCTTCTTTCTGATCACAAATTACTAGATAACGGATTTCCACTACCAGAAGATCCAAATCGCGAAGATTTTCAAGGAAAGCACAGATTCGAAGAATTTGGTATTAAACCACTAACGCCAGAAGAATTATCTCGCTTTAAGTGTCTCCCAGATCATGTTGATAACGCTAATAAGGTCATTGCTTTAGATTGTGAGATGATTGAAACAACATCAGAAGATGGAGCTAAACATGATGAACTTGCACGTCTTTCAGTCGTTAATGAGAAAGGAGAAGTTATTATTGATGAATATTTCAAACCAATTCATCCAGTTTCTGATTTAAGAACGCATGTTTCTGGAATTACCCAAGAACACCTTGATAACGCAAAATTAACATCAGAAGATGGTGTTTCAGCGTTGTCTGCCGTTGCTGACAAGGAAACAATCATCGTTGGCCATGGTTTGGAAAATGATTTCAAAGCTTTACTTTTATTCCACACAAAAGTTGTTGATACAAGTCTTATATACAATAACGAACGTGGAGTAACATATCCGAGAAAGCCGAAGCTCTCAAATCTCTTCCAAAAGTATTTCAAGAAAGAAATGAGAGATCAAACTAAACCTCACGACTCAATCGATGATGCTCGTGCTGCTTTGGAACTTAGTAAATTCTGTCTCAATCACGCAGTCTCAAATGTCCCAATTCCTCCGAAAATTCCTGATATGTTTTCATCTCTCTTGAAAGCAGTGACTTCTATTGATGTTTTAGCTCACGAGAGGATGATTAACTTCAAAGACTTAGATCCACGTGTTCACTGCATCCTGGAAGACGAAGATGAGCCAAGAAAACAAAAATTGATGGAATCTGTCAAAAATGATTCATCAGAATTTGTTTTTGCTTACTTCAATGGAATGTCCAGATGCGAAGTAAACGAGGAAGAAGAGAGAAAAGCTGCAAAGTTCTACAACGACGTTCTTGGAGATGTTCTTAGTGTAATGCCGAAATCATCTGTATTAATTGTATACAGTGGTGGTGGCTCAACAAGAAGAATATCAGAGCTAAAGGACATCCCTGCTAAAAATGCTGAAATGAATTTGTGCAAACAAGGCCTTTTATGGGCTAAGGCTACCCCACCTGAAGAATAATCCTCATATTTTTAATTATTGTTCCATATTATATATAGAATAAATAGAAAATAGATGTTTTAAAAATATTATTTTTTAAACTCGCATTTCAAGAATTATTATTCAAAGTTCTAAACTTAAAACTCCTGTTTGGACAATTAAAAAGTCAGATTTATTCATTGTTTTATATGATTTAAAATAAGAATTCAAAATTTCCATATGAACTTAATGGATAAATCACTAAACAAGCATTCTTAACTGATTCTTATCCAAGAATGGAATGTATCTTATCCATAAATCAAGGTGATTTACTAAAATGCAATCTTTTCTTCATATTCATTTATTTAATGGATAATTCATGTGTGATTCTTATTCGTTAACAATATGCACTTGATTCCTATAAATATTAGTAGAGAACTAAAAATCCTTTTTGCGCTTCACACCCATAAATTTAATAATAAGTGAAATTAAATGTCACTTTTCTATAAATTATAAATGGCAGAGAGTGCTGAATTAAACTTATATCAAAAATGTGTCTATTGTCTTCCTTCGAAAGCACCTTACGAGCCATGGTATGGTCAAATTCCAAACAAGGAATCAATTATGATTCCAACGGATATTCCATCAACTCTTACTGAGTCAATGGCAGAATCGTATGCCACAAGTCCTGAGCAAGTTCTCAAAAAATTCTTAGAAACAAACCCTAACTTTTATAATCCAAGAGATATCGCAAGAATTATTTTCCATTCTCCAAATATTTCTCCATACGCAAATGCTTTCATTATTTACAACTCCGATTTTGCTGTTCAAATGCACAAAGCTCTTTTACGTTCATTCATTACAGCTATTGACTTGGATTGCGTTTCGTTAATCGACGCTATTTCAGCAATCACAGCAAAGATCGCCATTCCAGAGAAAATCATCGCCATCCAATTCTTCGTTACAACATTTGCGCACATCTACTGCATTAGAAACACATTAGAATGGCCAGATAAGAAAATTGTCGAAGATATTTTCTACGCAATCATTGCTTCTGCCCTCAACAAACAGAAATTTGCAGATATAATCGATAAATACCAGTCATTTAAGAAGATTTCGAAATACGTTCTCGATCAAATTTCGTTCGAAGTTGAACATCATCCTCCACCAATATATTTCACCGCTTTACCGGTTAATTTCCCTCAATCACTTGAAGCAGAGTTAGAGCATGAAGGCCGTTTCATTAACTCCTGGAGTTCATTTTATTATGAATTTGCAAAGACAAATACAGGCAATGGAGAAACAGGCATGATTAAATACTATCCGAACAAGAACAAGGATGATCTCCGCGGCGAGATTCCTCTTGAGTTCGCTTTTGCTAGTCCAAAACAAGGAATCAAGAACAAACCATGGGTTTTACAGATAAGCAAAAGAGATGGTACATCATTTGGTCGCAAGAAGAAAGATGGCGTCATGAAATCAAGCCCTAGAACACAATACACTTTGGCAATTAATAACGAAAAAGATCTTCTTACTTGGATATCTGCTATTAACTTCAAGTATGTCCATACTGAAATATCACCTTATTTGATACCGGCTACTAAATAAACAACAGATTTTTTTTAATATTAATATTTGATATTTTTTTTTAAAAAAAAGGTAAGAAAAAAATTTTAAAAAAATCTTGTAGATCATTAAAGACTGGTAATTAATATTGACCATAACGAATGTTTAGTTAATATTATGTTTAGATGTTCATCTTCCTCCTGCGCCAGTGGCGTGTGAGTGGGTTACGGATGTGGCGAACGCCAGTCATTTGGCGGATGAACTGTGGCATTGGGCGGTTAACCTTCATTGCCTTGCAAAGGATGCGCTTTGTACGGAGCGTCTTATGTGCGGCCATCTGAGAAAAGGGTTGACCAAGCCGTAAATTGTTCTCAACTTTTCTGAAGAAAACGATTATTTTAACAATGTTATTTATTTTGGCCTTTTCACTAGGAATTTAATATAAGCATAATATGAATAATAAGATTATAATATCAAATATGCAAAACATTATTTTGCACGTTATTTTGCCAATGTAAAATATTTCAGATTTACATGGCAAAAACTAATTATTTTTTGGAATTTTATATCACAGCAATGTGGTTGAGAGAAAATTTCGTTGAAATCATAATATACTCGTGCTAATATTTGAGATTATTCATTGCTCAATTAATTTTCTAATAAAAAAACAAATAAATTTGTAAATGTTCATGTAAATATATAGATTTTAAACAATATTTCAAATGACCTGTATAACATGATAGTTTATTCCGTAATTAAACAGTTATTCTTTGGCGTAATTGACTTTGATACCTTTTTCGTTCATCTTTGACAAAATGTCGGTGAGTTTTCCATCTTTAGTTGGACGGCCATCTGTATCAATGATATTTCCGTCATCGTCAACATAAATTGTGAGCTTAGGAAGTACTGGAGGTGGTTCATCGTCTGATTCGTCTTCATCTGAGTAGTAATAGTACTCAATAATTGGCTTGCTATCACGGCGCTTCTTACCATATTCTCTGGCATAGTAATTGTGTCTAGTATCAATTCTATTCTTCTTGTATTCGTTGATTCTGGTATTGGGTACTGGAATTGTCGTAAGTAAGTTGTATCCACCTTCTGGCTTTGGAAGAGCTAAGCGAATCTTGACATCATGAACTTCTGGACCTGGATATAAAGTATCCATAACTTGAACAACATCTTCTGAATTTGGTCTGATGATTTTGATGAGAATCATACCTGGGTAAAGTGTATTTTGGTTAAAAGAAGTGTTCAATTTTGAATTTTGATGAACCATTTTTCCTTTTTCTATCTTCATTGAATCCAAGTTTCTTGGTTCGAGTTTGTCGTTCAAGCATTCAAGGAAAATCGTTTCGTTGCAGTTTATTGGGAAATATGATAAAACGTTCATTCTTTTTGTTCTGACGACCTGACAGATGAGTAGCATAGGCGTAGTTTGTATTCCTGATGGAACCATCTGTATTCTGTGTCTTAGAATTCCATAATGTTCGATAACTTGTTCCCCTTTGAATTGGAAATGAGGATAAGGTGGTGACATATCTCTAACAACTTCTATTGGTTGCTTGAAAACAAAGCTGTTTGCAAAACCATTTACACCTGTAACCGAAACCTTTATCACGTCAGGGTTACCGTCGATAAGTAAGGTTTCCATAACTTTCAGCGTATTATTCTTCCTATCTTTATTTACAAAATGAAGAATGGTCGCGTTCGGGGGAACAGGATATTGATCGTAAATGAAAGGTGGGAGTTCCATCATATGATTAAGCTTACCATCATCATTAGTAATATCATCGATTGTTCTTGAACCGGTTGGCGATTCCCTTGAAATCCAAATAGAAGCTTTATTTGGAATTATCGAATAAGCAACAGTGGAAAAGTTTTTGATATCGTTTCTCAGAGCGAGAACGTAAATAAGCTTATGGTCTGATGTTTTTTCAAGGTCTGGAAGATCAGATACTTTTGTAAAATCTTTTGGAGGAGGTAAGCAGTTAACATACTGATCTTCAGGTGAACCTGAGCTATCTGAGCTTCTAGAATGAAATGAATTTTTGGATTTGTTATGACGGCGTTTAACTGTGCGTTTCGGCATTCGAAATGATTTCTCTCAAATTGAATTATAAAAAATCAGATCAATTTGAAAAGTCCATTATTATTAGAAGCAATTTTAGACAAGAGTTAATAAGGTTTTGACAGTTAGGCCAATTAGATTCAATTGAATTATTTCGAAACTGGAAATATTTCAATAAAAATAGAGGATTGAAAATACAACAACAAAAGTAAATATTAATTTAAAATGTAAAAATATAACCTTAAATACCGATAGCGGTTGTTGATCTAATATCACGCATAGGAAAGTATTTTTGAGTTTAAAACATTGAATGTTGATTGAAAATTGAAAACATTATTTATTCAAATTTCAAAATAAATAAATAGCATTTAATATGGAAAGTATATAAGACAGCATTTTATTTATAAAATTTTATTGAATTTTTGAATCTGATCAAAAGGTTTCTAATTACTTCATGAAAATTGCATCAATACACCACATTATCAATAAAATTTAAATGTGGTCTCAAAGCGAAATTGTTCGAAAATTTTTACAAATTTGGAGTCTGAGCATATATATGCTATTCTATTTTGATGTTACATACATTTGTACAAAATTGATCATGAATTCATGCAATTTCAGATCCATTTTTCCCATACTAGGCGAGAAGGAAAGAAAGCAGACAGATCATTTTTGATAAATGTATATAAACCAATTTAATGTCATTGTAGTTTTACTTTTCGTTTTACAAATAAAAAAATTAAAATTTCTATCATCATTGATTTATAGATATATAACATTACAACCTTTTAATTTCTAGTTCTAATTAATCCGAAAAACAACATATTTTACAACTGCCGTTTCGATAAAGTCTGAAAACACCGATTTGTATTTACTATCAACAGACACTTTTAAATATACCAAAATTTGTTTGAAAATTCATTCCGAAGGTATTTTGTTGAAACATTATTTAATATCAAATTTTATTGAAATAAAAATAAAGAACATCAAACATTATATTGAAGCATATTCCCAAACACTAAGTGATTGATCATCACCGCTCATTAAAAACATCCTCTGCTTAGGGCTATGAGCGATTTCAAGAATATTTCCTCTATGAGCATTCTGAATTGTGTACAGAATAGTTTCTGTCTTGTAATTCTGAATAATGACTGAAGAATCTCTAGAAGCGGAAATAATAATCGTATCGTTAGCACTAAACGTAATATTTGTAATAGGAGTCTTATGGAACGATAATGTGTGCTTGCAGGATGCTGGGCCACGCATAATATTCCATATTTTGACTGTAGAATCTTCTGATGAAGTTGCTAAAAGTTGAGTAAGCGGAGATAGATCAATTTCTGTAATTGGTGATTCGTGTGCTTGGAAACTGTTCATTGGTGGGTCGAAATCTGCATTATACATTCCGACGAAGCCATTTAAGAAACCAATCGCATAAAGATCGGCATCTTCGTTTGTAACGATCGAAACTATTGGTGATGGTTGTGGTGTGAGTTTTTTGATCACTTCGTATGTTTTTGTATTCCAAATAATGATTGTTCCATCATAGCCGCCAGTTATAAGCCATTTTCCGTTAGGAGAAAATTCAATGGCTGATACTTCCTGCGAGTGTCCTTGAAAGCAGTTCAAAACTTGGCAGTTTTGTGCTTGAACGAGATATGCATCATTCAAGTGGCCACTGAAGGCGATTGTATTGCTATCCGGTGAAAATCTGATTGCTTTCTTATGCAGAACAACTGTTTGAACTGGTGTATTAAGAATTGCGGAGGAAATTGCTTCTCCATTTTCTGCCAAAACAACGATAATTGAAAGGCCATTTGTAAGTCCGATGTACTTTCCATTTGGAGAGAAACATGCGCCAAGTGTTGGAACATTCGAGCTTTTATCAGTATGGAGAGAGTATTTAAATTTCAAGTCGTTTTCACCTAAGTAACTTTGATGTTTCGTGATACTTGGTGGTGGAGCATCTTGTGGAGGCTGTTCAGCTGGCTGAGGAGTAGGTGTTTCTGGCTTTGCTTGTGTGGGAGTCGGAGGCATCTGAGGGGGAATTTGTGCAGGCATCTGTTGGGGAGCGGCAGGCACACTTTGTGCATATCTTTTTGATTGAGATGCCGTGGCTGTTTGGCTTTTTGGCTGCGGCGGAGTGTATCTTTGAGCACTTTGTTTTTCAATTTCCGTTGGATCGAAATTCGGCTGATCTAATTGCTGTCGAAGAGTTTTAAGAATGTTTTTCAATATTTCTTGATCTTTCATGCATTGCTTCAAATGAATTAAATATTGATCCCTTATTCGATCTAATTTTCTGTTTTCATCTCGAAGTTGGCATATGCTTTCTTGTAATGTATGAACTCTCTCCAAGACTTCTTGCATTGACGCTGGTTGTGCTGGTTTTATTGGTATGACAATATCCCGGCGCATAGTCATTCTGAAATTTGACACTCTCGAATAAGATCAACATAAATTATCATCAGTTTATAAAAAATATTATGAAGCATTTGAAATAATTAAGTGAAATTGAGGTTGCTGACTATTTCAGGCAAAATTACATCAATGATGAAATTTCAAACCTTGAAGAGTATATTGACCACTATCATCGTTTCGATCCATTTAGAATATTATTTCACATTTTTCCTTAAGATTATCGCATAACCTAAAATTCTTAATAGTTATTTGCAAGTTAAGATCATTACATAATGCAAAAATTATATACTTATCCTGGACAAAATGTTGATATATGGGTAATCAAAATATAAAAGAAATTAATAAATATCTCAATAAAAGATCATTAAATCTTGATTTACAGAAGATTTTTATCATACGTATACCAATTAATTTGATATTTTAAAGCTCCGGCTATCAAAATTGGTATTAATTAGATACTTTGAGAATATCGATAATAAGAATTCTTTTATCATTATATTTACTCAGTCATACATCATTAATGGAAGAATTGAAGACATTAATGGGTAAGATTTAGCAATATTTCCAATTTTTTGAATTTGATTTCATATCGCAAAAATTAGACTGAAAGCGAAGCTATCGGAATTGGTATATGTAAACTATTATATGTGATCAATGTTATTTCGCAATGAGAAAAAACATGTGTAAAGTTGATTTATCTTGATTTGAAAAATGCAAAATTTGTCACTTTTCAAAAAATTTTATGAGTCAAGCTTTATTCACTAACTTTAGAATTCCAGAGAAAATGGTTCCATATGTGAACCTCCAGGACATACTTAATGGTCTTTCATTGAGTAATATTGATAATGCCGTTAAATATATTTCTGCAAACTTTACTCCAGGTTTTTATGAAGAATTAATTCTTAACATCATTCATTTTTCGGAAATTAGACCGAATCTCGTAAAAGTTTACTCTCTTCTATGTAGTATGCTTCTGACAAAATTAGAACCAAATTTTAAGCCAATATTATTCAGATTATCCAAGGGAATTTTCTTGCGTTACCTATTTCTCGAAGGAATTTATTCATTAGAAGATATACAATCGAAATGCAAGCAAGATTTAACTCAATACTTTTACTTCGCTCCAGAATTAGATATACCAAAAGAATGTGAAGAAATTACAAAATATGGATCAATATACAAGCGTTATTATGAATTACGAAAAGATAATTGGCGAAAATATAAAGATTTATTAGAATTAGGCTTCGATAGAGGAACTTTGCGTTTCTCATTGAGATACGATGATGTTGATTTATTAGTTTCTCTATCATCAGATCCTACATGGACTTTGTCTAAAAAACTTTTCCCATCTCCTTTCGAAAATTCTTATCCTATGTCGATGTTGGCGTTCGCTGCTAGGTACGGATCAGAGAGATGTTTCAAATGGTTACTTGATAAAGGCGCAACTTTTGATGCAGAAGTTCCAGAAAATATTATTATCGGAGGAAATATGAATTTATTCAATATTCTCACGCAGAAGAAAACAAACTTCAAGCATGAACTCGTTACAGCAGCTAAATACTTCAGAATGGATATTGCGGACTGGTTATTAGTAAATTCAGATAATTCAGAAGTTTTCATCAGTAATTTAATCGAAAGTTGTAACTACAGAACTATCCTTTACTTCGTAACACCACAGGATATGACAGATGCCCAAATTGGGCCTTGGACTCCATTATGTCGTGCAGCGGCCAAAGGATTACTTTCATTATGTGTATTCTTCGTTTACCTTGGCGCACAAGTTAATCCGAGACACAAAGAAATGCCAACTCCGCTTCACGCCTGTTCTCAATCTGGATACATCGAAGTTTGTCGTTTTATGGTACAGAACGGTGCAAAGATCGATGCTAAAGATGATAACAGAAACACTCCTCTTTATATAGCAAGTTCCAAGAATAATTTTGAAATTGTTCAATTTCTTCTCCAAAACAAGGCCCAGATCAACACAACGAATGAGGATCATAAAACAGCACTTGTAGCTGCTACAGAAAGCGGAGCAAATGAAGTTGTTCAATTATTACTTGAAAGTGGCGCAGATCCTAATATTACTGACCAAATAAAGAGAACGGCCATTCACTATGCTGTTGAGAATAAAAATGCTGAAGCAACTCTTCTTCTTGTTAGAAATGGAGCAGATACGAAATTGAGAGATGAAGAAGGACAAGATCCATTTGATCTGTGCTATTCTAGTCAGGTAAAGCAGGCGTTATGCGGAAAAGAGCCAACAAATGATAGTGGATGGCTTTCATATTTATGGTGTAGAATTAATTAATATATTTTTTGTTGTTTATGGTTAAAATTTATGTGTGACTAAACTGTAAGTTATTTTTGATCTCTATTTAATACAAAATTTCATTCAATGGAAAATATCGATTAAATATGAAACAACATTAGGATATTTTCATAGTACACATGCTAGGAAAGTTATTTGTCTGATATTAAAGCTTTCAAATACTGATAAAATTTTTGACTAAAAATCATTTTCATATTATCAAATTGTCAATATAGAGTTTGTTGATGTTATAAAAATAGAAAGCTTTGTCTTGATTCTCAAGTGACATGGACTGCTATTTCGAAAGAATTGGAATTGAAATATGAAATTAGATGCGGTGTCTCACTTGAAATTAGTATTTAATTCCAATGAAGAAGTTTAACATTGAGTAAAAATCGCATATATGAGGGAGGGCCAGAATGACGATAGAAAAAAATTCTGGGGTTTTGGTCGGCCTTTGAAATCTAATGCCTAAGGAACTCGCTCCAGCTAAAATTGAGACAACAATCCACCTCCAGAAGGCCGTCCACGGAACAACACGCAGATTCCGTGCTGAGAGAGCTATCAAGGTTATCGCCGCCGCAGCCAAGAAGATGATGCACACAGATGTTGTTAAGATCGACCCAGAGCTTAACTCCCGCATCTGGATCCACGGCAAGAACTGCCCACCAACACGCGTTCGCGTCACATTCGAGCGCAAGGCCGATGAGGAAGATGCTGAGAAAATGATCACTATCGCCTCTTTCAAGAATGTTGCCTCATTCAACGGCCTCCAGACAACAAAGGTTGTCGATCAGTAAACATTATTTGACCTACATTGAAATGTTCAAAATCTTACCGAATTTTATATACAAAATATCAAAAATAATTATGAATATAATTTCCTATAATAATCATATTACTAAGTCTTCTCTTTATTTGTGAGATTTTGATTTTTAATTGCCAATATTTTTTCAATTTTTCTTTGGCATAGCTAAATTCTGAATATGAAAAGACATATATTTACTCATTCATAATGCATTATAACCTGTAATCTCTTTAATAAGCAGAGTTAGGAAATGAATAAAAAACAAATAATAATGGTATCAGCTTATTAACATTTTAATTGTAATTGTAATACAATGAACTTAAGTTTTACGCATTAATTCGACAAGGCGTAGCATATCGAATTTCTGATGAATTGCGTTAGTAATTTGCGAAACATCAACATCGGGTACATTTGGAAGTTGGAATGTTTTCCACTCAAATAATTTCGGTGCTTCCTCATGTACATCGTCAAATACAGTTGGATATTTTGGTACTTGATGGCTTTCTGGATTTTGATCGAAAGGCTCAATAAATATATTCTTAAGCTCCATGTGGATTGCTTGGAAGTCAATCTTTGGAGGGGGTGATAATGCACTTAATTTACTTGAAATTGCAGGGTTATCTATTCCTGATTCGTTGCCTTTTTGATTGTTTGGTAAATTTAAGTACGAGCTAATGACACCTTGCTTATATTCATCGCTATCATTATTATTTCTATTGTAATTACGGTTGTTTCGGTATTTGTTAGCGTCGGGTTCAGAGTCCGACGATGAGTCACTATAGTATATTTTCATTTGTTTTAAAAAAATTCAATGAATCAAAAAAAGTTGATTACACTAAGGGTTTCGTTTTGCGAAAAAAACGTACAATACGCAATTTCGCTAAAAAAACATTTAGCTAGCAATTTCGACCTTTGACTCCACTCAAGACGTCACTTTTTTAATTTTGCGGTATCATATTTTTGGAAAATCTTTATGAATATTATATAAAAAGTCTCTTTAATATCTATATTTCATATTTTTATCGATTTTTAAAGTTTTTGCGAAAAGTATTCAATTATTTTTGCTATTTTGTCGGGTAAATGTCAGATTTGCGACATTTTCTGATATGATATTCAGATTCTACGTTGATAATAATGCTTATAGAACCCTCTTGCTATTGTGTCAAAATTGCGAAACCGATAGCAAAAATATCTCGCAATATCAAAATTGAGATATTGAGTGAATTATGCATTATAGAGATTAAAAATCTGATTTGTGAAAACATCTCATCAGTTTCTAGCTAATTCAAAAATCTTTACTATCTTATTCGATTAAAATGAAAAGGGAATAGTTTCATTATGCTTTAAATGACATCCTTATAATATAATCATAGTTTTCGCTCAATATGCAGCATTTTTTTTCGAAATCTATGGTCAATATCCTAAATACTGATTGCTTTGCATTCATATTGTTTCATATTAAGTTCTGTCAAAATGTAAGCTATTGAATTTTTTGAGAGGGAAATAATCGTCGAGGAAGTAAAAAGTGACGCTTTAGGAAATATTATTAGAAATATGATAATAAATATATTTGGAAAAAATATGTTTTTTTCAAAAATTGAAATGTTCATAGAATATTTTGAAATATGTAGGGAATTGAATTCGGTAATATATGATAAACAGGATTTTTAAATTTCAAGGAAAAATAGCTTTTGTGAATACTTTTGAGAACTCTTCTCAAAGATCATGATTCAAATATATTAAGGAGCCAAAATATTAGAGATGAGTTCACAATCAAAATTTTCTCACTTTTCTTCCAAATTGACATCCTTACTCACCACTTTCAAGTTTTTCATACATATATCTTACCCATTCATTTGGAATACGAGGTCTCGAGTTTTCGTTCATTTTTTTTACTTTACAAAACTGTTTATTTTTCAGAATTTTTAAATTTGAAAAAATCCATTCTATATCTGATAAATAATATATTATTTTTCAATCAAAATATTTTGATTATCATCTCAAAAGTGTTCTCAAAACCTAGTTTTTCTTATTTTGGATAATCTTAATATTTATATTATTATAAACTAATTGAACACCATATGTTTTTGTATACTTTTACAAAAAAATTGATAGATTTGTGATACTTCCCCCGACGATAGAATTGAATAGCTTACATTTTGACAGAACTTAATATGGAACAATATCTCTTACATTTTCTATACCCACATCACTATTCATTGCTATTCCTATCTTTTTCATTTTTGTTTGTTTCTCATAATTTCTCAAAAAACATGATAACTTGATATTTGTAAATATCATACTTTATAACGTAAATAAGAACTTGACCTATTAAGAAAAGCAGTAATGAAAAGAAAATCTGAAATTCATAAAAATTACAAGTTTCTGATGACAATTAGCTTAATTAAACCAGGTACAAGATTATATAATTGTATTTTCTATCCAATTATCCATATAATATCTTATCCAGAAAAAATAACTTGATCAATACCAAATGATTTTTTAACTAGTAAATAAAGTATTTTCTTTACACACACATTGTATATCATAGTTTTTTTTTGGTTTCGCAAAATCCAAAAACAAATATGCTATAAAAGTGACAATTTTAGCAAAACGAAACCCTTAATTACACTTTTTGGATAAATTACTATACAGCTATAGCTCATACTTTTTCTCGAGAAAAATTTCAATGCTGCTGTGTTGAAATGTCAGAAAAATTTTTACGCTATCAAGCATATTGCCAATGAAACATTGATATGCCATAGAGCTCAAGATCGTGCTTTTATAGTTTTAATATCTCTATTTTTAATATTTCTATGTCATCAAATCATTAATATTGCTATCTGATAGGCAGAAGATTAGAATTTTATGGAAAAACTCTAATCATTATATGCCACACTTCTAAGAGCAGGAGAATAAGAAATTAATTCAAAAATATATTTAATTTGGAAGTATTAAGTTAAATTACATTATTTAAATTGATATGCAAACAGTATTTTTAATCATAACAGTCAAACAAAAGTTATTATTGCTCATCTTGTTCTGTTAATTTCAAAAGTTCGTCGGCGCAAGGATCAAGCTTCTTAACGATTTCAACTAAACCTTGGACAGCGTTAAAGACATTTTCTTCGATGTTTTCGTCTTTAGGAATAAAAATCCCAACTCTTTCGAGTTCTTTGCACAAATCCATAAGCATTTGTTTATCTTGCATCATTTCTTTCTCCTGCTTAATTGGATTTTCTTTGAATATAGCTGGTGGAACGCTAATCAATGTTTCATGCATATTTTGAATAATTGGGAGAACTGGTGGTGGTTTGAAGTGCTGCTCAGCTATTTCGTTTGTAAATTGCTTATCTACTCCTTTAAACCTGAGGTTGAATTGAATAGCTAAGTCTCTAAATTCTTCTATCTTGGGACAAGGATAAACCAAGCTCCAACCTGATTCAATTAATGCTTGAGCAATAATTGGATATTGGCTTGCAATTTCGCGCTCTTGAGGAGAAATTAATTCTCCGTTAATTTTCATTAAATGCTGGCCAACAACAATTAGGAGTTCAATTCGGAAGTATTGTCTTTCAGAAAGAGGTGTATTTTTAACACATACGTTTGCTAAGCGATTCTGCCTTGAAAAACCGAGATAAGAATTTAAAGGTGTGTTATTTGCGATAATAGTACTTAAAACGGGTTCTGCTGGAAGAGTTTCAAATGATATTATATTTGAGTTCGAAACATTTAATGTTTTCATTTTAGGTTGAATTCCAAGAGGAGTGAATGAAGGAATTTCAATATTTTTAAGATCCACTAAACCCTCGCGACTAAGATTAACTCTTTGTGTTGCAATTTTGTTCTTTAATTCAAGAAGTGTCGATCTTTCAGATTTCATATTTTATTGACGTTTATCTGTCACTTTTTATTCATTGTATTGTCTATTTCTTGACAGAGGGATATTTCTTAATTTCTTGATAAAATGAATATGAATATGCATATCTTCACTAGAATTGGATTTACTGATTCAGAAATAAACTTTATATTCTCATCACCAAAGACGTATTCCATAATTTTTTTGAAAAATGTGGAAATTAAGCTCAAGTTTGAAAAATTCACGAAGATTCGATTGGGATGAATATTTTGGCAATGAATCCTATGTTAATAAAGAGAATGATAGCACACCACTCTTTATAACTGAAAATGATGCCCATTATTACATTTTTAATTGTCAGTTTGTAGAATGTAAAGAAAATGGTGCAATTAAGGCCACATTTAGGAGAAGAAGCATCATACTACTTGAAGAGTGCACTTTTAATAGGTGTAGTTCCACTTCTGCTGGCGGATCTCTCTTTTTTGATTGTCAATTAGAAGGAGAGATTGTTCAGAAACGTACCTGCTATTACTTATCAAAAGCAGAAGTAGTATATATGGCATTTATTCAACAAGTTTTAGATAGTAGTGACTACAAGAACTATGCTAATGAAACTTCGATCTCTTATTGCGGCGAGAGTGAACTTTCAGGAAGATCTACATTATATATTGGATGTGGCAGTGTGGTACAAGGGTGTGTAAATTCTCAAATTTCAGGGGAAACAACCAAAAATTAAGTAAATCAATTGAATTCCATTGTTGGCTGCATTCTTATATCCAAACAGTTTCTTATTGCAATATTGTTGAAAATAAATGCGGAATAGATAATTTTGTCCGTGCTCACAACAAAAATCGATCACTGCATTTTTTTAAATAACGTTGCGAATTTCATGTTTTTAGTGAGTCCAGAACCTTGACTATTTCTGATTCATACATCGATGATAAATCAACATCAACAAGACAATATGAAGGTGATGTTCAATTTACTAATTTAATAGAAATAACGATTTAAATACCATCTCTCATTTTTGCACAGAAATTTGTTTTGTAGATTCTTTCTAGCTAAAATTGAAAAAAAAACTCCGCAATCCCTCAACTCTTTTCATTCAAAATGTAATGCATGCAATTCTGAGAACATAGAGGATTTTTAGATTTCTTTGCTCAAACTCACAATCCTTACAAAAGTAAATAGTAACAAAATGCCCATTTAAAAAAGAATTGATGAAACAAACAAATTTTCATCTTGAATTCCAATTGACTCGTGCTGGTGAATAAAATACCGCTGTAATTCCTTTGTTTAGACAGCACACAAGTATATTTACATGTTTCATGTTTATTGTCGATTTTGCATAAAGACAGTTTCTGAATTCTTATCAATATTAAAAATGTATATAAAGTAATAACCATTCTTTTTCTAAATATAATATTGATAATTGTATTTACTAACACTAATGTAATAAATAAAAAGTATATCTTTTTGGCGTTCACATTTCAGATTATTCATTTGGAAATTTGCCTACAAGCATTAAAATTAACTCCATAGATAGAACATATTGTTTCAAAGTCTTTTTTTCATGAAGAGAGATTGAATATACAAATGCCCGAAATCATGATACAATTACAAATGTTATAAACACTTCAAGCTCGAACTTACCTTGTTTGATGATCTATATATTTATTTGTTGTCATATTTTCATGAATTGGATTTATATGGAATGAGAACAGCCAACCACAAAATGAATAGTTTACATTTTCGTTTGATAACACTCACTGAAATAATTCAATGTGACAATAGACCATAAACCATGAATACGAAAGAGTTTTTCTTTACAACCTCAGGAGCCACATATTCAGAAATTCGTTTCAAACGATCATCATCAGTTAATTAAGTCTCCTATGACGTCAATAAATTTAAAAACTCGATTCAAATTTGACAAATGCAAGAAAATTCAGCTGGACCGAACATTTTGGAAACGCATATCATATTAATTTAACAAATAATGAAAAAATACAACTTGATAATGCAAATGATAGCAATTATTACATTTTCAATTGTCTCTTTAAAGAATGCACGAATACCAGCGCCATCAGTATTAAAACATCTGCCGACATCCACACATTACTTGAGGCCTCCGCTTTTTACAATTGCAGTTCAATGTATGTTGCTGGTTCTGTTGATTATGAATGCGAACAAGAAGGGCAATTTGTCCAACAACAAAATTGCTATTATGCATCAAAAACAGAAAGTGTATTTATGGCATTTGTACAATCAGTCAAACGCTCTCCTTCAAAAAAAACTACTTATTCGATGTTTCAGTTTCTAATTGTGGAAAAAATGAATTAGAAGGAAGGATAACAGTTTCAATTGCATATGGTGATATCCGTTTAATGAATAACAATATCACAAACAATAAATGCGATGAATGTCCATCAATGTGGTCTATTCTTGAAGAATGCCCAACTTTTTGCAATTTCCCCACATTCAGAGGAAACAACCAAACTAGAAGATTTTCATTTCATTATGGTTGTAATACCTTTTCTCTAACTCAAACAATTTCTTATTGCAATATTATTGGAAATCAAGATAGTGAAGTTCTATTCTTTTGTAACCACGCAATTAATATCAATCATTGTATTTTTTTAAATAATATTGCAAAGTATAAAAAAAAAAAAAAAAAAAAAAAAAAAGGGAGTGGGGCTTCCAGGCACTTCGTGCCTTCTAGCCCTGAAGATGTTTAGTATAAATGAAGTTTTTATTCGGAGGGCTTCCAGGAGCTTTTCTGTCACTTTTCAGGAAAAAACATTTTTATTATATATATAAAATGAATTTTACAAAACCACCGTTACCCTTCTTTGGAAATAAGAGTAGATGTAAAGATATTCTATTGAGAGAACTTAAGAAACTACCGAATGGTCTAACATTTGTAGACTTGTTCGGTGGAAGTTTCTATATATCTCATTTGTGCCATACTGTATTTCCTGACTCAAAGATTATATGCAATGACTTCGACAACTATATGAACCGTCTCAAACATATTCCAGACACAAACAATATATTGAAAGAGTTAAAAGAAAAGATACCTATAGGTAAGATGGAACGTATACCATTAGATAAGAAAAATATTGTGAGAGAGGTTTTGAAAAAAGCAGAATATATAGACTGGGATAGTATATCTGCTAGACTATTATATAGTGGTTCTATAAGAGTTCATGACATTGAAACACTTATGTCAAAAGTTTTATATCTTAACTATACAAAGGTTTTCAAAGAGAACATAGAAAAATATACTGAGGGTATAGAGTTTGTGAGATGTCGTTGGACAGAGTTGTATGAAAAATATAAAGACAAGGAAAATGTTTTCTTTATAGTGGACCCGCCGTTCTATAACACATGGGATTTTCAATACCAAGTAGACTGGACTTTGAGAGACTCTTTAGAAACTTTAGACGTTATACATAACCATCCATGCTTTTACTTTACATCCGATAAAAGTGGTTTGGAAAGTGTCATGAGATGGTTAGAGGACATACATGACTATGAGTTTATATATGACAAGATAGAATATGAGAGAGGTCCTATAAACTGGAGAAAGTGTCATAACAAAGAAATTTTATTAGTAAGTAAATGTGGTTTGAAATCGGACTACTTGTTTTAGGTTTTTTCCATTGTGTCATTTATTTCTTTGACGTGGCAGAAAAGTACAGAGAATATGAAGATGAACCAATGCCTGCAAATGTTCAGTATATGTACTCGTAAGAGATATTTTTATCTAATATTAAATGGACGCACAGAACTTAGCGAATGCACAGCAACCTGGACAACCAAACCCAGAGAATATTCCAAATGAAGTTAGAATACAAACTGCAATGGCAAACTATGGTCAAGTGCCAACAGATGTACAAATGCAAACTGCCATGTCAAATGACGCTGCGTTAGGTTTGCCACCATGGTATGCAAATATGAGATGGAAAGAGTTTTATACAAACCCCGAAGTGGGATATAAACAACTCTATGCAGATGACGCGAACACAGGAGTTGACCCAGAGTATGTTTTCTACCAGAGGAGAAATAGAATGTATGAGCTCCAGTTAAAGAATGCTATGGAACTCAGAAGGAAACGTAAGAGACTAGGCGGACATTAGATTTTTACATATAGTAAAATGGGTTTCTTTGGAAGAATAGGAAACTTCTTTCGAAATGTTGGAAGAGGTATATGGAATGGAATAAAATCTGTCGAAGAGGAATTTGGAACGGTGTCAAAAATATTGGTAAAAGAGTAGGTCAGTTCGTTGGTATTATACCTAAAGACCCTGAACCAGAAGAGCAAGCTCCTGTTATACAACAGCCTGAACCTGCACCACAGTCTAGTTGGCAACCAAATCCAACACCTCAACCGTATTAAAAAATTATATTTTTACCGTTCGATAGTAGTTGTATATGAAACTAAGTTCTAAGTAAAACGCATGGTATAATGGAATTATTCTCTTTCTTCCATCTGTAGTAAACCATACTTGAAAGTCTGAAATACTTCCACTTGGTGGTTCGTTAACTTTGTAGGTTTTTCGTAAAAGTCATTTGCCAAGCATAAGAAAGAGTTTTGGGCGCCAGAAAATGAAGCATGAACAATAATAGCAGCTGGGTCGAAAACATCTTTAAATAAATATGGTTCATCTCTTGCATATCGACTGTAAATATTTGCTAAAGGAAGTTCGACTTTCTGATTTAACATTCTTTGCAAATAATACCATGACATTGCAGTGAATTCTGTATATATTTGTTCGTCTTTCTTTGGATTGTCTTCGTAGATTTGAAATGACACTTGTGAATTTTGTTTGTCATATACAATTCTCACATAAAGTGTGCTCTCGGTATTTGCATATTCATCAGCATATTTTGCATAACATGAATTTATTTTATCTTCTATATTTTTTAACGCAGTCTGTAGAGAAGATGAAAGGTCAACTTGTATTAGCTCAATTTCTTCCCACATTTTTCGTTTCCCTTCAGATATATAATCTATATGAAACCTTACAATAAATGGAAAACTTTTATCTTCTACAGACACAAACTTCATTCTACGAAAGCCAATAGCTTTTGTGACGGATGGGTCTCTTAACCATCTTAACGGGTAGTCAAAACGATAGCCTTCATGCTTTACGGTCTCTGTCTCAAACTTTTGACCGACATTCGTAAAAAGTTCATCTAATGGTTTAGTTGTAGCAACTCTTGAATTTTCTTTTTCTATTGAAAGCATATTTTATCTAGAATAAAAATGTCAAATGAAACAGCGTCTATGAGAGAAATACAACACAACCGACAACTCATTATACAAGCTCTAAATAAGAACACAACAAACTTTTCAAACTATTCTAAGATATCTGAGTCATTGAAAGAAGGAAACTTAAAACTGACGATAAACCCAATGACAGATGAGTTTCTGTTTCAAGACAGTAAGAACCATACTGTTTGTATAAATCCAACAAAAGGAACTTTAAACGAGAAACCTATAAAAGAACTTCTTTTGAAAGCAGATGTTGACAACAAAGCTGACAAAGAGTATGTCATTGAAAAAGTTCAAGAAGAACATGACAGAGCAGATGCAACATATGCAACGAAAGCAGATGTTGACAACAAAGCTGACAAAGAGTATGTCATTGAAAAAGTTCAAGAAGAACATGACAGAGCAGATGCAACATATGCAACAAAAGAACATACTCATCCTGAACTAGCGGACAAAACATATGTTGACAATAAAATGTCAAGTGAAGTGACAAGAGCTGACAAAGAATATTCTAAAAAGACTCATACACATACCATTGCAAATATTACAAACTTACAAGAAACCTTAAACAGGAAAAGTGACGTTGGACATACACATACCATTGCAAATATTACAAACTTACAAGAAACCTTAAACAGGAAAAGTGACGTTGGACATACACATACCATTGCAAATATTACAAACTTACAAGAAACCTTAAACAGGAAAAGTGACGTTGGACATACACATACCATTGCAAATATTACAAACTTACAAGAAACCTTAAACAGGAAAAGTGCCGTTGGACATACACATACATCTTCTGAAATAACAGACTTAAACGTTAGCCTTGAAAATAAAGCAGATAAAACATATGTCAATGAAATATACCAAAGTTTAGTTGGAACAAAAAATATTGAGACTATTGTTGGTGACCTTTCTGTCAATGAAGAAAATAAATATTTTAGATGGCAGTTGGTACAGTCCTTAGAAAATGGTACACGGTATAAACTCATTCCGAAAAATAACAATGAAATGTATGTAAGCTATAAAAAGAACGATGGTACACAAGTTAAAGTTCCATTAGACAACAACTGCTACTTAAACTTCTATGGAGACGAACAAAAGAAATATTTAAGAGTTTATGAAATGGCAGATATGACATTGCCTGACCCAGCTCCAGCACCATATTATTATGACTATGGAGATGACGTTAGAACACCACATGTAGATGAACAAAAGCTAACATTATATTTAGATTTTTATAGATATAAAAGATATAATGCAATAGAAAAAACGAGAATAGTATACTATTATGAAGATGACAGAAATAAATATTATAGTCAAGACTTTACCTACCCTGAAAACATAAGATTATATTATAAAAAATATTCTAACACAAACCAGAAGAAACCTGAAATAGTTGCACTATATTTTAAGTTCAAAAGAGACAATCCTATAATATCTCATATGTTTGATTTAATGAACCCAGTAGGTTCTATTTATACATCTACGGATGCAAGAGGTCCTCAAGTAACGTTTGGTGTTGGTGCATGGGAACAAATAGTCGACAGGTTTTTGTATTGTGCAAACTCTTCAAAGGAAACAGGTGGAAGTAAAACGATTTCAGGTGAAAACTTACCTGCACACAGTCACTACATAGATTTAAGTACATCTCAAGCAGGTTGGCATAAGCATAGATATTGGGATTGGTCAGGAATGACAAAAGGTAAAGGATATGATGTTAAAGACGACGTTAAGTTTGCTATAAATTGTTACTGGAGTGACACTCAGGGAGAAGGAAACCATACACATTTCGTTTCAGGATATACGCAAACAACGGGACAAAGTAAAGACTACATGCCACCTTACATGACAGTTTACGCATGGTATAGAATTGCTTAGTCGTCATTTTCAACTTCTTTAGCATATTCGTCAGGAGTTGTCTTATATTTGTTAGGAACTGTCTTTGAAAGTATACCACCTTGAACTTTGACAAGTTTGAAACGAGGTCTGACAATAGTAGTTTTATCTTCTGCTTGCAGTCTGTACATTTTGCCATGTTTGCCTAAAACTTCATAATATTCTCTTGTATACTTTCTTCTATTTTTACGAACACGAATGCGAGTACCTGTCGAGTTCCCATTGTTGTCATAGTCAATAGTATTTTCATATGGGTCGCGTTTAGGTATTTCTATTTTACTTTGTCACCTTTCTTAAGTTTGAAGCCTGGCATTCTTTCTTGTTTGTCTCTTTTGACTAAACTATTAAATATATAGTCTTTCTCTAAGTCAGGGTTGTTTTTCATTTCTTCGGGGGAGTGGTTTCCCAAACCTTTTTGTTTACGGCTATTGTAAATATTTAAAACTTGTCTCATCTTTGCCATGGAGAAGTGTCTGTACTTGTCGTCATATGACATTTCATCTACCTCACCACCTTGTGGTTGGTTTAAGTCTCTTAAGATTTTTATACAACTGTCAATGACACCAAGAGCAGAATGGTTTTGGTCGACAATGAATATTGGTTTACATTTTTTGAACGCAGATAGTTTTTAATATCGTCTGATTTGAAAGAACTTTCACAGTCAGATGTCAGTTTTGTTGGATGGTATTTGTCAACGAATATTGTCAAAGCAGTTTTCACATCTAAAATATTTTTGGACTGCAATGGTATGGCTTCACAGTATCTTGTGTTTTGACCGACAAATATTAGCCAGTATGGTGGTCCATCTTCTCTATACCTCGGAATGTTTTCCAAGATATCCATAAACCAAGCATTTGGTGTTGAACTAAAGATTTTTATCATGAGTGCTTTCTTTGTCGCTTTAGAAACATAGGGTCCTTGTTTGGATTCGTCATTTTTTACCCTATAAGAAATGGGTTTATTTGGCGCATTAGCAGGAGTTGCATCCAGATTTTTACCCGCAGTGGAACAATAGCTAGAGGTGCATTTGGAATTGGAAGGAAGATTTTGAGTACATTAGGTATACTTAAAGAGAAAGCACAACCTATTATACAAACTGTACAGAAAGGTTGGGAGGTAGCACGAGATGCAGCAAATCTTATTCCAAATCCTGAAACAAGAGGAAAAGTTCAAGGATGGATGGACAATGTAGGAAGACAAGCAGGAAACTACTATAACAAAGCAAATGATACTATAACCAAGCAGGGCACTATATGGACCAAGGTGAAAGATTCTTTAACAGAGGATATAACCATGCACAACAATGGGTAAACAACAACCAACCGCAACCACCTCAAACGTGGGGAATGTAAATTTTTTTACTGAGATGAAATGAACAATACAGCATTGAGACAAATGGGTTCAAGATGGATTTGTCGACTTCCAGCAGTTACACAACCACGTGTTTGTCAAGTTCTTCCTATACCTCAGGAAGTTTTAGACCGACTTAAAAAACCTAAACAACCAGTTGAAAACAAAACAAACTAAAATTTTTTACTGAGATGAAATGACCGAAGAAGTTGAAACGGTAGATTTGACACCACAAACAAAAAGTTCAGAACCATTGTCAAAACCTGTCAAAGAACTTACAGATGAAGAGAAAAATTCAATAATAGAAAGTGCCAGGTCTGGAAATACAAACCCTAACTATAAAGTCACTTTTCATAGAAATGGAACGGCTAGTATCTCAAAAAGAAACAGACTCTCACAAATAAAATATTGAAGTCTGAAGGAGCTTTCGAGACAACAGATGGAAAAGTTTACTTCACTGACCAACAGTTCATTATAGAACATCTCATTGACTTAGAGTCGAAATATTCTAAACTTTACAACAAACACAAAAAAGTTGAAAGGAAAACAAAAACAAATGGCATATGATATTTATGAAGATGTTGACGACACAACCATACCTGCAAGTGAAGTAAAGTCAGGTGAACCAAAAAGTGACGAAAACCGATAGAAGAAGGTGAGCCAAAAACTGAAGATAAACCAAAACCAAAGGTTAGTTTCCAAACTAAACCAAGTCAACCTTCATTAGCTGGTATGGGTTGGCGTCAAAGACTTATGGCAGCAGGCGGTTATGTAAAGTAAAGAAAAAAATATTTTTTTATTTTTATAGAAATGCCCCCATATAGAATGGATAGAAAATCTGCTAGAATAAAAGCAGAGTTAGAAAGATATGGTTGGAAAGTTTCAAAGAAGTTTAAATATAGGAAGGGAAGACCCATAAAAGTCTATGACAAATTGTCTGGTCTTCGCTATGAAATGGACTTGGAAACAGCACGCGCAATTATCCAAACAGACTAGAGAGGTTAGAAGAAGAACGTCTTATGGACATGCCTTTCGATGTTAGTGAGCCTCAAGTTGAAGGACACGACGGCTTTGCCAGGTTCTACTGGAAACATGACGAACAATTGCATCCTTTGAGGAGGAAAAAAGGAAAAGGTGAAGACGCACATGCTCCCATGGAAAGAACAAGATATGCATATGAGAAGTATCGTGAAGTTAGAAGTAAAATTACATCTGGTCAAACCTTTACAGTAAACTTTGACGATGGAAAGAACAAAGAAGGCTTCATGGGAGTACTTGCTGCAATTCAAGACGGAAATAAGAAAGGATACAATCTCAGATTGACCATAACAGATTTGGATGGTCACATTTACTATGCACATGGCAATGTCACAACAGCTGCAATGCTTCTTGACGCTTTCAAGACTACAAAGAGAAACAAATGGTTGACTCCGACTCAGACATTTTGAATGCAATTGAAGGAATTGTAAGCGTGAAGTTCGAATGGTACCAACCTAACCCTCAAGCAGTCAGACAACATGCTGGATACTTCCCGTTCATAAATAAGTCTGACATTGACTTGACAAGGTATGGAATTTACAATTCAATTGAAACAATTGTCAATGAACCTTGTATTCTTACATGTCTCAGGAACTCTGGTCTTGTTACAGAAGAGAAGATGAAGTATCTTGAGTCATGTGTGAAGACAAGGTACATTCTCAGAGGTCAATTGGCAAAAATTGCACCGTTGGCAAATGTCAATATCCGAGTCAACATACCTACAGCTAAAGGTTCTTCACATGACGACTATGTTGTTGACAAAGACTTACCATGGTTGAAGATTGCAATTGTCCACAACCACTTCATGTTGAACGAAAGTCTTATGTTCGGAAAAGGCAAGTGCAACATTGTCAGAGCTGTAAACATTCTTTTCGAGAAAGGTTTGTTGGAACCAATTCCAGATGACAAGCTGACAGAAACTTTTGTACCAAAAGACGAAACAAACTTTTCATTTTAGCAAGACCAAAAGTTGTTCCAGACAAAGTTATAGCACAAAAGAAGTACACTGTTCCAAAAGGAGTTGGATTGTTCGGATACCAACCTGAACCAGAAGAACTTCCAATGAGGTTGCAAGAACTTCAAGATGCTATAAACAAACTTCCATTGAGACATCCAATTGACGTCAAATTGTATTGGAGAGCATCTGAGTTAGGTCAGAAGGTTTTATATGAAACAGGTTGCTTCGACGATGTTTATGAGATAACAGGAGAAGTTTCTCAGAAGATAAGAGACTCACTTGAATTTCCACGAACTGGTCCGATTGGATGCGACAAGTTCGACTCAGATGAAAAGATATACTATGTCGACCTTAACGCTGCGTACATGAGGTTCGTCCAATATATCCCGACTGGAATTCCAAACGAAGATGGTGAGTTCCCAGGAAGGAACTATACAGTTGGAAAAGTCATACAACAACTGTATGATATTAGGAAAGCTTCAAACCCCAAACTTGCAATGACATTAAAATTGCTTATGAATTCGACATGGGGGTATTCCATTAAAAAACCTCAAGAGATGAAGAGTAAACATTATGAGAAGGTCGACAACTTTGTTGAAAGGTTTTCTCCTTTTGTTTTGAAATACGAATTTACCGAAGGTGAAAGTGGCTTAGTAACCACATTAAAACCTATTGTCGAACATTGGTCTTACCCTCAGTTCGCAAAAGCAGTCCTTGACGAGTACAACAAATTCTTCTCCGAAGTCAAATCCAAAGTCAAGGTTTACTATGAGAACATCGACGCACTCATGACGAACGAAGAAGGATACAACAAACTCATTGAAATGGGAATGGTCGGTGAAAAGATGGGTCAATTCAAATTGGACAAAATTTTCACCGAAGTTCATGTCCTCTCCAAGCGTAAGTATTGGGGCATACTTGAAGACGGCACAGAAATAAAACATTGCATGAAATAAAAAATTTTTATTCGAATTTGAATTAAAATGTGGGAATTCTTGGGAACGGGAAAGGCTTATTTACTTGAGGAACAGGTAAAGGTGGTGGAGGTGGAGGTGGTGGCAACCAGTCCATTTTATATTCCTTCCTAGGTAATTTCCGTTTAATTTCATGGTCGCCCTCGGAGTCTTTGAATCGGACAGGTCGAGTTACACCATTCTTGGTCTCAAACTCATATATAACCTGTTTGTCTGTATTTTCGTCGACTATGGCACGAGACACGAACATTGACCAAACGGACAAAAAGTGTCATTTCCGATGGTCACGCAGCCAATCGCATTCGAGCACTTCGAAGAAGCCTTACGTTCCAAGGGAGAGGGTGTCTGGTGCAAGGCAGAGGTCATGAGACTCTACGAGCAGTACATCCTCAATGCCTGGGAGGACAAATCGTCCTTGGATTGGCAATTCTACCAACTCCTCTGGGACGACCTCCTACGCAACTGGGATGACGAAAGAGTCCAATTCAGGGGTCAGGAACTACTTGTCCAAATTCTCATTAATTTAAGCTACTTAACTAAATAAACACCTAAATTTACTCGGGGTTTCCCCCTAAAATAAAATTTTTTTACTCTTAGAACCACTCGAGGTTCTCCTTACGGTTGTTGAGCTTGTCACCGTCAATGTGTCTAACCTTCGTCTTCTTGTTTGGATTTGGAACCCATTGAATTGCGACAAGCTTGCCCATGGAGATTGAACCGCGATTCCGAAGGGTAAGGTTCAAGTGTCCCAAGTTGTTGAGGACTGGGGTAAGAACCTTGCCTGTCTCCTTGTTGCGGATTTGGTATGGGTAGGGTTGGGAAATTTCGTAAGTGTCATCGGCAACAAGGGTTGCCCAAACTTCCTCTTCTTCGTGTTTCTCTTCTTCCTCTTCTTCCTCTTCTTCGTGTTTCTCTTCTTCCTCGACAATTCCTTCTTCAATTCTGTGTTCACGAATTACGGTGTTGCATGTTCTGTCCTTTCCGAGTACCTTCCAGATGGCGTCTATCTCTTCGAAGAAACGGTAGATGAGTCTGGCAAGGTCTCGGTTCTCTCTCGCGTAAATGCGCAAGGTTTCCGTCAAATCATTCAGGCATTTCTCATTGGAAGCTTGGTTCATGAGGACATCGGCTTTGAGCTTGGTCATCTCTTCCATAAGACTACTTTGGAGAGTCTGAACGGTGTTTGTCAGATGAGCTTTCAAATTCAAATTTTGAATTTGAACTGGGCGCTTGTCTGGCAAACTTGAAAGGACATCTGCCATTGAGTTTGGCTTCGGTGCTTGTTCGGACATCGAAAAAATGAAGTGGTTTGAGAATGACGGTTTTACTTCAAAAAGCTTGTTATGACGGTTAAGTCATACAACAAGTTTAAAATAATATCTTGTTCTTCTTCTGAACGTTTGTTGTCTCTTCCGATAAAAGTTTCGAACATGAGAACCAAAAAACGTTTTTTGAGATTGCGAAAGAGTTCAGGCAAACGTTCATATTCTGGATATGTTGGGAGCAGTTCAAAACATCTGAGCTGACTTTCGGACAAAATTGGGACAATGTCAGAAAATTCATCTTTGGTCGGACTGCTTGAAGGTAAGTCCCTTACATGTAAGTAGCTCTGGTAAAGTCTTCTCATTTCTGCTAACTTTTGGAGTATAGCTTCGTAATTTAAGAGTTTTAATTTTAATTGTCTTATTCCACTCTTTACTTCTAAACGGTAACTATCCATGAGGTCAAGAGTAGCTTTGGTAGCTTTAAGTGGAGCTATCTGTTCCTTGACTTGTGCAATTTTGGTTGCAATTGTGGTTTGAGCTCCTTCAAGTTCGCCGTCTATGTCGTTCTCAACGCCTTCAAACCATGGCTTGAAACTCTTCATCGGTCCATTGAGATTGGTGTGGGACGAATTTAACTTGCTTCATTCAAAAAAATGAAAAAAAATGTTTTTACTCAAAACGTTAAGGTTGACTGAACTGGTTGGATGTCGCCTTCACAGGTTATGTAGAACGCTGACCGAGAAGTGAAGGAGAGACTGAATTGCCAATTTCATATGGGGTAGGGGGTTCTCCTTGTTTGGTATTTTTATCCAAGGACGTTTGTTTAGGAACTTAACAAGAGCTTCTCTTTTTGGCGTCCTTTATGCCATCGTAGGCTGTCCCGTCTGGTATTTGAATTGGAATTCCAGTCGAAGTCTCGAGCTGAAGTGTAGACCTTCCAGAAATAGTGGTGAACTTGACCTTGGCTTCATTACCCTGCGCAAGTACTGCTTAACAACTTCATTTATCTCTATAAGGTAAATTGCCTCGTCAAATCCTTCTGGTATTCCGAGTCCTTCCATCCGACAGGAAATATTTTCCCGACAACTGGAAAAAATTTTCCTTCCGACAGGAAAGGACTCTTCCAGTTGTCCGTCCGTAAACCATTCAAATTTTCGAAAATTGAGAACTTTTGGTCGAACTTCAGAAAAAGTTTTTCCTTCCGACAGGAAAGTTTTTTCCTTCCAACAGGAAAAGTTTTTTCTTCCAACAGGAAAGGTTTTTCCTTCCGACAGGAAAGGTTTTTCCTTCCGACGTTAAGCCACAAACAGAATGTCCGACGTACCACCAACCGAGCCCATTCCCAAACCAGAGGAACCTAAAGCACCAGCCCTGCACCTCAGCAACCTCAGTTCCAGCAAGTCCCTCCACCAAATTACTACCAATTTCCACCTCAAGGTTACTACCTACCACAAGGCTTCCCGAACTACCCTCCTCCTCAGCCTATGCCTTACTTCCCCAACCCTTGGATGTTTATGCAAAACCCTGCCCCACAATTCCAATCTCAATAGACCAAGAGTTCGAGGAAGGTCTGAACCGCTTACGCAAAGAGTATGCTACTACCCCAATGGAAGAAGACAGGCTTTCAGTCTCTTCCCTAAAGTCGACCGATTCGACTCGTACCACAGATTCGGTTCGTGACCGTGAAGACTACCTCAAGCAGTCTGAGAGACTCTTCATCCTACAACCATTTACAGTTGGAGCTCTCAAGAACATGCGCAATTACGAAGGTCAGACACCAGCTGGAGACCGCAAAACAGACGTACTCGCAAGAGCAGTCCAACTGGTCAAGACAAAGACGGAGATAGTTTGACTTCATTCTTGCAGCTTGCCCATACAAGTAAAAAAATAAACAATTACGAGTTAAACTTTTTACTCTTTCTTTTCTGAGTTGTTTAGAGCTGGTTTCTCTTGTAGAAACCTTTCGTACTCTTCCATGGTCATGTAATTGCGAATTTGGTACGCAATTCCAGGTTCGTTGTTTTTGAACCTTACGTATGTAACGCTTCCATCCTCCTCAGGGAAGTAAGCTGCTAACATCTGACCAAGTTTTCTCGGTGACTCGGAGCTCATTAAAAATGTCACTTTTTAAACGTTAAGTTTTTAGTCTTATTTTACCCTTTGTTTACCCTTTGTTTTTGTCAAGGTAGTATTGGAGTGCAATTTCTCCAAATTCTCTGTGTCGGAGTTCTTCAGCATTTTCCAAGGTGTACCTGGAGAACTCAAAGAAGTTGTCAAGAAGATACTGCCATGCTGCTCTTCTGAGTTCGTCGGTATTTTGGAAGTGTTGCACCTTCGAGTCTTCGACATGAAAAAATGACACTTTTTCTATTAAACCGTTTTGGCATTTCTCATGAGTGAGTATAGTTCTGCCGAACCATTGGAAGAGAAGAAGTACCCTTGCTGGCAAAAGACAAAAATAGTTGCCTTAGTTGTCATTGCAATTGTACTCGTAATTGAATTCATTGTACTTCTCTTCACGTACATAAAACTCAAGGACGGCATATGCTTTAAGAAGCTACCATCTTACTAAGACTAAACACTTAGATTTTTCAAGCTTGACTTTTTACAATTTGAACTTTGTTGCTGAATTCAATAAAAATATATTTTAGGTGAAGAGGTGAGATTTCACCTCTTTTTTCACCTCTTTTTTCACCTCATGAATTTTCATGATTTCATCGTAAATGTTTTGTCAAACATGAACGTAAATGTTTTGTCGAAACTTCATCGTAATGAGCGTAAATCAGACAAAAATATATTTTAGGTGAAGAGGTGAGATTTCACCTCTTTTTTCACCTCTTTTTTCACCTCATGAATTTTCCCGAAATAAAAAATAAAGTTGGTTTTTTAAAAAAATATTTTTTTATTTTTATTGTAAGAACATGTTAGCAACAACAGCACCAAACTCTTTAGTCATGAACCCAACTTCAATGTTAGTAGAGATGAAAAGCTTCATTCCTTCTTCATATACTTTCGAAACAGAAATCCAGAAGATAAAGCAAGAACTTCTCCAAGGAGATTTAGATTGCACTGCGAAAGATGAAACAAATGAACAGTATCTTTATGAAATGCAGGACATTATTGACCATCTACCTAAACTTCCTGAAATACAACAACAAAAGCTCACTATTCCTGAATTCGATGAAATAGAAGTCAAAGCAACTGACTCAGTAGAAATAAAGAAGTTCATACGAAAGGTTAACTATGAGTTTCTTGGATTTCATTGCAACCACAAAGTCATGGACAAAGATTGCGATATGGTATATAAGAACATCTCTGACATATACAAATCTGGGGAGTTTAAGACCTACGACAACTTTGTTTCGTTAGTTGCAAAATGTGTATGGCAGATAAGAGATAAAGATAGAAGAGGTAAGATATGGAATGAACAAATAAGACCCGCAACTTTTGAGTTAAAGAGAGCAATTGACGCCTTAGTTGTTTTAGCAGGTAAGGTTTCAGAATATAACGCAAAAATGAACCCGCAATGTTCAAAATGTAAAGCAGCAATGAGGAAATATAACTACTCCGTCAAAGAGATAGAACGTATGCGAAACGACTATGCTGACTTAAAGAAAGAAGTAGAGAAACCAGCAGAAGATAAAATGAACATGTTAGCATTTCTGAACAAAAACTATCCAACTGCTGACGATTTCCTTCTATCTGACGTCAAGAAGAAGTATAAAGAAACTTTCGGTATCGTTAAAACATTCGATGTACTGACAGAAGAAATAGAAGCTACGAAATTGTTTAGGATTTCAAATATACATCATACAATTCATGTAAAACGCTTATAAAATAACAGGTGAAAAAAGAGGTGAAAAAAGAGGTGAAATCTCACCTCTTCACCTAAAATATATTTTTATTGAATTCAGCAACAAAATTCTGAGTAAAATAATTTTTAGGGCTTGTGTCAAACCGTTGAGTTTTCACAAAATTTAAAAAATAACGTTTACCATGTGAAACGCTTATAAAATAACTGAGGTGAAAAAACAGGTGAAAAAAGAGGTGAAATCTCACCTCTTCACCTAAAATATATTTTTGCTGAAAAATGACCAAATTTCATGAAATTTCTCTAGACCGACTTTTACAGGGGTAGCCAAAACTCATGAAAATCGTGAAAAATAACAGAGTATTTTGACAACTTCAAACAAGTAGAGTAGATGAACTCTTTATTTTTCAAGCTTGACTTTTTACAATTTGAACTTTGTTCGCGTAGATGTGAATTCTGAAAGAAGTATGAGGGTCTTGTATGACTTTGTACTTCTCCCAGAGTTCATGTCTGTCAAACTTACCTGCCATGGACTCTTTCATAAGTTCCATGAAATCGTCTTCGGACAATCCAGGGAAAAGTATGATATCAGTAAGTATTCTTTTAACATCCTTACTTAAACTCTTTGCTGTCTGTACACAAATGACAACTGAGATGTTAAAGTGTCTGAGCTTCTTAAGAATTCGACACATGTCTTGTTCTCTGTTCTTTAACAAAGGATGAGAAGCAAAGTCGTCTAAGATAAGAAGACACCTATGAGGGTAAGTCTTCCAATCGTAAGATTGCAATTTCTTCGAAATGTATTCTATCTCTTTCTGTTTGTTTCTGAAGTGTTTCTTCTCTAATATTCTCTGCATTTCCTCATTTGGGTCTTTGAACTTAGAATTTATATACTCATTTATAGCATTGTACTTCAAAACTCTTCTTTGGTACTTCTTTATCCAATCTAACAACTCAGAGTCTTTTATACATACTAACTTAGACTTCTTTATAATATCTTTGAACGAATTGACGGTTTGGTCAAATTGACCAGAAGTACTACAAATGACAACTAACTCATAGAATGGGTTCTTCTCATCTAGTTCTTGTTGTTGTGCAGCCATTTTAAGATAAGTGAAAGTCTTACCCGACCCAGGTGGTGCATTAGACCTGTTATACCATTCTGAGCAAATAAGAACTTGTCATGTATGGGTTTTATCTGAGCATTTTCTAACTTCCTCTTGTTCTTGTTTAAAACATTCTCAAATTTCTTGTCAATGTCAGCAAACTTTTTTTCTAACATATTTTTAGAAAAATTAAAATTTTTATCTTTTAGAAAATGTCTAGCGATTTCGCTATCTATATTCGAGACAAACTTTTCGACAGCAAAACATCTGTCGACCATAAAATCTTACATAGTGTAAACAAGAAAGGTGAATTTGTTCTAAAGTTCTGTTTCTGGGAATATGACAAGAACCATAAAACATTACAAAGAGCAGTCTTAAAATTTGTCAATGACAGACTTGTTGACAGAGATGACGCCGATTGGAAAGATGAAGTCCAACAAAAGTTCTTAGAATGCAAAGAAGACACATGCGCTGTTCTTGAAGATGAAATAGAAAACAGAATAGAAGAGCTATTAAAGGACAAAGAACTTTTACATAAATATGGTTCTGAGAAATTTGACATAACTCCACCAGAAAAGAAGAAGAAGAGAGAAAAGAAAGAAAAGAAAGTAGAAGAAGAGAAGAAAGAACCTGAACCAGAGCCAGAGAAAAAGAAATTTGACATGTAAAAATAAAATTTTATTTTTAGAACATTTCTGGGTCAATGTCAATGTTCTCTTCCTCTTTAGGAGCAAACACTGGCTTAGACTCTAAAATCTTTTTACCCAATTTACCTTGAACTTCAACTATCTTAGACTCATAATATTCATAGTCGTCTGCTTTCTTTGGTTCATAAGGTATAACAAGTTTGTATGCTTTGCCTTCTTTAAGGTTTGAGAACTTCTGTCAAAATTTTCTTTGACTGCTAACAAACCTTCTATGTCTAAGTCTTCAAATTTCGCACCATTTTTCACAATAGCAAACTTAACTGGTTCGATGTTCCAAACTTTGTCAAATGTAGACTTTTCAAAATGGTAGAAGTAAACATTCAAATATGCGAATGGGCTAACTTATCTTTGACTTCTGTCATGTACTTGTTGACTGAAATATATTTCGTCATCTTTTCTATCGGATAAAAAAATATTTTTTTTAAATTTACTCAGAAAAATTTTTCTTTGTATATACGCCGTTCTGAACATCTAAAAGATTTTTGACATTTGCCAAGAATGTTCGTTTAGACGCTGCCATATAACCATATTCTTGACAATATTGTTTATACGATCGTACAATGACCTTTCATCTAAACACTCAAAGTTAGTCTCATCTATAAACAGTTCATATACACTCTTGTTTGCTTCTAACAATGTTTGTCTTTCTTCGGTATGTGGAATTTGTCTTGGATTGAACTTAGAAATATCTAATGTCATGAAATATGAGAACAAGTGGTTGTAAAAGTCAGATGTCAAAGTTTCTGCTAAGTCGTCAAAATATTCTGTATCTTGCATATGAGAATCTGACGTTCTGACAACTACATATCTTCTGTCAGAACTTTCTAACTTCATCGGAACAGCATTGTTTGAAACCATAATGAAGTTTGCAACATTTTCACAAACTCTTTGGTCTTTATATTTTCTTTCAACAACTCCAACTTTGTCTGTTATAAGACTCTTCAAAGCATCTGAGTTTAAAACTTTGTTGTATCTATACTTTGAAGTTCGTTACATACTATAAGTTTCATATTCTCTATTGAAGAGTTAAATTTACCGCAGATGTTTTCTAAGTTTGTCATATTAGGGTTCGAATAGCCCTCTAACAGTTTGCACAAGATATCTGTAAAGAAAGTGTTCTTACCAGTTCCTTGTTTTCCAATTATAATGAGAGCAGTTTCATTTTTAGCACTTGGATGTTGTAAGATGTTTGCAAACCAACATAAGATATACTCATAGACTCTTTCGTTTCCATTGCATATAATTTCTTTGACATGGTCTAACCAAGCTTCTATAACATTCTTTCCATTCTACTTGTTCGTATTTATATCCAGTGAAGATAGAATAGAAGTTTGGAGATGGTGTATAGAACTTTATACCTCGAACTGAAAAATCTTCTAACTTTGACAATAAGATATCCCAAGCATCTAACATCTTCATCCAACTTGTACGACTTTTATTTTCTTAAGTTTCTGTCTACATTCTTGTTCTGAAACTATTGTTGCTCTTGGTTTGTTAAAGACAACATCCCATTCTTTCATGACATAACATTCTGGGGCAGAGTCGACATAAATGACTAAACGTTTCAAATTCTCGACTGCTTTGTTATAGTCTCTAAATGGACACATATTTCTGAAGCTTGGAAGTCATAAAAATCTGAAACGTCTATTCTGTACATTTTTATAAAAATAAAAAAAATATTTTTTTTATTCTTGACTTTGTTGTTGCCATTTGTTGCATTTGTTGTTCTTGAGCTATTTGTTGTTGAAGTTGTTCTTGTAATACAATACTTTCACCAGTTGCATCTTCCAATTCGAAACTTTCTGCCGTCATTGACAAATACATAGGACATAAAAGTTTTACAGGAACAAAGTTTGCGTCAACTAAGGTTAAGTTTATGTTTGCTAAAGTGTTTGAGTTTACTAAAGCTGAAAATCTGCATTCGAATGAACAATAGGCAAACCAGCAGAGAAAGTGTTGTTTATACGCATGAGTATCTTTTGGTCATAGTAGTTTCTGTCGACATTCGAATAGCACTTTGAACCTAAGTTTGAAACAATATATAAAATAGGTGTACTTAAAGTCAATGGAACAGACAAACCTTGTATGACACCTTTTCCTGTTATAGGAAACTGTTGGTAGTAAAAACCAGATATAAGTTTTGTATTATAGCTCATATCGTTTATACTAAACTCAGTCGGACATCCAAACATAATGAAACCTGCTCTAGTTGCAGCACATGTTACATCCGTCCTTAAAGTATTAAATAAGTCAACAAAACCTGTTGGTGGTATATCTGAGTAAGTATCTTCAAAGAAGTATTTTTTACCATTCACAACAACAAAGTCTTCTGGTGTCAAAAGAGCAAAACAGGCTTTAGTCGTCATTGTGTTTAAGGTTAGTTTACAATATCGTCCTTGAGGACTTTGTAAGTTTGTTGTTATAGAATTATATGACTCAGGGTTTTTAGTCGTAATAGTATAAACCACTATGTCTTCTGCCATTTACTTAGCAAGTAAATTTTAATGAAATGTTGTGGTCGTCAAATATTTTTATGACGTCTGGGAAACTATATTTTAAGTTCAACGTTTCACCTCCTTTCATAACGTATATCTTGTCAATGACATTATATGAAACACCACAGCAAGCAATGTCGGGTTCTATTTCTTTGATGTTTATATCGTCTGCCTCTGTCAAAAGTTTCAATAGTTCTTTCAAAACTTCATGAGGTGCGATGACATATGAGTTCACTTTTACAGGGTTGTGTTCGACCAAGTTTAACATTATACCCAAAGCTTGACAAATCTTCTCCTGAGTTTTAAGTTTGTCTTTAAGTTGTTGGTAGTCGTTTCGAATATCTGCAACAGAACTTAAGTCTCTGCTAACTTCAGGGTATGTTGGTTGTTCTTTTACAGGAACTATTGTTATACCATCTTCGTCTTCGTATGGTTTCCCCACTTCAACATCTCTTTCTTTGACATTGACAACAACACTTTGACTGTTTGTTTGAGTTGGTGAATTTAACTTCACATCTGCCACCGCCATTAAACCTTTTGAAACACTTACGCTTCTATTTTTCGGAAATGACATTTTACTTAGAATAAAAAGATGGACGTATTCGAGTATCTCTTCGAATTGAAGCAGAACAAAGTTTACACACACAAACAATACAAGTTCATTGACAGAATAGTTCTTTATACAAACAATGGAAAATGTTATAGAATAGCAGTCTTTGCTGAACCAAAATATTTTCATAAAGCAAAGAAAGTTGGTATAACTGAAATGGTGAAAGTTCTTGAAGCAGACAAAAATATAACAACAAAACTGACCGATATTTCTAAAGGTAAGTTTATAATACAATTTTATGTCAAAACTGGCGTACTGTCAATATTTGACGGAGAGAAGTCAGTTCAAGAACAACTTACTGACCTGCTGCCAAAATCTGCTCGATGGAAGCTGTCGTTATGCCAATCTGAGGAGCCCCAGCAGGTTTCATCGAACGAATCTTCAAAAGAGCATCTTCCGTGAAAAGTGCTATTGGTTTTGTAAACTTCTTTGCTTTCAATTCATCTGGACCGTCTCTGTCACCAGTATATTGTATTTGAACTGTACCAACAGTTGAAATACCACCCATAAAGTCTTCTGAGTCAGCAAATGGAATGCCAAGCCAAAAGTTTGAACGGTCTCCATTTGTATATTGAGTTTTTTGAGCTCCTGTATGAGTCCATACTTTCACATATGGCATAATAGAACTTTGCATTTCAGGGTTAATGGTTGTTGTGAAGTTGTTGTTAAAGTTCATAGCATCTAATGTCAAGTTGTATGACCTCATATCCTCAACTGTAGAATATTCTTCTCTTGGATAATTTGCCATCTATGTTTATATGGTATTTAATACCAGGGTTGTAGAAGCAAGAATAGTCATTTATAGTTCGTCTGAACAGTACAAACATAGTATCTGCATGTTTCATTGCAGTTGTTAAAGCAATATCTGTTCTTGCACCTGGGTCAGCACTTTGGTTTCCAACTTCACCTGCAAAGTCTTTGACAGATATTTGGTGTATAGGGAACATAAGTGGAACTGCAATATATTTGGCAGCTAAAGCATTTGAAATATCTGGGTCCAACATATAGACTGCAAGTCTGCTTTCTATTCTCTTGCATTCAAACTTTTCGCATGTGAACTTAACTGGGTCCCAAGCAGTTCCAGCAGCATTGAAATAATAGTTTACTTCAGTGTTGAGGTTTGAGAAACCAAAGTCTAAGTCAACTTTGTCTTTGCAAAAGTCGGCGAATGACGTTTTATTTGTTCCCTACTTCTGTAAGAGTGAATGGGTCTTGTGTTGGTGCAATGACTAAGTTATTTTTGCTTGGAGTAAGTTCGATAGAAATTTTTCCTGCCCAGTTTGGCAAGTATCTTAAAAACCTGAAGATGAGGAAAGATGACAAAGGAACTCTAAGTTTCAGTTTTACTTTGGTTACTGCTGCTGCAGTTTGTCCAGAAAGGTTAACATAAACTCCTGGAACGTTAGGGTCAAGTCTTCTTATTTTCTCAATAGTTGCATACTGGTCTGTTTGTTCTCTAGCTTGTGGTTGTACTGAGTTTCTCAAAGCGAACCATTCATAGTTTGCCCATGTTACTGTTTGAACTAAGTCAGAGTTAGAATATATCTTATATCCCATGAAAACTTCTGGAGCATATTGGTATCCGACATAGAAAATTCCATTGCAACCTTTCTTGTCAGACAACTTGGCAGAAGGTTTTATTTCAATGTCTTGTTCCACGTATAAGAAAGAGTTGTCAATAGAAATTATATGAAACCTGTCGCAAGCAATATCTACTGTTGTTGAAGAACCTTCTCCAAACTCACCTACGTTTCCATAAGAAACAGCAGTTGTATATTCGTAAGTTCCAGGAACTATTTCTGACCTTCTAATGGCATTGTCGCATTCGTTATACCATTCGGAAACATTTCCATTCATAGCATCCAAAACTGTTGGCGTTATATTCTGAGCGGCGTACATTTCATATGAGTAAAAATATAGAATAGTTGGATTTATATGTCATAATAGAACCCACGTGGACCAAGCTTTACTTTCTTCCTGACTGAGTTTTTAACTCTTCTTTTTCCTTCATTGCCCTCTGCTTGAAGTTGTTGCATCTTTGCATTATGTTCATCTAGTATGTTGCAAATTTCCCATGTCCTTTTTGCCTTTTGGCTCTGGTCGCCCATCTCAGGTAACCTATATCCTAGAAAGAGTTTGTCATAGTCTGTATTTGAGTCTTCGCGTATTGTTTGCATGACTCTTTCCTGAGTTTCCGGTTCAAGCTCTTCAAACAGTGCCTGTCCATATGGAATATGCTCGTTTCCAAATATATGTTTTTGTAGCCATTCTGGTTTTCTTTCCATGTTACCAACTATATCTTTTGTGAATGGGAAAGCTTTTACCCAATCTTTCAGTCTTGCGTCGTTTATTTCTGTAGTTGGTTTTATTTTGTCAAGGAACATGTTTTTCAATACTAACATTTCATTTGGTACTGTCCATTTGAGTTTTCTTAAATATTCATCCCTTCTCGGTTCATTGTCTGCAAAGTAAGTTTTTATGACATTTTGTAAACTTTCGTTTGCAAGGTCATGTACAATAGGTTCTCTTCCTTCTTCTCCCTAACTTTCTTTCTAAACTCTTCACCAAATATACCATCTCTATGGTTCTGTGTAGTTCTTTGAGATAAATGTTCTAGAACGTCAGGTGTTATATTTCCATCAGCCATGTTCATTTCATACTGGTCCAAAATATCTGCATGTTTCATATCTTTCAATGGCATTAAAGCCGCGCTTAAAATACCAGCTATATCTGGTTCACCATTGACTTCCATTGCGTCTACAACTTCTTGGAATTGTGGTTGTAAGTTTATGAACCACCTATCCGGATTAGCTTTATGACCCCATCTCATTGTAGTTCCATCGTCTGCAGAAACAAAAGTAGGTTTGTTTCCATCTTGGTTAGGTTCTGAATGAACTTTAAACAATGTTTCATTTCTATATGTTTTCTTGAAATTTAACCTTTTATCTTCACCGAGTTCATCCGAAGATTGAACGTTAAATGCTCGTAAGTAAAAAGGGTTGTTGTATTTGTGTACATTTTCTTTCAGTACTTCCATTCTATGCAGAATATTTTCATCTGGTGTTGGAGTCTTTTGTATGTCGGCAAACATTTTTCGATATTCTTCTACTATGTCAGCCGAATTTTTTTTAGACTCTTGGAAATATTCCATATTCTCCGCATACTCTTGTTGAGGGTCAAGATTTTTCGGCTGTTCCAAATCTTCATCTAGTTCTGTGAAGTTAGTTTCCAAAGGAGTGACTTGTTCGTTTCCTTCAGGCTCTTCTAGCTGTTGTTGCTGAACTATTTCTTCCATGTCTGGTTGTATCTGAACTTCTTCCTGTGGAGTTTCTTGTACCTCATCTGCTGGCATTTCATATATTCCGAGACCGTTTTTAAAAAGTTCCCTATCTAAGTCATCCGGACTCATAAACCTTTCTTCTTTCGTTCCGTCTCTATTTTTTACGCGTTTCATGAAGAGAGTTGAATTGTCATTTAGCTCTGACACCAAATATCTCGGAGTAAATTCATTCATGTCATTTGGATGATATGCTATTAAATCATATCCCTTAGCGAGCTTGTATTTTCCAGGTTTGAAATTATATCCCATTTGGTGCTGAGCCATAAAGCTAAATAGGTTCGGGTCAGTATTTCCTTCCTTGAACTTTCTAATAGCTTCTTTATATCTGTCACTAAAGTCAAGAGTATCTGGGTAACCATAGTCTTCTTTAAGCATTTTTAAGAATTCTTGGTTTCCTTGCTCTGTTTGTGGTTGTTGTTGTGCAGGATTTTGAACTGTTGGTTGCTGTGCTGGTTGTGGAGGTGGTTGTTGTGCAGTGTTTTGAACTGTTGGTTGTTGTGCAGGGTTTTGAACTGTTGGTTGCTGTGCTGGTTGTGGAGGTGGTTGTTGTGCTGGTTTTGGTGCATGCCTGTGTCTGTGTCCATGTGACGATGTAAATGTTTTAGGTAGTCCTGGTGCAGGTGCTTCTCTTGGAGGGTTTGGTGGTATATAGGTTCCACTAGCTAGTATATAAGTTCCACCAGCTGGTATATAAGTTCCACCAGCTGGCACATATGTTCCATCTGCAGCGTAATGTCCTACCTGACTTTTCGTTCTTAAGAAAGCATTTACTAGGTCTGTTTTGGTCTGTTGTAACTCTTTTTCTTGACTTTTCACAACAGTTGCTCTAACGGCGTCATAGGCACTTTGAACTGCCTGTCTCGTTGCTGCATCTGTTATTTTCGTCATATTTTGTGCTACTTCTTTTAACTCTTTGTCGAAACCTTCAGACTTCAGTTTCTTTCCAGATGAGAAGTCGTTCACTTGTTTCACCTTACTATGAAGAGCTTCGAAGGCGTTCTTAAAGTCAGCATTTGTTAAAGCTTCATTTGAACTGTCTTCATCCGCTTGTATTTTTGTCCTTATTGACCCTATGAGTTGGGCTGCTTTAGCGTTGGCTTGGGCATCTAACCAGTCATTGTTAGCTTTTATATATTCTGCGCTTTTCATTGCCTTTTGCATGGCTGCGTCGTTATTTTTACTTTCTTGTGCTAAGTTTTCATACTGTACGGTTTGGTTTTGCAACTGTAAAAGTTTTTCTGCCTTTACATTTGCTTCAACTTCTTTTTTATACTCATCGCTATCCATATATGTCTTCAGGGCTTTTTGTTTTATCTCTTCATCTTTCAGTATTTTATATTGAGTAGTATGGTTTTTCAAATTTATGACATCTTGTTCCATTTTTGCTACTTCTGCTGCTTTTTCTGACACTTTTTTCGCATATTCCTCTGTACTTAGTTCTTTCAGTTGTTCTTCTTTCTTCTTTTTCTCTACGTTTAACTCATTGAGTTTCTTTGTGTGTCTGTCATATTCTAGTTTCTTTTCGTTTTCACTTATTTGCTTCTGTATGTCTATGTTTGACTTTTTGACATCTGTTATTTGATTTTTGAGTGAACTCAAATTCATTTGACTTTGAGGGTTATATGCTGTTCCGTCTGCAGCTCCACCATAGCCTGCCATTTTCGCTAAAAGTGCCGCTCTTAAACCTCCACTCTGTGCACCAAGAACTCGGTTTAAAAGCATAGGATTGCTTGACATTTGTTGCAACATAGTGGGGTCATTCATCATTTGTTGTTGCAACTGTTGTTGTGGTGTCAGTTTTACTATTGGATGTTTCAATGCTCTCTTCCTCTTACGTATATTCTTACGTAGCTTACGTGGCATTTTAAGTGGAGTTAAAAAGCGGTTTTTGACAGATGTTTATATGACACTTTTTGTTCAGCACAAAAAACTACTCGGTCAAAGTGTTGTCAGTTTTGTAAAATAACCGTCCTATCTCATTCTATAAGGGGAAAAGGCTTCTCAAAGTATACTTCCTTGGAACGCCTGTAACTTTTCCTGTAGCGACGATAGACCATTATTTGTTCGAGCAAATATATACTATTTTGAGTGCTCTACAAAAAAGTCAACGGCGACGACTCTCAAAAACCGTTGTGTAAAAAGTTTTACCGTTGGACAAAAAAGTATGTATAGAAAACAAAAAACGTTTATAGTTCATTCAATATTTGAGATGGAACGGTTTGCCAACGGAGACTTTTCAATAAAATAAAAAAATAGAGGGGGTTACCGTTGACGAAAACGGTTTATTTTAAACTTTTCTATGAGTAGTCCGAAAAAAACAGTTCATTTTTGTCTAATGGAAGCCAACATTAACAATTCTCAACCGCTAACCAAAGCCAAAGCCCCACAACCTCCAAGAACTGGCACAGCTGTTAGAATAACCACCAAAAAGTCTAACAGCGAATTAAGAGAAATTCTTCAACAAATTTGCTCTAAATATCTCAAAGACGCCGAAGAAAACACACAACCAGACGCTATATACAATACTCAGTTCTGTGAAGTTCTGAACAAAGCAATTGCTAGTTCAATTGAACTTACTAAGACAATTCCAAGTCCAATTGAGCTTAGCGATGTCTTAGTTCAGTATTTTCCAACATTTACTAAGCTCATAATGTTGAGAACTTTATACCAAGTTCGTCAAAATCTTCCTCGTTCCATCCAACGGTCATTCGACAAGAGAATTGCCGAATTCCAAGTCTTTAGTTACGGATATGACCAAGATGAATACATTGACGAGTTCGGAGACAACTGTACAAAATGGTTTGACTGCTATACGACTACACAATTTGAATTCGACTTTCTCGAATTCAACGCAGCAACCATTTATATCATTGCTCTTTACCTTTCCGAACAACAACAAGACCTCGCAGATGGAGATGTTGTTACTGTCGTCATGGAAACTCCTGAACAATTCGGAAAAAAGAAGTCTCTAATTGCCAAATTTGTTCCAGGACATCAGCTTTTCCAACGCACAGAAGTCTTCTGTATTCCTGGAACTAAGTTCTTTGTCAGGAGCGAACTCAAAGAAAGATATAATGTGTCATTCAATTACACATTATATAATGTCTTCGACCCAGAAGAAGACTTCTTCCCAGAAGCAATGGAGGAGGAAGAAGAGGAGGAGGAAATACAAGACTCAATCCAAGAAGAGTCCTCCGAATTCACACCAGAAGACTAACAATTTTCCGAATAAAAACCTCATTTTTTACTAAACATCTTCGGGGCTAGAAGGCACGAAGTGCCTGGAAGCCCCACTACCTTTTTTTTTTTTTTTTTTTTTTTTGTATATGTTTTGGCAATATTCTGAAGATTACTATATCATTATTTCAAATTCATATGTTGATAAAAATTCAACTTCAGGAGAAGGAATTGTTACTTTTACTGATTTGACAAATAGTTATAATATTAATGCTTTTGCTGACTTTCATATCAAAAAATGTTACACATATCCTAAAAAAATCTCAATTAAACTACTGAGTCTTTCTAAAATTACAATATTTTTGTCAGCGTTGATTTTTTGATAAAAATGATAATAATTGGGATCCAATCACTTCATATTAGATATTTTAATGTCCTGAAACATCGGAATATTTGGACGTGTTCTAGGAATGACAATTGCCCCACTCTCCCATTCGCTCCTTCAACAAGAAGATTCGAAATTGCATGCGTAAGAAGTAGTCCAACTCAACTTTTTTCAAATTCAGAGACTTTAAATAGGAAAATATATAATAGCATATAGTATACATTACTGATATGGGCTTAACTAGTCTTGAACGATCAAATCCTCCGATCAGGTGTCAAATAGCGTACATCAAAAGAAGCCTAAAATTATATGTTATTTACATATTTCAAATAAAATAAGGCACGATTGTAAATAAAAGTGCCAAAAATTTGAATTAAAATTATTTATTCAAATTGCAAATGCAAGTGGAAGCCCTACCTGCAGATAATTTTGAGATACGAAAACAAAATGGGATTGATCTGGATATCAACTCGCATGGTTTTCCCCAAGAATTAATAAAAGAATGCTACAATAACGAAGCAGAATATACAAATCTATCTTTATATTAAGTATTATTGTTATTTTGAAGATAATTTTGGTAAGTCATGTTTAATTTACTTTCCTTCCTTTGTTTTGTGAATGTTTGGAGTAAATATAATATGAGATCATATAATTGTTGTCTCCGAGAGCAAACTCAACTGTATAAGCTAGTTAGAACTTAATAAATATATATTTGTAAATATTGGTCGCTGATTATTACTACTAAAAGTTGGACTACTTCTCATGCTTACTGAGTTCACACAATTAAATGCTGTATATGTCGATTAATGGATCCGTTTAATGAATGTTGACTCCAATCATCTGTCCAAAACTCTCAATCCTATATTTTGAATCAAATTTGATTTAAGAAATTCAATTTTTATAATTAAACTGAAGGTAAATAAGCTCATTTCATTTTTAAAATTCAATATGAGAAGGCTATTTTACATCATAAAAGTATATAAGAAATATACAATATCAAATAAATTTTTTATCTTTATATTCCATTCTTAAAGAATTGATATTGATAGTCATCTGGGCTTGCACTGATGTTACGTGCTAAAGAATCAAAGCCAGGCCACTCTTCAATTCGTGTCTGAGCAATGCGTAACTTAGGTGCGTGTGTGAGTGGGTTGTTGCACAAATCAATTGTCTTTGCAGTTGACATTGTTTCATCAGAACACCATGTTTCGCACCACAGCCACTCTTGTGGGAGAGAGAAAATAGGTATTGTATGTTGTGCGTAGTTCGGAAGATCCTGATCGAGGTTAGAAAGAGATCCATGATCAGCAGAAAGCTGTTGATAATGGAATCTAAGTTGATCACCAGCAGAAAGATCGCGATATCTAACAAGATCAACAGCAAACAAAGCAGAAATATGATAAGGTTTTCCTTGAAGATATTCAAGCCAATATCCTTGTTTCCAGAATCTGAATGGTTCTGTTTCATTTCTTGAGTTACACATTGGCGTGAACGCGTAAGGAGCACCGTGGAAGTCCATTCTCATTAATTCATTCAAATCAGTTCTAACAATTTGATCCGAATCAATATAAATAACACGTTCTAAATCAAGCGGGAAAATTGTATCTAAGAACAAAATCTTATTACCCCAAATGATTCTTTGTTTCTCGTATTGTGGACGTAACCACGTTGGCCATTTATATGAAACCAACTGATACGAGAAATTATATTTAGAAGACATAATTGGCAATGTCGCTTTGAATGTTGGAGAAAGGAAATTCTTAACAATCCAGAATTTGACATTATGTGTTGATTGTTTTCTTACAGAAAGCATCATGATCTTAAGAAGTCTTTCGTACAAATGACCACTAGCAACACTGAAAACATCCACACGATCTGTTGTTTTATAGTTATCACTGCTACTTACGTTATTCACTTCCATTCCTTCTTTTCCTGGCAAATACTTAACTTTAATTATTTTCATTGGACTTACAAATGAATCAATGACAACTTGTGATTTAGAAAGTTCGAAAATTGATGCAGATCTAGAACCACCAAGTTCTATATTCCATATACCTGGTTTTCCTTGTAATTGGTAATAACCATTCTGCATAACAATTGTATCGCTTTCTCTTTCATTCATTTCATTTGTTAGTTGCAGTTCTGTACCACTAGCTGTGTCTTGTTGTGTTGTTAGACACATTCCTTCAACAAGAAGATTTGTTACAACATAAACACCTTCTTGTGAATGTGTAGTTAATTCAGATAATAAAATATTATCTAAATCAGTAGAAGCACGCATTGATTCATATACCCATGACATCGGCATATCAGGCATTGCTGAATATGTCGTTGTATCATTGAGAAAACTGAATACAGCGTAATCACAATCCAATGTATTCCTGTAATATGTTGTCAATGTCGTGAATGATTCATTGAGTTCCAAAGGAGGAAGAATACATAGATGGATACGTGCGAGATCATGTTTCTCAACGTAATTAATTATAGAAGAAATTCGTTGGAAACTTCTTTTTGTTGGATCAATTAATAATTCCCAAACAATGTCAGTTGATGATTCTTTTGTCTTGTATATCAAACTGTTGTTGATATTGAACATGTCGTCGGATTGGAAACGACGAACAATGTCATCAGACATCCAATCAATATACAATGATGATAAATAACAGTTGAATTCGCTGAAATTACAACTGATGTTTGAACTAAGTGGATAAATTTGGTCCATAACAAAATAAGTGTTCCAATCATCAACTAACTGAAGGAATTCTTCGTTGTTTGGATCGATATCGCTGTAGATACGGCCGTTAACAACTAATGTACATGTTGTTCTGTCTTGTGGGAATATGGATTGAAGGGAATGTGGAATTTCTGGATTGACTTTGAACTTGGATTTGTTGAATCTGTTCTTTTTGGCAAATGAAAAGAAAGTGGAGGTATTAACAGATTCGTTACAGAACAGGAAGTAGTAGTTGTTGATCTTGCCTTCATCAATATGATCCCATTTCGTGTTTGAAATGAATTTGAGGAATTCAAGTTGTCTATCATATGTTAATGAGGATATCTTGAGGGATACTGGGTTGTAGTTCAAGACTTTGTTGTCTAAAGTCTTCGCTAAGAAGAAATTCCTCGAAATTAAATCTAATGAATCGAAAGGATCAGTTTCTTTGATTCCAAACTGTGCAATCATGCGTCCAATCTCCGTAATTTGCATCTGAGCATGGTAATGGATCGATTGCATGCCTGATTTTGTTTCAATATCCTTTCCATTCATGAAATTCGATGGAATCTGGACTTGTGTATCAGAAATGTACTTGTTTGTCTCTAAAATCATGTCTAATTCTGGTGATCCTGCATACAATTTATGCAATTTGGACCATTTCAGACATTTTGAGTTGCAATGGAGCTTGTATGCAGCACTGTATGTTGCTAGTGTTGCCATGTTGGCATAATTAGTCTTTTTATCGATGCCGGCAATGAGGAAAGAGTCAATAAGGAACTGAATTGCCTCAGAACTGTTGACATTCCTTGCAAGGTGGTAGAAGGCGAATGCAACGCGTCTGGAGACCTTGTTTCCGAGGTTAAATGAAGGAACAATTCCGAAATTAACTGGAAATCCGTCTTCAACGAGATTTGAGCCCCAATAGAGCTGGTAGAACCCGCCAAATGTTGTTGGATCAACAAAGGAAACATACTGAGCAAGAGCACGACGAACTCTTGGCATTTGATATAATGGACCGTAGAAAATCTCAAAATCGTCATTGTAATTTTCGAATCTTGGATCTTCAGTAACATTGTCATACCATTGTACGTATTTTGACCTTGTATCAAAGAAAACAACCGAAATGTCGATCTTTCGGGATTTGAAGACTTTGTTGAGCTGAGTTTTGTTTAATTTGAACTCATCTCTAAGTATTTGACGTGATGTACGTTCTTTATTGATGATATCGATAAGTGAAAATATATCCAAATTATTTGGTTCGACAACGCGGCCATTAATAGAAGAAACCATCCTTCCGTTGTATCTAAGGCTGTAAAGTCTATCCAAATCTTTAATTGAAGTATTTGTTACGTTTGTTTTGAGAATTTCATTAATGTAAAGAGGGTAATTGTTTGAAAAGTCACGCATGAGTCTTACTAAATCTGTGTCGTTATGTTTTTCGACCCATGATGTAAATTTTTCGCTAAAATATTGTTCGTTTTGAATATCGTAGAAAGATTCTGGAATTCCGCTGATGTTTTCTGTAGTTTCGTCTTTATGAAGATGAACTTCATTCTTTGATTCGAGAATAATTGAATCTTTGACACCATATTCCATAGAATATTTAAATGGACGCATTTCAACTCCGAAACCGCGAAGGTGAACTCCAAATTTGCCTGTCTTTGATGTTGGACGAAGTGAAAATGGAATATTTGTTTCGATCAGGTTAAGAACAAAATTTGCAACTTCTTTGTTTAGAATGTTTGCATAGACAATTGACTGAGGTACACCGTATTGAAGTTCGAAAGGCTGTACATCAATCTCATCAGATGGTAAATAATGGCATGATATTTCTTTTGTATCGAGTTTTTTACCAATTACTATTAAATCTGGGAAATTTGAGCCGCCTTTTGTACGTGCCATTTCGCGATACATTTCTCCGCGTAGTGTATAAAAGCCAAGCTCAATTTGTGACTTCAAATAAGCATGATGATACGATGGTAAGATTTTATACGCAGTATTCCAAATATATGTTTCGTTATTGATTTGGTCATGGTTTAGAATGATTTCTTTCAAAAATGATGTCGCAAATTCCTTTGAAAAATCGGTCATGAAAAATAACACGTGGTCAAACAAAGGACTTTCATCCCATGGTGCTACCGTGCTCATTACAACTTCATGATCTGGCCTAAATGTACTGGAAACAAGTGAAAATAGTACAAAGGAGATCATATTTGAAAAAAATTTTTTTGGATTTTTTTTATCAAAAGTTTTCAGATTTGAAATCTCATTGGTAATACTCCCTCAATCACTTGCTGAATTTGTGTAGGGCATGTTCTATGTTTGCATTTAAAGGTAGTTCCACGAGTTCCAAACGATGATTTTTGTATTTTTGTGATCGATATTAGCATAAGCATATTTGGTAATTAATAGGCGAAGTACTGAAGAGAATAGCAAGAGCATCTTGGATATATATCCTTGGGATATATCGGGTTCGGGATTTCGTTTAAATCTAATATAAAAATGAATAAAAGCTTTAATTTTACTCTTTTCATTCAAGTATTTTACAAAAATAGATCATAGTTTATCAATACTTAGTACTATTCTTTTTGGAACAAATGATAATGAGGATGATATTTGTGATTTAAAATAATTTTTTAAGATTCATCTTTCATTCATCACCTTGTGAGATGTATAAAGCATTTCCATAACTCATTCTGTTTAATTGATCAACTCAAAATTCCAAAAAAAATTCAAAAATTCAAAAATGAAAATCAAATTTTTGAATTTTCTCGTGAAAATTTCAATTTTTAAAAAATTTTGGAAAATAAAAGTAATGTATAATTAGTCAAAACGTTAAATGAACTCGTTTTTACTCATAAAAAACATCTAATTTTTGATTTTAATATCATATTTGATAAAATCTCATTTAAGAGTTGATCTAATGTCATCATTATTGTTAAAAATATCATTACCATAACAAAATTCTTATTTTAAGATAGTAAAATAATAATGTTTTTATTTCAACAACAACAACTAAAAAGATGAATGAAGACGTACTGCATTCGCATAAGTGTAGTAACTATCGTCTAAATTTGAGTTATTACTATTCCAATCAAAATGTATAAAATTGAAATCAGAAACAGCAAAAGCTTATATGAGGCACTGTGCACTATTTGTAGAGATCATTGTAATTCATAAATAATTTATATAATAAAGCCGATTTTTTTTTCTTTTTGCAATCATTTCCTCAAATTTTAGTAACTTTTTCTATATTCAAGGTATTTGAATATGAATCATAAGGGACATAAGAATTCAAAATTACGAGGAATTCTGTCGTTGAATTTTTGAGATGCAAAATTTCGATGTTTAAACTTCTTTGATTTGTAACAAAATATCTATTTAGAGTTCGATTTTTATAATATTATAAAGAGATGGAAAAGAAATAATCTTTTTAAAAGTAATCAAGAAAGAAGGTATAAAATTAATAGTAATTTAAGCCAAGATCTTTTGAGCAGCACGCTTGATTGCAGCAGCGGCGTTCTTGATTTCTTCTTCTGTGTGAATTGGAGCGACGTAGATCTTGATTGTTGGTCTTTCCTTGTTTGCATCTCTGTTGAGAGCGAATTTAGACTTAACAATGAATGTTGGAGCAGAAGCGTCGTTAAGAGCTTCGTCGCAGACCTTCTGGAGGAGAGTATTTGCTTCCTTGTATCCTGTTTCCTTTCCAAGCTTGAGGTGAACGATTGGAGAGATAGCGTCTGAAATGATTTCAAGGCCTTGTACATCGTGGAGTTCGTTTCTCATAAGTTGGATATTCTCACGAAGTTTAGCGATACGCTCAGCGCCATCCTTCTGGACAATCTCTACAGCACGGCGTGCGCAGATGACGGCGTATGGAGGTGGAGAAGCTGAGAAGATGTAAGCATGAGAAGATAATCTCTGATGGGCGCAGAGTTCCTTTGTAGAAATTGTGAAACCACCAAGAGAAGCAAGAGCTGTACCATAAGAACCGATAGAAATTTCAACTTCAGAACGATCGATATCGAAATGTTCGCAAGCACCACGTCCTGTTTTACCAAGAGCACCGAATGAGTTTGTTTCATCAAGGATGATACGCAAGCAGAATTCGTGGCGAAGCTTGATAATGGCTGGAAGGTCGACAATTGTGCCATCGTTTGTAGAAATGCCTTCAGCGACAACCCAACGATTGCACTTTTCCCAACGCTCGAAACTGTTCTTTGTCTTGATGATCTTATCACGGAGATCGCCCATATCGTTATGTTTGTAAACAACAACTTTTCCACGGGTTAATTCAGAACCAACTTTGATAGCGAACCAGCAGTATTCATCAATGAAAACAACATCAGTGTTATGAGCAAAGGCCTGGATAACAGAGGTTGTTGTAGCGAATGGGAAGCAATAGTTAACTGAGTCTTCAACACCTGTCCATTTAGCAATAGCTTCTTCTACATCAAGGTGAGCATCCATTGTACCGTAGAACTGGCGGGGACCGCAGGCACCAACGGCGTAATGATCAATAGCTTTTTGAGCAGCATCTAAGAGTTCCTTGTTATTGTTAAGACCAAAGAAGTTTGGAACAGCAAAGTTAAGGGCTTCCTTGCCTTCGACTGTGATTTTATCTGTTGGAGCACTGAAAATAACTTTTGGATCTAGCACCGATGGATCATAATCATCCGGAAGTTCTGGAACTATTGGCTTTGGTGTCCATTGAGCGATAATTGCGTCTTCTTCGGCTGTAGTAAGTTCATCATCATTCTTTATAATTTCACGTGGCTTTTGTGTAAGCAAAAGAAAGATTGCAACAATAAGAGCAACCTCAAAGATTAAGTGCTTTGGGGTTGATGCCCAAATACCGGCTAAAAATTCTTCAACGAAAGAGACCACCATTCAGTTGAAAAAAGAAAGTGATCGAATATAATTGAAATATTTTGATTTCTTGGTATTTCTACCGTAATCCATAAATGCTATATTTGGATTTTTTATTGTGATTTTACGGCCAATCTTTTATTAAAATTTTTGAGTCTTCCTCAATTTTGAGAAGACTTTTTTTTCTTAGAGATGGTATTTGAATAAGGACTACCCAAAACATATCCATAAACTGCAATAAATTATAAATATACGACCAATCACCCATTTATACCGCAGCAAGGTTACACGTTCATTCTTTATCAAATAAATCCTTGCAAAAATATAATAACATGATTAGATTCAATGAGGATGATCAATGTTTATATAAGTTATTATCTCTTGTTTGATAAAGAATTTCAATCAATGTTGAAATAACTATCACTTACTTCTGGAATGAAATTATAAGCTTAACTATTGTAAATAATCAGAAATATATAAGTGAATAACACATAATTTGCTTTTTAAAGTTTAATAAACTTCGATTCTTAATAAAATTCATCATATATAGTCATTTAGAAAGTTATTATGCATTATTTTTTCTATAAGACTATATTTCCTAGCTAAAATGGCTTCTTTATTGCTTCTGTTTTCGAGAAAAAAACTCCTACAGATCTGAAAAATCCGTCAACTTTGAAAAGTGAAAAAATGATATCAGAATCATTATCCATGGGATTTTATGTAATAGTATGAATTAGAACTGCATGAAGTATATATATTTTATCTAATTTTAGTAAAAATTTAAAAGGAATGACAGGAAACACTCAATTCTTTTTGAATCAGGTCTTTCCAAAAATTAGAAAAATGTAAAATTTGCTTGCCTTTATAAATAATGAGGATTGAGATGAATATCAATATTTTTTATGCGAAAATGTAGATTTATGACCTTATGAAGAATGTAGGAACTTTCAATAAAAAAAATGGTGCGTATGAAAATGGTGTTTTACGTGAGAGCTTATCCAGATACTGGCTCTAAGCTCATCATTGTTGGTGATACTCAAGAGTTAGGAGCTGGAGATCCGGAAAAAGCTCCCGAATTCGAAGAGATCGCCGGCACATACAACTACAAGTTAGTTGTGTCATTCGTACGTTCACCATGCGAAAAAACTTACCGATATGCAATCAAAAACCCAGACGGATTAATCATCTACGAAGAAATTCCTCCACGAACAATTCCAAAATTCAAAACAGCACTTGTCGTACGCGAAGGCTATAACACAAAGCCTCCTAGCAGCATGTTCATTGCTAGATTCAGAGTTGCAGCCCAAGATGCTTTAACGGATCAAATGTTCTTAATTGGCGATGCTCCAGAATTAGGTTGCTGGGAGCGCTCAAATTCCTTACAACTATTTCCAGCTGATCAAGGGTATTTCTCTGTCTCGGTTCCATTCAAAGTTGCGAAAAAGCCGATCGAATTAAGATATAAAATCTTCACTCAAGAAAGTGAGGACGACATTACATGGGACTCAAATGGTGAGTACACCTACAAGATTGCTCCCCAAAAAGATGGCCGCCATATCAATATTAAGAATATCTCATGTTGGGGCTTCAAACCAGAGATGGAAAGCGATGATGACAACGAGACAACGAGCCTCAAGGAGAAGAGGAAGCTGAAATCTGAATCTACAGAACCTCTTCCTGAAGAAAATACAAAGAAAAGGAGGAGGAAAAAGAAAGACGAAGAAGAACAGCCAAAAGAGAAACCAGCCAAAGAGAAAACCGTCAAGAAATCGAAATCTTCCGAATCTACTAAAGAAACTCCGAAGAAAAAGAAATCCAAATCTTCTTCGAACGAAGACATCAAGAAAGCAGCTACCAAGAAGTCCGACGAGCTCTCCACCGGCAATGAAGAAGAGGAAGACAACAATCGCCCCGAAAAAGTCGTTCCTTCCGGCTCAAAGAATAATTTGAGAGATGAAGACATGCATGTCGGAGAAATTAGCGATGACATGCTTTACGAGACTGACACTGAAACAGAGTCAGAAGAACAACTCAACAACAATTCTGCGGCAGTTCAGAAAATTTTCGCTCATCGCGTTGTAAATGACGAACAGACAGAATACTTCGTTAAATTCTTCAACAAATCATACAAAGCGTGCCAATGGGTACCGAAAGAACAAGTTTTCAGTACAAAACATGGCGAAAAACTTGCAAAAAGATATCATAAAGAACATCCGAAAGAAGCACCACCATTACCATACTTCAATCCTATCTTTGAGACACCAGAGAAGATTGTTGGCTCTCACGAGAAGGATGGTGTCACTTATTATCTTACAAAATGGACAAAACTCGACTACGACCAAAATACATGGGAAACAGCCGAATCCCTTGGCTCACCAGAACTCATTTCCCAGTTTGAAGCCAACAACAAGATTCCTCCGATGCAAGATAGATTCATTCCTCCGAAACCATCTCCAGAAGAGTACAAACCCATTGAAGACTTCCCACAATCGAAGTCCGGCTACACAATCCGTCCTTACCAGATCGAAGGCGTTTGTTTTTTAGTCAAATCATGGTTCAACAACCAAAACGCCATTTTAGCCGATGAAATGGGCCTTGGCAAGACTCTCCAGTCCATCTCCTTCCTCTACTATCTCCATCGCGTTCAAAAAGTATGGGGACCATTCTTAATTATCTGTCCATTGTCAACAATCGAACAATGGGAGCGCGAAATCAAAGAATGGACCACAATGAAAGTTGCTTGTTACTCAGGCATCAAACCACGACGTGATCAAATGGCCGAATACGAGTTATTCTTTTCGGAAACACCAATTCCGAAATTCCACATTTTACTGACGACATATGAATACATCATCAGTGACAGGAATATCTTCAACTCTATAGAATGGCAAGTAATCTGTATTGATGAAGCACATCGTCTCAAAAACACGAATTCAAAACTGATGCAAGCTTTGAAAGATTACCACACACAATACAAATTACTTTTGACAGGAACACCATTACAAAACAATATCACTGAGCTTTGGTCATTGTTAAACTATCTCGATGAAGAAAAGTTTAATGACATCGAAGCCTTTCAAGCACAATTCGGAAAACTAGAAGAACACGAGCAAATCACTGAATTGCAAGGAATTTTGAAACCGTTGATGTTGAGAAGAATGAAAAGTGACGTTGAAAAAGGCATCAAACCATTGGAAGAAGTCATTATAGAGTGTGCGATGACGCAACACCAGAAGTTGTATTATCAAAGTATATATCAAAAGAACACGGAATATTTAACAAGAGGCGCACACAAGAACAATTCAACGAATTTAAATAATATTTTCATGGAATTAAGAAAAGTTTGTAATCATCCTTACTTGTTGAATGGCGCTGAAGAACAGATTCTCATAGAAAGAAGAGATATGAGTAAAATACCTGCAAATGAACCACTTCCCGATGGATTTGTCGAAGAATCATTGATAAGAAGTTCTGGAAAAATGATTTTACTTGACAAATTATTGGCAAAACTGAAAAATGACGGCCACAGAGTATTGATTTTCAGTCAGATGACTCGCATGCTTGATATTTTACAGGATTACTTGTATAACAGAGGTTACGAGTATGAAAGAATTGATGGAACAATCAGAGGTGATGAACGACAAAAAGCAATTGATAGATATAATAAACCGAATTCACCTATTTTTGTTTTCCTTCTTTGTACACATGCCGGCGGTTTGGGAATTAACTTGACATCAGCAGATACTGTTATTATTTATGACTCTGATTGGAATCCACAGAATGATATCCAAGCAACAGCAAGATGCCACAGAATTGGTCAGACAAAAGAAGTCAAAGTTTATAGATTCATTACTGCAAACAGTTATGAACGAAAGATGTTTGATAGAGCATCATATAAACTTGGCTTGGATCACGCAGTTCTAGAAGGAACAGGAAAGCAACAAATGAAAACAGAAGATATAGAAAAACTTCTGAGATTAGGTGCGTATTACGCATTTGAAAAAGATGATAAAACAGATGCAGAAAAATTTGGTGAAGAAGATATTGATTCCATTATCAACAGATCCACAAAAATCAAACACACAAATATTGGTGCGGGTGATGGATCAACATTTAGTAAAGCTAAATTCGAAGTTGATGATGAAAATGAAGATGTAGATATCTCTGATCCCAATTTTTGGCAGAAATATTTGCCTGTTGTCGTTGAAGATGATATTTACGATGATATGACAATCGCTGAAAGAAGAAGATTCAAGAGAGAAGTGGAAGGAGAAACAGGAAAGATACCTGCACCGGAATTCCCGCTAAGACCAATCGAGAAAAGAGGAACTCTCGATTTCTATTGGTCCCATAAAAAACTCGATACATTAGTCATCAATTTGATGAGATTCGGATGGGGAAGATGGAGAATTATCTATGAAAATTGCGGTTTTTCATGCGAAATCTCCGAAATCAAAGCTGTTTCTCATGTCGTGATCAGTTGGTTATGCGAAGCATTTCCAAATCAAAGCCAAATCCTTGAAGCTATTTACAGATCAGGTATTTCTCCAGAAACAGAAGTTTTCGAGGAGAAATTCAACAGAAAGAGAAGAGATGATTTCGAACCAAATCTGATCAAAGAAAACTCAAATTGGAGAGTTTCTCGCTTAGAATTCCTTCATTTCTTGAATTCTGCTGTTCAAGGTTGTTCAAATGCCCCTGATGACTTGATTGTTCCAAATGTTATTGGTTCTAAACCTGCAGAATGGTGGACATCCGCTGACGACAAACTCCTCTTGCACGGTGTCTATTTGCATGGATTTGGAAACAATGAAAAACTCAAGTTCTCAAGATCAGATGGTATAAACCAAAAAGTTTTGACATCGAGATTAAAATCAATCATCAACGGTCTTAAGAACAATTATATCAGATATAAAGAGGAAAATGGTGTAGAAATTCCTTTCAACTACCAAACTCTTTCAAAGATATTCGATACTCTCTCAAAGAGAGACCACAAAACAATTATTTTCATGCTACAAAATTACGGTTTTGTAAATCATGAAGAATTCAGAGAAATTTGCGGTTTGACAAACAAATCATTGAATTTAGTCAGTGATTATGTTGACAAATTAGTTAATTACTGCCATGAATTAGAAGAATGGCGCAAAGAGAAGAAAGCAGAAGCAGAATCAAACCAAACACCAGCAATCACTGCCTCTCAATCCATTGACATTCTCCAGAACAACGAACTAAAAACAACAATTTCAATCGAAAACAAAAACAATACAAATAATGAAGAAAATAAACCTCCAAAAAGTGACGAAAAACCACGAAAAAGTGACGAAAAACCGCCAAAAACAGAAGAAAATAAACCAAAGGGAGAAGAAAAAGAAGAGAAAGATGAAGAAGAAAGAGAAGATCCACCATGGATTTTAGAGAAATTGATGGTTAATACAGGTGTCAGAATCATTCAAAGAATTGATTTATTTGACAAAGTCAGAGAAAAGTGTGATGATCCAAAATTCACAGGCACAGACAAAGAAATCCTCCAATTTGTTGCAGAACATGGTTTAGTTGATATCAACGACAACGCAAGAATGAAGGAAATCTTCGAAGGAGATCCAAGTGAAGGAAAAGTTGTCAAGAAACTGAAAGATTTAGTTAAAACACCACATGAAAGGAAACCAAGAATTTCAGGTCACGAAGCCAATTTAGATGGAAAACTTGTTATTGTTCCTAATTACGAAGTTGATGACAAAGGAAATCCAATTTTCCCAATCAATCTTTCTCCTTCTTCCCGATTGATTTCTCTTGGAAAAGTTGTTTACGACAGACCTAATTTCCACAACGCGAGATATCTCTACACAGATGGTTTCTGCTCCGAGAAATTATACATCTCCGCTGTCAATCCTTCACAAAGAGTTTGGTATCGATCAGAGATCTTAGACAGAGGCGGCGAATTCCCTTATTTCAAAGTCTCTTTAGTTGATCAACCAGATATTTACTGGGAAGGAAATGCTCCATCGAATCCATGGATCTGCATCATCAGACAGATCGAAGCGAAGAAGAGATCGAACAGGGCATTGACAATATCAGGTCCAGACTACTTCTGTCTGACACATCCAATAACTATTTCTCTGATGCAGAAACTAGAAAACGCCGACAAATGCGACAAATACGTCAAACGTCGGTTGGAAGAAGATCCAAATGCAATTGAATCATTGCAACAACAGCAACTTTCTGAAGCATCAATGATCTCTCCAATCATCAAAGTTGCAAGAGAAAGATCAGCTAAAAGAGCTAAAAAGAGTTACGCAGAAGATGAAGGAGAAGATGAGAATGAAGGAGATGAATTCAACGAATCAGACTCAGACCAAGTTACATTGGCAACAAAGAAATCACCAAAGAAGAAACCAGGATCAGCGAAGAAACAGTTGACATTTAATTTCCAAGGATTGTTGAATGCGCAAACAAACATTCAACCATCATTTAACTTCAAACAACCACAGCCATTCATACTTCCAAATGCATTGAATCAGCAGCAACAACCACAGCCACAACAGCAACAATCTAATTTTGAGATATACTTGAGACAAGTCAAACAAGCATTTCCACAATTAGATCCATCGATTCAGATGCAACAAGCAGCGAATTTCCAGCAACAACAAGCAATGATTCAACAGCAACAGGCATTGCAACAACAAGCAATGCAACAACAGGCAATTCAACAACAAATGATGCAACAACAACAGTAATCTTTATTAAATTTTGTTTTATTTCATTTTTTTTCTTAGATAATAATTACAAAAATATTATAAAAATAAAATGTAATTTATCGTATATTAATTTAAAAAATGATTTTTTATATTAACATAGAATAAAGACATTTCTTCAACAAGAGTATAACAACTAAAGGAGAAATTTTCATTGTTTACTTGTGAATATTTACGAAAAAACATATTCGGTTTAGGAATCTAACTTGAGCATAAAGTAAAGTTTGTTTTAAATTCTGATGAATAATGGAAATAGCAATATAATCTAATATATCTTGCGTTTGTTGATCAATAGTATTAAACTGGTATTGGATGTGCACATAAACAGACTTCTGCCCGAAAAAAAATTTGCATTTGCCTTCTAATTTTGTTTCACTTGTAATAAATAAATGACTATTTTTCGCAATTATTGTGTCACTTACTTCGTTAACGCGAAGCCTTTCACGAATATAAATATTTAAAGGAATATTATCAAATATAGTTTGAGCCTGCGTTATAATAGCACTGTTAATAATTTCAATCTTAGCTAATGCTGTGCACCCTTTAAATATATCTTTATTCAATGTTATGGTATCGTTTATAAATTTAATACTTGTTAATGATGTGCACCCAATAAATGCATTAAAAGCAAATACAATGACATTGTTAATAAATTCAATACTTGTTAATGATGTGCATCCACTGAATGCATTTATACCAATCCAGCTCACAGATTTTGGAATTACTACTCTTCGCAAATTTCTGCAATAAAAAAATGCTTTATCATTAATGTTTTCTATTCCATCTTCTATTATGGCGTTTGATAAAGATTCGCAGTTATAAAATAAACTTATTCTAATAATAGAAACTTTAGATGGAATTGAAATACTAGTAAGTGATATACAATTCGCAAATGCATATTCTCCAATTTGCGAGACATTTTCAGGGATTGTAATATTTGTTAGGTTAGCACAATTATAAAATGCATAAATTCCAATGGTTTCAATGCTGCTATGTAGTTTGATTGATAAAATATTTAAACCATTAAAACAATAATCAGCAATATCTGTTACATAATTAGGAACAGTCAGTTCATTATCAGAATAGGTTGGAAGAACTTTAAATAATGTTGAGTTGGTTCTTCCATAAAACAGAAATTTTGAATCATATTTAAAATATTGGTTTTCTGGATTAATTTCTATGCTTTCTAAAGGACATTCAGCAATTGCTGTTGGAGGCATTGCATTTAAATATTTAGGAATGTATAATGAGGATAGTTGTTGAAAGCAATATTCATCAATTTTTTCTAATTTTGAGTTACTTGAAATATTTATGGGTGTTAAACCTGATGGATTAAATGCTGTTGACTCAAGAATTTTAACTGAATCTGGTAATTCTATTGATTTAAGTTTATTATTTAACCTAAAACAATGCATTCCAATACAAGAAATATTTGGTGGAAGAATAACTGTTTCTAAGTATTTACAATAGTAAAATAAATATCCATTTAGTAATGATAATTGTTTACATTGACTCAGATTCGCTGTTTTTAGACCTGTGTTATAAAAACTATAATTCGAAATACTAACAATTTGACTATCTTCTTCGAAACTAACTGAAATGATTGTTCTACAACTCTTGAATGCATAGTTATTTCTATATATATCTCTTTGACAATTTAGGAATAACAATTTCTGCTCCACTGCTTGCTTCGCATCCAACAAGAGTTTGATTGTTAGCATCAATGTATACAAATGAATAACTTGTTTTTATAAAAAGATTATAATTCAAAATTTTTAAATAAAATGGAAATCTAACAAGAGAAAAGCATAATCTTACTGTTATTGTCAGCTGAATGACTAAAATAAATCCTTTTGTCAGCATCTTTAAAATATTTATGAAATTCTTGTTGATCCTTTTGATCCATGAAAAGTAAAAAACCTAACAAGTATAAACAACCCAAATATACGTTTAATTCCAAAAATTATAAAACATTTGTGATATTTCTTATTAACTTTCTGAAAAATTGGACGAATAATGAGATTATGAAAATGTAGAACTATTGGAACAAAACATAGATATAGAGAAAGTGATATTATACTATTAATAGCTTTTTTAATAAAATTGTTGATAGTTTCCGAGATTTGTAAATGCAAATGCATCATGAATCATCAAATTTAATGAATTGAAATATATGAATGTCGGAATTGAAATTATAATTTTTTTGAATTGTGAAAATATAGATTGAAAAGAAGTGATATAATTAAATCACATGAATTCATGTGATGGTGAATTATTTTAGAAACAATTTTCCTTCTGCTATATCTGATTGCAATTGAGAATATGGTAACATTTTAAAATGTCACTTTTTGATTGATACGAAAATGAGCATTTTAATAATACATGATGAAAGAACAATTTCTTTGAGACTTTAGACCATATTACAGAGCCCAATTGTTTTGTATGCATCTACTGTAAGTAGTTCACTATTCAAATCACTACATTTTTAATAATGTATGGAGTTATACCTCGTTATTTGAAAGATGAAAAATTCATTCTTTCAAAAAAGTGACACCCAAATTTTACAATTTCTTTAACTGAAGTTAATTGGTGTGTAATATACCATTATATAGGAGAATTCAATTTTAATATTAACAAACAAATATATCATTTTGCAATTTTTTTGACAATTTACAAAATTTTTGCTAGAATTTTCAATAAAATTTTAAATGACTGAACAACGCCTTAAAAATATTGAAGATTCATTCGATATTGTTGAAACAGTAGGTAAGGGTGCTTATGGTGCTGTTTCCAAAGCAAAAATGAAAGGAACAAATCAAATCGTTGCCTTAAAGAAGGTTTCTAGAGATCAAATTGCCATGAAAAATGGTTTCCCAGAAAACGCTATGCGAGAAATTAAAATCCTTCGAGCATTGTCTCAAAACGAAAACGTTGTTCATTTATTCAAAATAGAATCAGACTTACAAACAAAAGATGTTTACATGGTATTCGAATATTGCGAGTTTGACTTACAAGGTTTAATTTATCAATGGTTTACTTCCGGCAAATTGCCGCAAGAATTCGACAAATACTTAAAATACGTTAAATGTTACTTTAGACAAATATTACAGGTCATCTATTTTTGTCATTCAAGAAACATATATCACAGAGATATCAAACCAAGTAATATTTACGTAAAGCTCGATAATACAATTAGAATGGGAGATTTTGGCCTTGCACGTGAATTTCCAAAAGAAAAAGATAGAATTTCCAAGGAATCCTCCCCATGGAACGTCGTTACAATCTGGTATCGTGCTCCAGAGCTTTGTCTTGGAGCCAAACATTATGGACCAGAGATAGACAACTGGAGTTTAGGCTGTGTACTATACGAAATGATTACAGGTAAGGTCTTATTTAAATCTCCTCTTGATAACGGCAAAGAAAACGTAGTTTCCCAACTGAAATCAATTATTTCGAAATGCGGAACTTTCGATAAGTGGCCAGAAGCCCAAGAATACATGTTCTACGAGAAGAACTACAAGGAAGCACTCAGTAGCTTCCATGCTGAAGCTAGCAGCATCAGACAGTACTTGGAACAAGTAATTCCAGAAGAAGCTAAAGAAGCAATTCCTCTCATGGAAGGACTGCTTCAGGTGAATCCGAAAGAGAGAATGTCCATAAGAGAGGCCTTCCTCCATCCATTCCTCGCATCGCCAAACGACAGACTTAATCCCGCAAAGCTGGATAGACTAACATTCGATGAGAACCACGCAATGAAGACAGATGCAAAGCGTCAACAGGCTTATCTAGCTAGAAATCAAGTAGCAAGACCAAAACCTGCTAAAATGTAAAATAATAAAATTGTATTTTTCCAAATAAAAAACTATTTTAAAAAAATATATTATTTACACCATTTTTATTCTTCATCACAATCTTATTCATCATCAGAGTTATCCTCTTCATCGCCATCATCATTATCATTATCTTCATCGTCATTATTATTATCTCCATTGTTATCATCATTATCAAGAGATTAGAATACGATTTGAGCATATACATACGTATGTGTTTTTGTCACAGGTTTATATGTGGGGGTAGCACTGAAACTTTTCTGTGAAGTACAAGATTAAACAAGTTAATTAAAACACTAAAATACAAAATGAGTATTAAAAATGTAAGTTTTAAGATTGATATGTTAAGCGGTTTCCCTCATAGTTGAACATAATGACTGAGACGAGTGCATAATTAACTCTTGTCGGTCAAAGTTCCGCAATCGTATTCTGATTGCGGAAGATTGTGCCATTCTGGGAGACATATGCCAACCAACAACAGTGCACTTTGTCGGTCAAAGTTCCGCATTCATGTGATGATAATTTATTTGATTTCGGCGGACCTCCCGGCTATCAAATATAATTATTAGAATGAACAAACTTTCACTTCTCACCTTTTGCATAATGTTAATACATATTGCATACCTCCCATAAAAATGCTATTTAACATATACTAATACATTTAACTGTTTAATAAAATTGATTCTATTGAGAAATCTTGACTCAAATCATCAGTTGAGAAGTCACTTCTCGACAAATCTTCATGAGATTTCACCATCTTTTTGTGGATGAACATCTTTCTCTGAGAGATGTCTGATTCTGCAGTTGGTTGTGCGAGTAGATAACAGTTAACAACAGATTGGCCATTTCTATTTGCACACATGATAGCAGTCATTCCATCGTTATCTTTTATGTTGATATCAATCATGCTGTTGTTTACTAACATCCTACAACAATCAATACATCCATTAATTGATGCTTCATGAAGAGGAGTTTGTCCATTTTTGTTTTTTACATTAGGATTTGATCCTTTCTGCAGCAACAAAGAAACTAAAAAAGAAAAGTTGTTTCTAGCACAAATATGCAATGCAGTATTTCCTTCATCATCAACAGCATTCAATAAAACAGTTTTCAATGATAAAAGAAAACTCAAAATTTCTCTGTTTCCATTCAAACAACAAAAATGAATTGGACTTTTGTTTTTCGAATATTTCGATTTGTAATTAATGCTTGCACCAAATTTAACAGCTTTTTCTACACCATACGAATAGTTCCAATAACAACAACTACAAAGCAATTCATTAATAATCAAATTAACTTCGTTTCTCTCAAAAATTTTGTTGAAAATTTCATTTTTCCTGAAAATTATCAAGTTTTCAACGAATTTTGATATTTCTAAATCACTCTGATCAGTTTTCTCCTTATATAAAGGAACATCTTGCATGCTAATTGCTGTTTCTGTTGGAAAACACATGAAATAATTTTTAATTTCATCTGATTTCGAAAAATTATTTTCTAAAAAGTCCAAACAATCAAAAGATCCACAAAGACATGCATATTCATCTATACTTATATCTATCTTGTTCGTATATGAACACAAAGGAAGAAAAATGTTATTTAAACTTTCAATTTTTTTGTCATTTTTTTGAATCAACTTTTTCAACGAAGATTCATCATTTATATAAATTGCTTCTTCAATAGATGACTCTAAATATCCATTACTAGTCAAGTAATTCATGTTTTCCCAGTTGTTTGCCTTCAAAAAATAAAAATCAATTATATTTTCTTTAAATTTCGTTGAAGAATACCAACTTGTACTGTCAATACGTTTTAATATTGATGTATATAACTCAGGTCTGTTTTCTTCAATGTTGTTTGCGAAATAACAAAAAAATAAATTTTGATAATTTGTTCTTGTTGGATTAAACTTACAAATGTCCTCAAAACAAGATATAATCTGTTCAGAACTGAATATACATTGAGTCAAAAGATGCTTTAAAAGATAAAATTGAGGAATCATTTTCAAAAAATCATCATCTGAACCAATTGGTTTCAAATATGTCCCAAGAACGATTGAATCGATTGATTTACTAAAAATTCCATCATCTCCATCATTTGAAATATTTATATTTAAGATATTAATTTTTGATATGAGAAAGTCAATTATTCGTATTGATATAGGTAATTTATTACGTTTTGTTGATATCAATACTGGAATTTCACGAATAATTTGAATTATTCCTTGAATTGAATTGAAATAATTATTTTCTGTGAGATAAAATATAAATTCATTGAAATTATCGTCAGTTAAATCGAGTATATAGTCTTGAAGTTTTATAAATTTGCGCATATCATCATCAAAAATGAATTTTTGAGTGTTATCTTCATTTTCTATTTCAATATCAAGTGGGTCAAGTGATAAAATACCAAATTTAGGACTTTTTGATGGACTTGCACAGTTTTCATCAAAAACATTTTCTGAATTTATTGTTTGAAGATCATATTTTGATTGAAAATTATAGTTTTCATTGTTGTAATCGATTTTTATTAGATTTGAAAGTTCTTCATTACTCCATATTTTGCCTGGAGTCCATTGCGGATTTTTTATATTTTTTAATTTTTTGCTTTTATGTGCATCTGATGGGATAGACATGTACGAAGTCTGCTTACTAGAATAATCCGCCATGATTTTATCAAACTCTGCACAAATTAGACCTGAATACTCATTTCTTTCCCGATTTTTCATTAAATTTTAGGGGGTGTAAAACAAAATTATTGGGGGAAATGTATCATTTCAGTTCTTCATTACTGCATTGCACTTGATGACAACCAAAGATTTAAGAGTTAAAAAGAAACAGAATCATCTTAGCCAATTTAAAGAGACTGAAATCAAATTCATTTTGACAATTCCAGAATGTTTATGATGCATTAAACAAGTAGAATCAATAACATCATGCAAAGTAAGCATATTCAATCTTAATACAATCATAATTATCTAAAAGATTTTATTTGTCAAAAATCGTTTTTTTGAATGAATCGAGTGCGCTTTGCTAAAACTTTAAAGAAAATTATGAATGAAGGACAGATAGATGAATATGACAAGAGGCCTACAACTGGCCATGTTGGTCAAAAGTGTATTGGATTCATTTCTGACAAAAACGGAAATCTAATTCGCTTATTACCAAAAGAAAAAGATGAAAATATGATTGGACCTGGAACGTATGATCCATACAAATATGAGAGCAGAACAAAAAGACGTACAATTTCAAGAAATTCAAAACGTTCTTCTTTAATACTTACAGACTACATGGTTGGCCCAGCTGATCACTTTGTATTTGAAACTGGTATCAATGTAGGACATAAAATAGCTGAAAAACATGAACCCGTTATTGAAGCACCAAAATCAGGTGAATTAGCGCACGAATCATGGACACCTAAACAAGCACGCATACCAAAAAACAGATTTCCTCAGACAAAATTCTCAAGACCTCAATCAGCAATTTTTGCTTCAAAAACAAAACGCGAAATATTTGAGCAGACACAAACTACACCAGATCCAGGCAAATACGAAGCTAATAAAGTTCCTAAGAAGAGGAATGTAAATGATCAAACACCAATTTTCAAAAATCGTAATGAAAGATTTACTGATTCTACGTCATTTACGCCAGCACCAGGAACATACCCACTACCAGAAGTTTTTGGAAATGGCCCTAGATTTAGTTTGAATCCTCTTTCTGAGTTTAAACCAAAAGATAATCAAATTGAAATTACTCCTTCGCCAGGACAATATGAAGTTGAACCAGTACCACAACCACAACGTCCATCTATGTTTAGGATTCCATATAGATCAGTTTTAGGAGAGAATATCAAGCGAAGGAAACCAGAAAAAGAAAGATCTCCAGGAATTTGTAAATACAACTTAGTCGATCCTCCTCTGAACGATACAAGACCAGTTTCCATCCAATCAAAGAGAGAAATTTATGAAAATAGTTGGATTCCTGAAAATATTACTCCTGGACCTGCAACTTATGATTTGAAACATACATATACAAGAATCACACCAACAATACAATCTGTACCGCATAAGAAGGAACTAGAACCAGATAGATATGAAGATTCTAATCTTGCTTTCTCAACATTGCACGGAGACTTTATTCTAAAGTCCAAGAACAAGAGATATAACAAGGATCTCGAAAATTGGAAATAATTTTATTTGTAATTAAAAAAATTTGTTTGTTATTTTTATTTAAATCAATAATTTTTCGAATAACATTTCTATATTCTAGGAGTCCTCATAGAATATGCGCATGTGATCAATATATATTGAATTAAACTAAAATGAATTCAATTTGGAAAATATTATAACATGAAATCACTTTCTTATGTATTGGATTTTCAATTATAAAGGAAACATTTCCCTTTTTGTATATTTAAATCTTAAAAATCAAAAAACAAAATTTATAAAATGGAATTTACAAATAATATAACAGTAATTCTGTAAAAGATCAAATATATACAATGTAAAATGAGCATTGAAGTCTTTCACAAAGTCTAAATGCTTAAACTTTCTTAACATTTGACTAATAAAGCGACACTTAATGGTCTATTTCCGCTATTTGATAGATGAAAAGCTTGAAGTTTCGAAAATGTTAAATTAAGACTTGAAGTTGGCTGGTGAGGGAAAAGTTTGCTTATTGTAAATTTTCCTTCTTGCGTAGTTGCTGTAAGAATTCCAACATCATTAGCACTATTTGTCGGAGATATTGTCATTGAAACTTGTGTAAGGAAAACTGCTTTACCGTCTGGACTTTCCCATTCTTGTCCTGGATTGATAATAATGATTTTATCTTCCCAAAGATCATTTTTATAATCACTGTCATCACTGCTATCAGAAAGATTTATCTCAGACTTAACAGGATCTGGTTCGCATTGAGGGCAAGTCATTTTCAATAAATATAAAGGGGGATTATCCTGAATGATCCCCTATAGAAATATTTTTCCTATGAACCTTTTTGTATTTTTTATATTTTTTAATTCTATTAAGGGTTTCGTTTTGCTAAAATTGTCACTTTTATAGCATATTTGTTTTTGGATGTTTTGCGAAACAAAAAAAAAAAAAAACTATGATATACAATGTGTGTGTAAAGAAAATACTTTATTTACTAGTTAAAAAATCATTTGGTATTGATCAAGTTATTTTTTCTGGATAAGATATTATATGGATAATTGGATAGAAAATACAATTATATAATCTTGTACCTGGTTTAATTAAGCTAATTGTCATCAGAAACTTGTAATTTTTATGAATTTCAGATTTTCTTTTCATTACTGCTTTTCTTAATAGGTCAAGTTCTTATTTACGTTATAAAGTATGATATTTACAAATATCAAGTTATCATGTTTTTTGAGAAATTATGAGAAACAAACAAAAATGAAAAAGATAGGAATAGCAATGAATACTGATGTGGGTATAGAAAATGTAAGAGATATGAATGCAAAGCAATCAGTATTTAGGATATTGACCATAGATTTCGAAAAAAAAATGCTGCATATTGAGCGAAAACTATGATTATATTATAAGGATGTCATTTAAAGCATAATGAAACCATTCCCTTTTCATTTTAATCGAATAAGATAGTAAAGATTTTTGAATTAGCTAGAAACTGATGAGATGTTTTCACAAATCAGATTTTTAATCTCTATAATGCATAATTCACTCAATATCTCAATTTTGATATTGCGAGATATTTTTGCTATCGGTTTCGCAATTTTGACACAATAGCAAGAGGGTTCTATAAGCATTATTATCAACATAGAATCTGAATATCATATCAGAAAATGTCGCAAATCTGACATTTACCCGACCAAATAGCAAAAATAATTGAATACTTTTCGCAAAAACTTTAAAAATCGATAAAAATATGAAATATAGATATTAAAGAGACTTTTATATAATATTCATAAAGATTTTCCAAAAATATGATACCGCAAAATTAAAAAAGTGACGTCTTGAGTGGAGTCAAAGGTCGAAATTGCTAGCTAAATGTTTTTTAGCGAAATTGCGTATTGTACGTTTTTTTCGCAAAACGAAACCCTTAATTCTATGCTATGACAATAATTGAAATGTGCAATAAAAATTCGAATTTACTTCTAAAAGAGCAAAATGTAAACTTTGTTAGACGCAGACAAAAAATTAATTTGAAAAATTAATATTTCGGATAGTTACACTAAGCAATTAAGCTTTCTGTAAAAAAACGGATATTCGTAAATTATTGAATTATGTAAATCTGACGCCGATAATATTCATAAATTTTTGAATATGGTGTATTCAATTAATTTTTTTGTAAAGTTTTAATAATACTGATGTCATTTCCTTTCCTTCATACAACACATATCACAATTCCGAAACGAGCATCGACCATGACTCGATCATTAAACAGGAGCTCTCCAGCTTCTCGTTTAATGACCGCTTCTATGCCAAGAACTCCAAATTCAGTCCCACTCGTACCAAGCGTCGATTACACATCATTAGAACGCATGGAAAAGATATCTTTTGAGAATAAAGTTGATGATCTCCTTAACGGAGTGCCATTTAGAACAATTGAACCCGAAACAATTCCAGGATTAATTATTGTCATGAAAGAGAGAAAAAGAAAAGCCGGATTAACAAATAATTACGCACTTTCACAGACAATTACAGATATGATATCTCGTTTAATTTCACTTAAATTCCAAATTAAAGTCAACGCCATGAAACAGCAGCAAATTAAAGAGCTGAACGCAGTTATTGAGCAGTCAAAGAAAGAATTGGAAGCACTTCGAGCAAAATGGGATGAGAGAATTCAAAAATTCAATGAAGAGCAATCAAAAGCAGCCAAAGACATGGAAGAAGAGCATATAAAGCAACTAGAAAACTTCGACAATAGCATTCCTACTGATCTTCCTCCTCAATACTGCAAATTGTCGCCAGATTTACTGAATATGATGGATATCGAACGCAGATTAGTACTCACAAAGGAATACGAGCAAGCAAGAACTCTAAAAATTGAAAATGAAAAGAGAAAGGAGAAGGAAACTGAAGAACAAAAGAAAAAGTTTTTGGCTGTTATTGAAAAGCAGCGCAAAGCAATAATTACGGATCAAGAACATGCTATTGAGTGCTTCACTGCCAGATGGACCAGAGAAGCCGAAAAATTAAATAATCAAAAAGATAAAGAGATTACAACCCAACAAAAGGTTGTCGACCATTACGAGCAAGATCTGAAAAATCTAACGAATACATATTAGTTTGTTTTCTTATGTTATTTTTAAAAATTTGTTTTTTCACCCATTAATTTCCCTTATTTATTTGATTTTTTCATTTGTTATAGCATCTGTTGAAATAATCATATCATACATTGAAATGAGCCAAAAAATAAATTCAAGATATAATTAAGATATACTTTATTTTCAAACAACATCATAAGCACACGCATTCAAATAACAAATCATAGCAGATACCAATATTTTCTTAATAGTTTTCTTATATTGAGATTAACTATAATTATCCTCTTTTTCTAGGTATTCGGGAAATATTCCAATTCAAAGAAGAATAAATGTCAAATCTATAAGAAGTTGGTGGCATGCAATTTGAATCTTTCAGATGATACCCTGCTTTGCAACTCAAGCATTCTGTTTTTGAACTACAATTAGTACAAAATGGGTTACATTTTATGCACTCATTTGTTTCCCCATCCCAATATGAGCCATCGGAACAATATGATTTACATTTATCTGTTTCTGGATCATAATAAAAGCCATCAGAACAAACTAAAATGCATTCATTATTATCTAGAATATATCCATTTTTGCATTGCTCACAAAACCCTGTACAATTACATTTCTCGCATTTACCATTACAATATGGTATAATAGAAACTTTTCCACCTTCCTTATTTCCGATATTATTATTCCCTGCTAGAATATTTATGTCCTGAAAATATGTTTCATTAACGAAACTCAGTCCTCCATATGAAACTTTTGGATATCCATCATTTTTGCTATTTACAAACATACCGCATCGATATCCGCCACTAGGTCCAGTACCTCTAACTTTACGCGAAATTGGTAAATCATCCCATGTTGCTGGACAATTTAAAGAGAATTTTTGAACAGCAATGGGATCTTTACAATTTCTTTTTGTGCACTCAAAATTGTGGGAAAAATTTCCACCAGGAGAACCAATGTCCGTAAGCTCCAGATCCACCTGCTGCTACAAGAATTTTGTTACCATAAATGGATATAGAGCTTGACCCACCACCCCCACCGCGTTTTATACTGTTACCATTCTTTGAATCGGCTCCATCTAGTTTTCCACCTCTTCCTCCATGATGTCTATCGGCACCAATTTCACCAGTGATTATTGAGATTTCTGTTTCTTGAGTTAATATTAATTTTCCGAATATTTTAGCTCCAGATCCTCCATTCGCGAAAGAATCACCTCCTTTTGCACCAAAACACCAAACTCTATAGTTTCCTTTAAAAAAAGCATAATTTCCTGTTTTGAAAGAGCAGGATTCATCTAATTCTGGAATAGAATTATCTAAAGTGATCGCATTTGACAAAGGAATTAAGATGAATTGGAAATTGCATAACATTCACTTTTGATTTTAAAAATTTCAATAATATTGTCAAAATGTCAAAATCAAAATCGTTATTTATCAGATTATTATCAGTATTTATGTTTTTGTATTATTTTCACCATAAAATAAAATTCAATATGTATTAATTGAAAAGTCTACAAACTTATCATATCGATTTGATCGAATACAATGCTTTTAGGAATTTGGAATCATTTGTTAAAAGTATTACAATAACGTACTTGATAAAATTCAGATAACTTTTGAATTAAATTGATAAACCTTTGATAAAATCATAATAATAACTTGAACTACGACATTATGAACTTGAATGGAGGATTTTCGTCCGTTTTTCAAGAAAGAACCGTTTTATTCACAAGCTTTCCTGAGCAATTAATAATTCTCATTAGTGTCGAGCTATTTATACAAAATATTCTGCTTTTAATGATTTTGGATATTAAATTTGCACAGACTACATATAGAAGAAAAATAAAACTCGACGTATAATATTCAGAATATGGCGGGATTTATGAAAATGAAATTCAGAAATGCAGAATGTTCAAATTAAGTCACAGCGTTGCCCACAATGTAGTATGGTAGATGATTATGAATTTAAAATAGAAATTAATGGTTAAATTTTGAAAATAAGTATTACAAATAAAGAGTCGGATCCATTTTCATGCCTCAGTATGTTGAGTGTATTAAATGGATCAATAGTTCTGAATATGAATTAGAAATTGATCGAGAAATTGTGTAATATTCGTTTGATTCCGATATTCAACCAATGCAATTCCTATTCCACCAAATAAAAGAAATCTATTGTATGAAAATAAACTCTGCGTATGTTTACAAAATGTGACACTTTTGAGAAGAAATCGTTATTTATTGAGTACTCAATAAAAAAAATTTTAAGATGGCGAACCTTGCAGACTACCCGGATATCGGAGACATCATGCACGAGAAGTACCAGGTTATCCGGAGAATCGGCGCAGGTTCATTCGGTGCCATTTATGAAGTTCAGCACGTTGAAACAGGTAAAATTTATGCAGTTAAGCTTGAACGCTTCAATACTTCACCACAGCTTCAAATGGAACACAAACTTTACACATTACTTGATGGTGCTATTGCTATATCCCGTGTTTATGACTTCTGGGTTGATGAAAAATGGCGCGCAATGATTATGGATCGTCTTGGGTGTTCTCTTGGTTATTATTTCCGCAAGTGTGGCAAAATACTTTCATTAAAGACAACTTTGATGGTTGCAATTCAAATGATTTCTCGTTTAGAATATCTTCATGAAAGATGCCTTATCCATCGTGATATCAAACCAGAAAATTTCGTATTTGGTGTTGGCAAAAACTCAAATCTTTTATATATCATCGATCTTGGCTTAGCCAAAAACTATCGTGGATTTAAGAACTATCAGCACATCAACTACGCAGAAGACAGAGGTCTTGCAGGCACAGCAAGGTACGTCTCAATTAACGTCCACCTTGGTGTCGAGCAATCTCGTCGTGATGACCTTGAATCCGTTGGATATGTTTTAATTTCTCTTGTCAAGGGCCGTCTTCCATGGCAGGAAATCGAAGCCGGCTCAAAGGGAGACCAGAACGATAACATATCCCACGCCAAAATGAACACTCCCGTTGAAACTTTATGCGAAGGTCTTCCGAACCAATTCCAGACATATATGCAGCGCGTGAGAGATTTCAGATTCGATGAGAGACCGCAGTACTCATATCTTCGTGGCCTCTTCTATCAATTACTTTCTACGCTTAATTACGCTTACGATGATAAATACGACTGGATTGTTGCTAGAGCCAATCGTCTCGATGCAGCTCTCCGTGCTAATGGCACTGCTTCTGATGTTGTCATTCCTGTTTCTGTTCTCGGCTTGAAAGGCGCAATGCGACCAAGTCCGAAAGATACAGGCTTCCACCAGCCACTTCCTTTCTTCGCCATTATCCACCAGGCAGCTCTGTTCGTCGGAAAGAGCAAGAAGAAGGGAACGGAAGAGGAGGAAGTCCCGAAGAAATCTTTCGTAGAAGAACAGACACTTTTCTTGCTCAATCCTGACCACAACAAGATCCGCCAGGGTTCTGTTTCACTCGAATTCCATCCTGTAGAGACAAATGTTAAGAAGGAGGAACCTGCACCTGCTGCATAATTTTTTTTATAATAATTGTTTCATCGATCATGGTAATAAATCTTAGAATTACGATTTTTATTTTGTTCTACATAATAAAATATGTTCAAAATGTAACATTTATTAGTTTACTCATCAATGATTATAATGTATCAGCAAAAACAGGAGAGAAAATGTTGTTAATAGCATTAGATTTGGCCACATTATTTCTGATTATTGTTCAAAGATTGTTTAACATATTCCGTGATTTTTAAATTTAAAAAGTCCATGGATACATGTGTCTGCTTGATAAAGGCGAATGACTTCAAAACCGCGGCAGAGACTCTCAAAATTGAGGGAAGGATTGGTTTAATTTCCATCTATGTTGTATTAGCATATCGGTATTTTAAGCTGAGAACTCAGAAAATAAAAAGCAGAGGGTAACATAATATAAATAACATTTATTCCAAAATTTTATGAAATCAATTCTGCGGCAGAAGTTTTTGCAATTTTAGAAAGATATGATAATTTATTTGAAATGTCTTTGATACCTGTGGGACAATTTTCGGTATTTAAATGGAAAAATGTAACAGTTCCTCCTGTTGTTGATTTGGATTCTACATTTGAACAAGAAATAGTCAAAGTATAACCTGAACTGATATAAAACATGTACTTAGCGGTGTTATTTAAAAATATGCAGTGATCGACATTAGTTGCGTATCCACAACTAAATAGAACTTGGTTATTGTCTGTTTCGCATTTATTTCCAATAACATTGCAATAAGAAACTGTTTGAGCTAATGAATCAGAATAACTATCAAAACATAGTGATTCACTTCCGGTTTGGCTGTTTTCTATGAATGTTGAGAAATTACATGTTCCTGATTTACCTTCAAGGATACTATAGTATGATGACAATAAACTGCATTTGTTGTTTGTAATGTTGCTATTCGAAAAACGGATATCACCAAAATTAATTTGGAAAATAATTGCATATTTTAAATCCCCGCAATTACAAACTGAAATATCGAATATGTAGTTTATATTGGAAGGAGATTTTTTAACATGTTGCATAAATGCTGATTGGAATTGATTTGTTATGGATTCAAAGTGGTATATTCGCTGTTGTACAAACTGCCCATTTTCAGAGCATTCGAAGCGAAAAGAACCGCCTCTTCCTGTAGTACTACAATTTTTAAATTTAGAATCTTCAAGCAATGCGCGTATTTCGTTACTTCTTTTAATGTAAATTGCTCCAGTTCTTTTGCATTCTTCGAAAATACAAATAAAAACGTAAAAATTATCAGAGCCAGTTTCATTATAAAGCTGTGTTCCGTCATTTGTTTTATTAAGTTTATCTGCACTGCCGAAATATTCGGACCAATCGAGTCTTTGAATTTTATGACCTTGTGTTTGGATTCTAAAGAAAGTGATGCTAAAAAGTTGTAATTCAGCTTATAATAATGGTCATTAGCAATCATGTGCATCTCCAAGCTCATGTAAAGCTAAGGAGAGTTAATTTTTATAGAAGATATGTTCATTTTCCTTCATTGATTTTGTAAATTTTAAATTTTGACATTACGTATTTGAAAAAAAGTGGAATGAAATTTGCCATCAAAAACTATCAGAAAGGCATGTAGATAGGATATCAATGTTGTAGACACTTTTAAATAGGAATTATATAGAAAAAGCAAACTTTGTTGAACACTTTGCTTTCTTGAAAGCAATTATACAATACAGAGACACTTACATATACAAAACTGTATTCAATAGAGGAGGGGCCTTCAAATAATAGATTTTTTGTTAGATATTCTTTCATTTGCATCATTCTCTTTGTGCTCTTTAAAATAATAAATGCCAATTACATATTGAGTTTGTGTTGTTAACAATATTCTGAATATGTGAGTTTTTTGTTGAAAATATTGCAAAGATATGTAAATATATTAGAAATTGCATTTTTCTGACAAAATATTGTAACCGTATGACATCTTTGTGTTTGTAATGTTATTTGTTAAAGGATGTCATTAATTCATATTGTTATTGGATACCATTGAATTTTTCTCAGTCAATTATATGGTTAAATACAAACATACAATTTAGAACAGATAAACCTACAAATTAATGTATAATACATGATGTAAACTCAGTCTTTTGGCTTGAATTTTGCTAATTTCTTATTAATTCGATTAATTTTTCTGTTTTCAGCTTTAATTGAGTTGCGAACTTCTTTTATCTTCTTCATAAGCTCTTTTCGTTGTTTCTTTTCTTGTTCAAGCTTCTCTTTTTTCTTTTGGAGAATTTCATTACCTTCGTCTGGAAATTCAAGATGATGAACATCTTTTTCTCTTTTTCTTACCACATTTCTTAATTCTTCAAGATCTTTTTCGCGGATCCAAAGAGATCTAGGTGAATAATCAGAAACTAGTTCGGCCAAATGTTTTTGAGCACTTTCAATTTCACTTTCGATATCACCCTTAATCATTTTAAGCCTTACAAGTTCAAGATGATAAATTTTAGATTCCTCTTGTGTTTCAGAAATTGAAGCAGCAGTTTCAGAGTTAACAAGTTCATTTATCTGGTCTTTCTTTTCTTGTATCATTGCCTTATAGCTTTCTATTTGTTGAGAAACAGAATCAACAATTCTTTGATTTTGAGCATCTGATTTTTTATGACATTTAGAGTCCTCATAACGAGCAATATGTGTTATTATTTCATATTTTTGCTGTAATAAGAGATTCCTCTTATTCTTAACTGTAATAACATCTTCGGATGTGATGTAATTCATGTTTTTTCGTGCTTCTTGGTACGAAGAACGTGTTGCCATAATAGGCTTTTTCAATTGAGTAAATGGAATTTTTAGAATAGGTCTCCTAGCGCTTGTTATAGACATTTACACTGTTGTAAACGTATAAATCGTTGGTATTTAGTACAACACAAATATACTTGTCTCTATGTAATAAATCGATTTTAATACAATTTAGACCAGAATGCGAGATTTAATTAATAGAGCACAAATGAATTTTGAATTTTGAGCTTTGTTCATTATGTGTCATTAGTAAATAGACGTATCTTATCCTTTTTATAAGTGTCTTTCTCAGATTTCAGCATCTCCTACAAACCTTCTCATTGAAATGATTTTTTTTTATTTTGATCCATGAATTTCATCATCATAAAGCATCATATATATGAAATGATCTGAAGCTATCTAGGCATATAGTAGTAAAAGAACACCTTGCGCTTGTATAATGATTTTAGGCTCGAAAACCTCTTATATGATAGTTAAATTTCAATATTTTTCCCTCCATGTCAGATAAGAATTTTCAAGAATGTTTCCAGATTCTGAAAACCATTAGTTCGAAACGACAATAGACAGGAACCTTAACGCGACAAAAAACATTGATGGCATTCAATTTTATGAGGTTTTCGTAATAAAAAGTTTACAAAATCTTTCAAAATTTTTTGTCAAAATGATTGCTGACACGATAATTCCCCAATTTCCGCCTGCCTACGTCAAAGAAAACGGCAGGACGATTGATTGGGGCATTGGAAATCTCATAGCATATGCCAGTGGCTGTGTCGTTCATTTATCTGACGTAGATGGCGATAAATTACAAAGAATGTGCTCAATTGAAGTTGCTCCATATCCAGTTACATGTATTTCACTCCACCCGACTAGGAGGATTTTAGCTGTCGGTGATAACAACAGCCGTACGTTTCTTTGGGATTTAGATTCACGTCGCTTCTTCGCATCAGCAAAATCATCAGTTCCAGGCGATAAGGCACTCTCTTTATGCTGGAAAGACGATATATTAATGATTTTATATGAATCACAGCGTTTAATCGGCTTAAAATGCGTTTCAAGTACATCATCTGAGCTTTACAGGAATTTCGAGTTACTCTGGGAAGTTGAGCTCTCAAATTACTTTACAAACATCTCAGTTGACCCTCATTATCATCTATTTTTATTATTAAGTGGTCCGAAATCGATTTTCTCAATCTACAAGTCAATAAGAGCCGAAAAATGTCCAGTTCCTTACTTCGAAACGATCCAACTTACGAATCCTGATGAAATTCAGGACGCACAGTGGTCATTGCATCTTCCTGGCTACATTTTCATAATTTTGAGGGGAGAAATCATGTTCTTCCACATGGAAAGCAAGTCTATCATGCCAATTATCACTCAGAAATCAACATCTTCAGGTTTTTCATTTATTGTTCAATTCCAAAACGATTACTCTCATTTAATTACTTTCCACAAAAGTGGAGCCATTTCTGTCTTTGAAAACAAGAAATTTTTCACTTTTGTACTCAAATACGATTTCCAACCGAAATTACTCAACGGAATTGCAGTTGCTGCAGCGAACTCAAACTTACGAGATGATATTATCGCATTATACTATCCACAACTCGGTTTAGCTCTCTTAGACTTAAATTCTTTCAAAATCAAAACAGTTAATCCGATTTATCCAGCGAATATCACATGTTTCGACTGCGATGGTGTCGGATACGCGTACGGTACTAGCGATGGTTTCATAATTTTCGGAAATTGTTTTGATGTCGATGAATTAAACCGCTATTCAGTTGGCGAAGGTTCTGTTCAGTACGTAAGCTTCGATGCAAAGCACAGACGCATTTACTGGCAGACGAGCAAAGAAGTTGGCGTTGTAAATCTTACAGATAAGAAAATCATCACATACCAATCCCGTATTGGTACCTCCGCATTGCGATGCTTCGGTAGTCACGCCGGTGCATTCATTGTCCAAAGAGATGCCCGCGCTCTCGGTATTTTCATCAATGACAAAGAGAGGCCATTACTTCTGACATCTGACGCTTTTGACATAGCTGTCGACGAATCGAAATCAAATCTGACAAATGGCAGATTTGCGGTTTTGATGAAGAACCAGTTCATACGGTTCTTCACGTACAGTCCCTCGGGTATCACAGAAGATAAAGACGGATTGAAGCCGAGAAACATCGATTCCGACGCAATTACATTTGCTATCAACGGATGCAACTTCGTAACAGGATTTTCCAACGGCCTATTACTTTTCTATAACCAGGAGACTAAGTCTATCAGAAGAGTAATCACAGGTTTCTTCAATTTGAGGAAATTAAAATTTGTTGGAAATTATCTTTACGGATTAGCCAACCAGAGCACTTTATTTGAGATCAACGACAAAGATGACAACCCAAGGATATGCCAGCACCCTGTTCTTAACTTCTGTACCATAAATGAAGAAGTTATTTTGGTAAAAATGGACGATAAAGTGGTCAGATTCCTTAATATTGCTGATTGGAAGCCTGTCCACTACATGTCGAAGTTCATACATTTGCCGACAGCCGCAGAAAATCTTAAATTATTTATTGAAAGAAGAAGAAAAGGCGAAGGACTCGAATACATCACGGAAGATGCAAGAGATGTATGGCAAGTGTTCAATGGCAAGCAATCCTTGCGTCTTTCTTCACTTGCTGGCATTGGAAAACCCGGATTCTACGAAGATCTCACTTGTGAACTGCTAGAAAGAGCCGGAATCAATAACCCTGAAGGCCTTAATGTTAAATTCAGGGCGTATCTGTTTTCAAACAGGTTTGAAGAGGCAGCAGCGATAATTTCAGGAGATGATCCGAATGAACCAGGTTATTTGTACAAAGTAACATTCTCCGCCTTACTTATTAATGTCAAGAAAGACATTGACGACCAAACAATCGCACATTTGAAGATGTGTGCGACTGCATTGATGTCTAGTCAGAAATACTACGATGCCGCAGTTTTGTTTAGAGTTGCAAGGCTCGATAGAATGGCTGTTGACTATTTGTTGTCTGAGGAACAGATAGAACTCGCGTTGAGGTTCATCAGATCTGTTTTGGACGGAGAAGAGAAGAAATCAGCTGTTTTCAAGTACGGAGCAAACAGATACAACAAAGGATACGTTCAACCGAGTCTTCCTTTCTTCGCTGGTGCTGAGGAGTACCACGCAGTTCTCGCTGCAATGTACCAAATCGGATTGGTCACTGACGCGTACTTCTTACTCCAGAAACTGAAGGAAACTGGAAGACTCAAATCTCTGTCTGAAAACCAGAGAAAACTCGTTCCAAACATGCCTCCTCTAGAAGAATGCATCAATAACATCGAAGTCCAGTTTGCTGAGATCCTCAAGAAACTGAACCTCGAATAATTATATAAATCTATTTCTATTTTTTTTATTAATTAGTGATTTTTGTTTTTGTTTATCTTTTTATACCTCTCTGGCAATAAGAGTGCATATATCACGTTTTGACTTCCTCTCAAAAGCATATTGTATAAGTCAATTAAATTTACATAATTAAAAAAAAGTGATTCATTTTCCAATATTAGCCGCTTAGCTTAGTCATTGCTTCCATTAAATCTTTGCCAGAAGGTTTAAATAGATCGATACTTATAAAGTAACTCCATTTTAACAATTCTCAAATTTTTTAAGGGCGCATTTACGCATATCTGAATTGAATTCATATTTCTGACAACTGATGTGAAGCGTAATTGAAAAATAACCTTAAAGATAAGAATTGAGAGCCATTTCATACAGGTGTAGGTGCACCCTTTATTGGGATTACTTCTAAAACAAAAACAAATCAAATCAAATCAAATCAAAAAAAAGTCGTCAGAATCCTTAATTGTAAAATCAGATTGGATTTTTTTAACAAGGAATAAAAAAAGGGCAAATCAAAGCAATCAATTGATGAAACTTGTATATGAGTAAAAATACTCAAAAACGAAAGCTAAATTTGAAATTTGAAATCAAAATTTAGCTGGGATGAATATTTCGAGGGCATTGATAGATTCAACAAGACATAGAATAGTACCGTTCTATATATATCATATTATAACACTGGTAAGAATAATTACCACATTTGTAATTGCATTTTCGAAGAGTGCAAAGAAAAAGGTGCAGTATCTATTTACAATCCTAACGAAATATGCGCATTACTTGAAGAATCTACATTTAATAGTTGTAGTTCTACATATGATTATGGATCAGTTCGTCTTCTCTCTGATCAAGGACAGTTTGTTCAACAAAGAACATGTTATTTTAAATCAAGAACAGAAAATTATGTTATGGCATTTGGCCAAGGGGCTGAAAAGTCTGCTTCCAAAAAAAATTATGCATTCGAAGTCTCGGTTCATCAATGCGGAAAATATAAATCAGGTAAATTATATACACTCATACTTACTTTTGGAGATCTCAAATTTGCAAAAAACAATATTTCAAACAACAAATGTGGCTGTTATTCATCATACTATAACTATCTTTCTGGCAACTCGGGCATCTGTAACTACTCATCATTTATAGAAAACATACAAATTAACGGTGAATCTCTATTCTTCGGTAGTTTGGGCGGATTAAATCAAACACTTTCATATTGCAATATTATAGGAAACAAATTCGGAAATCATTCGATAATTAGCTCTGAAGTAACAACTAATGTTGATCATTGCATATTTTTAAAAAACGAAAATTATATGTTTATACAACAAAAAAATGATCGCACTATAACTATTTCAGATTCATATTTTGATTCAGTATCAACAACAGGAAGTGGAAGTGTTACATTTGTCAATCCGAACAAAGCATGCAATTTTAATAATTTTTCCCACTTTCATACCGAAATTTGTTTCGTTGAGCTATATAAATTTTCCAATAAGGTAACATATAATTCAAAAATTGCAAAAACATCTGCGACAGGCTTAATGTCTTCGAAAAAATAAAGATCGAGGGCATTAAATGATTAAGAAATATATAAAAGGACTCATGTACTATATTAATTTTTGTATGTATAGTTCAGATACTCTTATCATTCACCCGATTTATTTGGAAAGGATAGAATGAGGAAAAAAAAATCGGTGTAGGATTAATCAAAGGACATCTTGAAATAATTTAAATCCTTAGTGCAAAAGGGTTGAAATCGATTAATTAATACTGAATGGTAATTTTTGTTTGAGTATAATGATGCAAAAAATTTCTAAAACCTCGATTATTCCTTGTTTTCAAATGATTAATGTGTTATTTAATCTTAAGATTCGATTTGGCTCCATGTGATTTAAGAAAATTCATAATTATTTCGTCATTTGAGTATTCAAAAGGAGTCTGTCCATAAGAATTTTTCGCATTAACATCTGCCCCATGAGAAATAAGTGTTTCAACCATATTTATATTATTATTTTGAATTGCATAATGAAGTGCAGTAGTTCCATAACCATTTTTAAAATTAACATCTGCGCCATGGGAAATAAGCAAATTAACAAAATTTAATTTATTCTTTTTCGCAGCAATAATAAGTGCACTTGATCCTTCTTCACCTTTTCCATTTATATCTGCCCCATGCAAAATAAAGAATTCACAAAGAGACATAATATTGAAGTGTACCGATTCAGCCACGCATTTATTGATATCATTAAGCTTGTCTAAATAAACTAAAAATGCTTGAAGATTGTTATAAATCATACAATCTGCAATTTCAATTATTAAGTTGTATTCATTCATCAAGAAAGTAACAAAATCTATGTTATGCGTAGCAATTGCATAACTCATGCACACATTATTTGGCTTATACCATTTCAAGCATTCACTTATGATGTCTGGATTTCCTCCAATAAAAGAATAATTAAGACATTCTCTCGGAAATCCCGAAAGATCATTTTTACATTTGAGTTTTGTCCTTAAGAACCTAAAACAATTAACAGCACCATAATAACAGCAATATTGATAGAATCTGTAAGAAGCTAGATTAAGTTTATAGTCATTTTCTGCATATTCTGATTCTATGAACGAAACAAATGCTTTTATATCATCATTACAATCTCCATTTTTATCGGAAGCATAGTGATTGTAATGATAATCGAATACTAATTCTACGTATGCTGATTCTATTGGAATTTTCCCTATAAGTATATGTTGGAATAAAATTATGAGAGAATCATATGTTTTTGGATATTCTTGGAGGAATATTTTTAAAAGGATCATATATGATCCAATGTATCGAATATTGAATTGTGCTGCATATTTAATCGATTTTATGATCTCGGTTGGGGTAAATAATTTTGTTTCAATTAAATGAATTTTAATACGTTGGAAAAGTTCTTCAATTTTTCCATTATCGCTTGTATTTAGTCTGTACAATGCTTCGAATGTATTAATATAATCTTTATTCAACTCCATAAGCTCGTTATAATAAGATTTCTCCATAAATATTTTTAATGAAAAAAAGTGGTTTTTAAATCCGAAGTGTTTATGGAGAACTATTTTGCGTATAAGATTACACTAGGATTTAAGGCCGGGTACTTTAAAACACAAAGAAGATACTATACTTTCCACGTTAAAAACCCCCATACTGTTTTCAATTTTTTTCAATTTTCACCAAAATCGCAAAAGTATTTATAAAATTGATGAAATAATTGAATGTTAATTTCACTATTTATCAAATATTACATCTGTTGATAAACATCTATTTTGATGCATGTGAAATTCTACTTGTCACTTTTTTGAAGCAGGAAAAACTCAATATTAACTATTATAGGGATAACTGAAGGTTTAAAGAGTTATAATCAGATAAAAGCATTAGGGTATGGATCTACATCATCATGAGAATGTATCTAATACGATTAGAATGTAACAACATGTTGCAATGCCAGTAAAATACTTCATTTAGATTCCATACCAAATTTCGTATTTTAGAAGGGGGAGTCACCAAATTGTCAAACGATTAGACCAAAAATAAATTTAAAAAAATTTTATGTTTTTCCTGCTTTCTTTTCTATGTGTTTCATTTGAAACAACAAATAAACCAATAATTCTTACTGATTCAAACTTCAGTAAAGTTATCAAGGAGATTCCTATAGCATTTTTATATCTTCTCAAGAAAAAGATTTCATTTTGTGAAGAGTCACTCCCAGATTTCATAGAAGCATCTAAGATAATGAATGGAACAGTTCAATTTGTCATTATGGACTGCGATGATTCAAGAAAAACCTTCGATAAATACGGATTCAATGCGTATCCTTCATATTTCGTCTTTAGAAATGGCACAGTCACATATGAATACCCATATGGACGTGAAGCATACTCAATTGTCCAGTATTTAGAAAGAATTTCCGGAAAAGATGTGATTTCGATTAACAATGGACGCGATCTACGTGATTTTATTGACAGACAAGACCATGTCATTGTTCTTGCAGCCGAAGACATCGATCCAGAACTCCTCAGTATTTACACAGAAGTCGCAATCAAACTGAAAGACCGAATTCCATTTGTTGTTGTTGTAGATCCCGATGCAATTGAAATGCTTAACGTAGAAACAACTCCTATTATCCAATTATACAGAAATCAAGACCGAAAAGTTATTAATTTCCAACTTACAGTTAAAGAGTTCAACAAAGGCGATCTCGAGACATGGATTTATAATAACATCACACCACGCTACAAAGCCCGCAATTCTATTGCCTTCAGAGACCTCAATCACGATCCAAGATTTACATTGTTAGCATTTGTCGATAGTTCTAAGAAGAAATCATTGGATCTTCTTCACAAGATCATGAATGATGTTGTCGAAGAATTCGATCAGAATTTCTCTTACCTTTATTGCGATATTTACGATATGGGAAATATTGTTCTCAATTTAGGCTTTCTTGGCACTCACGACCCCTGTTTTGCCATTGTTAAGCTTACAAATGGCGAGATCAGGGACAAGCACCTTCTTTCGGACAAATACGACGCTACTCCTCGAAGAGTCCTGAATTTTGTCAGAAAATTCTATAATAATACGATCAACAAACAGTACAAGAGTGAACCAATTGATGAACCACCATCACAACAGAACTCTACAGTTAAAAAGTTGGTCGGAAGTAACTTTGTCGAAGAAGTTACAAATATTTCATATGACAAACTCATTTTATGCATCGCAAAGGACAACGAAGACAACAAAAAGGCTCTTCAGAATGTTAAACAGGTCGCTGATGATTTTCAACGTCAAAAAGTTGAATCTGTTATTTTTTATTACATTGATCTCACAAAGAACGAAATTCCTCTTAAATTACCTGAAAACAAGCCAGGATATCCAGAGCTTATCTTTTGGCCGGCTGGTCCAAAGGCTCAGCCAAATTTGCTACATGGAAATTCGACATCAAGAGAAATTATTGCATACGTCCTTGATTTGTCAAAGACTAAGTACAGATACAAAGTTCCGTTGAATCTTATGAAGAAGAGGATCGGCCCTGATCGTGAATTTACTAGTGAAAAAGAAAGAGAGGAATTCGAAGATTTGTAAAAAATAAAAATAAGTTTAGAAATGATTTTTTTTATACAAATGATTCATAATTAATGTTCCCCGTTTGTTGCTAAAAAATCTGCCAGTTATAACGGTTGTTTCCCCTCAAAAATGACAAATCTGATTGTTTTGGGTATCACCCCCATCTAAAATGAGCATTTTTTGACACTCGAGTGTCAAATTCAATGTATCGACTCAAGAATGAGGTTGATTTCAGACTTCAATATGAGCAATTGAATCATTTTGAAAAAGTTCTCAATTGCAGTCTAGTTTAAAACTCTGACTTAATATAAACTGGCCGGTTCCAGTTGAAGAGATTAAAATTTTGACACTGGGGAAGGTTTCACAGCACTTTTTCCTCAGAATTATTTACCTTCTTACAAAAAAAAAATCTGATACTCCATTATATATTTCTATTTACTTTGAGAGAATACTCTAAATTTGTAGTCCAGTTTCAAGCTCCCAATTCACCTTCTCTATTTAAACTTGAAGGGGTAGTACTGAAATTATATAATTATATATGTACATTATGAAAGTTTCACAAGCTCATCTTGGAGAAGATACAGTTTAAGTGGAGTCCTATTACTTATTGGGCACGTTGTATTATAACCTCACACACTAAAATTCGAATGGATTTGATTTGACTGGAAACTTTGATATTGCAAGCGTTTCAAAAACACATTTGTTGACACTTCATTATATTGATAGAAATCGTTGAGAATCAAATTTTCAATTTTTTGTTAAATAATAAGATTTCTATATGTCTTTTTGAGAATTTTGGTTAAGTAAATTAGTATGTAAGGTATACAGATCTTTGCTTTTGAGTACTTCGAAATGCTTCTGCAATTCTCTCTCGAAATTGTGATGCGTAAGCAGGAGCTCTTTGACAAAACTCCATAGCTAGTTTTCTTCTCTCTTCTGATACTTTCTCACGTTGTGCTAAAGCTTGAGAATAAGTCGGTGGAATTGTTGAAACAATTCCATTAGGTTCTTCGCCAAAAGGAATTGCAAATGGTTCAAAATCATATGGATCTAAAATATATGCTTGAGATCCCTGTTCAACATTGTATTTATCCCATAAATTATTTCCATTCGGAATTGTAAAGGATTTGTGAGCTGCGTTATAAGGACCGACGGCAATTCCAGTAGATTTATTCTTAATTATTGTTGGATTTAATGTAAATAAGAAAAATGTTGAATCTTTTGAATTCTCAATTTGAAGTTGTGAAGAAAATGTAGTAAACTTTGATTGGGTCGAATTAATTACGTTCATTTTATTGCATTTTGAAATAAATACTATACAATCAGTTATATCTGTAAAAGAAATGTTTACGATTTCCTTTAAGATGTATATTGAGCAATTTTTGCAATTACCTATTGTTATATCTTTCGCTTGTGTATCTTTTATGCAAATATTAGCGTCTGATTGTTCCTGAAGATTAAACTTTAACATGATTTTTATTCAAAAAAAGTGCACGTTTAAAAATTTATTTTGAGAATCTATTCATATGCTATCAAACTCTTTGCTCAAATGTATTGTTTCAGTCCTTCAGCTCATGCTCAGGAAATCTAAGAAACTCATGTGTTTGCTAATGAAAAAATTGCTCAAAATGATTAGGAAAAATTAAAAGTTTTTAAGTTAACATCGCATTAATTCTGCTTCAGGAATTCATTGCTGAGGAATCAAAGTGAAAATTTAAGATAAATTTAATAAATTTTTCAAAAAAATCTATGGAATAATCGATTGTAAACTTTCCGATCAATATTCATTCATCTAAATTAAAGTAACTAACATGAGATCATTGGCCGAATTTCAATATTAACCCTAATTTTGATAAAATTTTACAAATGATGCTGAGTTTAAGGGTGGCTTCCGACCAAATTGTCACTTTTTAGCCCAAGTGAGAAAATTTCGTAATTTATAACCAAGTTTTTTAAAATCTATATTTAATAAAGATTCTATTTTTCTTATTAAATTTCAAAAATGAGGGGGTTCGGAATCGTCCACAAATTGCCGAAAGGGTTTTTGCCAGCTTTGAATCCGCTTATTTTTATCGACCAAAATTATAATAAATATAATTTTCGATAAGTATTCTACCCAAATGATTCTTCAAAAAATTATTTTTCGGATTTTATTCCGTGAAAAAACGTTACAGAAAACGCCTATAAAATTTCGAATTTTCCCTAAAAAATTCAGTGCAGGTCAATTTAAGAGATTTTTCAAAAATAATCATTCAGTAGATAGGGTATAATATAGAGAAGCTTTATGAATAACTTAAAATCCGGGAAACTCAATATTCAACGAGAAAAACGCTTAACGAATCTCACTTTTGGTGTAAACATCACAAAAAATTGAGAGGGCTTTCTGGTCGGAAGCCTCCCTTAAGAAGAAATCAACATGATTCTTGCATTTTGATTTGTATGCAAGCTACCTGGTTAGCAAAACATTTCTGTGTACCAATTACATTTTTTTGAAATTTAATTACAAATCCGATCCACTTTTTTTAACTTACATGTGAAAAAAATGCATGCAATTAGCAGATACGGATCTTTGGGAAGTTTTAATAACCTTTCGTATGTTCAGAATTATGATAAAAAAACTGACATGAACAATTCGAAAAAAAATGAATGATCCAATCACGCATCGCGTTGTTTTAATTGGTGATTCACAAGTCGGAAAAACATCACTTATACATAGATTTGTTCGCAACTCATACGAAAAGCAACAAAAAAACACAGTTGGCGCCGTTTTTCATACATATGAAGAAGAAGTAAATAATCAAAAAGTAATTATGCAGATTTGGGATACAGCTGGTCAGGAAAAATATAGAAGCCTTGGACCTATTTACTATCGTAATGCTTCCGCCGGTATAGCTGTATACGACACTACAAACCCAGATTCTCTTGAAGGACTTCAACAATGGATAACAGATTTTAAACGCCATACAGACCAGCCACTTCTCTTTATCGTAGGAAATAAAATAGATATCGCAACTACAGATGCAAATGGACTTCGCGAAGAAGCTCAACCATTTGCTTATAGAAATGGAGCCCAGCTATTTTTGGCTTCTGCTAAAACAGGCGAAGGTGTTAAAGAAATGTTTAAATCAGTATTCACAGAACTTGTTAAATCTGGAAAACTTTCTGTTATGGAGAAATCAAAACCACAAGTTCAAAACAAAGAGAATCAGTCTGGCGGATGCTGCTAATTTCTATCTAGATTATTTTATATATATTTATTTTTCTGGAAAATAAATTCCTTTCTTTACTTAATATCCTCTATTTAAGTAAAAGTCATTTACACAACTAGTGCTCAATAACTTCAAATTTTTTATAAAATTATAACTTTTTTTCAAAATAAATTATTCTAATCATAATGAAATATGAACTATTACATATGCCATTAATAATCTGATCGTAATCTAATTGAATATTCAATATTTTGATCAAAAATTTGAAATTGGCATTATTTTTAATAGGTTAAAGTTAATGTGTAATAGCTTGTTTATATATATGAAATAGTGTTAAAAATGTTGATCAAAAATATAACAATTTATACAAATTAATGTGTCAAATGATTAAAGCAGAATTCCTTATCCTCGTAAGCTAAGCGTGAGCAACCTGGTTTTGCGCATTTTTTAACAAATTTCTGTGATTTGAATCTTGGATCTTTAGATAAGTGATTAATGCAGTAATCAAATGTAGGAACAGCAGCATTTGTGCATGATAATTCTTTGCAGCAAACAACTGGTGTTGGAAGGCCCATCTGTTCTGATTTCATTGCATATGAGGTACTTAAAGCTCTTTTGACTGAAATAAAATGTCCAGCAGACGAATATTGATTAGGGGTATCAATTGTTGCAAGAGTACTTGATTCGTTAACTTCCTCTTCCTCGTTTTGTGAAAATAGAACACTTTCGATTTGTGCTTGAGTAAGCATCTTTTTCATTTCATCCTGACTCAACTTTGGATGTTTTTCAATTGTTGGTAATGGAAATTGCTCAATATCTGGTACTTTAACGAGATCTTCTTCGAAAGGAACACCTTGAAGATGCTTTCCAACATCTTCTGGAATTGCAGGAGATGGCTCTCCAATGTTATGCTGGCGTAAAAATTGACGAAATGCTTCAGTTTTGTCTTTAGTTGCCATAATGCAATGAAAAGTGACACCCGAAACGCATGTTCAACCCTCACAAAGCGGATAAAGCGGACAAAGGTATACGCGCAATATGTCGTGAGGCTAAAGATGCAGAGCAGCGCTTGAGAAATGAAATACAAAATAGTGAGTACGTGAAAAATCAGATATTTAATAAAAAAATGACGCTTCAGAGACTCACAGATCAGTTTGAAGGAATAGAAAGTGAATCAAAACAATACAGAGATCAAGTTAACGAACTAAATCATCGAAAAGAGTTTTTACAAAAACAAAATTCAATGTTAAATCAGTTAATTCAGAATGTTATTACAGATACAAAGAGGAAATCGGGTAGATCACAATTTGAATTATCACAAGAAGACCGTGATCTTATATCTTCCTCAATAAACCAGTTTTATAAGAACTTAGATTTTGAGTGCGAGCCAGTAAATATTGATGAAATGAAAAAGGAACTTGTGAGTGTTAAAGCTCAACAGAAGACTTTACAAAATGAAATTGAAATTTTAAAAAGAATTTCTGGTCAATGGGATCCGGTTGATGATTTATCGATAGAAGTAGAAGATTTTGTACAGAAAATCAGTTTAGAACCAGAGATTGTACCAAAACAGCCAATGTCTGAAAGAATTTCAATTCCACAAGATCCATCACTTCTAGAAACATCACATCATGTGCATCGCTCATCAGTAAATCATACACCAGAAGTAATAGAGCAAGTTGAGAAAGAAATCGAAAAAAGAAACGTGTTATTAAACGAAAATCAGCAAATTTACAATCAACAGATCAATTCTCTGCAGAAAATAATTGACTTATCAAATAATTACAATTTACGACAAAATCAATCCAGAAAATTCGCAGATAATGAATTACTTTCAATTTCCGACAGTGAAGAAGAAGTTGACGTATATCCAATCACTATTCCGCAAATACAACAGCATGCCGACTCTTCTACAGCATTTCTTAACGAATATACAGACCTTTTGACAAATTTGACAAATTCTCTTCCAAAACCAACATTATTCAATGATTGCATAGCTACAGTACAACAGAATCTCAGTATACCAGATGTGAAGATCACAGAACCGATTGTTGACAGATTTACTCAAGCAAGTCCAGATTTAGCCAAATTATCAGTAGAACTTCAGAGTTTACAAAAATTACCAAGAGATATGATTGATACTATGTCTAATGTCCCAACAATTCCAACAAATCAAGATATAAATAGCGATGATCTCGAAAAAGAAACGCTAACACTAGAGCCAATCGATAATAGAGCTGTTGATGCATTATTAACACAAGTAGAGAAAATTTCTCCGGATCTTTCAAATCCTCTGAAGGAAATTATTGAAAAAAGTGACACTGAAATTTTCCATGAACTTGAACAGCCGGAAATTATTGAAATTGAGCCTTCCAATGCGGATCAGATAAACAAATTCAATGCAATGCTTAGTGATATCATTTCCATTGACTTCCCTGATGAATCTCAACTTCCAATTCCTTCGCATTCTCAAGATTCGCAAGTCATTAACGTCAAACCTGTAAATATACCAATGATTACAAATACAGTCTGCCAATACTTGAATCCCTCCCAACAGAATGTTGAATTTCTTGAAAAAGAAATTATTGAAATCAGAAAACGCCTCAAACTTGTTGATTACCAACTTAACTCGATAGAAGATGTTGAATTAGAAGTTAGTGATGATGAAATCAAGAGATTAGACGAAGAAATGCAGAGACTACAAAAAATTCTTGATGAAGATTTATCTTTATTCACAGAAAAACGCTCTATTTACTCTCGCATCAAGACAGAAAAGGATAATGTCCAGAAAGAACTCAATTCTCTTGAAGCACCAGATATGAATCAACTTGAGGAACTAGAACAAGAAGTTGGAAGGAAGCAGAGAGAATACGAAGCAAGAAAACAAAAGGCTGATGAAGAAATTCAGCAGTTCAGGGATTTAAGGTCCATGATGAAGATGAAAAAGACTTAAATTTAAATTATTTTTTTGTTTATATATTATTTTATAGAAATAAAATCTGTATTTTAACTATATTTGTTTCATATTTAGTTATTCTGATGGTTTTGCATCGTGAATATAATCATAAATAGATTTTGTTTCAGAATATTAAAGATATCTATGTTTTTTTCGAAATCAGTTATTAGCATTTCACATCTTTAATAATATACAGAGAATCAATATGTAATTTGCTCAATTATGTATGAACTTCAAGCATATTAACTTCTTTATTATTACCAATAACAAACGTTAGTTCATGTTGAAGCCACATACTTAGTTCTGGAAGTAGTTCATGTTATAAGAGGAGCACACACCATACAAAAAGCCAATCAAAAATTAACCCAAGACACCATCAAAAGATGCTCATATCCTTCTTAAAGATAGTTTCAAAGACATGAATTGCACAAGAAATCAGCTGAAATATAAACTTCAATAATATGGAACAATGAAATCGAAATTTGACTGAAACAATATAGAATATTAACTTTTTGTTTTTATATTTTGTAATTCGATTAGGTCAGTAATCATTCAATAGAGAATAAAAGCCTAAGTATCATCAATAACATTTTGGAGGATAGAGAATTTATGCATTGAAAAGTGACTTTTTTATTTTTACTCATGAAATTTATAATACATATCATTAGCATTAAACATTGTTATCGGAGATTAATTCAATTAAATTTTGAATTCATTCAAAGTTAATTGGTTGAAGTGAAATTATTTTTAATTATTATAGAAATATTGTTGTATTTACAATAAAAATTCAAAAATTCAAAAATTAAAAATCATACCAAATGAATGCCCACAACATACACATTTCTATTGATTTGTAAAATAAAATTCATTGTGTATTAAATTTTCTGAATATTCATTCAAACTTAATTCATAAGTATGCTTTGCTTCTTTGTTTTATCAGCTATATCTTATACACCTTCAATTTTTGGATACACAGGAACTGATACAGTTCAGGCACAAGAGACAGACTCTATTATTATCCTAAATGAAGTTCCAAAATCCAAAGATCCAAAACCAATTAGCGCAAAAGGATATTCTGATCCTCCAATTGAAGAAAATCAATATGTTTGGCCAGATCATGGCAAGACTTGCACGGATCAGCAACTTAATAACGAAACCAGCGGAATTCAAAGAGATTTCTGCAAATGGGCTGAAAGAGTAGACGAAGAAGAACTATATTACCATCCAGCTGGTTCAAAACAATTCTTCGGTGATGACGCTGTTATTAATACCTCAACCAGGTATAAAGCGAGAGTATTCCTTAATTCAAGGCGTGACTCTTATTATCCAACCGGCTTATATGCACCACCAGGTGAACTTATTACAATGGAGATACCTCCAAAAGCCGTTGGCAAAATAACTTTTATAATTAATAGACATGTTGATCCTGCAGCAAGCCATGCTGTCAGACTTGGCGGAACAAGGTGTGAATTCAGTCTTAGAGGTACTGTTACTCAATTCATGTGGCCATACGGCGGCACAATTGAATTTGCAGTCTCCTTAGATACGTTTAATGCAGGTGTAGATGTCAATGTTACAGGCGCAATCAGGAGTCCATATTTCATATATGGTGTAACTACAGATGAAGAATGGGAAGAAGAAGTTTCCAAATATCCTGGTCCAATACTATCCCTTGATTACGGCGCAGGTTTCGTGGCTGTCCCAAGCAAATTTGTCAGGAGTTATGTCAAACTTAACGATGCTATGGCCTTCTGGAGAAGTGTTTCCCGTGTTTTATATTCATGCAGTGAAGTATCTGCAGTTCCAAGAAGATCTGACGGAAGAGTTAGAACACCTCTTCGTACAACAGTTGATAGATTCGTCAGAGTGGGTACAGCTGTTGCCCTTACAGGCGGTAACCAAGTTTATGAGCCAATAGGTTGGCAAAGAGAGTGGACAAACTATGATTATGCAAAATGGGGATGCTGGGGCCAACTCCATGAATATGCACATCACTTCCAGAATGGTTGGGAATTTGGTGCATGGGGTGAAGTTTCAAATAATGTATTGAATCTTATTTCTATGTCTTTAATGACAGAAATTGATGCCACAAGAATGATTAATTTTTGGGGAAGCATTGCCATGTCTGGAGATTGGGCAAATACAGCACACCAAGCTGGTAATGTCAATGCAAAAGATTTATTGTATTGGTACGGTCTTCATTTGTATTGGTTTGGCCCAGATCGTCAACGTAAAATTATCCGTTCAACAAGAGATGGAAAATACTTTGCACGAAATGGTTCTTTTGTTAGCCAGTTTATGTTGACAATTTCTTATATTGCAAAGAGAGATATGAGGCCATATTTCAAGACATGGCCTAATCTGTACAATTACACAGCTTCTGTTACAGCAACTGCTGATTCTCTTCTTGATTCATGGGGATTCAAAGAGTTCCACCCAGTTTCAATTATTTATCAGACAGGTTATGTTTATGATGGTGAAGAATTTGAGACTGCAAAGCCATTTAGAATTCCTGCTCGCGAACCATATTTGTTTGATTTCGAACAGTTCAAGAAGACAAGAGATGAAATGCACACCTTCACATTCAAGAGAGTCATTCCAGGACAAGGAACATTCGAAGAAATTGGAACAGCTCAATATACCATCATCAGATGTGAAGTGTTGATTTTCTGGATCAACAACAATTTCTCCTATAGGCATTAGTGACCTAATTTCTACACTTGAAACGAGCTTCGGGATGAAGATTTTTGATATTCGTGCGCCTTCAAATGCCACATTCCCAATGTAAACTAATTGCGATTCTGGCTCAATATTTACTGTGCGTAATTGTCCACAATAAGCACAACAATAGTGTCCGATGCGAGTCACTGAATTCGGAATATTTAAATAAGTAATTCCAGTGCCTTGTAAAACTCCACCTGCCAGTTCATTCAGATTTTTAGGATGTATAATTTCTGTTAATTGTTTACAACCATTAAAGGCATAACCTTTGATTTCCATTAGGAATTCACAGTTAGTGAAATTAATCGAAGAAAGTTTTGAACAACCATTGAATGCAAGTTCACCAATTGTTTTAAGCATAGAACCCGGCGGAAATGTGACAGACAAAAGAGTATTTCGACTTCCTGCGAAAGCAAATATTCCGGTTGAGGGATTTCCGTAGATGATCTCACATGGTAATCGCAGGATAACATGAACACTACGATCTGTTGTAAATAGTATGCGATCATTATCAAGATAGTCTTCACCAACTACTATTCTCTAAAGATCTTGTAAGCAAACATGAGAGTTATGCTATTTTTTGTATATCCTGAAGCCATTACTACAACACATGATCACCATGTCATCACCTATCAAGATACCAAGAATATTTATTTTTGGATCTGAAAATTATAAATTAAGAATAGATGATATCTATATATTTCTATTCCATTCTATATTCAAGCAATATTCTGTGAACATCATTTTTGTATTTTAATCACAATTTAAACTCGTTTGAAAGATTTAATGATGAGACAAGGAAAGCTAGTTTTGTTTTCACAGGAAGAAGACTTATTTATATGTTCATCAATTAAAATTTGAAAAATAAATCCTGTAAACTTATTTTTTTCTAAATCTATATGGGATTATCAATGTAAGTGTTTCATTAAAAAATTAAATTCATAAAGTACACTTTTAAAATTTCGGCACCATGAAGTTAATCATACTTCTTGGTACGAAACAAATCGGAAATCTTGCGCTTTTATTTCCGGTAGTTTGTTCTTTTTTTTTTGGACAATAATTGCTTTTCATGAATTTCTTCGATTAAAGTCTTTTCATCATCATTAGTCGTTACATCAGAAGAAAAACATGATTATTATCAACTTGGAAAATATCAAAATTTGAAATCAATGAAGTAAGTGAACGAGATTAACAAATTTCTTACTATTCATAAGATGTCTATAGGATAAAAACTAAGAGGTCTTGTACTTGATAGTGAAATGTAATGAAAAATTTGAAATTATTATTGAAATTTTGTCAATTCAAGGTTTCTACCGATAAAATCATAGTTCCTCTGATAACACACGAGTTACAAAATACGGGTGCTTTGTCGTAAGGCGTTTTGATTTGTGCATCTCTGATTGTAAGATTCATAAAGTGATCAAATCCTGTTAGAATACCAGAAACTTCTCTATCTTTGTTTAACATAATCTTAACTTGTTTTTGTAAGTGCCCTTTTAATTCAGGATATGGAGGTTGTGCTTGAGTCATTTGGACACTCATAATAATGAAAACAATCATGACATTTTATTACTATTCTCTTGGTATCATATATAACACTTTAACAGAGTTTGTTGATTTAGCGATCTCTGAGTATGATTTGCTTTAATTTTCTCATTAATTTAACATATATCACTTAACATAAAATAAACGAAAGGTTTAATGATAATACAAACGAACTATCGATTTGCTAAAGAAAAATAAAACAAATCAAATAAAAAATTTTACAAACAAACAAATATATAAAGATTTTCCTAAAGATCACTTTGATCTTCATGTAATAAAGATAGTGGTGAACCATTTGGAAAGTTGTGCATGTATGGTTTTGGAGGATCACAATGAACTCTGAAAGAAGTGCCTTCTTTTCCTTCTCCAAGGAAATGATCGAAAACAACACTTCCATGTTTCAAATTATCATCACAAATATATTCAAAAGTTATGTTATTCTGGAAATTTTGAATATATTTATAAGGAATTTCACTTTCATTTGAGGAAAATACAGGCTCTGGAGGTGTCTCTGAATAATAATTGTTTCCGTATGGAGCATATATCATGTATCCCCAGATAATATCCATAAAATTGCCTTCGTAAGCAATTTCAGTAGTAATATGAGAACCGAAAACATGAGTCCATTCAACAAAGACATCTGTTCCATTTTTGTAAGTCCAAGTTGAAAATGAGGAATTCCAAATTAATTCAGTAATTTTATCAACAGAGTGATGATAAGATATTGGCTGATTATCAGGAGAGCCTTTTGATGTCGATTTTTCTGGGAGATCGCCGTTAATTAGCCCAATTTGATCAATATAATTCGAATAATTTGTTGAAATATTATTTATCGTTGAATAGAAGTCGATACAAGCACTAATTCTAATATCACTTACGAAATTAAATGCTTCGTAGTACTTTGAGCAATTTAAGATTCGAGGACCAAGGAATTTCATCATTGCTTGAGAAACAAAGAACCCTGCACCACCTTGGCAAAAGTAATAATTGGATTGATTCGATTGGTAAAATTTAATAAGAGAAGGGAAGATTGCAAATTGATGACCGAGAATTCGCTGTTCTGTATAGTTAAAATCTTTTAAGTTTTTAATGATACCGTTAGGAAAGAGAAATGTATCATCGTCTCCTAAAAAGTACCATTTTTTGTTCGGATATCTGCGATATAAATCTGAAAATGCAATTAGATGGCGAGATTGTGCATGATTCCACACATTATCAAAATTTGTACCAACCAAATGATGAGCAAAAGTTGGAATCGTATGAAATGTGATATTTAAGTGATTGGAACTATTTAATACTTCATAAACATCATCCATATCGAGATAATCTGAATAAATGTCGATAGAAGGAACAAATTTTAACCATGTTTTTGCCAAAGGCAAAATTCTAGATTTTATCATTTTTTTTCCAGTCCATATTCCAAAAGCGAAGTCATGCATTGTAATGTTTTCAGCTTCTTCACTTGAAATATGCACTAAAAGTAGTTGGATTAACATATGTTTGAATGATCTAAAAAGATATCTTTGAAAAAAGTAATAAGGATATACTGAATAATCAATAATTTAGGGACTGGAGCACTAAGTTATCTTAAATACCTAGAGTGAAAGCCTTATCCTTATTAATTTCTTTTTTTGATTTCAATATTTGATACATGCTAGCCCAAAATCAAATTTTTATATATGACATATCTATTATAATCTATCTATGATAATATTATTTTAATTCAAATATTTACATGCTTTTCATAAGAATTCAATCGTCCTTTCTTTACATATAATCAAAATATATATACAAGTATAATAGCTCACAGAGAATAACTTTTAGACCCGAATAAAAGTGACAAATTTCAATGATCGATTACCATGTCTATCATTATTACGGTACATTATTCATTTTTAAATGATGATTATACTTTTGAATCCTTTGAAATTATTTTGTATGACCCGAAGTATATTATGTTTCGCACATGCAATAATTAATACATAATTCTGGATGAACCATTTTAGACCCATTCAATTTTTTTCAATTTTTATTTGAGAAAATTAAACTATGAGAAAGAAGAACGTATAATTTTATTTCTAACATCAGATAAGTGGATTTAAGATCAACTCACACACAGGCGGAGATCGGCGATCTATTCCAATTTCACCTATGATTCCTCAAATTATTAGACCAAAAAATGTGACTCCAAAGCCACCACCAATTGTAATACCACTTGGTAAGCCAGCAGAAAATACTGTGGCAACACCAGGAGTAAGAAATTTCACAAGTTTTACAAAAAATACTTCAATTTTACCCACAAAATTACCTCCTTTAACTCCTCATGCACATATTTTAGTCGATCTCAATCCTCTACTTCAGAGAATTGATATGAATACAAAATACGAACTCGTTCAACTTGTCTTTTTTCAAGATGAAGTTGAAGATCCAGAAATCAAAAAGAAAACAGAAACATTATCGAATATACTAAAATTGATGAACGATCCTATATACAGACATGGCGTTTCAAATGACATTTTTATCTCCATATTTCAACTTTGCACTTCACATATCTTCCGAAACTCCATCAGACTTCAAGACCGAAACGAATTCTCAGAGGTAAAGATTATGTATCGAATCACTAACCAGGAACACCTCAAAATCTGTCATCAACTTTTACGAGCATTAATGCTCGACCATAGTACGTTTACTTCTCTACTGACATCGAGTCTATGCAAGTCCTTGGTGAATTCTCTCGATACTCCAGTCTTAGAAGAGCAACAGCAATTCGAGGAAACAATAAAATTAATTATTGAATCATATATTGGACAAAGACATGATATACTGCATTATATGACTGATCAGATAATAGCTTATTACGATAATGTCAACCAATATTCTTCGATTGCTCCAATATTACGATTATTTTTCTCTTATTACACATCTCTTCAACCACCAATGAAACAATCCGCATTCTTAACATTCAGAACTGTTTTTTATCCGCTTTATTCGACGCCTTACGCTTACAATTTTGAACAAGCTTTATCAGAGCTCTCTTTGTTCTTTCAGATACAAGATCCAGCAACAACATTCTGGTGTTTGAAATATTTATACATGCATTGGCCGAAAGCTAATCCGAAAAAGATAAATACGTTTTTAAATCAACTGACCAACATTCTACCATATCTTCCTGAAGGAGTTTTTCAAGCTTCTGCACCTCTGATACTTCAATCTTTCGCAAATGTAATTTCTTCACCTCATGTTGCTACATGCGTTAATGCGATCATTTATTGCAATAACGAACAGTTCTTACAAGCGTTTAAGAATGTTCCACAGCTCGTTGTTCAGTATCTTTTGCCGGCTGTGAAGTCTGCAATCGATATATGGAAAAACGATGCAAGAGAATTGGCTTCACAACTTCGCTCCAAGTTGACAACGTTCGAGCGATCAAAACAAGCCAAGGAAATTCCTCCGACAAAGGACACAAAAGCAATTTGGAGCTCAATTGCAGATATAGCCAAAACTAATGACGATTCATTAAACAATTGGAGGATAGATGATACACTATAATTTGTTTTTTATTATAAATTGTTTTAATATTACTATGAATTAATTATCTTCTTTTTTTTTCAGCCTCTATAATCCCAAAACAATCTAAACATTTATAATTCTCATCGTCAGTAAATGTTTATTGCTAAACAATTTAATTTTATGCATCATGCAAATCTTGATGTAAACGAAGTTTCAAATTTCTCAAGCTTTCATTCTGGGCACACAAGTACTCAGAATGTTAAAAAGATCGTAGCACCGACATTTATTTTGAAGATCACAGCATCAAAAAAAAAGATTATCATTAAACAATAAGCATCTTTTATAGACAAGTGTGTATACTCTCATTTTTGTTTTGACTATACAAATTGTAGAAAATGTGTCACTGTGTTTAATGGAAATTTTCAAATTTGTGAATGCCCAGCTCATAATGTATGCTTTTCCATTTTTATCTTTTTCATTGATATTTGCACCATGTGAAATAAGAAGTTCGGCGATTTCTTTATTATTTTTATATGCTGTATGATGAAGAGGAGTCTCTCCATTTTTATCTTTTTCGTTGATATTTGCACCATGTGAAATAAGAAGTTCGGCGATTTCTTTATTATTTTTATATGCTGTATGATGAAGAGGAGTCTCTCCATTTTTTTCTTTTTCATTGATATTTGCACCATGTGAAATAAGAAGTTCGGCCGTTTCTTTACTATTAAATTTTGCAGCTATATGAAGAGCAGTTTCCTCATCTTTATCTTTTTCATTGATATTTGCACCATGTGAAAGAAGAATTTCGGCCGTTTCTTTGCTATAGGGTGTCCAAAGGTGCGTTTAGCACAGCGCTCTATATGAGACTATTAAAGGAGATATATGCTGATTATAAATATATAATAAAAAATATGAATATATGTATATGATGAGTAAGTTGTATTTTGGCGCCATGCCGAGATATAAAATGAATTTTGAGACAAGAGGCGGTTTCGCGGGAAATTTTGGCGGGATTTTTTTCATTTTTTTAATGAATCATAAAGAAAACATCCTCGCTCTTGCAAAAAAATGCAAAGACTGTAAAAAATCTACGAGACATTGGTAAAATGCTTCGGTATGGATGCTCCTAGCTATTCCACTGTAACGTATCATGTTAGGATGTATCACTTCATGAACAAAAAGGCGCCCATCATAAAAATTGACAAAAAATCGCCGGATCAAAGAAAAATCAAAGCAATTCTTCAAGCGCTAGATGAAGACCCAAGAGCATCACTCAGAAGGATAGAGGAGATGACAAAGATACCACGTACAACAGTCAGTTATTATCTGCACAATTATTTGAACTACAAACTAGCGTATACACGTTGGGTTCCGCACAACCTTAATTCAGTTCAAAAAAAATCTAGAGTCCAATCTTCGAAAGAGCTCCTCTCTATATTGGGTGCGTATCAATCCAAGAAGTTTCGCTTTTTAGTAACAGGGGACGAGTCTTGGTTTCAATATGCAACAGAAGCCAAAATCATGTGGATCCCGAAGGATGAAAATCCGCAAACATTCCCGAAGAAAAAAATTGACACACCAATGATGATGTTGTCGGTTTTTTGGGGCGTGAATGACATCATCGCAATTGATATTCATCAAAAACCTAATACGATGAATGCTCAGTATCTAATTGACAATGTTCTTACTCAAATTATCAATTCTGATGAGTTTGAGAAATCCAAACAACAAAAACAAAAGTTTGCAATTCATTTTGATAATTCAAGAGTTCACAAAAGTCATAAGGTAATGAATTACTTGTTGGAAAACAATGTCAAAGTTGTTCCAAACCCAATTTATTCACCTGATATTGCACCCTCTGACTTTTATTTATTCGGCACGCTAAAAAAGAGAGCTGAAGGACGCGAATTCGCGAGTCCAGATGATCTTGAAAATTTTGTAAGAGAGCAATTTGAGCAATTTTCTCATGATGATTTAAAGCGTGTCTTTGAAGCCTGGATCGATCGCTGCGAACGCGTGATTGAATCCAATGGTGATTATATTTAAATAAACTTTATATATATGTAACTTGTTTATTTTTATTCGCAGTATTCAGGTTTGTGCTAAACACACCTTTGGACACCCTATATTATTTTCTGCTGCAACATGAATAGGGGTTCTTTGAAAGTAATCTTTTTGATTGATACATGCCCCATGTGAAATAAGAAGTTCGGCAATTTCTTTTCGATTATAAGTTGTTGCATAATGAAGAGGAGATTCCTGCAATATACCTTTATCATTGATATTTGCACCATGCAAAAGGAAGTATTCACAAAGGGATAGGATTCCGAATCTTATTGAATAAACAAAACAATCTTGAACATCATTAGTTTGATCGTAATAAACTAAAAATGCATCAAGATTGTTAAACCATACACAACGTTTTAATTTGATCTTAATATTAAATTCATTCATCAAGAATGTAACAAAATCAATGTTGTGTGAAATGATTGCATATTCCATGCAATATTTATTTGGTTGTTGATATTTCAAACATTCACTCATGATCTCTTGATTTCCTCCTAAAAACGATAATTGAAGACATTTTTGAGTTATTTCTGAGTTAAATTTCGTTCTTAATAACTTGAAACAATCAACTGCTCCATGGTAACAACATAATTCAAGTAATGAATATCCAAAATAATAAACTGGATATAATTTGCTTTTAAGTTTTTGATCTTTATCAAATTCATCTCTTTCAGTGAAGTATATGAATCTTTCAAGGTCATTATACATAATTGCTCTGTAAATTGTATCTTCTGTATGAATATCGATATTTTCTAATTTAATTGTTCCGAAATTGTCAGATTTGTTTAATTTAATTTCATATTCTTTATAAAATAGGTATTCAAAAGTTAATGGAACATTGATTTCTTCGCTTATTTGATAATTATCATATATGAGTTTGGCGAGAGAAAAATAAGCCTTTGTATAGCGATTATTAAACGGAATAATGTATAAAATGTCAATTATAATAGTATGAGGAAGACGTTTCTTTGAATCAATCAATTCTGTTTTGAGCATTTTGTAAATCTTGTTTATTTCTTCTTCATTTTCAGTTTTCAGCTGATACAATGCATTATATGAATCGATGTAGTATTTGCACATACTTCGCAATTCACTGTATTTATTTGGGTGAGTGTCTTGATTGGACATTAAGGGTGTAAACCGGCCCATTTTTTTTACCAGTGTACACCCTTAATAATTTTTTTATAAGGACACATTTCAATTTTACTATTTAAAAATCATTGGGGAAAATAAATGCTATATTGTATCTGTGGAAAAACATTGATCACAAAGATTTCGGATATAAATTATGCATTTTGATTAAGTTTTTAGATATAAAATAACACAACAACAACAGGAATGTCTAATTCAATAAGATTTTCTTGATCGAACTTGAATAATTTTTAAAAAGGGCATAGTTACCGTTTGCCATATACAAATATTCACCAAATTCATTAGAAGGAAAATACTATGTAAAAAAAAAAAAAAAAAAAAAAAAAGGTAGTGGGGCTTCCAGGCACTTCGTGCCCTCTAGCCCCTAAGAAACTAGAGGAGGAATGAGACAAAGACCAGATGAAAAAAATAAAATATTATAATAAAATTAAATTTTTAGTCTTAAATTGTTTTTTTATTCGGTATATTCTGAATCTTGAATGTCTTGGAAATTTTCTTCTTCTTCGCTCTCTGAGGTGAGGATTTCTTCGACTTCTTCTTCTTCGCCATTGGGATCAACAAATCCTGCAATGAAAACTTTGTATATACCTTCTTGAGGAGTCTCTATGATGAAAGTCGTATTGTTGAGGAAATGGAACTCGACATCTTGAACAAATTGGCAACTGCTGTGTGTGAATTTTGCAATTGTGAGAGGCTTTCCTTTATAGCCCTTGGGAAAGCTTGAGATAGTTACTGTTCCTCCATATGGAACTCTGGCAGGAATATCTAAAGCAACAGTTGTTATAACGTGGAAATTGTCTACGAATTGAGGCATAGGTTCAATGCAGTATAGTCGTTTTGACTGGTTGTCTTTTGTGTAGAAATATAAATAGAATGACCTTTCACCATGTTCATTCAATTCTTCCAAATAATTGTATGAATTTGGATATAAACGGACAAATTCAGCAACTTTAACTTCTTGTAAATGCTTCTGCAAGTTCTTTGGAAACAAGTGAATGAACTGGTCAATAGCTTGCAACGCTATGAGATTGGCAGTAACGGGTAAATATGAAGCAAACATGTCAACAAGTACGCCAGGGTCTTTGATTTCGTTTTCAAGAGGCTGAATGGCATCCATGACAGCTTGAAACATCTCGTTATAATCTCGATTGTCTTCTGAACCCCACTGTTCATTTAACTTATCTAACAATTCTAACCTTTGCTTTGCGTATTTTCTACGAACTTTCTCTGAAAGAGGAGTGTCGCTATCTTGTGTGTCTTGAATTTGAGACTTAAATTGTTTGCAAAAGGCGAGATATCGTGTTTGCGACCTAGTGGTCATTGCAGAATGTGTTTCTGTATGTTCGATTGGATGTGTTTCTGTATTTTCGGGTGGTTGTGTTTCTGTATGTTCGATTGGAGTCTGATTGGTATGAACTTCTTCTGAAAATGCTTCTGTTCCGATAGTTGTTGTTGCTTGACCTGTTGGCTGAGCTGTATCTGTTGTGTTTTGAGAAGAAGAACTCAAATTGTTGGACAATTTGTTTGCAATTGTATGAGGAAGTTGCTTTGGTATTATAGGAGGTCGTAAGGGTTTTGAGAATGGTGAGACATAAGTTGTAGGAACTTTAACTGCAGAGGTAGTCGACGAATTGTTTGCAATTGTATGAGGAAGTTGCTTTGGTATTATAGGAGGTTGTAAGGGTTTTGAGAATGGTGAGACATAAGTTGTAGGAACTTTAACTGCAGAGGTAGTCGACGAATTGTTTGCAATTGTATGAGGAAGTTGCTTTGGTATTATAGGAGGTTGTAAGGGTTTTGAGAATGGTGAGACATAAGTT